GATGCAAGCTCTCAAGAAGGCTAAGCGCGTCGCTGATCTCCCAAGCGATCTGTTCGATTTGGCGGACAACAAGATGCTAAGTCAAGTCTGGGACAACAAAGGTGTCGAGGTGAGCATCTGGAGGCGGGCGAGCGGTCCAGCCCATTGTATCATCACCTATGTGCTGCAGCCATGCGCCGAAGGCCCATCTGGTCGGCAGCTGCTCGTTTCCAGTGCCACTACTGTCATGCACATCGCTCGCCTTCGTTGTTCCACTTGGGCCAATCTCATCTCTCGTCTGCTGGATCTCGGGTGCCATTTCCACATCATCGCTGAAGCTTCCACATTTGCATCCTCCTCGTATCGACCAGATCTCTTCTCTTGTCGCAGCCTCGGAATTCGTCCGGAGGGTTACGTTGTTGATCAGCAGGACTTTTCGTTATACTGGGGCATGATGTCCTCTTTCATTCTTTCGCCCCGTGGTCGACTTGCCCTTCAAGCCGGAGGCATCATTGCTCGCCTTGCACGTATGCTCATTGAAGATCCAGAGCTTGAACTCAAGTCTCATGCAGTCGACATCGAGACCGCCGAGGAACGGATAGCGAACGTGTACACGTCGCTATACCATCATGCCCTGACTAAGGAAGAAGAGGATCTTGTTCTGGGTGTGTACAGCATCGAAATGAGTACGTTTCTCTCTCTGACAGTTGCGCTTTTCTAATATTGAACTTTCTAGACCGGTTGGATCCCACTGCTCGCACTGGGCATCAGGAAAAGCGTGTTTCGTGGTGGCCGCAACCCGGAGCATGGCACGCATCTGGATTAAGTGTAGGCTGGTGGACACCGGATTGTGAGAGGTGGTTCCAGGGGATTCTGGATGAGATGAGCACCAACAGGGCTGTCGTCCTCAACAACACCAACTGGAAGCAGAGGATACGTGGCTACAGTACCGCGGGGAGTCTTGCCAAGAATCTCGAGCTCGTTCACGTCGATTTCATTGCATCTGTACCATCTGAGGACATATAGCGAGGGCATCTAGTCTACCAACCATGTATCTAGTTTACACGCCATGTACGTCTGCTGTTGTTTACATTTTTTTACACATTGGAACGATGAGCAACGGATGAGCAGCCGATCATCGGCCGATAGATGAAATGGGCCACGATATCTGAGATATCCGTGCGGACCGTTTTCGGGCCGCAATATCTCAGATATCTGACGCACTCATTTCGGTTTTTTTTTGCTGGAAATTGTGGTCAATATTGTATGCCACCATCTTTTCAGCCATGATATCTAACAAAAGCCTACCACCAAAAAGTACGTGTTAACGGGTCACAATATCTAAACAATTATTTATCCCGTTTTGGGACACAATAGCCAATATAATGGGGAGAGGATCATGGGGTGTTTTTTTCAAAGATATTGGAGTACCTATTGTAGTCTACTTTTTGTGCAACAATATTTGAAATATAATGCATACTTTATGGCCCATTTTATTAATGATCTGCCGGTGTGAAAGGCAATGGGCCCTGATGCCTCTAACATCACGTAGAAGAACAAGGCACTGGATTACATAAAACCATCTAAATCCCACTGGTCTGCTTCTTTGCGTCGAAGATATCGACCTCCCAAGCTGCTACGATGAGACGCGGGTTTCTCCCCCAAACGAAAGGGAAGAAGGCTCCGCCCGCTACCAAGAAACGAGTCTTGTCAAAGGGCCAAGAAGAGACAGCTGGTGCGTGTATCAAATCCAGCTTCCAGCCACATGAATTGAACAAATCGTCTCCCATAGAAACTGTTTTGACCCCCAGCTCTCCATCCGAAGACTCGATGAACCAACTGCTCATAACGGCGGCCTTGCCAGAGAGTGGCGGGGACGTGTGTGAATGTCTGTTGTTCCCAGAGACCCTCGACATGCTGGACAACCTGCGCGGCTTTCCATACCCCATGGATCAGCCTCTTCTCCCTGCCTATCGCATCACCCGGATCGAGGGGAAGGGTCTGGCGATGGTCAGCACGCGCTTCATCGCGATGGGGGACGTGATCATGAGTGAACGCCCCCTGATCATTGTGCCTGCGCAGGGTATCTTGGATTCAGATTGCTGTGAAGTGTCGATAAACAGGAACGAAGGTCCGTTGTCGGACGCCGTCAACCGGATGTTGCCCGAGAACAAGGCGGCCTTTTGGGCACTCCATAACTGCCACAAGGATGATGGTAGAACGGATGCCATAGCCGGGATCATGCTCTCCAATGCGATTTCGATTGGTGGATTGCCTCCTGGGCACACATACATGGCGGTGTGCGATCACGTGTCTCGTATCAACCACAGGTGCGTGCACATACATTGGTCCATCGGCCTTCTGACCTACAACTGGAACAAACATTGCAGCTGCACGCCGAACTCGTATCCTGTCTTCCATGTGCCTTCGCTTTCGTACAGAGTCTTTGCCCTTTGCGACATCGCAGCCGGAGATGAGATCACCTGGCAGTACATCGACATTCGCCCATCCGCCGCTGAGCGCAGCAAGGCGCTCGAGCCATACAAGTTCCAATGCACGTGCGAGGCATGCTCAAATGCAGTTGTGTCTGATGCTTGTCGCAAAAGCATTGCTGCCTTCGAGCCTTCCGTTCTGCCTTGGGCTGTATTCAACCGCCATCTCCCAGACGACTGGCTCATCAACCAGTGCAAGCAGAACCTGGAACTACTGCGCTCGGAGAAAATGTGGGAACGATGCTACCACAAGACACTGCTCAAGCTCATGGAGTCGTACATCTGCTTGGGTGATGCGGAGAACGCGAGCTTGTGGGCTCGCAAGTTGATCAAATGCCGCTGGCAACCGGAAAAGGAAGTGGGCTGCAATCTCCGTGACCTTCTCGTTCCCAGTAGCCCTGCATTTCAGAATCACAGAATGTGGCGCCTGCGCACAAGAGAATTGCCCGATTCTATGATGCAACAGTTGAAGAAGTCCATTTCTGAAACATGATAGTCAGTCTGTACTGCTGTATTTGCCTTTTAAATTTGCCCGCTCGTCAGGTGCATTTTGGATGGCTCTGAACATGCATGGCGCGTGACGTCATATGTACGTCCGCTTACGCTTGACAGCAACTTCCAACTCGCATCGGATGTTTCAGAGAATCCTGTTGGATTTGAATCGCCCGCTCCAGCACCTCGTGTCTGACTAGCAAGATGAATCATTCGAGAACGAGGTAAGTAAATATCTGTTGTCCATGTATGGCATATCAACGGCCTAATAGACGCCTTCTGCTGTCCGCAAGATCCCTCCTGGTTGTCCTTTCACGCTCACTATGAACGGCGTGAACTCTGGCGCAAACGGTCGTCCTGCTTTCTCTGTGACCGAAAGAGGCACTGAAGAGCTCCGGCCAGCACCGTATGGTAAGCAGAAGAAAATCGGTACGCGCTTTCTCCACCCCATTTACAAGGCGCGACCTGATTTCACTGTCGCTTCCAAGTCGTCCCCGAGGGCTATGGGAGCACTTTGAAGATCACCGAGAAAGACCCCCTCTCCGGAAGCGATCCCAATCCCGATTCCATGACATGCACGACCATGCCCCAGACCGGGGACACCATCGACGAGCGTCATCTGACGGAATGCCTGTTCTTTTCTGGAAGCAAGGAAGTGTTGTTAAGCATCGCCGGCTTCCCGCATGAGATGCAGCAGCCTTCGGAGGCCGCCCATCGTGTCGGGCCTGCTGGGGACAAAGGACTTGGAATGTTTAGCACGCGGCTCATCGGGGCGGGAGAACTGATCATGAGTGAAAGACCTCTCGCCATCCTCCCCCGGGGCATGCCAACGCCTGTACCCCCGAACTTCACCCAAAAGCAAGCGATGCAATTGGCGATGGACGAGCACGAGCAGATGTGTGCCATCGCAGTGAACCGGCTCCTCCCCGAAGCAAAGGCGGCATTTTGGGCCCTCACAAACACTCACAAGGAAGACGGTTCGGGCCCTATAGCTGGAATCATGCGGACGAACGGCATTGCCGCCGAGAATCTGCGGCCTGGTGTCCAGAGTGCGATGGGCATCTACAGCGCAGTGTGCAAGGAGATCTCCCGCATGAATCATAGGTGCGTCGCTTCATGTCCAGTTGGCGAAGCTGACTGGGCTCAGCTGTCGACCCAACACCCAGCCTGTGTTCCATCCCGCTTCGCTATCGTTCCGACTCTATGCTGTGCGGGATATCCCCCAGGGCGAAGAGCTCACATTCGCATACACCAACATCCAGATGCCTGCGGGCCATCGCAACAGAGCTCTCAGGCCCTATCAGTTCACCTGCCGTTGCTCCGCGTGCCTGAATGCGAAACTGTCTGACAAGCGGCGCAAGAAGATTGCTGGCTTTGCACCTGATGTGCGATCGTGGGCCGCTGATCACACTCTTACTGACGACTGGTTGATCGTGCAATGTCGTGAGCAACTGGAGCGCATCGATTCGGAAGGTTTCGAAGCAGACGAGGCTTACTACGATGCGCTGAAGACGCTGATGGAATTTTATCTTTGCCTCGGTGATGCTGAAAATGCGGCTGTCTGGGCAGATAAGATGGAACAGTGCCGGTGGACGACTCGTCGTTTCGATTCCAGCAGTGCAACGTACGAGACAAATCCGATGTGGAAATTGCGCTTAGGTCATTCTGGCTCTGATACTGTTGATTGTAGTTTACAGAAACTCAGTTTGAAGTAAGATCGTTCCGTACAATGCACATTCCATTTAACGTATACGATTCTCAGCATGATTGTCTCCGACTTTGAATCGATAAGATAAGATCGACTGCATGCAATAGGGGTCTGCACTATATTCTTTCTAGAAACAGAAAACAAGCAGCGCTTCATACGGCCTAGAGATAGGTGCTGGGGCGACGCTTACAGCTAGTGGAATTGCCATGGCTCAGATCGAAACTCTGTCGAATCACCCACCGAAGTATGCATGGATCGCAGCATACACCAGATAGTTGAGACCACCTGAGGCTATCCCATTTGTTCGCTATCGCTCTAAAGGTCGCAGCTGGTCTTCACACAAAATAGAATGATTCATTACTGTTACAATGTTACACGGTTCAGGGTATAGCCCGGCCCTCACGAATTGCCTTGGCGGCCTCGCTCTGTGCCTCGTCTCTGAGGTATCGGCCGTAGATGTCAGCATACTTGTCTTTTTCCTGCAGCGGAACGTGAGCATCAAGTCCGGCGTAGCAGCCATCAGCGAGCGACGCACACTCTTGGTATTGATGACGCTCTGCCGTTGCTCGACATGGGCGGCGTAAGCCTTCCATTGCTCACTGACATCGTCGCGCTTGTATCCGCGATGTTCGGCGAGCAGATAGTCACGCGTGATCCAGGGAACGATCGCGATGTCCACCAGGCTGAACTCCTCTCCCAGGAAATACGGGCCCTTGACCTGGGCGGAGAACTTGCGCAGGACGTCGTACAGTTCGCTTCGCGCGCTGTCCTGCTTCTCCGCTCCTTGCGCCATCATCAGCCGCATGAAGCCGGGCGTGAATGATTTCCCGATGAAGTCGATCTGCAGCGTTTGCGTCAGCAGTCATCGCTCGGGGACGGGGAGGAGAGCGGCTCGTTCGTACCCAGAGGCGGGCATGTGCTTTCTGGTATGCATCCCCGGGAAGTATGCTCGGCTTGTGATTCGGGTATTGATCCTCGACGAATTCACACATCACAAGTGACTCGTACAGCGCCTTCCCTTCGAACTCGAATGCAGGCACGAGGCCCTTTGGGTTGATAGCTGCTCAAGTTGCTATTAGTGAAAGTCCTGTCGGGCGATAACAATGCTGACCCAAGAAATCCTTCTCCTTCTTGTACGGATTGACCTCCTTATATTGATACGGTACACCCTTCTCTTCTAGGGTGATCCACGTCCTTTGCACAAATGGACAGAACTGATGAAATCTCAGTAAGGCCGGGGACTCGAGAAGAGGGCGCCTGTACCCATCCGGCGTAGAACACAAGCTCCTGCGGGTCTTGGTGTTTCTGCACTGTGGCTGCAGCAGCTCCAGTAGCCGTGGGATGGATGTTCTGGTCGACAGAGGGCATCGTATGTGGGGTGATAGAATGTTTGGCACCCTCGAGGGCCTCCCATTATAAAGCTGACCACCGATGGTGCAATCCTCTTAATCAGCTTTGCGTCATGTGTGAATACGACTGTGGGACCGCACATCATTTGAGAGCTCATTTCAGGCCGGATTGTGTTCCGGTTCTGCATCTAAACAGCTGTTTGAGTACATGACTTGCTTGTACGCAGTTGCTGTGACGAAATGGCTGTTGGATAAAGAGAATCAGTCGATGTTAAAAGCTGGGACGCCGTGATATGATCACAGCGGCCATCGGATTACAATCAAGCAAGAAATTCAGATTGCTATGGGTAAGCATTAATACTGATCTACATTCATTTTCATCACTGTCGACCACGCTCTGTCCTCGAACGCCCTATGGATAAGATCGCATCGTCGTTGAACGCAGACGTAGTGCTTGAGATCTCACCTCAAAAAGGCAAACCCCTTGGCGGTCTGCTCGTCCGCCAGAACGTGCGCCGACGGCCGCAACACCGTCGCCGAGCTCACCAGAATGCAGAGCGTTTTCGCCCGACTGATGGCGACATTCAACCGCCGTCTCTCCAGGAGAAACGGCAGGTCGCTGCTGGCTGATGGTGGAAGAGAAAACAGACATATCACGAATGCTGCCTCAGAACCTGCATAGTCTTCAGCTTCGAGTAAACCTCTGGGAAAGGACTGGCCTTGGAGTCGTTCGACGGTATCGACGATGACCTGACCACCACCTCCCGGATTCGCCAACGCGAGCCTATCCATGGCATCATTCAATTCTTCGTCTTGCAAGGCTGCTCGTACCGCCTGCCGCTGTATCCGGTGTGGCGTTGCTACGAATATGTCCTCGCCCGGGCAGCACTTCTGGATCGATCTGATAAGCGCCGCGGCAAGATCTGCTTCTCCTTTCACATGCGCCTCATAATTCACACCCTCCGATCTCGCACTCTCCGTCTGCAAACGGATGAGCGCGAGCGAGATGGGAATATGGCTTCCGGGAGCGTCTGCTGGTCTGCTGGCGGCGACCACGGGCCGCTGGAGATCGGGCTGCGGCTTGCGCAGCATCACTGCCGACAGCCCGAGCAGAAATTGACGGATGTCTGCGGAGATCTGATCATGCGGATGTGTGCGCTCGATGGACTGCAGCTGAGCCCCCAGTTGCTTTGCTTGTATCTTCTGGGGCGTGAACGCTCGTGAGTAGATGGTGGATACGAACTCCCCAAGATCAGGATTGAGTCTACGGCCGATGTCAACGTCAGAGGACTTGAACGACACTGGACTGACCGGAAGTTTTCAGTCAGTTGGACGATGGTACCCTGGGATGACATCACTTCGGTATCTTGCACGGGAACTCTCTTCGAGAGATGCATGAGGCAATCCAAGATGGATCCAAACAGCGGGCGCGTGCTGAGCTGGGAATACTCTGCAGCCAGAATTGGGGCCAGTTGCTCTGAATCACCTGCCAAGATCACCCGGCCCTCCGCGCTCAAGTTCTTCAGAACGAGAGCCGCAGCGCTCAGAGCCAATTGGCCAGCCTCGTCTATGACACATACATCCACTTCAAATGAGTGGCGCTTGGACAAGTTGTACAGCTGAGCAGTTGCGTCGGTAGCTTGCTTTTCAGTCTCGCACGGACGACACACCTGCCACACGGTTCCTGCGAATATCCTCATTCCCGTCTTCTTCGAGAAGGAATGATCGTGACCGTTGAGTACGTGCTCAATTTGGATCAGTCCCAGCCACTTGATATCGAGCGCGTCAATTGACTTGTAGCAGGTCTTGAGGTGGTACAGCTTGGCCAGGACTGCGTTGATTGCCGCATGGGTCATTGCAGTCACAAATATGACTTGACCCTCGCGTTCCCCACACTCATATTGCACTTGAAGTAACCTCAATAGGGCCAAGGCTATGGTGTACGTTTTCCCCGTTCCCTGGAATGACATCAGCTTGCAAGGACGAGGTGACATTCGAACCACGTGACTGACTGGCGGTCCCCAGATCACAGATACTGTCAAATGATTAGCAAGAGTAAATTAACGATGGAAGAAGGTGCTGACATCTGTTGCAGAGAATCCGTTGCACAGCGCGATGCTGCGATGATTTGAGAACCAGGGCAGCAGCCTCCGTGCCACCGAGATCTTTCAGTTGTCGAAACATCGACTGAATGTTGTTCTCGACCTTCCTGTATTGTTCTCCAGGTATGATTGAGCCCATCTCCTTGGTATCGGTGATGATCTGCAGAAAAGGGACCTTGTCTGGCCGCGAGGCAACGCGCAAATCAAGATCCAGCAACGTCGTGAGGATCTTGTGGGTGTTGAAATCGACGAGGCGTTGAGAGAGCCGGTAATGACAGCCAGGGACAAGTTTGAGAGCCGCAGGTTCTCCCCAAGTCTTGAGGGTCACCCTCGTCCGACGCGCGTCCACGCTTATGTCGCGGATATCGGCCACCAACAGATTCCGCCGCACAATAGAATTCTGGGAGTCCCACTTGGCGCGCGTGTATCTCGTCAGTGGAAAAACAAGACCGCAGACACCGAGATCGTCGAAAAACGCAGCGACCGGGACCTCATCGGGGCTCGACTCATCTGCGGTCAGAAGGTGATCATAGAACGCCTTGTCTCCGCTGGACATCTCGACAGCGCCTGAGACGAGGATGAATTCATGCTCGGCACCTTGGCTTCCTCGGACCGTCTCTTTGTATTCCAGAAGAGGGGCATCGGGGCATCCGTCGATTCGTGACCTCCACAGCTCGAGCAGTTTGGCTAGCACTTCGAACTGGCGGGCATTATATGCGCCTGTACACAACACAAGCACGTGCACACACACACCTGTTGCATGAAGAACAGTTTGCGCAACGTGTCGTCCTCGCAGATATCGAGAAAGTCGTGCGTCAGGACACGTGCGTCGTTGACCAGGAGCTTCGAGGAAGTGACCCTGCTCCGCATAGTCTGCAACACAGCGTAGATAGTGGAATTGCGCTGCTCCAGCTTTTCGTCCAAGGCCTCGCTGCGTCCATCCCTTCGGTATGTTTGGTATACCTCCTCCTCGTCGGGACATTGCCGGTCTGGCGCGTGCGGCGGGAGCAAGGCCGATGCGCATTGCGGCAGATCCCATGAGCCAGGGATCGGGAGGGCCAGCAGGCTCTCAATCTCGCGCTTCAGCACAACAACCCGAGGGAGCTGGCCCAGCTCTGTGCGCTTGTCATCCTCTCCCTCACCGCTTCGGGCATGTATCTCAGCCTGGATGCGCTGTCGGAGCTCTTCAGCCGAGCCCGCTGTCGAGAGACCCATCCGCTGCAAGAGCATCCGCAGCCCCGCGACTTTAAACTGCCCCTTGTGCATGAAAGAGAGCAACGCCCCAGATAGTATGAGCGGCTGGAAAGTCGTCTGAAGAAGGGATGCGCCCTCGGCCAGTGCGCCAATGCACATCCGCAAGTCGTCCAGTAGCACATCGCGTGGCATCGAGAGCGCCCTTTGAATGAGATGGGTCTGCAATGCCTTGTGTTCCACAGCAGAGAATACATAGAATTGCGACAGGGGCGGAAACGGAACGGAGGTGGCGAGAGCATCGATTCGTGTGATCAGCGAGGCCAGCTGCGGAACTAGTTGTGAACCATCACCAAAGATAGGTTGCGGTTGGAAAGTAGGGATGACCGAGAACACAGATATGCCAAACACAGCTATGTCGCTGTTTGACATCGAAGGATCTTGAATCAGGGAAACGATGATAGCAATGTCCTCTCTCCTTGGACAGGTAAAATTCCTCCGCGGAATGATCTACGTGGAGGTCAGCGATCGTCCAAAACAGCGCGTTTTCATCCAATGACCTGCACCGCCTTCTTTCTTGCCGCTTCAACCAAAGGACTTTGACCGTTTGTCACCGACAGAATCCGTTTTGCTCGCTTTATTGTGCTAGGGAAACCGCGAACCAAATCACGGAGCTTGCCTTCATCCTGAAACAGGTCATGCAGGTCCTCAATGTCAGACACGCGCGGTCCACTGGCCCGTGCCGCTCGAGATATGCCAAGGAGCGAGCGAATGACTTCGGCCTCGGCTAGAGAGATGTTGGGCACACAGCCTATCTCTTGTCCTTCCGTAGCCTTCCCGGCGCACTCTGATTCAAAGGCGCAATCGCGGCACAGAGGATTGAGATGCCAGCGGACACTGGCCTTCGGCAAGCCCAGGATCTTGGGCAATCGACGGAATAAAAGTTCATCCAAAGACGGGGCTAGCAAGTCTATCTGGATAGATCTGATGTCTTCGAGCGAGGGGATAGTGGATGGAGTGAATCCATCGGCAGGTGGAAGCCAAACTGCGGCGCTGCCATCTCTCTTGAAAAACGGTTCGGGGAGGATATATGACAGACAGAGAGAGTAGAAATAGATTTGCACATGATGCGAAGTCTGCTACGCGTCAGGTCTGATTCGCGGCGAGAGACTGAGGGTCACCTTGACGGTCTTGGCGGCCTTCGCGTCAATGACTTTCCAGGTAACGCCAGTCGGTGTTCGAGTTATCTCGAGCAGATCAGGTTTGGCCAGTCCGAACTTGACAGGATCAAAGCCGCCTTCACGAAATCGCTCCTCCAATTGCGACGGGGGCCAAAACGACACTCCAGCGATGTAAAAGTGATCGCGGTCGTCTGCTTCGATGTTCGCGCTGAGTGAGCTGCCATCTATTGGACCTGGGATAGTGAGAAGTTGATTGCTCCGATCCAAGTAGGGAAAAAGACACGATTGCTCCCATTCCAGCCCTCGCGCAAACTGGGCTTTGGAGAGCTCCGACCCGCTGGACGCGTTGTTGATCTTCAAGCTGAGACGTCGATGGTAGGCATTATGTAGGAACAAGTCGCAGTTGAGATGGTTGTAGTTGGCGAGGTCTGTCGCAGTCAGATGCATGGAGAAAGTACGTTTTATTATGGAGCTCGATTGTACGTGTCGTCAGACGGCACACAATAGGTGAGAGCAGCACCGCCATTGGATATTGACCGACAATTGATCACATCATACTACTTACTTTTTTTTGTGGGGACGTTTGTTTATTGGTAGGGCATAACCGACATAGTCGTCTACAATCTACCCGTCTAGTTTTGAGGCCTTGGAATATGAAACCCAGCCCGTTTGAGGATCTATCACACGAGGAAATGTGCTGTGTGACCTAATGGTCACTCACACGATGCATCCGGTCGCCCGCGATGCCTGTGTGGGGATTAGGAGGGGTGGCTCCGGAGTCGGTGTTGAACCGTCTCCATCCTCGCCACTCATCCTATACCCACCAAAACCCCGTCTCCCTTTGTCCAATCGCCAGGGAGATGAACCTCGTTTCGTAATGTTTTGGCCCAAGTTTTCACCTCAGTTACCACCGCCATCACGCGGTTCTCCCCCCGCGGGGTACCTACTGGGTACCCTCAGACGTCTTGCTGAGGGTACCCAGTAGGTACCCCCTGGCGGGGGGTGGGGGGGCCATTTAGTCGATTTAGTAGCGGGGGCATATGCGGGGGTCAGGAGGAGGGGGGGTGTATGTAGCATGTGACTTGTCCATAAGAGCGGGTAGCTGGGCGGGAAAAAAAAATCCAATCACATGACGCGCTGCATGGGCGGGATGGCGGGATAAAAAAATCACGTGATGCGCTGCACCAAATATTACCAAAATGCTGGCAGGGGTTGGCGGCGTCATTGGCGGGGTCACTACCACCCCCCCGCACACCATGGCGGGCAGTGGGCGCATTATCACGTGACTTTTTGGGCGCCTTTTTTGCAGCATTTGGCATGATTTTGGAAATGCTGCTTGATACATTGCATGCTGTGGCAGACAATGGGCGCAAAATCACGTGATTTTCCGCCAAAAAAATGGAAGACTCCCCAAATCATCCCAGTATAATTTCCATAGGTAAATAGGCTAGTTAAACATGAACTTGAGCTTAGAAAAACCAAAATGCACCCTGCACAATGGGATTGGTGACACACTTGATCCCATCATTTGGCAGGGCCTGCCGCGGGGGGTGCCGCGGGGGGTGCCGCGGGGGGTGCCGCGGGGGGTGCCGCAGGGGGTGCCGCGGGGGGTGATGCGGGGGCTGCCCCAGGGTTGGTCTGTTATGATCCATTTTTGTTCATTGAAGATCTTGTAGAGGTGAGCAGGGCAACAGGCCAACTGGGAATTTATAGGAAGACATTGAAATTGATGCAGGGGTCAGATGCGGGGCCCACTGCAAGGTCTACTGCAGGGGCAGGGGTGCATTATATCAAATTTCGATGTATCTATTCTGGCCATGGCCATAGAATGTCACATAATTATCCTTCAATTTGGCAGGGGTTTCTTGGTATGGTCTGCAGCTAAAGATATTTGATTCCCTTGTGCTTTAGCAGAGCCTGGGATATTGAAAACATGCAATAGCACCTGTATAATCTGTCTATGTAGGGTCAAATACAAGTTATAACTTGGTACATTTGGGCATGGTCTGCTCAAGCTATTAGGTCGAATTTAATGTTTGAAAAATGCGCAACTTGATTTGTTTGGCAAATCCCCCAAGGGAGTTTTCCATGTGCAGCCAAATTGATCGCCAGGAATAGCTACTGCTCCTTGTCCCTGTCTGTTTGCTTCCAATAGTCTGTCTGCTCCCAAATCTTCCTCTCCATTTTCAGGATATCTGATACAGGTGTTAGGATTGTTGATTGATGGATTTCATATTCCTTGTCTACACACCATTTAGACACTTTAATGGATGTGATAATACTGTGAACACTAACAATTGATTAGGCAGCACTTTTGTCCATCCAATCCTTGCAGGGGCTGGGGCAGGGTTGATGGTGGGGGCTGCCGCGGGGGCTGCTGCGGGGGGTGCCGCGGGGGGTGCCCAAGCCTCTGCCAGCCTACCCAATGTGGATCAACTACAGGATCACTTTCCAAAGCTTCTGTACTGCAACCCGAGTGACTTCCAGGTTACCTTTACCCAATTCCAGTGACACAACTTGCCTGCTCTTGTTTCTGGCCGACAATTGATTTTATAAGCTTGAGTGTGTATGTGCACTTTTTGGTGGGAAAGGAGGCCATTTGGTGAGGGGCAGGGCACCGAAACATTGTCAAATACCACATTAAACATGACCAGTGGCTTACATCTCTTCAAACTGGCCCCTATCTCATGTTTATCAAGACCCTATTTTTCGGACCCATTTCAAGTTTTTGAATGGTTCCAGGGTCCAGGGCTCTCAGAATTTGTTTCAGACACTGCCAAGGGGTATATCATTCAGCTGTATTGAGTTGTTCATTTGTAGAAAATATATTTTTTGCAATACCCAAAGTGAACTATGTTGAACCATTATCTATGTAGGAACCTTGAGCAACTGTGAACTGTTTTCATGTTTCGAATTTTGGATGGACAAATGATATGAAATACCTACATATTCAACAAGAACAGCATAGGGAGACCTTATTCCGATGGTTTTCAGCTGCATAACTGTAGAAACAGTGTCAGAAGAGCAGGAAACACTTAGGTACGACGTTTATACAGGTTCTGATTGGCTGGTGACTTGACGTGTTCCGAGCTGTCAGATTATGTAATCTTACATATGAGAAGATGGCAGGGGCAAGGCACCGGTGCAGCGGGGGGTGTGGCAGGGGGTGTCAGCCTGGCGGGGGTGCATGCGGGGGTGCAGTGGGGGGTGCCAGTTTGGCGGGGGGGTGCCTGCAGGGGTGCCAGTGGGGGTGCAGGTAGAGTTGCAGGCAGTGAGTTATGGCAAGAACGTATACAGTCCCAGTAGCAAAAGCAATCATGTATGTTTCTGCAGTTTGTCTTGCAAGTATCCAAGCTCTAAGTGGAAAGAATTTTGTATATGAAATCTGAATTCATGCTCAATCTCTGGCTATTGTGAGACAACTTATTAGTGAGTTAGTTCATCCTCTTATATACGACCCAGGAATGAATTGAGGGCATGTCAAATCCGCTATGTTCCATCTGTTCATGTTGCAGCTTGAGAAAATCATTTGCAAAGCATCACAGAACTTCTGATTTTCAATGAGTCCCAGTCAGGAAGTGAGACATTCAATGTGTACTTGACATGTGGTACAATGTGCCGCAGGGTAAGATTACACTGTGCTAACAGTGTGAACAATTGACTAATAGCCATGTATGTAGAATGAGCGCACCAAAAAATCAATGAGATGACAGTGGACCCAGTGCAGCCAACCTACCCACCCTGCCGGTCAACACATGAACAAATCATAACTTGTATTTGACCCTACATAAACAGATTATACAGGTGCTATTGCATGTTTTCAATATCCCAGGCTCTGCTAAAGCACAAGGGAATCAAATATCTTTAGCTGCAGACCATACCAAGAAACCCCTGCCAAATTGAAGGATAATTATGTGACATTCTATGGCCATGGCCAGAATAGATACATCGAAATTTGATATAATGCACCCCTGCCCCTGCAGTAGACCTTGCAGTGGGCCCCGCATCTGACCCCTGCATCAATTTCAATGTCTTCCTATAAATTCCCAGTTGGCCTGTTGCCCTGCTCACCTCTACAAGATCTTCAATGAACAAAAATGGATCATAACAGACCAACCCTGGGGCAGCCCCCGCATCACCCCCCGCGGCACCCCCTGCGGCACCCCCCGCGGCACCCCCCGCGGCACCCCCCGCGGCACCCCCCGCGGCAGGCCCTGCCAAATGATGGGATCAAGTGTGTCACCAATCCCATTGTGCAGGGTGCATTTTGGTTTTTCTAAGCTCAAGTTCATGTTTAACTAGCCTATTTACCTATGGAAATTATACTGGGATGATTTGGGGAGTCTTCCATTTTTTTGGCGGAAAATCACGTGATTTTGCGCCCATTGTCTGCCACAGCATGCAATGTATCAAGCAGCATTTCCAAAATCATGCCAAATGCTGCAAAAAAGGCGCCCAAAAAGTCACGTGATAATGCGCCCACTGCCCGCCATGGTGTGCGGGGGGGTGGTAGTGACCCCGCCAATGACGCCGCCAACCCCTGCCAGCATTTTGGTAATATTTGGTGCAGCGCATCACGTGATTTTTTTATCCCGCCATCCCGCCCATGCAGCGCGTCATGTGATTGGATTTTTTTTTCCCGCCCAGCTACCCGCTCTTATGGACAAGTCACATGCTACATACACCCCCCCTCCTCCTGACCCCCGCATATGCCCCCGCTACTAAATCGACTAAATGGCCCCCCCACCCCCCGCCAGGGGGTACCTACTGGGTACCCTCAGCAAGACGTCTGAGGGTACCCAGTAGGTACCCCGCGGGGGGAGAACCGCGTGATGGCGGTGGTAACTGAGGTGCAAGTTTTCCGGACCAGTGAAGCCTTTATGTGTTTCGTACCGTATTTTGCTTCATTGGACAGTTTGCAGTCTAGTAATAGTCTTGTGTTCATCTTGTTTATCCATCTGTTCCGTATCTCGGGGATCGTTGCCTCGTCTTTCTCTTGTATGACTCTTTCACATCGGATTCTCCATATGAGATGTGCCGACTCTGATACAAGGATTCGGAAGAGGCGGGACGTTCCTTCGTTGCCTTTTGACACGGTGCCGCATGCCATTAGGTCAGCAATTGACACGTTGAGTGGTGTGCTTGTTTTCATCATCCATAACTCGTTGGCTAGCTCCCATACGGTTTTCTGGCCTTGTGCCTCGCACTCGAACAAGATATGCTCCATGTTTTCGGTTATATGGTCTCCACAGTGGGCGCATGAGGCTTTCTCTTCGTGGCCCGGGATTTTGGTCCAGTGGTTGCCGACCTTGTAGCCATCGTGGATAAGCATCCACAAGAAGTAGCGGACGCTTCGCGAGAAGTCGGTATGTCTGGTGGACTTCCAGATCTTGCCTTCTGTTGCTGTGTGGCCTGTCTCGTTATCTCTTGTCGCTTCAACAGCCCGTTCGATGTTTTTCCTTGTTGCTCTTCTTTCTAATGCGTCTTCATATCTTTCGGCCATCATCTTCTTCTTTCGGATGATCTTGTATGCTATCGACTGGGTCATAGCCTTGAGTTTTGCACCAGGGAGTCTGAGTGCTGGGTCGACCTGGGAGTCGATGATGTCTGGGTCTTGTTTTGTCCGCCCTATATCTGCCAGCTTGTCTGCCTCTTCGTTACCTTCTATCCCTGCGTGTCCCTTCACCCACGTCAGTCTTGTTCTCGCTCTTCGGTTGCGCACTTTGGTGATTGTAAGTCTGACTACGTCTCCGTTGTCCATGAGGTGGAACCCCGTGTCTTCTGCTTTCTGCATGCTTTTTGTCAGGGCATTGATCGTGTACATTGAGTCTGTTTTGATGTGCAGAGGGGCCGCTGGTGGACATATCTCTACTGCCTCCTTTACTGCGAGGAGTTCGGCCACTTGGTTTGAGGGTCTCAGTTCTTTTGGAACTTTTATTGATCTATTGCGGATATTGTCCACTCCAAACCATATCCCAGATCCTGCCTCTGCAGTTGCGCTCCCATTGCCTGTCGCCGACCCGTCTGTATATACGACTATCTCGTCAATATCGTCTGGGTTTCCCCAGTGTTCTCGGTTGGGTGCTGATGCACTGTTGTTGGTTATGTCTTCTGTGAAGATGCGAAATGTGTCACCCACTGTGCCCTTCGTTGTGAGTCGTTGGTCTATTTCTATTGATATTCCTTCCCCTTGTTGCGTGTCTAGGGTTTGGGGGTTCATCCTTCCTTCGTAGTCTTCCGGTTGCGGCTGCCTTGGGTCCCATTTTGGGTCAAGGGTGTCAAGCATATCTTTGGCTTTCTTGAAGCAGCGGTTGGGTGATTTACATCCAGTGTTACGTCTAATGGACTTGCATGTTGTACATTTGCAGTCTTTTCTGTCTGTGTGTCTACTTTTTCTGAGGTTACGTGCCAGTTGTATTGTTTGTTTCACGGTCATGATTCTGTGGTTTTTCTTGAGACATTCGACAACATGTATGTTGGTGTCCCAGAATCTTGGATTGGTTGTTGTCGACTTTATGTGGTGCCATATTGTCATGTTTTCTTGTATCTCACGTGAGACTGCAATAGTTTCTATTGAGAGTCCATGTTTAACACCTGCTTCTGTCATTTTTGCCAAGTCTTTTCCGATCTTTGGTGCTGATACTTTATGTTTCCATGATTGTAGGTACGAGTTGATTCGGACTGATGCCTCCACCGTTGTGCCTTCTGCGGACATCTGATTGGCAAGTATTTCGTCGGCTGCAAAACACCATAGGGCTCTTTCTGGGCCAAAGTCTAGGTATGTCTTGAGCCACATCACTGAGATCGCCTCATTTCGTGCAATGATATCAAATAGGTCTCTCCCACCTGATTCTGCTGGCGCATACACCGTTTCCTGGTTGATTGTCACTCGTTCTTTTTCGGCCCATAGGAATCGACGTACACGGCGTTCAAGCCTTTCTTCGATCTCCTTTGGCATTCCTTGGACTGTGGCCAGGTATTGCGTCATGCCTCCTATGACCATTAGGATTATTAGACGGCGTCCTTCCATGGATGGGTTTCCTCTGTGCCAGTGGTCTAGGGTTCTGTCTATCTTTTCAAGTGTTGTGTTCCATGTGTCTACTTGGGTGACTTTATTTCCTACCCAGGCGCCTAGGCACCGTACAGGTTCACCCTCTTTGGCAATCTTTACGTGGTCTGGGATCATGGTCCCGTCTATGCCATTGACAAACATGTTGGTCCTGACTTGGTCTCTGTGTTCGATTGTCCCGATTGGGATCATTTCCGTCTTATTGATGTTAAATCGTGCTCCTGATGCAATGCACCATTCATCAATTATATTTAGTAGTGATCCGAAGTCATCTTGCCAGTCTAAATACACTACTGTGTCATCTGCAAATAGTGTTGCTATCAGCCTTTCTTGTACGCCAGCTATATTGATTCCTTTGAGATCTGATTGTCGTAGTGCCTCAGCGAGAGGTTCGATGGCTAGATTAAATAATAGGCATGATAGTGGGTCCCCTTGTCTAACGCCTCTGGATACTTTAAATGCTGTAGTGCTCGTCTCGCCATTTAGGATTACAAATGTATTTGCGTCGCTATATAGACTTTTGACTGTGTTAATGAATTCCTCCGGAATTCCGTAGCTGTGGAGGGCCTTCCACAGGTAGTCGTGTTCGATCTTGTCGTAGGCTTTCTCTTGGTCCAGGGCTACAATGACTCCGTTCCGCTCTGTTGCTTCGGCTAGTTCAATGATCCGTTTGGTGAGCCATATTTGATCTTTGATTTGTCGGCCTTTGACAAACCCTGCTTGGTTGCGATGGATGAGGTCTGGTGCTACGTTTGCCAGTTTTATTGAGAGTGCTTTTGTGAAGAGCTTATAGTCTGTATTTAGCAGCGAGATTGGCCGGTAGTTTGCTATGTTTGATTTGTCGTTTTTCTTGTACAGGGGACACATCCAGCTTTCCGCGAAGTGCGTTCCTTCGACCATTCCATGTTTCTCAATGTCGTTAAAGACCATGGATAGTGTTTCAATTACATCAAACCCTGTTTTATTTGTGCTGACATCTGTTTCGTATCTGTCATTGAGAGTCCTCCATACTTCGTATGGTATGCCATCCAGCCCAGGGGCCTTGAAGTTGGCTGAGCATTTGAGTGATTTTAGTACGTCCTCCCTTGTTAATGGTGTTCTTAGCGTTTGGTTTTGTTCTTCTGTTGTTCGTGTTTTTGTTTTGCTTAGTATTTTGTCTGTTATCCTCTCCCGGTTGTAAGGTTCAGTTGTTCTCCTGTCGCCTTGTAGACGGTCATGGTAGTCACGGGCCATGTCGGCCATCAGTTTGGAGTCGGTTTCATATACCGTGTCATTATTGTTGTTTCGGTCTGGCCTTGCCAGTCTGCGAATGATATCTCGGGGCTTACTCGGCTTGTTGATCTTTGTCCAGTACCGTCCGATAATTTCGCCATGCAGTTTGTTTTGGATCTGAGCATTCAGTCTATTTGAGCGATATCGTTTCTTCTGTATTACTGATATTTGTTCAATTATTACTGATGTGTTTAGGTGTTTCTCATCATCAGGCATCATTTTGTCCCTGTGTATGCTCTCTAGTTTTGCTTCCAGGGCAGCAATTTCTCGGATGATGTGTGGGGCTATGGCTCGTGCGCGTTCTCTTGCTTTCTGGTTTATTTTTTGTTTGAAGCAGGCCCATTCTGTTTGTGGGTTGTAGCTGTTTGTCCCTTCCACGCTTCCTTTGATTCTGGCGTGTGTGTCTCTTCCGGTTTTGTGGATGAACGCAGATAGTTGTTTGTCTTTAGTCAGGTAAGCTGGCCAGGCCCATCGTCCGTGTCCCACCGTTGGTGCATCTGCGGTTGATTTCTTTGTCCATACCAGGTCGTGGTCTGTCTCGATGCCCACTCTCTTAATGCCCCATTCAAACGTGTTTTCGAATTCATTTGCACGCACATAGATTCGATCGATTCGGGATAGGGATCCTCCAAGGTTAGCGGGTTGGCGGAACGTGTATTCCTTGGTCTCGGGGTATGTGGTTCTCCAGCCATCGATCATGTTCAGGTTACTTTTAAGCTCGTCTAGAGCGTCCACTGCAGGGCCATTATCTTCATGGGCTGGGAGTCTGTCTAAAGCAGCTTCTACAATGTTCATGTCGCCTGCCATTATATCTGGTTTTCGGATTCTGGGGTGTCGTGTGAAGAATTCTTGGATGTTCTTCCAAAATTGTGCATTTTCGGCTGGCTGGTTTGGTGCGTACACACCAAGGACTGAGAGCGGTGTTTCATCCGCGTTTTTCATTAGGATGACCATGGCTCTGCCTGGTACAATTTCGTGCATTTGTATTCCTTCTGTCCGCGCGAGGTTTTTGTTTATTACAATTGCGACGCCAGCTGCATTTGCTGACTCTGGGCTTTCCGTATGTAGGATCTTCATTTTACGGCCGAACAGATTGTCTATATCCTCTTTCCTCTCTTTATTCATATGGGCTTCTCCAATCACCAGTACAGCCACCTTGTCTTCTCGCATTATCTGCCACACCCCCAGCCATTTGTTCTTGGGGTGGTGGGCATTGGTGTGACCGTGTCCCCGGATGTTTAGTGCACCTATTTTCAGGGCAGCTTTCATGTTCTTCCGGCCGTTTCTGCCGCGTGGGCCAGTGGGGCCCGGGTATGTCTGTGCGTGTGTTGGGCGTCTGTTATCTGGCACTCTGCCATCTTGGTGTCTCTCGTTATCTGGCACTCTGCCATCTTGGTGTCTCTCGTTATCTGGCTCTCTGCCATTTCCGCTTTCTGTATCCCTTTCTTCTCGGGGGGGTAGCTGTCTCTCAGCTCCCTGCGCTCGCTGCGCATGACTGTCCCTGTTGTCTGGGCTGGGTAACTGTTGCTCAGTTCCCTGCGCACTCTGCGCATCAGCACATCCACTTGTGCCCCCCGATCTGCTCGCTGCAGTCGGAGTTGCGTCCCAGGGCCCATCATCGGTTCCTCGGGACATCTGTCCTTCCTCTTGTGGAGGTTGGCCATCGTCCCGGGTTACCTCCGGGCGATGGTTCGCCAGTTCCCCTCCTCCGCGGTTGCCTTCGTTGGGACTGGCTGGGCCGGTGGCGGAGCCCTGCCGCCCTCCAGCTGCCGTTGCCTGTGCCAGTATGTTTGTCGAATCTTCCGGGTGCTCGTTTCGCTGAGCTTGCGATGGTTGTTGTAGATTTTCAGTAGCCAGCCAAAGAGACACAGCGCGTTTCCCGCTAAGATCGGCGCTGTGAAGTCTCACCTTTGGGGTTGTCGGGGGAGCGCCAACCGTGTCTCGGGCACGCGTCGCATTCATCTCCCCCGACATGCCAGGACTGCTGGCCAGCGCACCCCGACCTAAATAGGTCGCGCTGTTGCGGCGCTATCAGACGAGGGATCGACCTCATCCGACAACGCGTTCCCTCCCCCGTTTCCCGTCCTGCTCCCAAATAGAACAGTCGGTAGATGTGGCGGGTTCGGGTTGCGCGGTCCTCGTCGCGTCTTCTTCTGGGCCCAGACCCAGGTGGTCGGGCGCTCGACAGTAGAGATCAAAGATTGTCGGATGTGAGGTTGCGGTTCGCGTGAGCCTCGAGATGTCGTGGTAGCTCTGCAAGTGTCGCCGTCGAGAGGTGTCGTCAAAAGTTGTCGTCGAGAGTCGTCTTAGAGGGTGTTTCGGGCGAGCGCGTTGAGCGGAGAGGTATAAGCGAGGTCGGCAGGTGTCTCGTGGTGTGGAGTGGCACGTCGCCAGTAGCGTCGCCGGGTAGCGGCGTATCATCCCGTATGGTGCTCATACCTCCGCAATGGCGTCTTTGGCCGCAGTCCCCCACTGGTTTGCCGTTCCCGTGTTGTGTCGTAAGTGCGTGACGTGGCGCCGTAGTGTTGTCAGTGCGGCGTTCGTGTCAGCGTCGATGAGGGCTTGGTCGGGGAGGAGGGATGAGGGATCAAGGGAGAGAGTGGTGTGCGAGCCATTCAGGCTGTGGGGTGTAGTGAAACGATTCATATTTCTATTAACCTCTACGAAGTCGCCGTACTGCGTACCGTGCACACTGCACTTCCGGGTAATCCCAACCCATCCTCACTTCGAGGTGCCTTTAGTCTCGGCCGGTACTCGCGCTGAGTCCCCACCGCCCGCTGCGGCGTGGGGAGCCTCGTATTTCCTTTACCGTCCGTCATCACCCGAGGGAGATGATGGTGGTAAGAAGTCACGAGCCCCCATCATACTACTTACTGTCTGCTCGCTCCCTGGCACTGCGTGCTCGTTCCTCAAGAGCTCTCCCTCTTCCGATGAGCCAGCTGCCGGTGGAAATATGGGACATGATAATTCAAAACGTGCCCCAACACCATCGGCCTACGCTACTCGGAGTATCTCGGCTGTTCCATGAGATCGCCCTTCGCTCCGTTTTCTCAACAGTCAAGATCTTCCTGGTCCATGGCGAGCCTGGCCTCTTGATGTTGAATACTGAGAGCGAGCGATACGTTGAGGATGTATCTGACCACCGCTTCAACGAGTCCTGGGATATCCTGCACTGTATCATCACCAATCCCCTTTTTGCGAGTGTGGTTCGGACAATGAGTGTCCATGCGTTTACGGATGGACCTGCCATCTTCGAACAAAGTGTGTGGAATTCTCTTGTGTGCTGCGCTGTCACTGATGCTTCTGCCAGGAACTGTGGCTCAAGCTCTCCGTGCAATGCCTCATCTGCAATCTTTTCACTACTTCGGTGATTGCCCTGACGTGTCGGCCATCGTATCTGCATTACCTAAACAACTCGAGAGGTTACGCATCCAATTGTTAGTATTCGCTTCACCTTGCAGAAAGCCAGCTCAGCTCATTTGCAGCACACCATCATCGAGTCTGTTCGGCGAACTATCCAACCTACGCAACTTTCAGCCAGCCATTCCCTTCAGTTACGTTCAGGATCAGCAAGTAGACGGAATCTTCTCGGAGTGGAATTACGGATTTGGTCGAGCTGAAGACGCGATGGAGATCGTGAACGGGTCACCGAATATCCGGGAAGTCACCCTTCTGCCTGACCATCTGCCCTTGCTGTCAGTCCGAGTGTGCCACATGCTCACGACTTTGGACATCTGTGTGCCCCAGGGCTACGGAGAACTTGTCGGACTGGAACTCGTCTTCCGGCATGCCGTCGCATTAACTTCGTTGTCGTTGGTGGGCTACATGGAACCGCAGGCCTTCGAGGTGATCCCTCGGGATGTCTCTGCCTTGCCGTCTCTCACTTCCTTTCGGTTATCCTGTGAGTCCTGGGATCCTGACTCCACGACGCTCAATCTTCCGTACATATCGGACTTTCTCGAGAGCCGCCAGTCATTGCGCCGATTACACCTTCGCCTGCCGGATATCCGAGTGTCGTTGGCATTGGGCGTTTTCGCCATAATATCAAAAATGAGAGGATTGCAGGTTCTCGGATTCCATGTTGGATGTTTGGAAACTTTCGATGGGCAATGTGCAGAGCTTCTCGCCAGCGGGCTATCGCTCAAACTGACCGCTCTGCAACTCGTTTTGCCCTGGCGAGGAGATCTGCATCTCAAGATGTGGACTCCGATCGTGAGTCCCTGATACCGTCCCTGGCCTATCGTCTGATCAGACTGCAGCTCTCCAAACTGCAGCGATGCCCCCGACTTACTTTCGTGCATCTTTTCTCTTGCGGTGAGGATCCAGTGCCCATTCATCCCGACGAGCTCGCTGCTGATCTAGAGCACCTCGAACTTGTTGGGCTGCAACGTTCTCTGTTCACGATCCGTCGGGATGCCGAAAAACACTACCATTGGCGACCATGGTCAGTGAAATATTGTATTCCCGAGGACTTTCCCTCTGTAGACCATGCCTGGTTGTTTCAGTACCACTGAGTACATGAATGAACGCTGGCAATACCCCGAGGAAAGATGACGATGATTTCGGTCACAGTCGTACTGGAATTAAAACAAGACTTTTGCTCTATTTCCGGACCGGATAATCAAAAATTCTCCTACGCTCGGGTTAGAGTGTTCCAAAACTGCGTGATTTGGCCATATTCGAGTCATATTCTTGCCAAAATAGGTCGGGCTTCGCCCGACTTTTGCGCTATGCCGGACCGCTCCCGCGCTCTAAAGCTCGATTTTAATCTATTTTCAGACTAGAAATTCAAAAATCTTCGGTCAACTTTTAATCTATTCCGGACCGACCCAATACGGAGTGTCCGCGGGCCTGTTCGGATCTATCAATTACATTTTGTTTTCTTCGATCTCCCTATCATACTCTATCCTCTCGTGAAGACTCTAGATACTTTCCGGGTGATCCTGGGCCCAATTGCTGTCCAACGTCTGTATGAGCTCAATGATGACATTGATTTGGGCGACGACTGTCGGGATATCCAACTTGCTCCAACCTCCATCCACCATTGCCGCCCACAAGTAGTCGGGTTGGGGAATGATCCTGGGGTGAAGTATGATCTCACTGCTCTTTTCCGGTTTTGTCCAACCACTTACCCTATGGTCGGGATGTTCGAACGCCCCAAAGTCCCGCTGCCTCCGACGCCGTACCACATCGATCTACTTCCGTTCAGTCGGCCAGGAGAAACCATCGCCATGCGCAAAGAATCTGGTGTACCATCGAACGCGTCGAGGTACGATTGGTGCAAAAAGTCACTCGCATGGGAGGCATTCCTAACATGTGTCAGGCGCGCCTCGACGAAGAACGGCTCAAGGCTCACGCCATCGTCCACATGGGCTCCAAATTTCCTGTCGCTTGATAGACGGGTTCTCCGTCCACGATCTGATCCTTCCACTCCAAGGCGCCGAAGTGCTCGCAAGACACAGCATAGACCGCGTTGGCGAGCAGATCGGGCCGTTCTGCCATCCAGAGCGATTCGTTGAGGTGATGCCCGGACATGTGTCCAGTCGTGACCACGAAGCTGTGAGCGTCAGGCCACGCCTATTTCGGTCTCTTTCGGGGACTTACTCAAGATTCAGATTCAATTGCGGCTTCAATGTGGCGAAATACTCGGCCATGGTCAACAACAGGATCGGTCCGTTTTCTTCGATGATCGACGGTCCATCGCCTAGGGAGTGTCAGTCAGTCCACTCATGTGTAATTCCCTAACTGACTGTGTGTGTAGAGAATAATTGTTGCATTTGTGTTCGCGGCGCCGTCGAGATGACCGATTACCGTCTGAGTGGGGGAGAAGGTACTCGGCGCATAGAGCACGAGATCTGCGGTGAGGACTTGATCGGCCCGGAGCAAGCCGCGAATCATCTCGCCCGTGGAATTTCCGACGTAGAGCGCCGGCACGTCAAAAAGCTCCGTAGCTCCGGGCGCACCGTCGTCCGGAAGGAACTGCAAAGCCGCATCCTCGTCTGACGTGTGGACCCAGGACGAGATCGCCCCGACGACACCCATCTCGCGGAGGGCAGTCCAGTTGAGCGTCTTCGCCGATTGCCAATGGGGGTTGGTCAGGTTTCCCAGCTGTGGAGTCCCAGGTAAATCGCTCCTCGTGTTATCGGTTCGGCACGGCTCACCTCTGGAATCGCAGCGGCCCCAATATCCCGTGATGTCCTGCAGCGTGTTTGCACCTGGCGCTTCTGATTGCCACAAATTCGACGTACCCGAGCAACTGATAGCCAGGTTCCGAATAATTGTGCGTCGGGCTCGGGTTGTCAAAGAAGATGATCGCGCCGCTCGGGGGAAACCTCGTCAAGTTGAGTGTGCTCGGGTCGGCATCCATGTTTGGGAACATTCCAAAGGTCCCGGCGTCCATGACGGGTGCGGTGATGCCCCTCAGTCCGCTGTTTCCCGAGTACGGCCAGTATCCAGTGGTGGGGATCCCCAATTTGGTCCCGTTCTTGAGCGTGAAGCTCAGAGACCACCATTGGGCATCCCATCTAGATTGTCTTGAGTACATCCGTTAGTGGTCATCGTCATCTGGCTGACTTACTGGTAGATGGTGTAGTTCAGAGTGTCGACCTCGAGCCCCGCAATGATCATCGAATTGGCCACCAGTGCAGTCAAGGTATTCTGGTTGTCATTTCCAGCTATTCAGATGAGCATCACCAAGAAAATGGACAAAGGACGGGACGGACTCCACCGCGGGCCTCGGAGATTCGTCTGGAATAAACGGTCTGTGAGGAGTTGCTGCTCGGCCTGGCCCAAGAATTCAGGGGTGGCGGTAGCGAGACCGGTCGCACACAGGAAGAGAAAGCCAGCAGCGGGTGTTTTCATTTCGGGCTGGACGGCTGGACGTTCACGGAACTCATCACAAGACCCTCGCGTTTAAATATCGCTCCTCGAATGCGACGCCAGTTATGGTAAGTACATTCTGACAGGCCTGACCTCTCATCATGATTTTGGACGTGAATAACCTGTCGTGCGAGTAAAGCCCTCGCAGAGATGGAGTCAATGCAGTTGTTGGTGCATCAGCCCACGTTCGGAACCGCGGGAGCGAGTTGCTCTCAGTCGCTTTATGTCGTTTTCATCTCGCCCGAGACTCGTGTTAACTCCTGGTCGCTGCGAATGCTACGGAGACGGAGGAGACAAGTTTATTTCGAGGATGTCTCGGCGCCTCTCACCTGACCGTGCCGGTAAGAGGACAAGGAATATTATTAGACACACGCGGTGCCACTTCCGCTTGGTCCGTGTGCGTAAATACGCCCATTAAGCTGGCGGGGATGATGTATGCAAATAGATCCAGGGTCTCAGAGACTTCGCGTGCCCTGCAGAGGATCCTGTGACCTCTGATAACAGAACCAGATGATATCGATTAGATCCCGTGATAAAAAGCTGATGACGTCACGCGCTTAATTAATGGTTCGCGCTGCCGGCAGCTATCCATGGAACGCCGAGTTGCTCCCGAGCTGGGCTTATCGACCGCTGCTGCCGTGTCCCCCATTGAAGCTTCAGGACTGAAAAAACCGGCCTGGTTGATTAAAAAACTCGGCATCCCTCCCTTCAAGCGCAGACATTCGCTCCCCATCCGCGACAGAGGATCTATCGCGTTCTCTCAGTCACTCTCGCACTCTCCTCCTGCATCGCATTCACCGCGAGACACCAGGCAACAGCTGTCGAGAGCGGCTTTGATTTGCAGCAGGCTCCACCCATTATGTCCAATCAAAGTCAGGTCGAAGAGGTCCAAGGTGCGGTCTTCTTCGGCTTGGGAACCATCGGATGTTCACCCGAGCTGTGCGCTGCATGCAGCGTTCGGTAATAAAAGCACTCCGTCGCCGCCATGGGACGATGTGGTCAGACTCGTCATCCCAATGTCATGCTGCGAGTGCGACGACGCTGCCCGATACGCCATTACCGCTCTGGGAGGCGAAGAGTCGCACGCCGTGTACTTGGCGGCTGCAAATGGTGGCGGGCCCGGTTTGTCCCTGGGTGTATCCCGACTCACTCTAGCGTCCCGTTTGTCTCGACGCGTGTGCTGAGAGCGGGATCGCAGGATTGACGCGCAGTGGATGACGAAGGACTAGGAGGAGGCTAAGCGACCCGGCAAATTATGAGCGAGTTCGCAGCGATCGTCGCGCTCTCTGGCCCATAAACTTCGAAAGTTTCTTTGAAACGACCACCGCCACATAGACCCTCGAATCCTGCGCACATTGTCGTTGCCAGAGATTCAGCGGGAGGAGGGCTTGCTCTTGAGTTGTTGCTCGTTCTTCGCGACACGGGGTTGTCTCTTCTCGCGGGTGGAGTGCTGATCTCGACATGGTGCCATCTGATGCATTCGTTTCCGAGCATTCACACAAACACGGTTACGGACGTCATCCGTCATTCGAACTGTGATTCCAGAAACCACCGGCGGAGGATCTGACCCAGCGAGTCCACGCATCGTTGTGCACTTCAAACCGCAGCACGTTAACAGGCCAGACCGAGCCCTGCTCCAGGTCAGCGACGTCCATGATCCTATTCCATCGTCTGAAAGATTGTTGCTAGGTTCTTCAAAATTCTGCGATGAAGATTGTTTCGCTAATCACTCGATGCAGTCGTAGACGCGATGGAAATGAGAAGAGGGATCTCCTGCGAGCGCTAGAGCTCAATAGCAACGGCAAGCGACAACTGCAGCAGGCGCGATTCGAGAAGATGAGCACTGCCGCCGTCCTCCGCCATCACAGGCGTATCCTCCAGATCACGCAGAATCTGGTCGACCTGCTCAGCGGCCCCCGACATGTGCGCAACACGCGAACAGGCAGCGCGTATGGCGAGGAGAGAGGGTGAAGGCAGCGCAGGAGGATCGATTTGTTTCATCTTGCAGCTTGCTATCACGGCGGGATCGACCCGGAAGGTGACGAACTGGGGAATGGGTATCCCCATCCAAATACCTCGTTTCTGATAGAAACGATCTCGTACTTGTCTTTCTAATGCGGATATATCAATAATCTGGATTAAAAATGCACTGATCATCGCTCACCTCCCCTATAACTTCTTCGAACCAAAAAATCAGGAGGTCGTAAAGAGTGTGTAGATCGCCCCGCATCGTGATGACGTTGAAAGGCTTATGGATATCGAGGCCCACATGGTTCTCAGCCGCATTATCAAGCCCAAACATTCGGAGAACTGCTGGCACGCTGGCAGCGTCGTTGGCCTTCAAATATGTCAGCACCAGCATTGCACGGGAAAGTACACATACGCACCTTCTGCTCGCTATCCTGTACGGCCTCGGAAAAGATATGGGCACAATGTGCAACTGTTTTGATCACACCGTCAGCGCCAGCACGATCCTTTAGCTCAGGGTAACGAAGGGTAGAAACGAGATCGTAATGCCCGGTCAGCATACAGCGGTATCCATCCCGCAGGAATCCCTGGAAGAAGTTGGATAGAACTTGTTATGACGGCTTCGAGCTTACAATCTGACGCGCACCGCCCGCTGTTGTTGGGGGCTTCATCCCGCCCAATATCCTGTCGCGAACGACGTCCAGAGATGGAGAAGGGGGTTCGGAGCATTCGGGGATCGGACCGCCATTTGAACGAACTGGAAGAGAGTCCAATTACCACCAAGTGATGGAAGAATATATGACTCACAAACGCGGATGAGGTGATTACGATAATGCAATCCCAGGTTCTGAAGTTTCACATACTGCGCTTCAGCCTCTTCCTCGCTCTGACCGGGGATGATCTGACCGGAGATTGACAGGCACGAGGCGATCTCTTTGACGAGTCTTTTGTACGGAATGAGGCCAAAGGAGTGCTGGTCATGTTGCCAAAGATCCTGCAACAAGAATCCCAGAACGCGAATGCCAATGAGCGGGTCGTTGTACTCTGCGCGAGGCTTCGTCGGAGCTGCCCTCAGAGCGGCTTGTTCTGCGCTGAGTATGTTAGGCCAGAGGCTTTCGCCATCGTTGTCGAGCTTGACGTTGGCTAAAGAGGGGAGGCTGGACATGACTTCGGCGTGTGGAGATTGCGGCAAGTGCGTGGAGAGTCTGGAGACAATGAAATGAGAGAAGATCAAAACTTATTGTATCTTTAGACGCGTCTCCTACAAGTATTCAGAGCCACCTCCCAGTACCAAGTACAGGGCTAGAATTTACTTAGGGGCTGTCAGGAGAAACACCTCGGAGTTTGAAATCTGACACTCCGCCGCGCAAGCCGAGGATGTTAACTCCAGCGGGGCTTATCGGCCGCTGCTACCCGCGTCTACTAATAGCACTTTGGGACTATGCAAGTCGGCCTGGTTGACGAGAAAACTCGGCTCCCTTTCCCTCAAGCGCCTCAAGTTGTTCTCCATCCGCGACAGAGTATCTACCGCATCCTCTTGCTCACTCTCGCACTCTGCTCATGCATCGGATTCACCGCAAGACACTATGCAACAACTATCGCGAACGCGTTTGATTTGTATCGGGCCGCACCCGTTATGTGTCCGCAAGCGGACCTCCTCATTCCGCAGCGGCATTCTCGTGTATCGCAGGCGCTCAGGGACGTTCTCGCGACGGACAGTTTCCAGACGCAGGCTGTAGAATGGCTTTCGAAGGCGGTTCAGATCCCGTATGTGCAGACAAGTTCCCGCGGACTATGATTCTTTATGTGTGTGTCAGTACCGAGATGTACGATGATATGCCACCCGTTGGCCAGGATCCACGATGGGATGTGTTTTCGACTTTCCATGACTACCTCGCTTTCACTTTCCCTCGGGTGTAAGTCGCGAGTCGGATGTTTCTTTGACTGTACCTGATAGTTCTGTAGACATGACAAACTTTCGTTGACGAAGGTCAATACGTACGGACTGTTGTATCAGTGGAATGGCTCAGACTCGAGCCTCAAACCGATCCTGGTCACTGCCCACCAAGGTCTCTTGCTCTCCTACGTCGTCTGTGCTGACATTCTCAATGATTTATTCCAGATGTGGTTCCTGTGGAACCTCTGACCTGGAAGGGTCCGTGTCTGACCATCGTTACAACCACTCACGAGTTGACAGCTCAACAGACTGGAAGCATCCGCCGTTCTCCGGCTACTATGATGGTGCGGGGATCTTGCGCACTTTGTTTCAGACTTGACGGGCCGCGGATCTAGGCGAGTTCATTTGGGGTCGTGGGAGTGCCGACGACAAGAGCGGCCTGATTTCAGTCTTGTGAGACCGACTATCTGACATCCAGTCAATTCTTATCGCCTCCCAGGGGTGCTATAGAATTTTTGCTCGAGCAAGGATTTAGCCCTTCGCGAACTGTCGTCCTCGCATTCGGCTTCGACGAGGAGGCTTTCGGTTTCCGCGGTGCGGGCACCCTTGGCCCGGCGATAGAAGAGCTATACGGCAGTCACTATCCATTTGCGTTTGTAATCGACGAAGGGGGCGGATTTGATGGTGATCTGGTTCACGGTGTTTTCGCCACCCCGGCTATTGCCGAGAAAGGCTTCATCAATGTCCAACTCGAGTTGACATCTCCTGGAGGCCATTCGTCTATTCCTCCCGAGCATACGGCACGTGCCAGCGCTCCCTCTTGGTATCTGATCTCATGGACAGCCTCAGACAATCGGCATGCTGGCCGCGCTCGTCGTTAAATACGAAGACAATCCGTTCCCGTTGCACTTGGTGCGCAAAGTTTTCTACCGGCCCTGGAGCTTGTTCTAATGGCAACGCAAGTCTCGTGACTCGGTGACATATCGCACCCTCCAATGTCGTGCAGAGCACTCCCGGAACATGTCCAAGGACCTGAAACAGGCCATCAAGCGATCCACACATTCAGATGAAGCACTCCACAAACTTGAAACCATCATCTTCCTTGACAAGACATACCGTGCTCTGGTTGGGACGACTGCGGCCGTAGATATCATCCACGGTGGCGTTAAAAGCAACGCACTTCCCGAGCAAGCTATCGCCATCATCAATCATCGTATCTCGATCGAAAGGTCCCCTTTCAACAAATTTCTAGCACACCAGAGGGATCTAACAACAGTTATACATATAGCTCAGTTGCCGAAACCATGGCATATGACACTGCTCTCCTGCAAGGCCTGGCCAACAAATACAATCTGACGTATACAGCGTTCGGTAAATTGATCTCGGTTCCGGGTGCCTCAGCCTATGGGGCCTTGACTGTCACAGATGCTCGTGGAACGGCACTGGAGCCAGCGCCAATTACGCTTTTTGCGGGACCTGGCTCTGAGGCATACAAACTTCTTTCTGGGACCATAAAAGCGGTGTTCAATGCCCATCGGAATCTGCATGATCCGTCTGCAATTACTGTCGCCCCTGCACACAGCACCGGCAATACAGACACCCGCCATTACTGGAACTTGTCTCGAAACATCTTCCGATACAACCACAGGAACTCGATGGGAAGGGACCGTCTGACTGGGGCCCATACCGTCAATGAAGGTTCTGGTCCTTTCTGACTCCACTTGGACTATGCTCACGATGCTTGCAGCCCTTCTGGCTGATGGCCTGGTGGAGATGATTCGCTTCTACGCGACGCTCATTCTAAATGCGGATGAATCCACTCTCATCTAATCAGTTGCTGCATAGAAGCACTTGAACGATGCACCGATTCTCGGATGAGGAGCCAGTCAGACAAGCTGGCTAGGGACCAGTTGGATTTGAGAGGGGATAGTGATAGTAGACGCGGAGAGCAGATGATGTCACAGGAAATTTCGAAGTCGAGTTGCATAATGGAGTGCGGCGCATGCAGAGAATCTGGTTGAAGTCCAGCTGTCTGTCTGGGAGTTGCCTCGTCGCCCACAATCTGGGCGGGAAATGCTGGACAGAACTGTATATCCGGCAAAAGCAAGCAAATTCCAACACCAAGACGTAACATTGCCCGAGCATGGAAGCTCTAAACAGCCCTAGGATAAGTGACAAAAGGGGCCGAGGTCGTTAGGTGTGAAAATTCGACTGAGTGGCGAAACGGACAGCGAAGAGAGATCCATCGAGCGGCAATAGCAAATCCCGAATGGGACAAGGCTGATGGAACCGAATCATCTGATCTAATTTGCCTGCCACATACTACACCACCAACCCGGCCTGATGCTAGGGTGATGTGAAGTATTTACATCCAGATTACATCTTCGTCGGATATTCAACCGATGTTCTGCACATGTATATATGATAAAGTGACTTAGACGTATTTTTCAACTATAGGATTACATCCACAAGAAATCTTCCCAACTGATCAGATGTACATCCAGCGGAGACATCACATCCGGTGATCCATCCATCCATCAAGTCACATGGCTGCCTTGCGCCATTTTCGCGGTCGCTCATCCAAGTCGACAGACACAAATGCCAGTTCTTCTGTCTCCATCCCAGGCGATCCTCCAGCGTCTGAACCCTCTAGGTCACTATCTGCCGCCCCGTCTGCCTCTTCATCGATTACTTTCTCAGCCCTTCCTGCCTCTACCTCCGCCCTATCTGCATCTTCGCGCTTGGCTGCCGCTGTAGCTCGTCGTTTCTCGGCTGTCCTTTTTCGTTTTTTCGTCTTGATCGATTGGGCTTGCGATGACATCAGGGTATGGAACGATTTTCGATCCGGATGGAGTGGTTCAAGCATGGTCATCTCTGGAGGCAGGATGCGGCACAGTTGTACATGGTTATGACAGGCGGAGAGATTGAGGATGAAGCGGTCATCGTCAGAGTGCTGGATTAACTTGGTAATCTGGTTCGTCTCTTCACGTTCTTGCTTCTCCTTGCGAACGATGTTCGGTTCGCAGCCCCCCCTTCGACAGTCATGTTGAACGGAAATCGCAAGTTGAACGGCACTTCCCTCCAGGACCCAGAAGTTCTTCGCTCCTGCAACTATCTCCTGGCCAGTTGGACGGCGTAAGACTGGCCACTTGAAGTCTGGATGTCGCTTCTCACCCATCACAAAGCACTCAATTGTGACGATTGCGACTGGCGAGTGGAGAAGCTCGATCACCCGACCAAAGACAACCTTGGCGTGCGGATCCAATGCAACAACCCAGCCTCCCTTCTGGATCGCGTCACCACTCTGCGCTGTCAAGGTTTGCCCCGCTTTCCACATCTCTGCTGTGCTTCCGTTTGGCAGTTTCGCAGACAAGGTTGAGTCTTGGTATCTTGATGCATGCGTCGTCGTCCATTTTCGGAGTGGAATCCTCTTTGGCATAGCCGAAATGGATCCTGGGCTAACATCTTTTGGCTTGGTCCAACCCAGGAACTGCTGGAATGTAGCGTCATCCTGAAGGACCCGACAAACAGCATCTCCAGCATTAATCCAATGATCCCGGTCAGCGTTGTACCAGAGGCCCCCGCACAGTAAGTGTTTCATGCGCGCCATCGAAGCAAACTTTGTACTGATGTCTCGGCTCGGTGCTTGACGGTTGCTGTAAACCGAGCACAGTCGAAACACGGCATTGTAGGACTCCTGGATCTCTGTCGCGCTTCTGATGGGGGGCCCAAAGCGTCGAATGTCGTCTGCTATGTGAGTCAACAGATGTATCTTGATCTTGTCCAAAATCCGTGATGGGTCCACAGCATCGAATGCATCAAGAATGTTCGCAACAGCAACTTCAATTTCGGCCAGGTACGTTGTCATATCATCGATTTCCGGGACCCACAAACGAGCACCCAGGTCCCCAGCTGCTTTCATGAGGGAAAACTCCTCGGGTGTTGCGATGCCGTGGACGTGGAAAGCAAGGGTTTGCATCAAAGTCTTGAAATGTTTCCCGATAAGATTGTTCTTGTACTGTATCATGTATGCTGCCCGGATGGGCGGAACGCTGAGGCCGCTCAAGTCTGTGGACTGGAGTCGAATCGCAAGTAAGTGTCGATCTTCATCGGACCATTTTTTGGTATTCATGAAGTGCCAGATGTATTTCATGATTCCGAGAAGGACTGTATGCAGCAGCTCGATGGGTGTATCCTGCGATGGATCAAGGCCAAGAAGATCAAGCAATGGGTTCATTTTGTCCCCGGGTTGCTCGTCCAGCCATTGATTCAATTTGACAGCAATATCTTCCACCCCTGGCCGGGGAACGTTTGATTTCATTAACTTGAACTTGTCAAGCAGTACACCAATCCAGTGTTGTGTAATCTTGTCTTTCGTCCCCGTTGTTCTCTGAAGCTCTTCAATTCGTTTCGAGTCCCCACGAGTTGCAAGCTCAAGCTGTCTTCTAAGGCAAGTGCGTATCTCAGCTGTGTTTCGCATGATGCCCGGATAGTGACACCGATGATAGAGTTCATCAGATTCCTTCTCGATCTTTGTCCCGCCCCAATGGCACTTTCGACATGGAAAGTTCGCGTTACTTCCCATATGAGAAGACTCTTCGGACTGCTGTGGGTTGTCCGCAGGCAACGATGGAACTCGAAGGATGACACGGGCTTTTCGTTTAGTCGCTGCATTGAAGCATCGGATGGGATCAGTCTCGGTGGCCTTCACTTGGTCTCGAAATGCGGAGAATTGCTCAGGTGAAGTAGCATGCGGTGAACTCGAGAGGAAATGCATGTGGAATTCCTGCTGGAGGAGACGACCAGGGAGGCAACCGTTGCCTGTATACATATTCATGTGTTTATTGTATTGTTTCGATCGGTTACCGGAGACATCGTCGGCCCAGGGTGAGACCATGACCACAAACAAGTCTTCGTCTTCATCCACCAGTTTGCGCTGCACATTTGGCATCACCTGAACCGTACTCACGTCCGTCCATTGAAAATCTTGACCGAATAAGGCTGTGATATCACCGAAGTCCAGCTCAAGGTCAGCGGCCAGGATTGTCCGCTCCTCGGAGGATATGGTCCAGCTGCCATCGGGGTTGTGTATGACAACGGATGCGTCGGCGGTAAGCACTCCTTGGCGAACAATCCAGGTATGCGGAATCACGAAAGTTCCATCATAAAGCCGAGACAGTTCCTCGATCCACCACCGCTTGTGACCTCGACTGTACATCGGTGTTAACTGTGATGCCGTGTATTCAAACCATCGCTCGGCCTGATACACCTCAGAAATGGGACCTGATGGCTCCTCCGGATAGAAATGCAGGTGCGGCGCAACCAACGGGTTGGCCAGATCCCGAGCAATGGCATCACGGATATCGTTCATGTAAAAGACATTCTCAAATTGAGATACACATCGAACTGGTTTGTGGCCCGTTTTTTCCTGTAGAACTTGTTGGAACTGACAAAAGCTCTTCAGAGATGGGATATCCGGAGCCCCAAGCTGTTTCGCAAAATGTATTATGAGGGAGAGCTGAAGGCTTGTAAAGCGGCAGCGCGGCAAGTTGTCCATAATATCAAGGAGCATCATCTGAGACGTTTAGATGAGTTCCAGCGTGCCAATAAACTGAGCACTCCACTCACGGCCTTGTTCGGATACGGCCTGTATGCCGATGAAGCGCGTGCATCAAAATCAAAGCAAAGGTCATCGTCTTCATCTCCTTGTTCTCGAGCCATGATCTCGTTGATCTCATCCCCCAAAAAATCCTCGTCGCTCAGCAAGTCAAGAGGTGTTTGGGCATTCGTTGCATCCATGAGGATTTCCTGGAATTGGTGTGCAAGAAGCGCTCTGCGCTTTTCGGGTGTGTCTGCCTCACACAAATCCGACGAGCCAAGGCCCAACTCGCTTATCAACAAGGGCACCGGAGCCGACCAATCGTCCCTGCCTCTCGCCAACAACGATGGATCTGGGTGTTCAGGGCTCAAGTTCGTGGAAGACTCGGAGAACATCCCAAGACGTGTCGAAGCCAACATAGCAACATTGTCCTCGAGCCCGACGATGTCCTGAAGAGCATCTGCAGTGTATGAGGTGTCCATAGAAGCGATTTCAGGTTCTCGGTTTTTAGCGCGCACTTGATGGTTTGTCCAAGCTGCAGAATGTGTGCTTGTTTCCAAATGCGCCTTCAGATTTCTGCGGTCTATGAACCGTCCAGTTCCCGACTTCCGCTCTTCAAGACAGGGAAGGCATCTAACATGAGTCCTCTTTGGAGAGTATTCCAGGTGCGGCCTCAGTTCTAAAGTGGCAGTCAGCTCTGACCTTCTCTTGCGCACAGCCGATGATAATACCCGATGGCGGCTCCCAGCGCGTCGGTGCCATTTCCAGTTCTGTGCAATAGTCTATATGGGTTTTAGAATACCCACTTCTGGTAAGGTCTGTTCTCGAGGTGAGAATCTTTCGAACTTAACACAGCCGTGCAGTTTTTGTTTGTTGACACATTAATTCGACATCGCCTTTTCTCTCCCTTTGCTTTCATGGCGGAGTCACTGATTCAAAGGGCTTCGCGTCGCGCAGAAGCTGCCCGTGCAGCTTCGCAGCAGGGTAGCAGACATTCGACGCCTGTGCCGAGTTCTCCACTTGCTCCGCCTGAGAACTTTCCACCTCGACTCAACCGTGACAACAGCACTCCCGACTTTCCTCCTCTGACTCAGCCACGCTTCCCACTTTCAAGCGTGAAGAGCTTCGGAGAACGTCTTGCCAAAGATGCCAGCCTCTCTGCCGACAGTGAAGCAGAGTTTAGACGATACTTCGAGGTGAAGTTCACATCAATGGAAACTTCTTGCGCTGACAGTCTCTCAGACCTCGAACAAGGACGAACGTGACACCATCGCGTTCATGCATCTCCTTCAGACAAAGGATATGGTTCGCGGCTTAGTTGATACGGCCGGGAGTCACGAAGGTGAATGGGCTCCGGAGACGTCACTGGCTGTGAGCTGCATGCAAGTTTCACATCGCCTTCATGTCTTACTGACATTTTTTTTAGAAGATCTGTCGGAAATACGTGTGGTCTATTCTCTGTCTCCCGAATCTCACGTATTATGGTGGAACCATCGAAACGGCGATTCTGGTGAGGCTTGTGACCGCTCTTGAGCACCACTGACTACTCTACTTAAGACGACATTGACTCTCATGAAAGTTAAGCGTGTCCCGGGCGTTGATTCAGAGGAATATGGTCTCTTTGTGACTTGGTTGGGTCGCGCAGTCAGTGTGATCCGCTCTGCTCTCAAGGCTGAGGGAGGTATTGACTGTCTCTGCTTGTTGCAGCTCCTGACCGTTCTACAGATTTTGAAATCGATCAAACTCAAGAACAAGGAGATGAGGAACATTGCTCATCTCTGCGAGAGAATTCTGAAACATGCTGACCCATCTGTCTGTGCAACGCGATTCACATTCATGCGGATGGCATATCTGGTAAGTCTTTTTTGCTCAGCCCGCTGTCCCCCTCATTGATGTATCCGCCTCTTTAGCGCTACCACGTGGAACAGAATCATCCCGTGAAGCAGCACTGGGACATACTCGATAGCGAGATGAATCAGTTGCGAGACATCGGGGATATGGACTTTGTTGCGTGAGTTGCGTCTTACAGTTCTTAGCTAATTGAGTCTGACTCTTCTGCGTCGGCCCCAGAGCTCTCGAAGAAGCTTATGAAGACGACATCGAGAAGTATGGAGATCCTGTGACCACCAAATGCAAAATTGGCACATCGGCCTTAGCGAAGGAGTGTCCCGCTTGGCTGATCACTCTCTCGGCACAGGCAGCCAAAGTCCAGCGCTTCAGCCGAGGTCAGAAGAAACGCAAGCGCCAGGAACTTGAGGAGGAGGAGGAGGAGGAGGAGGAGAATGGGACACGTCCTTCATCCCGAGGTGCAAGCCTGGTACCCTCTGAGTTTGGTGTTGCTTCTGGGTCGAGTACTTAGTTGATAGTCATTGTGTACCAAGAAATATGATCCAAATCTCATATTGAAGTCGAAATCATCTGTCGCATTGACATCTTGCCTGAGGGCCATGTACATATCCAAGAAACAAGATCAAGATCATCACTGAATAGAATAGTATGTTTCTACATACATAAAGCTGATATTTGTATTGGATGTAAGAAATACATCCTGGTCAGAGATACAACGGAGTGATTAGCTGTTCGACTTGATTCTGATCACCATTAAGATGTCTACCTCACATCATTAACAAATGTCAAACGGTGTTGGTGACCAACATCATTCGGGCGTCAGACCGGGTCTGCGGTGTAGTAATCCGCAACCGAACTCGCGTTGGCCTCCAAGGCTCCAACCGATCGGAAGTTGGCGTAAGCGTTTGAACCCTACTTCACCAAACTAGCCTTCCGCCGCTCTATCCATGGCATAAATAGCACTGAGCATGCAGAGCGCAAAATATTCGAAACCGCCATGGCTGACGAAAAGAACTCACTCCCCATGCCCATGACGCCGATCTCAGCGCCGAAGCCGACCAAGTCGACAAAGAGTCGCGTCCGAAACGCGTTACTCGCCGTCGTTACTCTGTCTTGTATCGCGTGGCTGGTTGTCTCGCGTTCTGGCCTGTTCAACAGATACCTCCGCGAAGCAAGCGTACATGCAATGAAGCTCAGCACCGGCTCTCGTATGAACTGCCACCAGGCGGATGTGCTCTTCCCACAGCGTCACGCCGACGTTTTGGATACCATCTCGGACCTGATTGGGACTGACGAGTACCAATCGAAGGTGTTGGAGTCCCATGCAGAAGCCATTCGGATCCAGTTAGTTTGCATCACTCGAAGGTTGTGCGAGCCTGTTGATGCCATTTCAATAGGACTGAGGTTTACGATGACATGCGGCCAGTCGGTCTGGACGATCGATGGGAGGTGTTCCTGGATCTCCACAAACATCTTCACAGCGCGTATCCGCTCTTGTGAGTGATCGTCGCTCAAGAGAAAAACTTGATCCTCATGATAGGAAATTACAGGCATGATCATTTGGAAATGAAAACAGTGAACCAGTACGGACTGGTCTACACATGGCAAGGGTCGGATGAATCGCTAGCCCCCATTCTGCTCACGGCCCATCAAGGTGAGTACGATTCCCTCGGAGCGATGCTTTGGATAGAAACTTGGATGAAGATGTGGTTCCGGTCGACGAAGAGACATTGGATGGTGCGTGAATAGTTCTGCGGTCGCGCGTAAACAAGGTTGATTTTTACGCTCAGAATGGGAGCACCTTCCGTTTAGCGCGGACTATGACGGTCAGCAGACTGATACATAGATGGCCTTGTGTGAGGGAGCTCATGATGTGCAGGTGAATACGTTTGGGGCCGCGGGGCCTCTGACGACAAGAGCCGCCTCACCGCCGTTATGTACGCATCAGCCATCCCTTTCCTGCTTGTGATTCGGTTCCAAGACGTGATAGGAATACGATCGAAACCCTGGTCGATACGGGTTTTCATCCCTTGCGAACGATTGTACTTTCGGTCGGTTTCGACGAACAGCTGTCTGGAGCTCAGGGATCTGGAGCCATCGCGACGGAACTGGAGGACACATATGGCGATGACATGCCGTTTGCGTTGATCATTGACGAGGGCGGGGCATTCAGTGGCAATGACAGAGATGGCATCTTTGCATCGCCTGGTGTGGCTGAAAAGGGCTATCTTGATGTCGAAATCGAAGTGACGTCCCCTGGTGGCCATTCTTCGCGTCCTCCAGCCCACACCGTACGCGATTTTCGAGCCATCGATAGGTTTGGATTGACTTTTGGCGGATAGACCATTGGAATGCTGGCTGCGGCTATCACCAAGTACGAAGATAATCCGTTCCCGCTCAACCTGGTATGACTCGTGATTCTGTTGCGAACGCGTTTCCTTACCTGATGGACGCAGGATCGGGACTCGGCTCCCTACAAAATGCTCCAGTGTCGTGCTCAGTATTCTCCATCCATGCCCAGGCAATTGAAGCAACTCATTGATCTCTCGCAATTTTCTAACATCGCACTGGCTGAATTGGAGGAAATCATCTTCAGGGAAGAGACGTATCGCCAACTGATTGGGACAACTCAAGCCGTGGACGTCATCCAGGGTAAGGGCTGTGGATCCTTTCACGTCGTGTTCCAACCTAGTGTCAGGCGGTGTGAAGAGCAACTCGCTTCCCGGACAAGCCTCTGCCGTGGTCAACCATCGGATTTCGACCTCTAGGTCTGTGCTCAATGCAGTTCATGATTGGGACCGTCTGAACAAAATTAGTTCCGTGACTGAGACCATGGATCGCGACACCGCACTCTTGCAAGGTCTCGCTCGCAAGTTGAATTTGAATTTCGATGCTTTCGGCAGGCAGATCTCTACGGCCACCATTCCTGCCCAAGGGACTTTGACGCTCGAAATCGCTCGCGGAAACGCAATGGAACCTGTCCCCCGATCCCCTGTCAGTGGACGTGGTTCCGAGGCATATGAGATTCTTGCCGGGAGTATCAAGGCTGCTTTCAACGACTACCGTAGGCTGGACCATCCCAACGCAGTTATTGTTTCTCCTGGCCTCAGCACCGAGAACACCGGGAGCCGCTATTACCGCAACCTATCGCGCAACATCTTCCGCTACAGTCACAAGAATTCTGTCGGCAATCAGCGTCCATCGGGAGCTCACGGTGTCAATGAAGGTGGGTCACTGTTTGTTGATACCAAGCAGTAAAAACTAATTACTCTAGTAATCCGCGCGGAGAGTTTGTTTGAGATGATTCAATTCTTTACCACGCTCATCCTCAACGCGGACGAGTCAACCGAAATCTAGTCTGTTTACCCTGTATCAGATATTCAGTCACGTAAAATCGGGAAAATGATGATAAGAGACTCAGGGACGATAAGATAAACCAGTACGGATCAGCGCGGAATTCCATGTCGATCGATGGGCGGCGGCGAAGGCGGCAGAACTATAGTCAGCCGCTATATTCACACGACTCCAAGCAGCTAGCGCCGCATATCTGCATTCGTCCCATACCATGGCGAGCGAGAAATCCGCACTTCCCCTGCCCACCGGCACGGCCCCCGCGCCCAACTCGAGCTCCCGTCGCCGTAGCGCGCTCCTCGTCGCGGTCACCCTCGCGTGTGTCGCGTTCTCGTTCTTCTCGCACGCAGACACAATCACGTCGCGTGTTTCTGCTGTCGCTGGAGAGCGCCTGGGGCTGCACCGCTACGAGGCAAGCTGCGCACAGGCGGGCGTGGTCACCCCGCAGCGCGGCGCGCCTTTGCTGGACGCCGTCGGGGACCTGCTCGCGACCGACGCGTTCCAGTCCAAGATCATCACTTGGCTGTCGGAGGCCGTCCAAGTCCCGTGCGCGCTCTCTCGTTTCACTCGGAATCGGCTCTGACAGTGGGCTCGTAGGACGGAGGTGTATGATGGTATGCCTCCGCCTGGCCAAGACCCGCGATGGGAGGTCTTTGGGCCTTTCCACGACTATCTGCTGTCCGCTTTCCCACTTGTGTGAGTATAACGTCTTCTTCGGGACGGGATTGGATCTTGATTGCGCTCAGACACGAAACCTTGGCGCTAACGAAGGTCAACACCTACGGCCTGTTGTACCAGTGGGCTGGCTCGGATTCTTCGCTTAAACCTATCTTGTTCGCTGCCCACCAGGGTAAGTTAGCCTGGAAATAGTTGATGATGGACTGAACCTGGCTCTTAGACGTCGTCCCTGTCGAGCCGCTTACATACGATGGTGGGCTCACTCTAGGTTCACGGAACTCACGCAGGGACTGATTTGGAGACAGACTGGACTCACCCACCCTTCTCCGGACACTACGATGGTGCGGAGACTTTGGTGTCCGAGGGCTCCAAACTAAAAAGACTCAGGCAAATACATTTGGGGTCGCGGCAGCTCAGACGACAAGAGCGGTCTGATCTCAATTATGTAGGTCTGCCCCATTGTTAGCGAAAGCGTCCATATCAATTTCGCAGGGCCACGATCGAGACCATGATAGCACAGGGTTTCAAACCAGCGCGGACCATCGTCATCGCCTTCGGTTTCGACGAAGAGGCGTCTGGACGACAGGGAGCCGGCGCTCTCGGTGAAGCGATGGAAGAAATCTACGGAAAGGATCTGCCGTTTGCTTTCGTCGTCGACGAAGGGGGTAAGCGCACAGTACTTGATCTGTCTGCCTAGCTGACGCAGGGCATCGCAGGAGGATTCGGCGGCGACGCTGAACAGGGTGTCTTTGCTATGCCTGCTGTTGCTGAGAAGGGCTACCTGGATGTCCAGCTGGAGCTCAACTCTCCGGGAGGCCACTCTTCCATTCCGCCTGTTCACACCGTAAGACCATCGGGATGGAACGAACTTGATCTTAATATTCTCCCTGTAGACCATCGGTATGCTTGCTGCATTGATCGTAAAATACGAGGAGAACCCGTACCCTGCCACCTTGGTCTGCTCCACTTCAACCTTCTTTATACTTGAATACTCATGCCGACTCAGGATCGCGACTCTGTGCCATACCAGACTCTGCAATGCATGACTGAGTACTCCCCAAGTTACACTGAGGACTTCAAGAAGCTGGTTCGGCGCTCGCGGCATTCCGACCGTGCCCTCAAAGAAGTGGAAGCGATCGTTCTGGCGCAGCCGGTCCAGCGTGCGCTGATTGGAACGACTCAAGCTGTGGATATCATCCACGGTAAGCGAATAGACTCGTGGTGTTCCGAGTCTGACTTGTCTCTAGGTGGCGTCAAGAGCAACGCGCTTCCAGAACAGGCTGTGGCGCTTGTTAACCACCGGATCTCGACGTCCAGGTTGGCTGTTCTACTTGTAGTCAATTCGGATCGTCCCTGAAACAACTACAGCTCCGTGGGCGAGACCATGGCACACGACACTGCTCTCTTGCAGGGCCTTGCTGAAGAGTTCAACTTGACATACACGGCATTCGGCAAGCTTATCTCGGCAGCCAATGCTCCTGCCTACGGAACCTTGACGTTGAAAGACGCCCATGGAACTGCGCTGGAGCCGGCGCCCCGATCACCTCTGAGCGGACCGGGTTCTGAGGCATACCAGATCCTCTCTGGATCGATCAAAGCCACTTTCAACGCGCACCGCGGTCTGGATGACCCCAACGCCATCATCGTTGCCCCGGGCATGAGCACCGGAAACACGGACACCCGGTACTACTGGAACCTTTCACACAGCATCTTCCGATACAACCACAACAATGCCATGGGCAAACGGGAGATCCTTGGTGGAGCGCACACTGTAAATGAAGGTCCGTCTATTTTCAAACAACCCTAAGCGCCCGACTGACTGCTGTGCACAGCTGTTCTGGCAGAGTCTCTATTTGAGATGGTTCGCTTCTTTACTACTCTTATCCTCAATGCGGACGAGTCCACCGTTATCTAGCCGCAAGTATACATGTACATTCAAAATTTGGCCTACTTGAAAACTAACTGAGGAATCGCTGGACATGAGCTATGATGAACTCTTCGTCTTGTTTAGTACCTCCTCCGCCACCCGCCATATGGCCCCAGATGCTGTCAATGACCTGCATTTCTCCGCGCTGCAGATCCTTCACTTCGGCGACAGAATCTTCAGGAGGGAAATAAGTGTCGGTTCGGGACGGCATGACCAACGCCTTCGCTTTGATTCGGGCAAGGGCCTGGGATAGGTTTCCTCGGTCTGCTTCCGGGCCGAGTTTGGAGATGTCCCCGTTCTGCCACGTGCGCAGGATGCAGAGCAGATCATTAGCGTCCCAAACACCCAGTCCGCCCTCCCAGTCGACACGCAGGTACTCTTCCAGATCGCGATAACCGAGGGTTTCCCAGCACTTTTCGCGGAACCAAGCTTGCGAGAGGGCCCAGGCTGAGTACACCCGCGCAAATGCACGCGTCCCACGGGTGGCCGGACTCTGATATTGGCCGTCGTGAAAGTCGACGGAGTTCACAAGAGCGGCTTTGGGGCCCTCGAGGAAGCAGTAGTTGTGCCAGCTTGTGCGAGCCGAGCCGGCCAACACCACGATGCGTTCGACGAAGTCCGGATACATTGCCCCCATGTAGTACGCCTGCTGGCCACCCATGCTGAACCCGATGTATGCGGTCAGCTGGGTGATCCCCAGGGCCTGGCAGAGCTGGTACTGCAGACGGATGTTATCCTCGTACGTTACGTGGGGGAATCGCGCTCCGCTCATCGCCTCCGGTGCATTGGAGGGCGAGCTGGACTCGCCCCCGCCGAGCAACCCGCAGACGACCACGAAGTGGTCCTTGAGCGCTGCAGCGGGCTTGTCGTCGGTAGGAACATATAGGAATGTCAGAGTGTTATCCAGTTTGCCGCCGTAGCATGTGGGAATGAAAATGGCTCGGGAATCAGGAGTTCCGTACGTGCGGTAAGCGAGGGTGAATGTAGCATTGGAGGACGGAGCAGATGCCTCAAGATTGGGGTGCCCCACGTTCGTGAAATATCGGGTGGTCATGGTGCAGGGAGAGAGTGCAGTCAAGAGTGCGGCGCATCGCTGTCTCAGCTACTGGACCAGGAAGGATAGCGATTTCACACGTCCTAGCAGATTGAGCGGTGACTAGAAGCCAATTGAAGGATGATGACGACGTAGGTAGAGAGAGCACATGCACACATGAGTCCGATATCCCACCGGGCTACCGTCGCCCGTCGGGCTTGTCGGATCTTGATCAGCTATCTTGATCTATCCCGCTTACCATGCGAACCTCAGGAGGCGTCAGAAGAACACGGCAAACCCAACGCCGGAGTGCGAGAAGAGATGACTATGGTGTACGAGAACAAAGACATCAGAGTAGCGAAGGCGTTCCGATTACGAACCTGATCGTCTGCCGCTCTCTTGAAGCAGAGGGCATGGGAAAAGGCCAGAGAGGGCTGGAAGCGTCGGAAGAAAAATGCTTTGACGTGCTGGATCGATGCTGTGCTCGTTTGACACACGCTGCCGGAAAATACATGTGTCGGGATCCGGACCGTGCGTCGGTGACTCGGTGGATACTCTCTATCTCTCTTGTTTCTTCCACTCATGCCCAAGAACTCTCTGTCTATTCGACTCACAGAGAGTGCTGTGTTTCTTCGCACAGATGAAAACAATGCGCGCCGCCGTCGGAACCCTGCGCACGCTGCAGCACAAACCCCGACCTCTGTGCTTAGGGGCCTCTTGACGCTCTCTCTAGGTTCGAACATGGAATTCTGGGCGCGTCTTGCGAGAAACTGATGGTCTCAAGGTATACAGTCAAACCCACCAAGATCAAGAGCATAGACATCCAATTGCAAGCTCGATCGTCGACTTCATGGCCAGAAGGTGTGACATCTCTAGTATCATGGCTAACAGAAATCCCGCTGAAGGCGATAACAAGGGGTCGGCGCAAGACATGTCGACATCCAAGAAGACCACAAACTGTTCACGCAGTCGATTCAATTCTTCCGCGCTGGTCCAGCGTCAAGGCGCACTGTTTCAGTTGGGCCTGGGCTTGATACTTGGCATAGTGACGAGTTTCCACAAGCCCAGTCGGCGAGGGACGCAACCCCAACACCCGAGGACTTCCCCCTGCCCACTCCAGCCCCTCGTCAATTCAGTGTCGACTCGTCTTACTTCCATCTGAACACCTCTTTCGAGCACGTTCCTGCCTACTCACCGGCAACACCACCACGTTCCAATGGCAACACCCACGCTCGTCCGACCCCATCCACAAGCCGTTCGAGGCTCGAGGAAGATCCTGCCCACGCGCTTGAAGACTTTCGCAATACTCTGAATGCGAGCTTGACGCCGTCTCGATGTGCGCCAGCCTTCGGCCGAATCTTGGGCAGAAACTGACTCGGTCTCCGCACAGCTCGAGGAGGCGATAGATCTCCAGGCACGATGTCTTCATTCTTCGACGCCGACCGTTCCTTGTCGCGGCGGCCAAGTATAGACACCCTCGCTGAAGCTGACGAGGACGGGGCAACCACAAACGGTAGCTCAAGCCCAGTAGACCGTCGGGGGAGGCGATCGCGTTTCAGCCTAGCGTCGGTGTCGAATGTTCTGAAGGAAGCCGTGCGGTCGAGATCGCCCCGGACGCATGCTTCGAAAGAGCGCGAAGAGTCCAACCGGCGCGGGCGGCCGCGCGAAAAACTGGAGCGCTGGGAACCCACCCGAGACGCGATCCTGCCCGTCAAGGAAGAGCCAAAGGACAAAGATCATGGCGAAAGCTGGAAAGAATTCAAGAAAGGTGAGTCGGTGGACCCTTTCGGTGAGATCCGTGCAAATGATTGAGCATACAGGCACATATTCTTTTCCGATATCCTTCACTATTCCTTCAACGGCGCCACCCACCATCCAATGCGACTATGGGAATGTCACATGGCGCTTGAAGGCCAATGTGCATCGTCCGGGCGCTTTCACGACCAAGTTGCAAGCAGCACGTGAAGTCCTCGTGATAGCTGCACCAGTCGAAGACGAGACCGAAGACACGGAAACTGTCGTTGTCGAAAGATTCTGGGAACAGCAAATGCAATATGTCGTTTCAATCAATGGAAGAAGTTTTCCAGTTGGAGGTGAGCCGGAGTTCAGCTGCTGAAACGAAGGACATAGTTGACGTGTTGTCTAGGCAAAATCCCCATTTCGTTGAACTTTATGCCTCTGGACAAGATTAAAATCCATCGAATCACTATCATGTTGGAAGGCGCGTACTTGACCCTGCTCACCTTTCTGTGTACCCAACCGTCAATAGAAAAGGTCGAGTACCAGTCACAGGTGAAGAAGATCATACGGACCGATCCACCGGCTCGTTTCGTACTGCTCCTCGTTAAAAACAACGATGGTGGACCTATTCTGCCCCTGTCTTCCAACTCTGGTGATGCCTTGGAGCACTCGCCGCTGGTCGCAATGATGGACGCGGAAGAAGATTTGTCCGAGTTGGCTTCGTCCTGGATGGGGCCTGGCCCATGGCAGTTCAACCGCGACCTGTCATTGCCGGCATCCTGTGCATCAGTCCACTTCACGAACAAGAACAAAAGCGCCAATATCTGTGTCACCCATATGCTCAAGTTCATGTTCCGAGTCGAACGTGGGGATTCCGAGATCGCCCTAGATCCGAAAACAGGCAACCCGAAGTTGTTTGACATCGTTGTCCAGACCCCAGTGCACATCCTTTCGGTTTGTTGGCGTCTTGTCTATTGGGCCTTGAGTGCTGACGTTTTGCCTGCAGTGTCGATGCAACCCGGAATGGATGTCGCTGCCTCAGTATTCGTCCTCGTTCGAAGACCCCGCCGACGAGTTGCCGCCATGTCCGTGTAAAGAGAGGCGCACGAATCTCCGACGTGTCCACTCGACCGATTCTTCCAGTTCGCATGGAGATCGGGCCCACGCAAGACAATCTCTTCTCGCTCAGAATACGCTTTTCGAGCGGCTCGTATCTGGGCTGGAAAGCGAGGCAGGCGAAGCTCCCCCAGCCTACGCTTGAAGTGCATTATAGACTGTTTTTGAACTTTTGATTAGCGGTACAGCAGAGATGGGGTAGACAACTGGTTATTATAGGGTAAAATGGCTTGCTTAATCCTCGCTATAGCACAATAAGATAATGGACTTTTGAACGTTCGCAAGGACTCACTCTGCAGGTTCTCGTCGTAGAAACATATCAATAGCGGCTGAGAAAGCGGCAAATGCGATTCCACCGCCAAATGCAGCTTTCGGCCCGGATGATCGTGCAAGGATACCACCTGAAAGAAACCCAGCGCCGACAGAGTTGTAGATGTCCGTTTTAGCTCTGTACTGAATCGGAAAAAGTGAGCATCGGCGCGGACAGAATCAGGGCCCAACTTACTGATTCAATGACACATTCGATACTCGCGAAAAGAGCCCCAATTTTCCCGAAGCTCTTCCCACTGGACCACATACTCTTCCCTGTATCCCGGAGAATATCCCTTGCCCTCTGCGCCGTACCCGCGTTTTGCCTCAGCAACGGGTCCTCGTAGCTCATGGAAGCCGTCATCAGCGTGAAAATGGCACCGAAGCCGACACCTGTTTATTGAGCTCTGGGAAATGGTCCATGACGCGGGGAAGACGCAGCCAAGGTACGTACCCGCAACACCAGCCAGCACGGTCTTCGCGGGACAAGACAGCATGGCCTCGTTCATGAACAGTTCCATCCGGCGCTGCTGACGCATGTTGTCCATGTCTTCGGCAGTGAAGCCTGGGGGAACGGGCTCTTTTCCCAATGCATAGGGAACTTGACCAGGAAATTGGCCGCTCATGACGGCGGCTTGATGGGCAGAGAGCAAAAATTCGGAGAGAGACCGAGAGGTAAGGTGCACTTCCGATCACAATTCGCGTAGGGCTTGTACTTGTTTGGTAGATCTTTCTCTGACTTGCTCAGTTCAGCCGCTTTCCGCAATTCAACTTCAACGCCATCTCATAGCAGACAGATGAATCAGCGGAATAATCCCAGTTGGATGGGCAAAGAGACTCAGGGAGTACATGAGCCGGTGTTTATGCATCGTTCCGGAAGCCTCAGCACAGTGATATTCGGAATCGTGACTTGATCACAGCCGCGATCACGCGCTCGTCACGCAACTTGTGACACTCAAACTTGCGCGAATCACTCAGTCCCAATAGCTTGCATGGAGCGACTACGAAACATCGCGGACGCATTGATTTACGGTGTCGATGAGGTTGAGATAGAAGATGTTCCCGAAATATGCGATGAAGACAAAACCGGCCTAGCAGGATCCTCACGGCCTTCCTTGTATGTTCAAGTCATCGAGCGCGCTATCAACAACATAAGGGACAGCAAAGAGTCAGCTCTGTTTTCCGAGGAGGAGTGGAGCTTCTTGGATACAGTTGCAGGGCTTGAATGTGCGTGATCCCACTACTATCCGTCTACCCATTGGTTGCCGTGAACTGACACTATTCTCGAAGACAATGCACGATTCGTCCTCATACGCTTGCTCTTCCGTACGCAAGACCGATGGTTCAGACTCTCAGACCTCAGGAAGTATGTCAGTGAGATCGGGCCCAATGGTGCCAAGAACGCCATTGAGCAGTTGTGTAAACCCTTGCGCTCCGGCAAGCCTAGTGAAGTCATCGACTTGACGCTCGACTCAGACGAAGACGAGGATACGAAACCTTTGGCGGGACCATCGACTACCGCGATGCGCGGTGGGGCCTTTGGACGAGAGGAGGATGTCTGTCTGGACTACTTCTGTCAGGACGAGAGTGATATGTCTACCGGCGATGGATTGCGGCTGCTCAACGTGGATGAGCTGAAGGATCTGTGTAATTCACTTGGGATCAAACATGCTCAGATGAAGGTACGTTTCATACTAGTTCCTGTGCTCAGCCGCTGATTGACGTGGACTGCAGAAAGATCATATGATATTTGCCCTCAACAGCCATGCTTCATCTCAATCGGTGTTAGCATTCAAGTCTAATGCTGGATCGTCAAAGTCCAAATCTTCAAACACGAAGCTGCGACAAAGTACATTGCCTTTCGCAAACCGACTGCAGACTACGCGCCTCAGAGAGTTGATGTTGAAGAAGATAGGTTGGTACGCAGTTTCGCCTTTTCGATTTACCCTTACGAGGGATTCGTGTAGGCAAAGCTGTGCAGCTCAATCCTTACATACACACCCTGTTGCTACGCTTGCATGTCATCTGGTTCCGGAGGTGCGTGGATGGATTTTGTGCTCTACGCTTGGCTCATGATCGGACGCCAGTACCGAGTTTCCAGAGTCTCTGTTTCAACCCGCTCTCTTTGCTGGATTCAAGAAGAGGACATATGCCGAGTACGAGCACAAGCGACACACTGACATTTGGGCAACTCGGGAGATTACCTGGAATACGAAGATGCAATCCGTCTCGAGGCAATCATCGAAGAACTTTTGCGGCCTGAAGCTCAATTCGGTCGATCACGGACCGTGGCAGTGGACATCAAGCGACTGGTGACTCCGGGGCTGAAATTTGTGCGAAGCGTCACAGCACCTGCAAGAGCAGGGGGTGTCGGTTTGTTAGACGCAGATGAAGACGACGAAGACGACGATGCCGTTGTCACGAATAAAGCGAGGCAGGTCAAGGCTATCCTTGATTCCCACGTCATCGACAAATGGAAAGCGCTGGTCATCGCTGAGGACACGAGAACTAGTGCTCGGCGGCCAGGGCTAGAGCGCTTTGAACCCGGTAAGCGCGTGTGTTTTCCCGACTTCTCTCGCTCATCTGAAGGCAGGTTTCGTCTACACGCGATGTCTTCGCAAATGTCTGGAAGCGCTCGCTACTCTCAAGGAATTTGGCGTCGAGAAAGATATGCTGGATCTGTTGTTGAGCCAAACGTTCTGGCGCCGAGGGAGCCGGGGTCGATGGTATGATCGCAGGGCCCTGGTTCAGATGACCTATCTCCACAAGAACTTTGATAAAACTCTCAACCTCGATGTCCTCAGGGAAGCGAGACAAGGCGTGATCCTGGGTCTGGCCGATAAGGATACAGCCATCGGTGAGTCCATCGGTACACGTAGACTGACCACTCATCAACATCACTTTCAGTGTGTCGGCCACCGCTTATTCGGCGTATTGATCGGCTCGAAAAGTCGCTGAAAATTCCAGCAGAGCTCAAGACCCAATACGATCCTGCGGCTCTCAACAAACCCACAGAAATCTACGTGACAGCTATACGATTCTGGGGGGAGCCTGAAACGGAGCTCCTCAAGGAAAACAAGCAACCTAACAAGATCGTCAAGTACCTCGCCAGGGAACAGCAGGGGTCATCTGGGGGCGAAAAACTCACGAAACAGCGACCGTCTTGGACTGGAAAGTCTCTCTGGCAGGGCAGAGACGGAGTCGTCAACGTTGAAACATGTGCACTGGAGGATTATGAACTCCGGGGCTACAAGGGGTGTGTCTGTAACAGACCCTCGGAACGCCTCATTTTGATTACTGTGCAGCTTTCACTCAGAGACTCAAGTTTTGACCACTGTCTTTGGGCTTCTCTTCTGGGATGTTCTCTTCGCTCCCGTTCCCGGGGCTTTCGAAACCCCATGGCAGATGGGCCCGTTGGACATCGCAGAGGACTCATTTTACCATGCCCGTCAGCAGCTAATCGATCTCCGGTTGGATGACATCAGGAACGGCAAGGCTCGTAGCATCCTCGAGGAGGTGGACATCCGGCATCGAGAAAATAAGACCTGCTGCGTGGGAGTCGGTTGGGAAATGTGCAGTCGGGAAGATCTGGTTGAAATCGTTGAGGTGTGTGCCTCGGGTCCTTCGTGATTCGCCCTGAGTCATGTTCGCAGTGTCTCGGTGGTGAGGTCTTAGCGCTCATCTGCAAGCTCTTCTGCGAAGACTACGGCGGCCGGAGCAGTGGTGTTCCTGATCTCATCGTGTGGAATGCTGAAGAGAAGGAGTGTATGTTCGTGGAGGTCAAAGGCCCAGGAGACACATTACAAGAGAATCAGAAGGTAGTATGCAATTTTATCTCTACTTCAATTCTCATGTCTCGGCAGCTCTGGTCCGACGTTCTGATCACTGCGGGATGCCGTGTGGAGCTTTGCCATGTTCTCGAGCCCGAATCACTCCAAAAGAGAGAAGACAAAGCCAAGGCCAAGATCGAGAAGGCCGCTGCTGCGATCAAGAAACGGCGCTCATCCAATTGTGAAGATGAAGAGAATTCAGTCGAAAAAACAATGGAACCTCGACCCCTTCGCAAGAGACGGAAGTCCACCTAACGCTGTCTTCTCTCCCCTCGATGTTGTTCATTATATATTGTAATTTTGTTGTAATCTAGGGTGATGGTGATGCAGGTTGTTTCTTCTGCTTCTCTGCTAACCTGTTCAAGAGAACAGCCGTGCAAGTCTCCAAAGCTTTCAATTCTGACATCGTTGCATCTCCCCCCGCGGCCCACCGAATCTTGAGATTCTCGTCGATGAGATACACGTAGCCGACCAGTTTGTTGTCCAACGCCATCGGACCTCGCAAATACTCCAGATTCTGCGAAGAAAGCATACAGTTTCCGTACAATTCTTCAGGCACCTTTTTTCTGAGGTTATGTAGAAAGAGATTGACGACGAGCGCTTTAAGAATGTTTTCTTGGACGTTGATGTGCACACGCTGATACAAGGGGTTGGATTCGAACATGGGATGGACGGATTCAACGAAGCTTCGCGTTTGGAGCTACAGAAATATGAGAGCCCGTTAGAGCGGTTTTGCGTGTGAAACGCACGACAGAAAGCTCCGTCGACTCGATAGCGAGCAGGGTGATCTTGCCATAGCACATGATCGTCGTGTGCTTCACCTCGCCTTTGTCCAGATCTTTCCCCTTGAAGTTGGGAAGATACAGGGCTTTCTAGCCCGGAAGTAAGTAAGTGCCACCAGGGTTCGAAACGACGCACGTCTTCCAGGATCAGCCCCGGCGGCGCAAGCCATGTTTTGCCCATATGGCCTGCATGTATGAGCCTAGCGTGGTCGACGTAGTACCCTCGATTGAGCTCTCCGATTCTACATCCCGTCCTGAGTTTCCGGTGTGAGCGCTGTGGATTCCGGCGCAACGTACAGGTGTTTCCGTTCATCCAGAATCGTATCCTCGCGAAGCCAGATATCTTTGAACCGTTCCACCCTCGACTGCTTCACAAGTGTTGGTCGCGTGCGAACCCCAAGAGGTCTGTCCAGTACTTTGAGGACGGGGATGGCTCGGTCTGGGGGCTTCCGCGCAGTAGAGGCCCATCGTGCGACGGAGGGTTCGAGCTCCTTGTCGGCAGCCCACTCAGCTACAGCTTTACTCTGCGGCTTGGGTATGGAAGAAGGGCGCTCCTTCTGAGCCGTCGCGGTCCAGCGCAGTGTCCTCCGCGGGCATTGCGAGCGTCGGAGGAATGCCTGAAAAGGGTGGCGGGAAGACAGCATGTAACGATCACGTGTTGGACGCGTCCAATTTTTAGTTGATCAGCAGCCTACAGTATATGTATACAATAGTCGTCCGCTCGGATACAAGGACGGGCTACAACGCAAACTATATGAAGACCCATGCTCCACCCAAGAAACAGACCAAACTCGAAATTGAAGTTACTACTCCGACCGAGACGGGATTTTGACCCCACGCGAAAGCCAGGATGCCGAGTAAATCAAGCCCGAAGCCCGCGAATGTGAACAGCATACACAGGCTGTGACAGCGTCCCAGCAGATGGGTTGGTGGTTTCAAGTTCTTGAAGCGGCTGACTTGCTCCACATGCGGATTAGTTGTCCACACTGGCTGGAGCTTGAGATGATCGACCGAGGACTGCTGGCTGGAGATTGGATGGTCGTAGCCATCAGGTCCGGGCGCAAATCCAACCTCCAGTTCTTCCTCTTTTGCTTCCTTCAGGTTGAAACGCACCAAGAAGAAAGCGCCCAGGAAGGATATGATCGCTACCCCCTGTCAGCGCACAGCCGCGGCTCGGGATGTATCATGCACATGCACATACCTGCCCAGCTATGGAGCACCAGCGCTGCCAGGAACGCGGAATTCGCCACTTGCCCCGCCACAGTCGTGCCATCGGTGATCACTTGCAGCATTCCCGCCTCGGTGGATGCGAAGAACGTTGTCTGTGCATTCTCTGCTCGGAAGAGGAAGTGGGCGAGAACAGGTTCGGGACGTACGATAACACTGATGAGTTGTAGGCGATCCATCCATGACTGAGTGATATCCTTCGCTGCTTTCTTCCGCGCTTTGTCGTCGGCCTGATCCTGGGCAAGTTGGGCGGCTGCTGAGAGTGAGCTTCGGTGGATCGTCTGCATTGCGGTCAACGAACGGGGAGGTCGAGGCGGTGATACCAGAGGTTTGGGCAGCCGCTTTAGTTCGCTGGTACCACTCCCATCCTCAGTCATATTCGGTGTTCGGCCGAGGACTGGCTGTGGGGATGCGTTGCTTTCTTCTGCGGTCGATGTTGGAGACACTTAGGGAGTCACACCAGCGTACCATAGCGCACTTCTCGTCTTGAGGGCGGGGTATTGTGGTGTTCCATGAGGGAGCAAGAACCCCCAAGTGCACGATGAAAGTAGGAGCAGCAAGAGGCAACCTAATTTGGGTGGCTGTGATCCTGGACCGGACAGCTCGAGTCGTGTTAGTACTGTAACAATCTATACATGGTCATATTACTGGTATCCTCGGGTTTCACGCCATTACAGAGATCATAAACTGCGCTTCGTATTTAAAGGCAGTCACTGCCTCCGAGTCCGATTCGCGATCCGCTTTCCATGAACGGCCTTGCAATAACGCAGACAAATTGAGAAACGCTTGCGCACAAGATCTGTGAGCTGCAGGAAAGGCGAACAAAATTTGTCGATGGGTAAAGATGGTTTCGATGTATTCGCCGCCCGTTGTTGGGAAATCGTTAACTTGGTTTTGGATGGCTTGAAGGAATGCGCAGCCGTGAGTAGGCTGTTCTTCTAAGGGCGAGTTTGACCTGGATGAGTTGGAACACTAATACAGCGGGAGTCAGAAGCCGGTTGTTTGGAACGAGGCGAGATTGACTAACAGGACTAGGATGTGCCTCGAGCATGGTTGAGTCTTCGTCATGAGCGGCAGGAATGAGGCATTCTTCCCGAATGACGTTTTCCTGTCCCATGTTAACGTCAAGTGAACCGGAAAGGACGACTCGTCGGAGACGCACTGATTTACGTGATTGCTCCAACTTCATTGCGAGTAACAAGTCGCAAAGATCCATTTCCATCGCAGAATGAGGCTGGGTGAGGAGCAGCGGAATGAGCAGAGATTCGACAGGAGAATATGTGGTGCTGCATACCTGATTCATGAGGATTGTGGAGTGAGACTACTCTAGCGAGACTGCGGTATATATACGCCTCGATACACGCCTCACACACCCCGCAAGCACGCGATCACAAGACGCCAACGCTTCCAGACCAGAGGCCTATTATCCTCGCGAGCTAAACCATCGATATGATCCGGCCATGATTATCTTCATTGTGTCTGATTCTGGAGAGCGATTCGGTTAGCTCACAACCCACATCGATCACTTGTGAAGGTAGGTCAGAGAGAAGATAAATTCCACAATATGAATAATGCGGCTGATTCATTCAAAAGCGCTCGGTTTGAAACGAAGCCTTTCGTCCAGAAAAATGAGATACAAGATTGTCATCCGTTGGAAAAGAGCATTGAAATGAAGTTGGCAGGGAACTCACAACAAGCCCAATATTCCACATAGTGCATGTAAGTTCCGCAGAAATTTTGCGTGGAATTCGCAGAGTGGAGTTCACGTGAGGACGCTGAGGAGAGGAGAGCACAAATCGGGGTAGATGAGAGACAGGAATAGCGCCGAGAAGGTTCAATAGTACCTGATCAAGGACCACATGTCTCGGCCCAATCTTTGATATCGGTCCTTGTGAATGACCAGATGGCGGGCCACACTGGAGGCCTGTGTTCGAAGGGACAAGTAGAAACGCGAGTGGACGCGTGACGGCGTTTCGCGTGGCAGTAAAAGCAAGACACAACACAGACACTGCCACCGGTCATGATCTCGATTATGACACTCGTGGGCACCCGGTGCCCCGCAAATTCATTACTTGCTTATCTGGCGAGGCGCTCTCGAATGCGCACGAGTCTCCGGTAACCATCATCCTCGCAGCCAGGGCAGACTGTTTGGCCGTCCAAATCCCGGGCAGAAAGATCATCTGCCGACTGTTGCTGGTGAAACAGAGATACCTAGCAGACCCCAAAGTGATGTTTTCGCCGCGCCTTGATATCAGAATCTCGGAGATCGGCCACTGGCGTGTCCAGAAAATGATGAAACACAGATGGACGGAAGGTGAGACAGTGCATGGCATGGCACCAACCATGCGTTGATACTGGCCAGGAAAGGAAATCAAGCGGGTGGAGAACAAAGTTGTGAATTGATGGGATACATTGCAGGTCTATGAATAGTTCCGAATAAATATATTGAGAGGGTATAGCCTAAATTACGCTAGGCGCCGTCTGTTCGTAATACACTTGTAGATCCCAGATCCGACGACCCAGGTCAAAAAAAGTAAAGGTAAGCAGGAGACGGAATATGAGCGAGGACGCTGGCTACTTTTAGAATGTAAACGAGCGAAGGCAGGATGGTGTTCATACAATGGAGTGGACAAAGCAATCAGAGCAAAGGGCAAAAAGAAAAAAGAAAATAAGATCACCCAACAGGCCTCAGCAGAACTGCACCTCCCATTCACCGCCGTCTCCACATTCTTCAGGCATACTCTTGAGCGCGATCCGAACCCGGCGACGCGATCCGGGACTGTTGCTATCGGGGAATGAATATTCAGACCCCGTCCCATCGCTGTACTCGACATCGTCGAGGGAGCTGTACATGAATGGGGATGACGAGGACGACCCAGCCGTGCCTCCGTTGAATCCCAAGAACGGATCACTGGAGCCGAGGCCCAGACCTAGGCCCAGGTATGAGTCCGCCGAGGCAGGCGGCTCTCCACCAAGCCAGACATCCTGTGTTGCCGAATCCGGCTTCTGCACCAGTCCCGGCGAGGGCGCTCGCGAAAGAGAAGATGTCGAAGACGGCGGATGTATGCGCACGCGAATTTTGCCGTCGTCAGACGGAGAGGCGTCGAAGGAGATGTCCAGTTCCCCCAATCCCGCATCAACAAATTCCAGTTTCCGTGTGATCGTAGACCCTGGGGAAAGCCCACCCAGACTGAACCGTTTGTCGCTCCCGAAGTTCATGTCAACATCCATGCCCGCGCCCGGCGTTCCCGCACTGCCCGGCCATCCGTCAAAGAACGAATTAGCGCTGTTGAAATCGAGTGAAGTCGAGGACGGCAGGGACAGGGAAGAAGGTGCCGAGTTGGAAGAGGAACCAGATATGGAAAGCAGGGACGGAAGTGCACATAACAGAACCTGCTTGAGAATGGATATCAGCGCTCGGTGTTTGGAAACAGGAGATGCTTACCATCAATCCAAGACTCGCCGCCGTTCTGGACGGGAGACGCGGCGACGGGGACAGGGTCAGCGATAGCGGCGCCTCTGGAGGCTCAGTCTTCACGGCCGTCGGTGCCTCGTGAGAGGCAGACTGCGCGCTGAGCTCGGCATTCAATTCCCGCTCGCGTTTTTCGGCTGCCAAAAGCTGGGCGCGGAGTTGCTCAACCTCAGAGACCAGCCCCTCACCCGACTCCTCCCTCTGTCGCGCTCCATCAGACCCACTCGCTAGGGCCAGAAGCCGTGCGTTTTCCTGCTCGAGTTCAGCAACGCGGCTACCGAGGAAACTCTTAGTATAATGAAAGGAGTACATAAGGCAAAAGGATTGACGTACACTTCCATAAGCTCAAACTCCTCACGCTTGCGCTGCCTGCTCAGGAATGCAGCAGCCCGGTTTTTTACGAGACGAGCCTCGCGCTTGCTGAGACCCGTAACATCCGGGGGTTTAAAGTCCTTCGAATGGATGCGTTCTCCGACCGTGCGTTTCCTCGATTGTGGGGGTGGCGACGCGCTGCTGCGCTTACATGCGGAAGAGTTGATGGAGATAGACAGGCGTGGTGGCTGGTGCGGAGAACCCGATGCCTCGGATGGAGACGGTGAGCCCTGAGCGTAGTCAAAGAGCTGATGGGTGGGCACACAGTTCAAGTTGTCCACCATCGGCAACTTCAACATGCTATGTGGGGCCAGGGGAGGGGGAGAGTCGCTGCCGTCCGACGTCGGAGGCGAGGGGGAAAGGGTGTAGTAAGGGAAGTTGAGGGCGTCCATGTCGAAGTGATACTCGGTAGGGGAGAGGAGCGGCGCGTCGGGGCAAATGAGATGGGACATGGGTAAGGCGGCCATCGTAGAACCGACTTTTATATGGCAGAGAGAGAAAAAACGAAGGGAACCAAGTGAATGCGGTTTAGAATCTGGATGATGCCCGTCAAAGTTTGCTTCGGCGTTAAATGGCAGCTTCCCGGCCTTCTCATCAACTGATCGTCTGTTGCTCGCGTCGCATCCCCATATATCACCCACGCTCGCTCTACATGGACGCGCTCGGAACTGAATAAGACTGCTTATACAATGACGAGCGACGGAGAACAAGTCCGATAACCTTGGACTGGAGACAACGACCGAGAACGCTCCGAGATCTTCCATCGAATGACATAGCCACTTGACTCCAGGCCCAGGGTTCCGCGATTCGTCTCATTGCTGCCTCTTTAGCCTCACGGATCGCAGGCCTATCTTCGGGGATGTGTAGTCGTGTCCAGGTCAGGCTTGCGTCCAAGCTTCAGCGGCACGGGGAGTCCTCGGCACCGCGACCCCTGACAAAGTACCCGCCTTTCTCTTCGCTGGAGTCCCACTGGCCACGATCGTCTCCACTGCACATCACCCACTGCTCTCCATTCTTCTGCTTCCGCGCGATCGATCCGGAACTATTTCATCTCTCTGTCTCTCTCTCAGCAGGTCTCAATTATATACTTCCGCACGGTGCATCTCAATCGGAGGTTTTACGCGATTGCAGTCTAAGGATTTTCCGCATCGTTGACCTGAACTCTAGTGTGTCAGAGCCGGTTCTAGTATCCAGTTCCAGTACATGCTTCTACGCCAGTGACTGCAGTCTAATGTGTCCGAACCGCTATATTCGGTCTTTAGGTTTTCTTTATCCACCTTGCACATCCGACAAGTCGAATGGAAATGCCCTGGACCAGGACGGATGACTCTGCTGAATGGTTCTTTGCGACGTTGTGACTACTCTTTGCATGGGAAGCGCTTGACTGGTATATATATAGTGTGACAGTTTCCCCAGGTAACGTCAAACTCACTCTGCATCAACCGAGATCTCATATCAAAGAGTGTACAGGAACCCTGGCTGGCCCTGCAGGAGCATATCGCTACCGAGGGCCCCTTTGTTTTGAGAATGGAAGTGGAGGCTGGTCGAAGCCAGTATGATCAAGAGGGCGATTTGGGAGAGGATAGTGAGGATGATGCCGGGAATGTAGCCCGGCGCAGATTGCTCATTAAATATAAACGAGGCCAGAAAGCCGCCGATTCCCCCAGCGGAGACAATGACGCTTGAGACAATGGCTCGCTTTGAGTGTGACACGATGTTGTTGGATGACTGGTCCATTGATCTGAATGCAAACCTTCCAATCGAACAAAGTCTTGGACGTACATAGGCAAGGATCCCAAGAATAGTTCCAGAGGAGCCGGCGCTGCTCAAAAACAGACCTGTAAACTGATGAAAACAGCCTCGATAGCACCCACTCAGATGTCACTCACCGCCGCATCGCCAAGCATTGGACGGCGAAAACCCTGTCAAGATCCAGCCACAGATTGTCATGAGACACTGTCCAGCGATGAAAGGGGCTCTTGAGCGGGTTTTGTCTGACATATACGAGACCGAAATGCTGCTGATAGCCTGGTTCGCGCACACAAGTCAGCTTTGCGAACGCACAGATGGATTGCCGTACCGAAAACAGGGTAATCGGAGCCATCTGTGAAACGGTCAGACATAGCAGCGGGTGACTATGCCGCTTACCAAAAACAAAGACGAAGAGACGCTCCACCCAAGGCCTCTCATTATCAAAGTAGCGAAGAACCTGGAAAGCTTCAGCCAATCTGGAGTGCATGCCATAAAGATCTCGTGCCCGTTAGCATATGCCGAGAGGGTCGAACAGAGGAACATCAGCGAGTACGCGAGAGTGAGCCAATTGAAAGCGTCGAACAACTTCTTCCACGTAAGAACATCGGGGATCGTGTCTCCTCTGTCGCGTTCCAGAGTGTCCAGGACGTAGGCAGTCTCCTCGGGGGAGAGAAACCCATTCTTCTCGTGCGGGAAGCCAGGCAAACTGACCCAGGCCAGCAGCCCGAATGCCATCGTCAGCCCCCCTTCGATGATCTGCACGCTTAATTGAGGGGCCGGAACGCGTGGAAGGGGATGCACAAGTAAGCTCACGAAGATCCAGGCCCACCCAGAGACACCCAGTGTCCCATCAAGCTTGCTCAGGCCGTAAGCAAAAAAAGTGCTGAGGCTGCCAAGGAGACTGGCAATAACGTAGAACACCGCCAGTCTGTCGCTCAAGGTCGGTCGACGCAGAAGGGCGCGGACAAGCTGCGGCATGATACATACCGGGTTTGGACCTGATGGCGGGTGTACCTGCCTGAGATAAGCGTGCATGTAAGGTGCGAATCGAACACGAGTCCCACCAGGTGCTAATAAGATACACCATGGAAGGAAAGAATCCCGCCTGCGCACCAGACAACTCAGCAAGATCGCCCTCTCCGCAGACACGAGCGACATACTTCCAGCGCACCGAGGAGCGCGCGCAAGAACGCCAGTGCTTTCCACTCGTGCACGAATCCCATCGCCAGCTGATCGGCGTCGTGAGCTTCCCGAACGCCCCAGGATGCAAGTGATGCAGATATGTATGATTGGTGGCAGAGACTGACCTGCACTGCGCCCCAGGAGATGACGAAGAAGCTCAGTAGCTTTCGAGGCCCAACCTTGCGCAAGAGGAGATTACTGGGCAATTGCCTACACGTAGATGTGAGCTTCAGCGAGATCGTTGCGGCGAGCCAGGGATATCGTTACAGCAGCGTGTAAGGCACAAAGTATACGCCAACGACGATGCTGAATCGACTGCCGATATTCAGCCCGAGGTCTTCGTCCAGTCCGACCACGCGTGCGATCGAAATGTTCGTTCTGTCTATCAGCGACAGAGCATAGAGTACACCAAGAATAGGGAGCAGCCGCCAATCAATACGGCGGCTGTGTGCGTTCATGTCAATGGAGAATTTGGAGGGGACGCTTTGATGGACCCACATCAGTTTCTCGTGCTGAGGAATCCCCAGCAGCGGGGTCAGACAGTCGCACTCAGTGGTCGCCATTAGAGAAAAGGCAGCTAGTGCGCGTCTTGAGACCTTATATAATTGCTGTTCGGCAGCACCGCAATTTCCGTGCTCGGCGAGAGTATGGGCCCGGTCAGCGACACAGGATAGAATAACTATAACTAGATGCCCGACGCACTCTTACACCAGTAAATACTGCCCATATCTAGCATCGGCTTATAATGGTACATTCGTAAGATGTTGGCTCTTGATACACTTGGCATTGGCTGTTCTTGTTGTCCAGCGGCGTTCGGGTTGGTACGCAGATCATCGCCTGGCCCCTCTATTCGTCCCCTTCGACGCTCACTACTCCTTCTTGGGCCCTGCGCCGATCGCTTCCTTGTCCGACGATGAGCTAGATGCGTTCGGGGAAGCAGCGGTTTCTTCCAGATAGAGTCCGTGCTCCTCGATGTAATCTACCACGTTCGCGGGCAGAAGATACCGCACGGAAAGTCCGCGGCGAATGAACAGTCGAACCTGAGAACTCCGCTCAGCTATCCCATCAATACGGCAGGTCTGCAGATCATCGCACCTTGGTGCTCGACACATCATTCTGGATCAGCTGAGAGATGAGATGGATGTTGTTCCTCCATCGTGCCAGTTCATCCGTGGCCTGGTCGATGCCAGTCCCCGCTCTTTCTACAATGAAAGTGCCATACCGCCCGAGGATATGATCAAGCTGGGAAGATCGCATCAGAAACGAATGGATTGGGCAGCTGCAGATAAGAGCGCTCACATCCGAATAGCTCCACACACCGGGCTCGCTCATGGTGCTGATCAAGTCCGAGCCGGCCAAAAGCATCACACGGATGTTGCGCTGCTCGCCATCCACGGTCCTGGCGCCTCCCAGCACCGTGTTGAGATGGTAGTCAAAGTGGTCGAGGACGACCGCGGTCCGTTGGTAGTCCTGGAATGCCTCCCAGGGATCGACCATGAGCCAGGGCGACGTGCCCTCCGCCGCGAGCGTGCACATGTTCACTCTGCAACGGGACGTCAGCCTCGCCGCCGATAGTGCGGGCACGCATGACAATGACAGAATCTAGCCGATCGGTGTCCTGCTTCGGATCATCCGTCCCGGGTTGAAACGTATCGCAGGGGCAGTGGACATCGCCAGAGACGCGGACAAGGGGGATGGACGACGGTGGGAAGGTTTTCGCATACTCACCGATGGGTAGCGCTCAGAAGCCCGGGCTTCTTGTACATGTCGCTGACAGGGCTGAGGTAGCCACCCAGGATTTCGAAGTCGGTGTTCTGCCGGACGTAGTCCTTGGCCATTTCGAACATCCGCAGGTGGAGATAGGTTACAGGGCTGAAGGATCCGCAAGCGACGAGAACGAGCGGTGTTTTAGTAGCATCGCGGAGTGTCTGGGATAGTCTGTGTTTCGGGAACTCGTAATTCGGAGGATTGGTGAACTCTCTCGCCAGGCGGGGTGGGGCGGCCATGGATGGTGCAAGGCGAGAGAGGAAGGGTAGGGTTTGGAAGCAAAAGAGTGGTGCGGAGGATTTCAATCACGCGGACGGTCATCCTTCGGCGTGATCTCCTTTTGCCGGGGAACCCTGACTCATGATTCGTTTGCGAAGAGTCCAGAGCTCGCACAGGCGTTGATCAGGCTTGTTCTCTGTGATATTTCCAGGCTTTCAAGGCGCAGGCTCTGGAGTTGAAGTCAATTGAGTATAAACGCCACACTCCCACATGAGCCCACATACTTGCGGCCCTTGGGTCATTTGGGATGTCCGGATCTCGCCGATCGAAATTGGGTCATCTGGCGCCGCAAAAGGCTTCTGCACCGCCTCAATGGTGTTTTCCCTGCACTAGCAGGACTGACGTCCGCTCTGACGCGGGGGAACTAGTTACCAGCCTTCTGTCCAGCGACCATGTACATCAAGGTCTACATAATTCGCGCAAAGCTCTCCACTGAAGAGATCCTGGACCTGATGTCCCTCGTCGATCAATACAACGAGCATCGGTACCAAGCCCAACCGGAGTTGGTTCTCTGTCCCCATCCCGAAGAAGCTGATGTGGTTATCACCAATGTGCATATGCGACAGCGACTGGAACGACATCTGGAATGGGTCTTGGCTGTATGCTATTCCATCCACGATGTTTGATCTGATTGTCTGTTGAAGAGCGAGAAAGCCGTCGTGAAACCTGCCTGGCTACGCGATTGCGCTGCGGAGAGAACTGCCCGACCCTGTGGATCCTACTTCGCGCTAAAAGATCTGCGAGGAAGCACTGAGCGGCACTGCCCGCTTGCACCCAGCGAAGGCGAATTTCTGAGCATCTCGCCGAGAAGTGAGCCAGTGGAGCGCGTGAATTATTCCAGCCGATATGCCTGCTTGAGATATTGCCCGCTCGAGTGCCCCAACCAAAGATTGGCGCAGCAGCTGGGGGTGATACAACGCTCCCGGGAGTTGGATAGCAACGAGACCAGCGCTCTGAGTTATGAACGTGCTATCTCAGTGCGATTCTCACACTTCCCGAGTCGATTGAATGCTGAGAACACACGCCCAGGTCATCAAAGGTTGGTCGGTGCATCAGTCCCATTCATATCCATGGTATCCAAGTCTCGCAGCATTTCCGGATCCAATCACAAGCGCTCGGCTCGACGAAGTTTCCAAGTTGCCTTGGATAGGTGGGAAGATGTTATCGAAGGTGCGCGGTTCCCGAGCCGCGTATATCGATCCCAATCACATCCGGACAGATCAAGGAGTATATAGTCGAAGGGGACATCAGCGAGAGCCGTGTGTTCGGCGCCTTCTGTTCGTGCGCAGCACTGATAACGTTGTAGAAGCCATCGCAGAATCGGAGCAGTTTCGGACTTTGTCCCTTTTCACGCAAGTGTACGGCATTGGCCCACCCACAGCTCGGAGGCTCTACAATGAGCACAACCTGCGGACGATCGCCGACCTCGACACCCATTTCTCTGATGATCGCGCCGAAAGCCCTTCCTCTCCCTCCACTGCTCCTGTTCTGACAGCCAAGAGGGCCTTGAGTTTGCGGGAAGACTTGAACGAAAAGATACCAAGAGAAGAAGTGGAGCAGTTTCACTCCATCGTGGTCGAAGAACTGCAGCGTCTGCTTCCGGGGTGCTCAAGCACTATCGTGGGCGGGTAGGTCTGCTGCTTCCCGCCCATCGGTGTCTGGGAACCCAACGCAACTCCAGGTATAGAAGGGGAAAACCACAGAGCACCGACATCGACATCGTTGTCACGCATCCCCGCATAGGTTCATCCCGAACACACGGACTCGGTGATGCGATAGTGAAGCTTCTGTATGAACGAGGTAAGTGACAGACACCGGGAACTAGGTCAGTCACGAGCGATTACCCCAGGGATCGTCACCCACGTCTTGCGTAAGGCCTGGAGTGCGTCGTCTTTCGCATCTGATGCATCAGGCAGATGTTTCCAGCTTCCACGCACCCGATGCCCTGCGAACATCCCAGTGGGATGATCTGGAGAAAGTCATGACTGTCGGTCTTCTTCCCTCGAGAGACGGCTGCCGCCAGATCCACAGACGCATGGACCTCATCTTCGCGGCGCCTGCCAGTTACTGGACCGCAGTCGCCGGCTGGCCAGTTTCATCTCTGTGTTCCCAGCTCGCACTGACCTCTTGCTCACACATAGGACCGGCTCAAAGATGTTCGAAAGAGACCTTCGTCTCTGGGCGAAAGAACGGCAAGCGATTCGAACCGTGTAGGTTCCAGCTAGAGCTGACTCATTCCGTGCAGCGGTTTCAAGTTCGACAGTTCTGGCATGTTCGTCGTGGTCCTCTTCTGTGAGCGAGAAATCTCTAACCGGCGCTAGTTTTCGGAGGAGAGACAGCAAGCAATACAAGCCGAACAGCGAACGCGAAATCTTTGATATCCTCGGACTCGAATATATTGGTCCAACGCTGCGCAATGCTGATGTTTAGTGGTAGCAAGTAGTACACAATCAGTTCGAGAAGGCCTGGATTCCTGTCATCGCTCTTCCGAGAATGAGACCGTGGATATCCTAAGGCAATGTTAGAGCGATGACGTCTACATCGACAACCAAAACTCACGTGTGTACCTGGGACAACGTTGAACAAAAAAAAAAGCAGATTGTGCAAAGAATGACGCACCCTCGTAAGTGTTGGTGACCTGGAGATTAGCTGCGTGACGACCAATGTGATACCTGGCGCGCGAAGAGTTCAGAAAGGGTAACGTCACTGTTACGATAGCTCGCTCACTCGTCGGCAGCAGCATTTCCGCCCAAAATATCAAGCAGAATGCGAGCATGCTGGAGGGCCTTCCCGCAGTTATTCCGCTTGACGATGCTGATCATGTTCGAAGACAGCTTGCCCGCATCCTTTAGGCGGCCGACTTGCAGACTGGCGAGCAGACCAAGCGCGGCTTCCGTCTGGGCATCAGCCAGCTTCTTCTGGACCAGCTGGAAAGAAGCCAGCGGGCGCCCGAACTGGTGGCGCTCCAGCGCGTAGGCGAGCGCACGGTCAATGCAGTCTTCGAGCGAGCCCATCACGCCCCACGAGATGCCGAACCGCGCTGAGTTGAGGCAGGAGAAGGGAGAGGCCAGCCCCAGCGATTTCGGCAGCAGCGCGTCGTGCGAGACACGCACCGAGTCCATGAAGATGCTCCCAGTCAGCGAGGCTCTGAGGGCAATTTTGTTCTTGATCGCCGGCGCACTCAGTCCGTCGAGGCCCTTCTCGAGGATGAATCCACGGATCTTCCCATCCCACTTGCACTTGGCCCAGATGATGAACACGTCTCTGCGCAGTCGTCAGCATACCACGCATCACGACACCCACGTCGCACTCACGCAACAGGTGCGTTCGAGATCCACGTTTTCGCGCCGTTCAGGACGTATCCCCCATCCGTTTCCTCCGCGGTCGTCTCCATGTTGGCGGGATCAGACCCGTGGTTCGGCTCGGTGAGACCCTGGCGAGCGTCAGGTCAGTCGTGTGTGTCTCGAACCACGGGCAGACGCGAACAAAAGCACCGATGAGCTCCCCGGCGGCCAACGGCGGGAGGTACTTGTCCTTCTGCGCGTCGGTGCCGAACGCGTGGATCGGGTGCATCACGAGCGACGACTGCACCGAGGCGGTCGAGCGGTAGCCCGAGTCGACCCGCTCGATCTCGCGCTGGATCAGCCCGTATGCGACGTTGCTCACGCCGGCGCATCCGTAGCCCTCGATCGTGGGACCTGTCTCGACCGTTCGGCATCGCAGTCGCTGCAGACACCTGTGAGATGCACGCACCCAGGAGCCCGAGCTTGCCCATCTCCGGAAGGACCGAATGGTTGAACTCTGCGCAGCTGGATGAGGGGGCGGAGCGCGGTGATAGGGAGAGAGAGAGACGCTTACCTTCGTTTCTCCATCCGTCCAAAACCTTGGGAAGAAGATTCTCTTGACAATATGCTCGCGCGGTGTCTCTGTCGTGTCGGTCAGAGGTGGCCTTGCGCGGTACGAAGCGAGGGGGCGTACCGAATCGCGATCTCCTCTTCCGTGAGGAGGGATTCAAGGTTGAGGGGATCCTGAGTGCCGAATGGGGATACAGAAATGCGTCGGACAGACAGAGCGCCGTACCTGGTGGTTCCAGTTCGCATCGCGGTTAGGCTTGGGAGAGACTGGGAAAAGCAGGGATGAGCGGGGGCCTGCAATAGGTGAAAGCGAACCGACTGGTAGACGAAGCCCATCGAGCGAGTCGGACAGAACGACAGCTTCTTTTCAGCGAGGACGAAAGTAAGGACATGGTGGTTCAACAACTCAAGGTCCGTGTCCGGGGTCCGGTTAACAATACCCCGCGATCATCTGATGCCGGCTCTCAAAAGCCGAATGCCGGTCGTAGTACGCGCTTGGACCGTTTGTGGAAAAAGTGAAGATGCATAAATGCCTAGTAAATAACTCATATGAAGACAAAGCGATCTGCGTTCTTGAAACAGTCCGATGCGTCTTTGAGCGAGCTTGGCTGGCAGGACGAGGGCATGTGTCCAAATCGAATTGGACCACTGGGTTTTGGAGTTTTCCATATCCCACTTGCGTTCGGCCGTACGAGCGAAATTGTTGGCGCATCCCTCGAGGCCAAGAGCTCTTTAGCTGACTGGGTCAAAAGCCGGTACTCGAGCCGGTATTCGATGGCCGTCATGATTCTCCTTTCGCAAAAGCAGCCAGTTGAACATCGATCGCAGCTGGAACAGTAAGCGGACCTTCTGTCAAGTTCAATAGCTCGACACAGCAGCTGGGATTCTCAGGCCCTCATCACTGGTTCATGTTGTACACAAAAACGGGTATTCAATTTCATTGCATCGTAGCCTAGCAGTGCAAGCACCGAACGATACATCCAAGATAGAGATAAAAATACATGTCAGTCTTGCTTGATGCGTGAAGCCGCAGCACGCTCGGCGTGCTCGGCTGGTCGTAAGAATATGTCAGTTTTTTCAAGGCACGATCGTAAACAGCTGGTTCCCGCTGGCGCTGGCGGCGTTGCAGCTGACGTTGTCGAGCACACCGTTGTTGTTCACAAAGCACACTTGGTTGTTTCCGTTCTCGGGGGCCAGCGCGTACGGGGCGCTCAAGCTCGTCGATGTGAAGGGGAACAGTTGGGAGTTGGTCACTTTGCCGGCTGGAAACGTCCGGTCAGCTTCGGCGAAAAACACAAAAATACAGTGAATACATACCACCATCCGCGCGACCGCCGCAGGAGAAGAGCAAGACCTGGTCTCCTGCAGCACGGCGGTCATCGAAGTTGAGGCATCCCTGGGTCAGCGAGCTCACGATCAGAGCCGAGTTGGCCTGATCGTTGTGGACACCCTTGGTGATAAAGTCCCACTTCTGGCCCGCACTGCCGTCACAGGCAACGACGTCCACGGGGATCAAGTTCTCCCGGAAATCCCCGGCAAGAGGGTTCACTGCCAGACATTTTCCAGTCGAGTCCTTGATCTGAACACCAGTGGCAGCTCGGGTGGCGGTGTTGTCCCTGGCTTGCGACTCGGCAACGGCCGTGGGGTTCAGCGCCAATCCCGCACGAGAAACGCTGATGGGGCCAGTGGCGGTCGCAGCGACAGTCGTAGTCGCCGGTGCCGCGGTCGTGACTGCGGCGGCAGCAATGCTGGTCACAGCGGCAGCGGTAGTGGTCACGGCGGCAGCAGCAGTCGTGGCAGCAGCGACGGTCGTTCCGGCAGCAGCAGCAGCAGCGCCCGAGCCGATGGTGAAGAGTTGATTGGCAGCCGCCTTGGTCGCATCACAAGCCGTGTTTCCGAGTCGGCCGTTGTTGTCGACGAAGCAGACCTTGTTGTTGCCGTTCTCGGGAGCGAGGACGTAAGGCGCAGACAAGCTCGACGACGTGAAGGGGAACAGCTGTGAGTTGGTGACCTTGCCAGCTGCATGTCGTGTATAGCATTAGCACGTAAGACACCTCGCACGGTCAACAACACTCACAGCCGTCAGCACGTCCTCCGCAAGAGAAGATAATGACCTGGTCGCCCGGCGCACGTCGGTCGTCAAAGTTGAGGCACCCGTTGGTCAGGGTGCTGACGATCAGAGCCGAGTTCGCCTGGTTGTTGTGGATGCCCTGAGTGATAAAGTCCCACTGCTGGCCAGCACTTCCATCACAAGCGGCGAGTTGGATGGGGATCAGGTTCTCCCGGAAGTCACCAGCCTGAGGGTTGACGGTGAGACACTTGCCCGCCGAATCCTGAGCAAGCCATGAGCATCGCAAACAGCGCACCCCAGGAGGAATAACGCACCTTGATCGGAACACCGGACGCCGCGCGCACAGCAGTGGTATCCCGCGGGTGGGACTCGGCAACAGCAGTCGGGTTGAGCACACCGCCGGCGCCAGAAACGGCTATCGGGCCAGAAGCAGCAGTGGCGGCAGCAGTGGTCTGGACCACGGCGACGTTGGTCGGGGCTGCCGTGGTCGCAGCTGCCGTTATAACTGCAGCGGTGGACACAGCTGCCGCAGACTGGGTAACAGTAACAGTGACGGTCACAGTGGTTTTTCCTCCAGCGCAGGTTGCGGCAGCAGGGTCAGAGGTTGTCGCAACAGCAGCAGCAGTCGTCGCGGCGGCGGCGGCGGCAGTAGTGGCAGCAGCCGCGGCCGCACCAGATCCGCCGAAAGTGAAAAGCTGAGAAAACAATCAGTCGCAGACAATAACAACATAGCGGAGGAGCGCACCTCAAGCCCAGTTGCAGAGGAAGCACCATTGCAGTCAACCTGGTCCAGATGATTCGCCGAGTTGATCGTCAAGCAGGTTTTGCCGTTGCTGCTCTGCGGGACGAGAGCCTGAGGTCCAGTGGCACCGTTGAACGCGTACAGCTGAGCCGACTGGACTTGTCCGCTTCCGTCGGCACGACCGCCGCACGAGAACAGCAGGACTTGGTTGCCCGGTTGGCGGCGATTGTCAAAGTTCAAGCAGGCTTGGGTCTGACATCAGGTAGTCAAGATCTCGTACAATCGATATAGCAGTTCACGACTCACCAGTGCGCTGACGATGAGGGCCTGGCCCTTGACATTGTTGTGCACACCAGAGGTGATAACATCCCAGGTTTGGTTCGCGCTACCGTCGCACTTGACCGCGCTGATCGGGGTCAAGTTCTCGCGGAAGTCGCCCGAGAAAGGGTCAACGGAGAGACATCTGCCGTCAGAGGTCTAAAGACGCGTCGATAAGAAACCGTACGCGCGAGGAACAGAGGGATGCGCACGGTGATCGTGGTGGCAGAGAGCGCGCGTGTCGCAGTGGTGTCCCGAACCTGGGATTGGGCAACCGCCGCGGCGTTCAGAGATACATCCCGAGCCGCGAGCGGAGCCGCAGAAACCGCGCCGGCGGCAAGGAGCGTGGAGAAGAGAGTGGAGAGCAACATCAGGATGTTGAGCGGTGTTGGGAGAAAAGACTGGAGGTGCTCTGGCTGGCAGAGAAAAATGGGTCGGAAAAATGCCCGAGAGAAGGGAAGAGGAAGGGGAGGAGAGGGAAACAATGAGGTTCTCGACTCGGCATGTTCGACTTTTGTAGCAGTACGTGATGAATTCAATCAAGATGTGCGCGGAATGGGCTTTGACAGCGTGAGAACGCCGCACGGTCCGCAATCAATCACAAGCGAATAATTGATTCATGCCTTTTATAGGCTTCACTGTCCACTCTACGTGCGACATCTCCGGCGAACATGGGAATTCTCTCCACCGTCTCCGGGCATGAACGAACGTTCAACGTTCTCTGGCGTCGCGTCCCTTCTCTTCCAAGCTGTTTCTCTCCCTGCTGTTTCTGGTGCATGTATCTCCCTGCAGATCTGCGCATCAAACGAGGACAATCCTGAATTCACGATCTTGGCCGTAACTGATATGCATGAGCTAAAACATGTGCCTGGTTGCGATCCTCCCTGAATCCTCAGGCCGGGACCTTCCCTGGTTCCCAGCGCGTAACAAACTGCACCCTGCCGATTTGCGCTCTACATGGCAAAAGTACTGCAGAGGCGCAGAACATTCAGGCTGTCCGAAATCTCTAAATAGCGTGAGTCGGATTTTACAAACCCAGTAAGCATTACAAAGAACAAAGATAAACCCATCAACAGTGTCGTTGGATCCATACAGACGATGTCACCATCACAACCTGTCATGTTTCAAACCCGGTCATTTCCAATGAGTATACAACTAGAAATACAAGTCTGTAGCATATAATACAGACTTCATGTCACATGCCGACTCCGTCTCGAAGCCTTCAGAGTCCCTGAACGATCCATGGAGTTCTTGAGCTGCCATATCTGGGCCACAATTTCGCCTGAAACAGGTGGATTCAGATGATCAAGCACCATCAGGAGCAGCACGTCAGAGGCTTACTGGCATGCTTGGGACTCTCTGCTTCGTAATCGTATCGCTTCTTGCCACCTGATCTGCCCAAGACCAACTTGAAGATGGCTGAGCTCTTGGTCGATTGTTGACAATCTGCGATGCTGCGAATGTGGTACGAGACATGCTTGCCGCTGTCAAAGACGGCTTTCGTTGCCTTATTGGCGGTGGGCAGGATCTGCAACAAAAGTCAGCGAGAGACGGGAGACGCGTCAAAACACAGACATGGATGTACAATCCATCAAAAGCGAGAGTACGTTCTTGCTTTGCGACGAGCATGGGCATCTTTCGATAGATGGTGAATTGCTTGTAGACATTGCTGAAATCAAGCGCAGAGGGGACCGAGTACTTGACTTCGGGTGTGTCCGACATGCGTTTCAGAATAGAAGCTGGGAGACCAATTCAATACCAGAACAAGCGAGTGGAAATCCCATACCGTTTGGATCAGTAGTCTTGCCTGTCCCCTTCACGACACTATCGTCGATCAACGTCCGGCGAATCAAGACCAGCTCGCGTTTTCCACCCAAGCTAGCCACGGTCCGGTCGAGCGGAATCAGTATTCTTGTATCATCATTCGCCAGCAACAGAGCATATTCGCTGGGATTGTCCAGCCTTGTCTTGCGGCAGACTCGTTCGAGGACTTCCTGCATGTACAACCCGGCCGAAACAGGTATAGTGGTGCCAATGTGCACCGTATCACGTGTATCTTCAACTTTGATTCGTAAAAAGATCTGCGGACCATGGCCCGATGTTGGGCCAAGTGAAGTCGAGAACGGCAGCGAGCCACCCAGAGCTGATCCAAATATTCCGCTGCCTGGGAGCGCGCTGCTGGACACCGGGAGATGCTGTTGAACAGGCAGCTTGTCTGATACCTTCTTGGTAGCCGTCACACGCGAGGGATGCCGCTGGATTTGACTGGCGATGAGCTGATTCTGCTGCACTGTGATACGGTTCAACGCAATCCCGATGCGAATAACGCATCAACTGGTACCTTGTGCTGGAGTAGCATCCAAGACGGCGTACGCATCCGCATTGAACTTGGCAATCTTCCCAGTTCGATCGGGTGCTGTTGCACAGTCAGCACCGCAACGAGCAAGCCACAACAAGCTCACGAGGAAAATCATCGTCGACCTCTCCGTCTTCTTCTGCGATACGCATAATCCAGCCCACACCGGAAAGTCGTGTCGCAAGCTTCTCCTCGTCGTTCTCGATACCCTTGTCGAGTTTTGGAAGCCACCCTTTCTCCCAATATGTCCACAATGCGAAACCGATCACCTCCTCCACCGTCGAGTCCCGCCTCACGTTCAGATCCATGGCTTCCCCTCGGGGCGCCTTGGCCGACGGGAAATACACTTGAACATTTGTCGACGCTCCTTCTCCACGACCTGACACTGAGGCATACAGTTCTGCAAACGGATTCGTGCTTTCCCCAGCAGCCACAAGCATGGCTGTCAATGCGGACTTGGGTGAACGAACAGGCAGGACTTTCTTCCGTGCAAACATCATATCCGATGTGTTGAGGGATGCGGAACTGTTGCTGTTTGCGTGGGCTCGCGCTGGAGGGCGGGTAGGCACGTTGGCCTTCGAAGGCTGCGGTGATCCCGCCCCAGAGACCGGTGTCAGCATTTCGAAGAACGGGCCGGAGCGATCGGGCGTTGGGCCCTCCGAAACGGGACTCAGACGAGCTGCGCGGTTGCGCATGCTGTGATTTAAGCTTGACCCGCCTTGAGATGGCAGCGATGACACAGAAACGGAGTTGGTCGTGGCAGACAGGACGGATACGACATCGGAGACACTGTCGGATGCGAGGCCTGGTGTCCGCCCTGCGGCAAAGTCACTGCCTATAGTCAGTAATACACCGTAAGCGGAGAAGCAGGTCGTACGGATCGAATTCATCTCCATCGTCAAGTGCATCAATCGCCTTCGGTGGTCCAAAGTCCGAATCTTCTGACTCCTCAGATGCCTCTTCCTCTTCTGATGAGGATGAATCGAACGTCAACGGTCGCGCAGGGGCCGCGGCACCAGGACCTCCGCCTCTGCGTGCAGCCATCCTCGCCTTCCGTCTCCTCTCCATCTCTGCGGCGCCCTTGAACTTCGGTATAAACTGAACAACCTTGGCCACCGGCGCTTCCCCCGCCACGTTGACGCTTGGCTCCTGGATCCGCACTCTCACCTCGGGCGACCCATTCCCGGGGCACCATTAGCACCGGTGATATCATCCGCTTTGACCCAGCCTTCCTCCCGTTCCGAAAGTGATTTCCGCGGTGCACTCCCTTCTCCGCTCATAGTCGTGCTTGACCGTGGAGTGAACCCCGTCCCCGACATCCTCTTCGATGTCGAGACACGCTTCCCGTTGACCCTCAGCCCCAGCCCACCTGTCCGCCCACCCATAATGGTGTTGGTGTACTTGAGTCCTCGAGCGCCAGGAAAGCCTGATGGTCGTTCGTCGTCACTGAGCTGAGGGCTGCTCGGCATTGCGAGTTCTGGCCATTGGTCGATATCATTCAGTGACGCAGCGATGATATACGAGTTGGAATTGTACGACGGGGCGAGTGTGATCAGTCTCGCGCCATACGGGTCTTCGACATTACGTAGATAGGACAGACGCAGGTTGTGTATCAGGAAACTAGCGGAATTTCATTGGGACTGATGCTCGGAAAAGGTTGGAACTGGCGCACTCTGTGTCACTGATAAGAGACATGGTGTGAGCGTCAGGTTTGAGAGCTTGTTTGTGCAGCTTGTTTGTCAACCCGCGGCGGATTCTAGTCTGATGAACCCCCCCGTTTCTAGCCAAATGGTATCTATTTGCTGGACATTGAGTCTATGGAGTGTACGGTGACGATCAACACGCTAAAACACACTCAGTCCTAGAGAGCTCTCGGCCAGGCAAGACTTGAGACTGTTCAAGCAGTAGCGGTTGGTATTGAGTGCAAAGAATACGAGTCTATGCGATGATCGAGAAGAAACGAAAAAAGGAACGGAGGATTGTGTATTCAAGAAATGGTCCAGAGGCATCCTGTGCCAGATGTGGCAGAGGAACGGAGTGATCATGTGGAACAGCATGTGAGACAATCAAGGCCACCGGTCCAGTTAGTCTTGAAATCAGTCGCTGGAAAGCAGTAGCTGCAGTGCATATTTCGGACCGGAATGGGAGAATTGGAATGCAATCGTACCCACCTTAGGTGACGACGTGAGAAGATAGAGCCTCCTTTGACAGGTGTTTACAGACACAGAAAGTACCGGCATCCACGTTCCTTGGGCTGAACAGATTCGTCCTCTGGTCTGGAGGCAGTGTATTCCAGGTCATCCTTCGGTGCTAGTGGCTGGAGGGGGGACGCAGGCGGGGAAGTCTCTTGGGGAAGCGAGGCCGCCGACGTGCGACGCATGTAGTCATCGATGTGAGGCCTCGGTTCAATGGGATCAAGCCTTCGAGGCGAGCCAACTGCAGGGCGCTCAGTGGCAGGAACAGGTGCGCCGTTGACCGCGAGGATGCTAAGCGTCAGCGCAGGGGCAACTGTGGACAAGTCAGTCATAAGCTCAGTGAATCAGAACCAGGGGATTTACGCGGTAATAGACGCATCTCGTCTGCGTGCCAGACGGGCGGGTCGGTCGTCAAAGTTCGTAGAGAGTCGTGAAGAGGGCGTGAGGCAAACAGGACGAGTCGCCTCTCTGAGATCATATACCAAGCACACGAAGAGTCATTGGGCTACAAAGAAAGCTTTCCGCGCGCGTAGATACATTTGAGGATTGCCAATAGAAGCCTTTGTCTTGAGTTTGAGAACACGATGCATCTTGATTGAGTCATTGACATGGGTGGTATTGGAACCAAGGGACCCATGTCGTCCATCGTCAAGACAACGAGTGGATTTAGACAACATGGGGTACCAGGTGTTTCTTTGATTTCGCCCATACATAAGCCTGAGGTTTGGAAAACGATGCACGAGACAAAAGGGTAACAGGCTCGCCTGGGACATGTAACGAACACGCTGTGTCACAAGAGCACGTGCCATCAGTTGCGTGTCTCAATCTGGACTTTCGATGGATGGCAGATAATTCATCCTTTCCGCTTATCTCTGAACGGGACATTCGAAACGTTCGGCACACCAGAGATGAGACCCTATGCGTCTCAGGGACTCGTGAAAAATTCTTCAGTGCACCCCTTCAACCGGGTGCGTAAAGCTTCCGCTTCTGTGACGTCAATCGCGTGTCAGTTCTAAGGTCCTATCGCCCAATCATGAAAAAATGCCCACACTGCAGAACTGTACTTGTTGTCTTCCACGCTCACTTAGCACGTCCGTTGTACCACCGCTCCTTTAGCAATGTTCCAACTCGTCTCTCTGCTCTCTGCCGTCTTGCTCCTCACCACTGGCGTGGTCGCCCAATCGTCCACCTCGCTTTCCCCGGCTCAGATTACGCATGTTATCACGGTTTCCAACAACCACAGTGCGACAGACGGATCTGCTGTCTTTACTCCAGTTTGTCTCTTTCTTATCCATACAGAGCGGTGTGACCTTATCGTCCGTCGTAGAACGTGGTCAACGCCTCTCTGGGTGAAACCGTTCTCTTCAACTGTATGATGGATGTCTCTTTTCTTTCGGCGTCTGATCGCTCGAAACAGTCACCCAGGGCAACCACTCTGCTACTCAGTCGACTTTTGCGTCTCCCTGCGTGCCGGCCCATATCACAAATGTCACGATAAATGGATTCGACACTGGACTTCGCCCTACAAACAACGGCACGGCCATCACCAACTATATTATCATCATGAATCCCGACATCGTGAACTCGACTCTTTGGTTCTATGACGAAAATACTTGCGCCATTGGGGGCGTCGGTGTTATCAACGCCGGGAACGTGACAAAGACTTGGCAACCTTACGATGCTTTTGTGGTGTGTCGAGCGTCCCTTGTTTTGAGACTACCACTGAATGACCTTTAGCGAAATGCCCGTCGGCTCAACGGCTCTCATCCCTCCTCGGTTGCATCGGCTGCACCGACTTCCACCGACAGCAGCAGTGGCGGCTCTGGCTCAAATTCTAGCTCTGGCTCCTCTGGTTCCAACACTCATCCATCCAGCGGTACCAACCTTCAGGTCCCCATCTTCGTGACGGCTTCCCTCGTAGCTCTTGGCGGCCTGCTTGCAATGTAAACAGTGCACCCTGTCTTGATACCCATATTTTCATTCTTGCTGTCCGACCTTGTTGTGCCTCATGTTGTCTGTAGAGTTCTTGATGACTTTTGGATACCAACTTACTGCATTGCATGAGATATATGAACACATGCACACCAGGCTATACATTCCACAACAGTGAACCCCAGATCTTGAGATACAATCAGATGGATGGTTTTGCGAGACCGCTCGTGAGTTTATAGTATACGATGGACGAATCGTCCGAAGTGATTCCCAAATAGATTTCAGACGGATTGCTGAGTTCAGCGAAAGCTGTCGATAGCCTGTGGGATATCAGACACCCCTGCGACCGAAGACGCGCGGGAAGAGAACCATTCAAACGACAGCGTCTCCGCCAGCGAACATGGTACGACATTCAAGACGGCATCCTGGGAGTACGAGCGATCGAAGTGTGACCAAGGACGCGGAGGGTGCTCACGGACAGTGTTTGGCCTTTTCCCAGTTATGGCGGCACGAGACACCCCCTTGAGTTCGACAATGGATAGATCTGTCCATCTTTGTGCTGAATTTTGGTTGAGAGATAGCGCAGAGGTTCACACTAAGATCTCGTACACAGGGTAAGATCGTTGTAGACTTGGAATATGGACCCAGCCGCTCGTGGATACTTGGGCAAGATTCCAGAGAGAGCAGCGTACTAGAAGGAGTCAGGTTGTGCATTCATCTCAGACTACGTCGCGTTTACAGAGGGATGATTTTCCATGGCCGCGGTGATGAATGAAAGCAGGGATCAAGCAACAGCTCGAAAAGGAAGATCGCCATTTACCAAACTCCCACAACTGGCTTGACTCGTTCTTCGTCCTCACCCATGCCCAAACTCCATCTCAAACGAACAGCTCAAGAGGAAGCAGAGCACAGGATCCGTAAACGGCTCAGGCGCGAACGGCGCGAACATAAGAAAAACAGCCAAAGCTCCACAGCGACCACTGACAAACCGCAACGCAAATGGGGCTCAAGCGATTCAGAGGGTGAACTCTACGGACCTCATCCTGCAACAGAGCCCGATTCAGGTCCAGGCCCCTCCACCTTCGCCGAAGACTCTCGACATAAGCCCGACTACGATGCGATACGAGCCGAAGTCGAAGAGGCACGTTTCCGCGAAAAGATGGCTTCGGCCTTCGACGACGACGATCGACTAGACTCCCTTGAATCACGCATGAACGACTATGCACATGTTCCTGGGCGATGGAGACAGGCAGGAGCTTCTCGATCGCGCATCTCGCACCCCATTGACGATGATATCGCGTCCCTGGACCCGAATCTCATGGACGACGAGGAATACGCAGAGTGGATACGAGCGGGGATGTACAGGTGAGCGATGAAGTGACATGCTACACTTGCGATGCTCCAATCTGCACAGGAAATCTCACGCGCAGGAACTGGCGGAACAACAGCAGCGGCAGGCTGCCATTGACGCTCGGCGCGCACACGAGAAAGCAATGAAAGCCGAATCTGATCGGCTAGAGAAAATTGAAGCAGCAGAACGACAACGAGCCCAATTCGAACGGGAACGACGTCGGACACGCCGTGCTCAAGAAGAGTATGAGCTTCGATGGAACACATTGGTGTCCTCTGCGAAAGCACTCACGTTTGAAGACATCCCTTGGCCCGTGAATTCACGCCTTGAGCTCTCCGACGACAATCCGTTGGACAAGCTTACTGTGGAGGCGATTCAGACCTTTCTCTTATCATCTCTGGACCAAGAACAGAAGATGCGTAAGGAGCGATTGCGAGAAACCTTCCTGCGCTTTCATCCCGACAAATTTGAGGGCAGGTTTATGAATCGCATACGGGAATCAGACCAGGAGCTTGTCCGCCAGGGCATCGGTGCAGTAGTGCGCGCCTTGACAATGCTGATGAGCGGCTGACTGATCACGTTACGGATGGCAGCACTGAAATGTTAGTTACAATAGATGGTATACAGATGTAGAATATGCTATAACTATAGTCCGACTCTAGCCTCGGAAGTTGGAAGTCCCTCGCCCTGCCATGTTATTTGGATTGGGAGTGCCGGCCCGGGGATCCGGCCCCCATTGCTGCTGAGGATTTGGTGTCATCATGCGCTGCGGGGCAGGACTCGCAGCAAAGCGGCTAGGACTGGGCGACATTCGTCCAGGGTGCTGCTGGCCAGGTGATTCGGGCCGGAACGAGTAGGACGAATCCTGCCGGTGGAATTGCTGCGGCGGATATTGTTGTTGCTGAGACTGGTACTGGGAGTCCGGGCTGTAGCTGTCATACGACTGCTGGGAGAAGTTGCCTTGGGGTCGATACAATGGCGCCTGGCTCGTAGCATCCATTGGCTCTCGGTACATTGAAGGAGGCGAGGCAACTGATGCCTGAGACTGGTTGTTGAAGTACATCGTGTTGGGGCTCAGCAGGGGCTCGTTCATAGAGTCCATTCTCGCTAGCTCAATGTCTGGGCCACTCCCTGTTGTTACCGGTCCATTGGCTAGATAGTTGTTGTAGCCTGGCACGCGCTGCGACTTAGCATCGCTGGCGTAGTAATGCGATTTCGCATGCCCAAGAGAGGCGTTGCTGCCACCAAAGACGGTCGTTGACGCGATTGACTGGGCATCCCAGTCGTCTCCGACTTGATTCTTACGATAGAGGGTGGGATCAAATTCGAGATCGCGCTGCGAAAGATAAGTACGATCGAATTTTTTAATGAGTATAAAAACCGCACTTGGTCGATGGCAGCAATCTTGATGCCTGCAACGAGTTGGGCCTCCATCTTTTGGCCACCATACTCCTCCAGCTTGGCGTGATCGCGCGCAATTTTTCCGGAATAGACCTGACCCAGCAGCCCCATCATATTAGAGTGCAGCATGGGCGTGAACAGATCAGAGTGTAGCGCTGGATGTCCGAATCGTTTTTCCAGCTTGTTAGCACGAGCATCAGCGCGTTCAGAATGGATCTTGGCAGTTTCCAGCTCCTCCGCACTGGGAATGTACCATCGGAAGGCGGACGTGAACGTCCGACTAAGATAAATCTTGAAGCCGGCGATGATGACGATTGGGGGCAACGTCGAAACCCACATGAAAGACGTGCGGAAGCCGAATTGGAGGCCGATCGCTGGAAAGTCAGGTCGGTCGAGCTGATGCGGTTGAAGAAATGTTCACGTACTCAGCGTCATAAGAAGCTGCATGAGTACCACCACGAACAGCAAGCGATTGACGACAACGTTCCATAGTCGCTGTGAATCATCAGAAATGAGCAGTCGGCGGGAGAGACACATTCGACATACTCCGCCAGTTTCCACTCTTGTGATATACACAAACATGAGCTGATACTTCTGAACAAACGAGCTCATCCATAGAACCGCTGCAGCCGCCAGGACAACAAGCGGTGCCAATGGTGCAAACACAAGACCGACTGCTCCCATAAAGAGCTTCGACAAGTGAGGACGAAGGTCAGTGTGCAGATAGAACACGTACAAGATTGGAGCTGAGGAGGGAAATGAGCGACAGAATGTTGACAAGCAAAGATCACTTACTAGTAGATTGCATATTGGAATTCAGGAGGCTGCGTCCATTCTCGGATATCCCGAGGAGTCCGGCCAAACAAGCTGAACAAAAGTTGAGTCGATTGGGCATAGCAGAGCGATGGGGCTTACTGGGTCTTGATGTATATCCAGATGACATTGACCACTTGAGCCAGATCGAAAAGAACGAGAAAACCCCTCAACCTAAGAGAGAGTCAGACAATCGGATTGGAAGACCGAGATCAACCCACGGGAAGAATGTGAGCCAGTAACTGCTCTGGTTGACTCAAAGGTACTTCAGCTTTGAGACTATGGATTAGTAAGTTGACGACGTACTGTAGGTACTGTTGATGGTATCCGGGAGAGCTGAAACCATGAGCGCAATACGGTCACCAATTGCGCGATTTCTTACTGCTAAAGTTCTTGAGAATGTCCAGGAAACTCTTTTTCCCAACCGATATGACAACTTGTTCAACCGCCTCTGAAAACAGGTTAGAAAGGACAGAACACATTAGAAACTTGATGGCATACGGAAGATGACACCGATCAAAGTGAAGATGACCAATTGACTGATGACCAGGAAGGCGAAGTAACGAGCGACGACATCACGATCCAGCTTTGACGTGGTCGTTGCACCCATGTACTGAGAAGATCACGCGTGAGAAGATGAGCCAAAAATCGACAAAATGAATTCACCTGGGCAAGTGAACGCATGATGATAGGCAGGAAAAATCCGAAAAGACCAGAGACAGCCGGAGGGAGAATACCCGAAATGACGACGAAACTCCAATTCGACTTTTGGTTCCAAGTGTCAAGGAAGCCAACATAAGAGGTCAACTGGAAAGCGTCGTCAACTTGGTGAATTCGGCTCTTTCATATGATACTTACAGATGCCAGATTAGCCAGAATGGAGATGACGAACAAAGGGACAGTGTTGATGAAGCAGACAACGGCAAGCCAAATGAAGCCCATCATCTTCCTGCGAGCGGCTTCGGCGCTGGACATGTGCAAGTTCTCCCAGATGATGTCTTTGGGGTTCGGGGCCAGGAAGATGTCAGTTCCCTTGGGATGTTTGTTCTGGAGAAACTTGGCGACCACGTGAGCATATGGCACCGCAGCCATGCTCGCAAACCCATAGTTGTGCGGCTTGTGTTCATGAAAGTGAGCTCGGTAATCCTCGATGGCCGCCTCCGTACGCTTCAGCTTCTCTCTGGGGTAGAAAGATTTCAACCAGAAGATTCATCAATATGAGAGGCACGCACGTATAGAATTGGATTGCATCTTTCTTCTCTCCTCCAAACCCACAACTTCCTCCCACACGAATAGTCGGACGTTTCTTCCCGACCTTGCCGCCATGCAAGTATTGCACAAGATACGTTTCCAGTTCGCGAACAGTGTCGTTGTGGTACTGTATCAGCTCGGGTAGTTTCCCCACCTTTCGTCCGATATGCACACTAATTGACGTGAGTGGGTCGATAGACGGTAATGCAATGTGGCACTCGCCTTGTGGTAGGATAAGGCACCCGCACTGAGTCAAAAATTTGCTTGATCCCGTCGTCGCTTTGCGCATTCTTCGGAACGTGCGTAATCGCGAGTGTCCGTGCGAAGAAAGCCGAAAGGTACTCCGGCGAGCGGAAATAAGCCCTCCGTAGCCTCAGCATCTGCACCCAGTTCATGTACACGATGTACATGATGATGAAGGTGATGAGGTAGGTCACCGCGACATGGATGAAGAGCAAGTTGCCAGAGACGTCTCGGATGGTCATCATGCTCAAAATATTGCGATTCTTGGCTTTGACGTTCTTCAGGTTGTAAATGACGTTGACGGGGATGAGCACTCCACACGAGAGGAGAGCGACCGCAGTGAAGAGCCATCGCATGAGACGGCCGAATCGGAGGAACGCAGCAGCGTCGAGACCGATTTTGTCTACCAGTTCCGGCTCCTTCGTGTGGATGAGTGGAGGTACCCAGCCGCAGATTGAGTCGTCCATCCGCGGTGGCCGTTTGGAGTCGCCAACATGGTACTTGACTTTGGGCTCAAAGATGATCTGCACCGCGTCAGGGCAGTTGTTTCAAGCTGTCTCAAGTAACTTGCCTTGTTCTTGGGTCGTAAAACGTTGAATGCAAGGATAGTGCCCGCCTGCGCAAAGCCTTCGTTGTATGCATGTCTTTGATTGACAAGGTCTCAACTCACCGAAACAGCACTCATAAGTAGGATTTGGGAGAATACTGCAGCGGGCGCCAGCGTCCGCGAGTTAGCTTGGATGAGTGCCTTCGCATCGTCCAGCGCAGACATGATTGAGAAAGAATAGGCAAAGAATGACCGGTGGGACAATTAGTTCAATGTTATGACGTTGTTTGGGCATGATCAGGCGCCACAACTCAATGTCTCCGCCGAGCTGCGACCGTTCTCCGGAGTTCGGTCTCCGCACAGCAACGACTCTGGAATCAAGATTCAATCATTTAAATTTCTGGCCCACACGGGCTCTGTTTCAGTCCCCACGATGATCGATGAGGTTCCACACACTTCCCAGGGTAACCCTGACCGACCTGATCGCGGCCCTAAGTCTATGAATACATTTGAGGAGCTGAGGGAACTCGTGGACGTCTCCCTCTTCAGCCGACCGGTTCCTCACTCTGGCGCCTCTGTGCAATGGCGAAACGCAAAACGCAGGTCAACTGGAATGCAGACGATGTCTATAGTGCAGGTACGGACGCGCGCGCAGCTACCTTGCTCAGATCTGTTGAACAATAAGCCAACGCAGAGCTCGTCGTCGGTGCGCGAAGAGTGGATGCAGATTCCTCACCTCCAAAGTTCAGGAAGGGAGTGTCTGGTCAGCGCATTGACTACACATCTGATGCCTGGGTGAGTCTCGGCTCTTCTACATATGACCATGCGGCTCATGTCTTACGGCACCTAGGAATACCTGGTCAAGGTCAAGATAAGAGAGCCATACTGAATATTCAGTAACAAACACATCTGATCGTTTCTCCAGTGGCAAGGATACAGCGACCTCGACAACACGTCGGTCTCATTCGTCACACCGGTGTTGTTCCACATCTCAAACGAACTTTTTAGATGGGAACCTATCGGGAATTTCTCCGAAGAATGCACAGTCCTCATCCGAAAGTTCTGGAAGCACGTGGGCCGAGAGCTATTCTACACAGACGCCGCCGACGCCCAGATCTCCGCGCAGGCTTATTGGATTCGGGATCAACTTTCAAAAGCCAGAGCCAAGCGTAAACGCGATGCTGCCGAAGAAGAGGCACGACTATTAAAGGCGCTAGAGAAGTCTAAGGCCAGATCTCGAAGCAAAATCGCGGCACGGGAGACTCCAGACCCGATCGCTGAAGAAAACACTCCTAGTACGAGCGATATCGCTGTAAACGAGCCAGCCATTCCCTCGGCTCGCATTCCATTGCCTAAGCGAACATACTCTACGACACCTCGGATCAAATACTATGAGTGCGAGCTCACTGTAGGCAGCGCTCTTAGCACCAAAACTCGGCTGGGAAGGTCTGTGGTGGCGCCTGCAATTTCTCGGGAAACTTCTGCGCAATCCCATCCGATCTCTACGACTGATGATGTGGGAACTCAAGCAGAGCACAGTGAAGCACGTCCGATGCCTAGCCTCATTCCAGAGTTCCCGGCTTCGTCCTCCGGTAGCTCAGTATCGGATACCTTACTTTCCGATACCAACGATACTTTCTCTTGCCCGGCACCTGACCGCGGCAGCGTGTTGATCGAAATCGTCCCTTCGATGACTGGGATGAGAACGATCGACATGGAAGTGGACATCGTCCAATCAGTAGATCAAGATGAACTGCTCGACGAGTGAGTATAACAATCCGAATCTCTGGAACTGTCTGCTCAAGCCCAGTTGCAAGCACTGTACTAAACGAAGAATTATCACCAAGTGACGAAGAGCTTGCTTCCCAATTCCTAAACACGAATTTCAAGTATACCGTCAATGCTCCGTTTTAGCATGTACTGACCGCTGCCAGCGTTTCTCCCGCTCCTGTGGTCGCATCAACACCCAGCTTACGAAGTTGGCACTGGGCTGGAGGTATTCTGGTCGGACAAGATCCGATTTCTCTGAATGCGAAGGTTGTGGAATCAAGTCCTCCTCCTGCTCGTTCTCTTGTCATCGGCTCTTTTGTGGTGGACAAGCAAGACATTGTCCTCAACTCCTTTTATGATATGAACGACATTCTGCTCTTGACATCGACACTCTGTGAACCTGCCACTCAATTTGCGCGTATCGAAGATCCTATGTCCCCCGGTTTGCAAGCATTTTGCAGATATATGATAAAGAAACAACAGGTTGGCAGCTCAGTTTGCTCTCTCCAGTCCGTTCTGACCAGTGACAGTCTGCGCTCGAGCCGGCTGTTCTAGACGGAGAACTCGTTATCGGATATCTTTGCGTCTTTCCATCGCGCTCGACAGTTCTGAGCACATGTCTCGGAGTTCACGCAAGCCTACTCGGGACTGGCGATGAGCTCATCGTGGGACTGCTTCCCTTCAAACGAGCCATCGGCTGTCACTCGGTGAACATCAAGAAAGCAGATCAATCTCGACCCACTCAGCAAAGTCATCTGCCCATGCACACCACGCCTCATCTTCATCTTGGCTTGAGGATCTTGAAAGTCCCTCAGACTGTCAGCAAACACATCTTGGGACGCGATGCGATGATCTGCCCGCCTCAGTTCCATCGAGAGCTCGACACGCAACACATGCGTGGAGTATTGAACAGTTGCACCACACTACACAGCACCTATCACACGTCGGTGCACATCTGCTTCGTTCACGTCGCCGCGATCGCGAATGTCGCCACCAACTTGCCACATCTGGCGAAGCTCCGCAGACATTCAGGGCTGTCCTTCTTCCTGTATGGCAGCGATGAAACCGTTCCTATGACCCAGTGGGGAATTCGGGAGATTTATCCGTTCGGTACTTGGACCAAGCAGCCCTCGCACCCATCTGACAAATCATTAGGAGGGATATTCACTTTCACAGGAGAAGCCTGCGCCCGCAATCCATGGGGGATCCTCAGCCTCATCAGCGATACGTATTCTCATCCACTCTGGGCCTGCTATGTTCTGCCAGAGGCGCTGGGCATGGCCCTGGTCCTGCTACATGAGCGAGAAAAGTCTGAAATCGTTCCAGGGTTCGTTCAAGTGGCACTCGCACCACGTAACACTCACGATAGTTCAATTCAGAGACGTTGAGGACAAGCTGCTTGCCATGGTCGAGATGGGCAAAATTGCCCTTATGAACACACCCAAGGTAGCCTGGAACACGTATGATAAGGCCGAGGGACAACAATGGATCAACGACCACTTGCTGTCCAGACCACGTGCCGTGGCAGCCATTCGTGACCACTGCCTTACTGCCTTCCACAGATTGTATGGCGAAGTAGCCACTGAGGACATTGCGAGTACTGCAAGGCAAGATGTCGTACATGACTTGCAAAGAGCGCAGCTTCAACCAGTGTTCTTCAACAACTATCGGCGGTATGTCGTGTTAGACTGTGTGGACGGTAGGGATTGCAATGGGGTATGGAGTGGCGGAGAACCATCTAAGCAAAGTTCTGATCTTAGATTCAGGTCGAGTTGAGCACCGTCGCCAAGTTCAAGTTTGAAGACGACAGCAAAGGTGGCACGCTAGATCCTTGAAGTGTAGGGTAGAGTGGAATGAAACAGCCTGCCGCAAGCGCACATTGAAGCATAAGTGTATACATTTTAGGGCATGCGAGTCATATTGCAATACGAAAGACAGGGCATATCGACTCAAATGTTCGACGGGTAGAGCATCTGCGCAGAGTGAGAACAGGATGGAAGCTGGAGAAGAAGCACGCACAATGCGGACGCTGGCGCCGAATGCACGAGGAGGGAGGTTGGAGCGGAATTTAGACTTGACGACACCCGAGTTACCGTGTGGCCGCGTCACACGTCTATAACCATGAGTATCCAGTCGACGATAGAAGAAACCACCAACGGACCCCCAGATGACACGGATTTTTGAGCCCTGAATTTCACGCTTCGCCTTGTACACATAGGCGACCCGCTTTCCAAGGTAGAACTGCGTCTCCTCCTTGTTTGCCACGCCCTCGATCTGCAGGAGAGAGGTGTTGGGGCTGCTGTTGCGCTTTGCCCGCTTGTGACCGAGAACACGGCCCTTGGTGTATAGTCTGCACGAGAACGTTAGCGATTCCAAAGAAAGCTGACGCGGCCTGTCCCATCTTGTCCCAGGAGACTCGGATGTGCCCAATAGCCACCACAGCGACTACGCACCTAGTCGATCCCATTGTCTGTCGTCTGTGTCGTGCCCGTCGGTGGCTCTTGAGGTAGTTTTGGATATCCTTTTCGAGACACGGATCACGTGTGTTAACTGTACAGCAAGATCACGCTGACTCATTATGAAGTTGATTTTCAAAGGTACTTTAAAGTATGAAAGCAACAGCGAGAACCCACTCCGGCCTGCATTGAGTGAAGCCCTTTTGACTTTCAAAAATCGATCCTCCAGTCTATGGATTGTTGGGTTTCCGAGCAGCTCAATCTCGGCGCTATGACCGTGGAGCCCTAACCCCAGCAAGCCCACCTCCTGATTGATCGGGACCGTCACGGCTTCCGGATCCGAAAATCGACTTGCTTTCTAATATCATATCACCCTGTCTTCTGCCTGGTTCCAGTCCTGGAGTTCGCAAAGCCAGTCGACTACTATGCAGTCCTGGACGTCGATGCCCGATCCACCAGCTCCGAGATAAAAAGTGCATACCATCGGGCCCTTCTTGCATCGCATCCAGACAAGCGCCGGCCGCAAGCAGGCGACCACCTCCCTGAGATCGGACTCATTCAGAAAGCTTACAAAACGTTGGCTGACCCCGAGCTTCGCCTGAAACACGATTCGTCTCTCCACGAGACCAAAGCCGGTTCCAAATCCGTTCCGCGGCCTGCCCAGGTCGTGTCACTGGAAGATTTCGAGGAGGATGCCGATCTGGACAGATGGGTGTATGCTTGTCGATGCGGAGGCGCGTATAGGATATCATCGGAAGAGATGGATAGGGGGCAGCACCTGATCGGATGCTCAAGCTGCTCAGAGGTGGTCTGGGCCGGTTACGCACTTGCCGAGGACGCAGAAGACTCTTGACCGAAGATTCTCGACGACTAGTGGTATCTAGAAGATCATGTGTCCAACGCCCATTCAGGACTGTATCGCTGATAAATACCGTTCTTGCACCGTTACAGTGTAGTAGGTATCAATGGATTGACGGAGTGATGTTTGATGTCCCTTGCTCTGAGACCTCCACTGTAAGCCTCTCAATTTTATACAGACACATTAGACACTCTCTAGATGTATTCTAGTCAGTTTCTGTGCTCCTAGGGGGAATGTGGCCAAGAGAAGAAGCAAGATCGGCGCAGAAGTGGATGTGTCACAGGTAGGGATGAATGGATGTCACACTTTGATCTCTCATATTCTTGCCATTTCACCCATCCCTCAGCTCATCCCATCTTCCAAACATCTTCTTCTGAATTAGAATAGGTTCGGATAGCTTGCATGTCCCTCAGATCCAGTGCTTTTGCCATCAATCTACCCAGATCCCACCTGGGATGTTATCTAAGAATTAGCTCTCTCCGTCACATTTGAAGGCTTCCCACATGGTCAAAGTACAAATTCAGGTATCTGAGACAGCGTAAAGAGTGATTTGACTCAATATTAATGGAGGAGTGATGGATACAAGTCAAAGTTGCAAGGCAATGTCACGCTCCATCAAGAAAGCAGCACCGTAATACCTACGAAGTGCCAATTAGCTGTCCCAATGAGGTCTAAATTGTGTCTCTAGATAGCCTTGATGCTCTTGAAAAGAAATAGTGCCCAAATCCTGACTGAAGAGGCCGTGATTTGAGAGAGGAAATCCTGATCAAACCAGAATTGGCCTGATTTGGATGGAGATCAGCATTTTTTGCTGCATTTATTTCCTCTATGGACCCAAAACTCATGCAGGAGGTAGGGTTGGTCTATTGGATGCTAAATATGAGGTATGGGAGCCAGAACTATTGTAGAAAATGTTGTAGAAGGAAATCATCCATTGATACATACCAATCCATTGATGCCTACTACACTGTACCTCAGCTCATGATGGCCTCCACGACACGACATCGCAGGAACGACTCTAGCGAGTCTGACCGGGGATGGGTCTTAGGCTTCGGTGCGTAGCTGGTTACGGTAGCTCCTCTCGGGAAGCAGCAAAACAACTAGTCTGGCAGGTGTTCATTTCAATGAAGACGTGCATGATCGTTCAGTTGTATGAGTTCAAGTATTCGTGCTCTACCGTGACGGAAATCGTTACAATGTTCAGATACAGATTTTAGTTGGGTATTGACAGTTAAAGTTGTGGACTGCTTGTTAGTGACTGCTGTTTCTCTGTACAAGAGGCCAGTCAGGATCTGGGCTGGCATATGACAGACGAGACGAAAATCTACCTATCCATTCCTTTCTGGGTCTCAGTTCGAAATCCCACAAGTCGGAATTGGTGCAACCTGCGTTCAAGAACTCTCGTCCGACTTCATCCCAAAAGGCGACGATCTCGCTCTTGCAGCGACGGAACGCATCATGTGGCTCCCATCTGCCTTGAAAGTGAGCAACAGGCCCAGATTTCATAAATCACGAGCTGACGAATTATCGGCGTCTGAATATCCGGACCACTATAGATATGTCGTATCAGCTCAGAACCAGCCAGAATGTGTCGCGTCGAATGAGCACGATACAACTTTGACGAGATATTTCTAGGAAGCCATAAACATATGGTTTTTTTGAGAATTTAAAAGATCCAAACCCATCCAGATCCAAAATTATCGTTGTCAGGATTCAAGTTGTTGCAACGCAGAGGACCTCGGCAACGGCGAGCGGCAAGGATCACTTCTGAACAGCTCAGTAGAGGAAAATTCAAGTTATGATTCATGAGTACCGACGGTGAAATATCCTTCCTGGAATCGAGCCATGATGAGAGAATCAGATACTTGAACATCAAGCGGCCGAGAATGGTATGCTTTCAGTCAGGTGACAAATATGTCGGTCACATGTCCACCTAGTGTAATCCTTGCCTATAACCACTTACTGAAACCTCCCACCAGCCGGTGATACAGTATGGCTGAGCGTAAAGGTGCGGATTTCCCTGTCAATATGCAACACATGCTCAGGGCTCTCTAGTTCTCAACAAGTATTTCCCGCCGGACTTCGACCCGGACCTCATTCCCAGGCGAAGAGGGCCCAAGAACTCTCAACAAGTCGTTCGTCTCATGGCACCTTTCTCCATGTAAACATCCAGGCATTCATTGATATTAAACCTGCTCATCTTCTCCTAGGCGATGTAACACATGCGGCGAGTATATCTACAAAGGGAAGAAGTTCAACGCAAGGAAGGAGACAGTGGACGGGGAGGATTACTACGGTATCAAGATCTTTCGTTTCTATATCAAATGGTGCGTAAGGCTATCACAGGACAATGCGGTCCATTTTGATTCTCATTTTCAGCACTCTCTGCTCTGCAGAGATCACTTTCAAAACGGATCCCAAGAACACCGACTATACGGCAGAACACGGCGCCTCCAGGAATTTCGAGCCATGGAGAGAAGAGGCTGAAGGAGAGGAGATCGACCGTCTCGCCAAACTTGAAGAGGAGGAGAACAACCCTATGAAAGTGCTGGAGAACCGAACGACCGATTCGAAGAGGGAAATGGACATCCTCGATGCGTTGCAGGATATCCGAGCACGAAATGCACGCAATGAGCGCATGGGGAACACATCCACCGTGGATCTTCTCGCTCGGATAGACGTCGAAGAACTCGAGAACGAAGAGGTTCTGGAGAAGAAACGGATTGAGGAGGAGGACGAGAAAGCGGTACGGGAAGTCTTCGCCAGGATACCCGTCGCTGGCAGCTCGAAGCTACCGATCGAACAAGACAATACGGAGGAAGCGCCCGCACCGACGATCACTGTCAAGCGCAAAGCTGATGACATCGAGCCGTCCCTGCATAGCTTGCTTCCAGACTCGGCGCGAACGTTAATCGCCTCGAAAGCGGCAGCAGTGCATGCAGCCAAGAAGCCCAAAGTCGAGGTCAAGAAGAAATCGTTAGGCATCGTCGTTAAGAAGAGCAAGCCCAAAGTAGCTGTTTAAGCAATGGTGTCGTTGACTTACGTTTCTCACATTTCCCATGCGTGCGCTGATACCAAATGCTTCCGTGCTTGTGCTTCGACATAGGTCTATGCACACTGGCACTTGGTAATCACGCGACTGACGCGTCATGACAAGCGCGCTTGGCTGCACAATGATTTCAGTCACCGTCTGGTTCGAAGGCCAACGATGTAGATCTTGATTTGTATAGCTGTTTGTAGTACAGGAAAGATTTGGAATGTACGAGGAACCTTCCAGCAAATTTCAGTTGTCCTGTGTTTGTGACATTCGCGAACTTGCTTCTGACTTTCATTCTCCTTGGTTTCTGAGCCTTTTCCCTTCGATGTCTGTCCCTGCGCCTCTCCCTTCTTCGACTGCCAATTGGCACTGGAAAAACAAAAATGTGACGCGTTGGGGCAAGGAGTGGTTTGAAAGCGAATTGACCACCATCAACATTGCTGGCAAAGGCTCTCAAGTCGTTTCCATCTCCAGTGTGACCGATTTCGACGGGGATGTCGAACTTGGACAGAGAAAATCAAAGTGAGCGTTTGTTCAATGCTCGGCTCACAGTGATTCAGTTGTTCCCAGATTGATCACTATTTTTGACTGCAAGGTGGTTTGCGAATGGGCAGGAACTACTGAGGATGGGACCGAAGTGAAAGGGACCGTCACAGTTCCCGAGGTTTCTCATGAGATCGTCGTGGACAGGCTGTCCGACTACGTGGTGAGTCTCTGGATTCCGGGAGATGAAACGATCTCATATCGCAATCTAGTACAACTGGACCTTGACCACGCCATCTTCTCCCGCAGTCGACTCCGTGTTTGCCTTGGCCAAATCTCGGTTGCCCTCTGCCCTCGAGTCGAAGTTTTCTCAATTCGTCGTTGTTCTGGTCGACACGCACGGCAAGGACCTGACAGTCAGCGCGGATCCCAGCCGGAGCGCAACACCGCTTGCTTCCTCTGGTTCTGGTTCTGCTCCTGCTAAATCTGCTGTGCCAGCTGCTGCCCCAGCGCCGAAACCTGTTGAAAAGAAGAGCAAGATCAACACAACCAAAATCAATCTGGAGTCGACGTTCATGGCCGCCGCGGACGATCTGTTCAGTCTGTTGACGGATCAGAATCGTATCCCGACGTGGACTCGTGCTCCTGCGGTGGTGCGTGTTGGTTGGTCGTGTTCTCGCGCCGGGATTCACGTTTGAACGCAGTCTGCTGCTAAGGCGGACACGGAATACTCTCTATTCGGTGGGGGGGTCAAGGGCAAATATGTTTCACTGACTGCTCCATCTGAGATTGTGCAAACTTGGGCGCTCGCCAGTCCCTCGTGGCCGACAGGTGATTTAGACGAGGAGACGATCATAGCAATGTCTAATGCCTCGCTGCAGGTCACTTTGCGACACTCAGCACAAGTTTGAAGCAAGGATCGGACTCGACGACAGTGTCATTCGAGCTGGATGGGGTCCCCACAGGCATGTCCGAGGAGATCAAACACAATCTCGAGGGATACTAGTAAGTGGCCTTTGTGTTATGTCTTGCTTGTCCTGATGCCGTCTCGCAGCATTCAGGGTTTCAAGTCCATTGGGTACGTTCAGCTCATCCTGACTCCGTCGTATATCCAAGAGCCGTCTCCGAAATCAAAACCAAAATCTTCCTCTGGGGAGTCGACCTCGTACGCAACAGCCTTGACACTGGCTGCCATCGTCTTGGTGGCTGCATTTGCTATTCCATATCTCTCCACTCCGCCTGCTTCCAAATAATCCATTAATCAGTAACGCCGGTGCTAATAATCATATGTTTTGGAATCTAGGTTGGGCAGCTCCCTTTGATGAGGCGAACGGTTCTAGAAGATTGATAGCGGAGATATAATGCAGAGAGAAGAGAATGTATAGATGTATAAACATTGTGTTGACAAGAATTTCTGAGCATGGGAGAATGCGTAAAGGTGCCGAGAGCTCTGAGCTGCTCCCCATAATATGTGATGACGTGACGACGATTTGGCGGGCTGTGCTGTCACGGATCGTTGGTTTGCTTGTCACCCCGTGTGCTGCTTTGCTTGCTCGCTCCGGCAGAGACGCGGAAGCCGGAATTTTCCAAGCCCGTGCCTGCGCGAGGTCCAGTCCCGCCCAAAAATACCATCACATAAGTCTCGCTCTGAGGCTTCGCCCTCCACGTAAGCTCACTCGCCCCCCCATTACATACACCGCCCTTATGCCTTCTTACCCCACAGTCGGCCATGAATCCGGGTTCAGGTGGCGCATACATGGGCGCGCTCCCGTTCGCGTCACAGAACACAATCAACCAGCACCCACACCAGGGTATCAATCCGGCGATGCTGGCCGGCTTCAATCAACAGCCCCAACCACAACAGACCTCTTTCGGTGGAGCTGTCAGTCCCGCCCAGCTTCTCAATGGGATGGGTGGTATGCAGCAGCCGCCCTCTAACCAGCAACACATGCCGATGTCGAATGGCGCCGCGATGAATCCTGCCGCTCTCTCCGCGCCACCGAACGCGACGATGCCATCTGGAGGCGCGAACGCCTTCCCGCACACGGCGTCAGGCGCGCCCCTTCATTCCCTAGCCCAACAGCAACAAATGCAAGCGCAACTGGTGCAGATAATGATGAACTCAGGCATCACTCGTGAACAGATCGCTGCCATGAATCCGCCGGAGCGCACTGCTGCTCTCAGAAATGCGATGGTTGTCTTTCGACAGCATGCACAAGCTGCTTCTCAAGCACAAGCTGCTCAACAGCACCATACCACCGAGCAGAGCGCTTTCAACAGACCAGGGCATGGGAGCGCAGCGACGGGGATGGGCAACGGAAGCGTTGGAGGCATGAACATGGGCGCGCTGGAAGCAGAAGGTGCACAAACTTCGCCACAGCCCAACAATTTCCAGCCAGCAAAGAGTGCGGTCGTTCCACATTTTGGGACGACAGTACAGAACACGCATCAACCATCGCCATCTTTTCCTTCTCGACTGCCCTCGGGGGATCCATCACCTTCGGTCCTTCGTTCGAACTCGTCAGGGTCCACCCCCGAATCCAATAGTCTTCTCTCTGCATCTGGGCAGCCTCAGACATTTGCGAAGGTACAACGCATAAGCTCGCCTGTCAAGGCCACTCCAGCGTTGCCTGTTTCCGGCTCTGTGACCAGCGCGTCTACTCCAGCTCAAGTAACGTCCTCGAATGTACCACTACCATCGCTCCCAGCCTCAGTGAACCTCAATCCGAATATTACGCGCGTCACTGTCGTTCCTCTCTCCACTTCACGCGAAACAATTCCTGCGCTGGAGGCTACCGAGATCAAAGATGTGAAATCTTGGATGGAAATCGATACGCGATATGAGGCCGTTGTGCGGGACATGACGGAGAAGATGTCAGCCGAGTCTCGGGATGCACTTAATGGACCCAATATCCCTTGGTGGGACCGTGGATCACTTGCGACCAACAACAGCAAGTTTCTTGTCGGTCGTGAAAAGTTTGACGTGCGATATCCACATCGCAAACGTGATCGCGAAGAGTCACGCAGGAAGCCCAAGCGTGAGGGTCTCAAGATGTTTGTCGGCTGTCTTGCTTCCTCAATCGCTTGAATGACGCATCTTCAGACCTGGGAAACCGAGCTCCGAGCAGGCAGCGCGGGAAGAAGAACTGGTTCCCATCCGCGTCGAGTTTGATGTTGAGCACCAGAAAATCCGGGACACCTTTGTTTGGGACCTTAATGGTACACTCTACTTGTCGCTTGATTTTCGCTTGCTAAGGAATTGCGCAGCATCTATCGCCTTGGCGGATTTCGCACAAACTGTGATCGAAGATTACAGTTTGCCTGCTGCCTATCATGGGGTCATCGTCAAGTCCATTGAAGACCAGCTTAGCGACTATCGCGCGCATTCGGTGGCCGTTGACCGATTTTTACCTGACTCTAGGCCTGGGGCTGGCCTACTTGAAGGAGACAGCGCAGAATGGTGGGCAGGCTGGCGCAAGCGGCTGAGACCGGAATCCCACGCCAAAGCCCGTAAACGCCCGAGGCTTGTCAAGAAAGAGTCTGAAGACGATCGGGCCATGTCGCTGGACGAGTTTCTCGTGGATTCCAATGCTGAACACCAAGACTTGCGTATTTTGATTCGAGTAAGAATCGTGTACTTCTTTCTGAATCATGTTAACGTGGACTAGCTCGACGTGACGGTAGGCTCGATGAAGCTCGACGACCAATTCGAATGGGACCTCGATAACCCAGATGCGTCGCCGGAGGAGTTTGCCCGAATCTACACGCAAGATCTTGGTTTGAGCGGGGAATTCCGGTGAGTACCTTTTGTTGGCTGCGATTAGCTAGACTAGATCTGATCCCTGCAGCACTGCGATTGCACATCTTATTCGCGAGCAAGTGGTCGCCCATCAGAAGTCGCTATTTCTGGTCGGTCACCCGATGGATGGGACCGCTGTGCAGGACGAGGAACTGCGATATGCCTTTCTGCCCAGCCTTGCTTCGGGTGCTCGATCGATGGACCAGGTCCAAGCGTTTACCCCACTCCTCAACTACCTCAGCGACGGCGAACTCGAACGTAACGACAAAGAACGAGAAAAAGATATGAACAAACGCAAGAAGCGAAATCGTGGCGGACGACGCGGTGTGCCTCTACCTGATCGGGAGCCAATTCGCACCTGCCGCACGCCGGCCATCGGGTTCCCCGAGCCAGACCCTGCGGTCGTCGCTGCGGCTGTGGCTGTCCACGCGCCAGTCTCTCGGCGTGCGGCAGCGGCAGCTGCCTCTCTCACGATTGCCAATCTCGTTGCGTCTGAGAATGGAGAATCTCGCACCAGCTTCACGCCATCCTTGCCATCCTTGCCGGCGCCGCCACCGCTCGTCGTCAAGCCCAAGTCGGTGAAAGGGTTTTTCAAACCCCCGCAGTTGGACAAGTCGATTCTCCGGGCCCGAGCTCGTGTCCCTGCGCCGATACCGTCCACTGGAGCTGATGTAACTAAACTCCCCGTTCCTCTGGAGAATGATCCACCCCCGGCACCGATTGTAACCGCGAGTTATCCGCGGGCCCCCAGACCAGTCACAGCCAAACGGGCCAAGGAACTGGAGCGAGAAGCCAAAGAACGAGAATTTGCCGAAGGACAGCATGAGAATATGATCGACGGTATCTGGCATTGCTCCAATTGTGGATGTCCAGACAGCATCGCCATTGGCCGTAGAAAGGGCCCCCTCGGGGATAAATCCCAATGTGGAGCCTGTGGTATGTGTGGAATCAAGCCGTCGCTTCTGTTCTCACGACCTTATCTTCACAGGAAAATACTGGCATCGTTTCCGCCGGCCGCGGCCGTTTGACTATAACCCGAGCTATGACTATCACGCCAACCTTCTGAAGAAGGAAGCCGACCAGGCAAAGCGAAAGCGACGTCCTGCAGCAAGCAGTGTTGCCCCAGAAATAGTTTCGCGTCAGTCTCCTGTACGGGACGTCTCACCGGCGTCGACCGCGTCGACCTCCTCTGAGGCTCCCTTGGCACAGAGGATCAAGATCAAGCGGTCTCAGCCAGCAGCAGCCTCACCCACTACGCTCTCGACACCGCCGGAAATACCCGCTCCATCCCCCGCACCGCCACCACCGACTGTCAACATCTCTCCCCGACCTCAAATAGATCTCAGCCAGCTTCCTCCTAGACCAACAAAGGCATGTGACTACTTTCTGAGCAACTCCCTGGACTTACATGAGAATGCAGCCTCCTCAGTGGCTCGTCCAGGCGATGCAAGTTACCCAGGCGAAATGGGAGAACGACAGGTTTGATGTTCTTCCTAAAGCCAGTCCCACGGCCTGGGAGTGGCGCGTCAAGTGCCTGGACTGTCCTGGCAAGGTGGGTTCTCCAGAAACAATTCTCGTTTGAACTGTCTATTCACCCTCAGCAGATATACATCACGGGTCCCGGCGAGACGCTGGAGAACTACGAGTTGCACCTGACCAACAGGCTGCATCGTCAGCGCGTGAATGATCGAATACAGAATTCCAGCGCAGGATGAAGGACGTGTATTATCTTTATCTGTATTGAGTTGCGGGCTTTTATGTTGTTGTCGTAAAACTGTAATTCCAGGGACCCACATTAGATTCGCCATCTAATCTCGCGAATACACCTCCTACTGATCTTGTGCAACATCCGCATAGTGCGAAACCCGCACCGCTGTTGGCGACGGTGGGCTTGGCACACGTGCTTCGCCCCCGGCTCCTGCTGTGAGCTTGCACTTGCAACACACTCTCCGTTATGTCTTCTACCTCGTTTCTGCGAACCCGACGCTCTTTGTACAGTAATTCCACTACCTTATGTGCAAATATCCGGCACGCGACGCCTGGTCGCGTGCCCGATCGCACGCGTGCCACACGCTATTACTCTTCGAAAACACCATCACCTTCTTCAGCGGCGCGCCCAGCTCCCCAGCCATCTCGAAAGGCCCGTAAAGTCTGGGCAGCCAAACCGCCTCCTGTCTCGACCAGCGGAACGGCGGAGAGCATCGACTCAAGCGTTGCATTCACTCCGTCGCCGTTCTCGATTCCCGGTAGCCCTGCGTTCGGCGGAAATTCGTTGCGCGATGCCGCGCTCACCACTGTCGTGGGTCTCGGACTGGTCTTCGTGGGCGGTGTCGGGTATATGAAGTGGTACAAGTGGAACGTCCTGCGCAAGGTGCGCGCTGCCCCCGTGTCGAAGCTGTGTGCTGTGCTGTGCTGCTGTGTTCTGACGACGCGCGGTTGCAGATCGAGGACGCGTTCGCACCGGGGTACGATCCCGCGCTAGAGCTGGCAACATACCAGAGCCGACCCAAGAGCGGCACCGCCCCGAGATTGGAAGACGAGGCGGTGGACGAAGCGCCGGAGCTGGATGCCCCTGCACAGCTTTTGCGGAGACGCGAGCAGGATGCTATTGATGCGATCGTGCACGGTGACGAGCCAGGCCACTATTTCGTGCTTCTCGGACCTAAGGTGCGCTAGGGGACGCCCGTCGTCCGATGCAATTCTTAGTCGTCTCGCAGGGATCGGGTAAAGGGACTATGATCCTGAATGCGATGACTGCTTGCAAGGCCGATGGTGTTGCCATGTTGGACGCGCACCCTGACCTTGAAGTCTTCCGCCTCAAACTCGGCAAGGCGATCAACTACGAGTACAACGAAGATTCGCAGACGGGACTGTTCCAGCGGCGAGATCCACGAGAAGGTATGATCTGCTTGAGCTGGATCAGATATGGCAGACTCAACATCTGAAATGCAGGTGGTCCTGCGCTTGACATTGAGCGGGGTGGGGATGTTCCCAGCTTTGCGAAGCATTGCTGACCACTACTGGGCAGCTCTGAACAAATTGGAGAAGGTTGCGCTCAGAGTTGCGCATGCTCGCGGGAAGCCTCTGGTGCTCATCGTCAACAACGTCCACTTCTTTAAGAATGACGACGACGGGCGGGCGATGTTGCTCCAATTGCAGCAGCGTGCAGAATCATGGGCTGCGAGCGGTGAGCCACTTGGTCTCGATGGTGAATGCAACTTATGATGCTCCAGGCGTGCTGACCTGTGTGTTCATGACGTACGTTCCGTCCTGAACTTGCACATACCGGGTTTCACAATGGTTTTTTCAGTGACGATTATTGGCCATTCTATGTCATGCGCAAAACGGCGTCGCGGATGCACGTAGTCACGATCGGCGACCTCGACGAGCAGCATTCCATTCAAGCTGCGACCAACATGTATCAAACCCTCAGGAAGCGACAGCCTTCGTCAGCGGTGGTTGAAGAAGCTGTCAGCGTTGTTGGCGGACGGCTTTCCTATCTTAACAAAGTGCGTTTTCAACCCATACACCTGAACTCTTTTCTGACATCTAGCGATCAGGTTGCACGGTCAAAGGATATGGTCGAGGCTGCACAGAACCTGCTGCAAATTGAAAAAGCCTGGCTGCGGAGCCAGATCGGTGTGCTACAAGCTTTGCAAAGTTACATCTCACTTACACCCTGCAAGGTCTCATCCCCGACTGCGACGACGATGTGATGGACGAGGTCAGCAGCTTGCCGTGGTAACTTCAACTTTCTAGTGCTCAATGTCGAACAGCAAAAATGGAGCAGTTGCTCTTGGCTGCTGCTTCGCGAATTTGTCAAGCTGCGCAAAGAGCAAGAGGCTGCCAGAGACGAAGCGATTGCAGCAGGCGATCACGACCCCGCAGACCTCCACCTTCCCTTGCCCACCATTCCTTATGTGAGCGGCGTAAGATGGCCGTTGTAGTCTCGTCGACTGAGCCTTTCTTTCACCAGTATAAATGCCGCGAGATCATGACTCGAGCTGATTTCATGGAGGGTCTGCCTTGTTTACTTGCCTACTTCTTTTTCTAAAGCGGTTTAAAGACCTAGATCGCGCCAACATCATCTCAGTGGACGTAGGTCTCGCTCGCCATTTTAACATTCCCGTCAACTGAAGTCCTGTCCCCAGATACACCACGACGTGCGGCCAGACTCGATGTTGATTCTGCATGCCGCGCGACAGGTGTGTGAAGAGGACGGTTTCGATGAGTTGCTGGACAACGTGAGAGACCGAATTGACGAAATCGAGAGTTTGCACCGTACCCGCGAATTGACGGTCAGTCGATGTTGTGTTTGTTCCCGGTTTTTCTGTTGACGATGTGTTCGTTGTCCAGTTCAAAGACGCGAGCAGAATCAATCTTTCCGTGGACAAGACTGACACTCGAATCGTGGACGAGTAGTCCATAAACGACAACTCATCACAGCAAAATGGGAGGTGGGCAGGATCCTCACGTAGAGGACCTGCGATGCATTGACCTCCTTGTCGAGCTGCATCATTGGCAGTCGACCATTATCTACTGGTAAATACAGGACAACACGAAAAGTACAATTATGCGGAAATGGGGACAGCGTCTTTTTTGGCGGTGGCTTGCGCCTCCTGCGCGGCTTTCATCTCGTTCTGCGCCTGGATCTTCTTCTCCTCGATCTCTTTAACCTGCTGGTCCAGCTTCTGCTTGGCGCTCAGGCTTTGATTGAATGTCATACTGCGGTGGTGACTGGCCGCCCCAATCGAGCCCGTCTCCGGTTGAGGCACATTCACCAGCGGCGTCGAAGAAGAGAGCCCGCGGTGGAACGATGTCGGAAGCACCCGTCCTTCAGGGTGCTGGAAATGGCAGTTGGCCCGTGTGCAGGCTGCACCGAAATGGCATTGTTGTGCGAAATGTGCGTTGCTTTTCGCAGGATGCGTAAACGTGCAGTTGGGCCGCGTGCAACTCGCACCGAAACGGCACGGAACACCAGCAGCCGGGCTGCTGTGCGTCGGTACATTCGGTGTCGGCGGTTGAGCTGGCATCTCCGTGAGTTCAAGATGGATCTCAGCCGGCAGTTTAACACACCTTGTGGGTTCAGCACAGCAGGGCTGACATGTGCCTTGACACAGTCCTTGTCCTTGCAATCCTTCCCATTTTCGCAAGCATCATTACTGAGCACCACACCGCTTTCCTGTGTGGCCACTGGCGACGGATGCGAGTATCGGCACTGAGGATTGGTGCACTTCAGCGAGAATTTGCACAGCGTCGGCGATTGCGGCCGTTCGGGTATGGCGTAAGCAACGGAGGGCGCAGCAGCGATTGCGGCGGCTGGTGTCGGAGTTGGCGCAACCAGGGGGACGGAAACCTCTTCAGCTACCGGGACAGCCATTTCATTCGCCCTTCCACCGGTAGATCCTCCCCGGCCCGATCCTCTACCTCGGCCTCGTCCATTTCCTCGGCCGCGACCATTCGGGTTTCCGCCATGTCCACCGTTGGCCTCGGGGAACATCGACATGTCTCCGGGCATGCCGCCGAATCCAGGGCCACCGAATTGGCCTGTTGCTGGATTGATGATACCCATGCTTGACGCCATTTGAGCCATAAGCGCCATTTGGTTCATCATCATCTCCTGCAGCATTAAGGGATTCGTCATTCCGTTCATCATGCTCATGTCCATGCCCATCGGGAAGCCCCCGTTCATCATCATTTGTTGCTGCTGCTCGGGGGTGTTCACAATGTTGTCAATCCTGGACTGCATCTCATCCTGCCCAAAGTTCCCATGGTTCCGGCCACCACTCGGACCACCCACTCTGTCTAACAGACTGCGCGGATTCGCGTTGCCATGTCCCTCCCGTTGCATCGCGCGCGGCCCCGTGGGCAGGTCTGTCCGTCGCGATTTGTTGGATTGAGATGGTGAGGGCGAACGGGCGGATGCGGATCGTTTTTGGGCGGAGGGGGACGTGGATGGAATTTGGGAAATGGCTTGTTGATACACTCCATTGCGGGACTGACGACGGTCGGTTGTAGCAGCAGAGACGACACTGGCGGCAGCAGCAGCGGGCTGAGAACTGGACGGTTCGGCTGGTGCTGGTGCGGATGGTGCTGGCTCGTTTTCGCCCTTGGCTGCCTCGGAAAAGAGCCAGTCGGTAAAATTGGGGTCTAAACTGGGTTAATCCCATATCCGCGGTGGATAGGCAGGAGCATACCGAAGTCGGATCCAATTACTGCAGAAGCATCGTTCGGTGAGATAGACACACTTTGAAGTTCGGAAGAAACTCACAATCTTCCAACTCGCTCGTTATTTGAGCTGCAAATAGAGTCAGGCGAGCGCGACGAGAACTGATATGGACTGTGCTGACCAGAAGTCTTGTTGTTGATTATCATTATGGTAATATACTCCGCCATGACCGGGTCTGAGCGTATTGTCGTCAGTAGGTGCGAGCCTTTGAGGTCAAATAAGCTGACCGGGTTCTGGACTGTAGTTTCTCCTTGTGAGCTCATTCTGGATGGAGAGCTGCGTAAAATTCGGTCAGGTAGCGATATAAAACTGAGAACAAACCGCATACTTGGAGCGCGTTAGCGCGGTCAGTCCCGATTGCGAGTCCGAAAGGCATTATTGCTGGCGTCGGGTCACAGTTGGAGGAAGAGTTGTTGTGTCACGTGTTCGGTGTTTGTCCTCGAGTCCTCGCTTCAGACTGACTCTGCTGACTGGTTTGGAGTGACTCCAACATATCGGGGTAGCTGCTTGAATGCTCTCGAAAATCAGAGACCAGGACTCTCCTGCGATACAGCTCCTCCGAGCAACGCTCGAATCGATATGAAATGTCTCGCACGCTGTTGTGTCGTCAACTGCTGTATCTTTGACGATCACTGCGAGGCTCAAGCGCCAATATGGGGGTTCGAGTTTCTCACTTCAGGGGTGAGCCGTGGCAGACCGTTCACACCTCGACCTTTATGGCAGTATCTTTGAGGGCACGAAGACTACTTGGCTGCGGATCGCTGTGTTTGGATGCCTGAAGGGGAGTTGTGCCGTATGCCTTCGCCTTGGGGAAAAGTTAGCTTTGCCACGCAGAATTCAAGTATACAGCATCCCATGGGAAGTTCTTGCGCATACAATCGTTCCATCTCACTTTTACTCGGGAACGCTTAGAGGTTCGCAAATAAGGAACGGCCCAGTCACAGCACAGTGCCGAGGCCGCGCCGCACAAAAGCAGAAAGCTCAACGGCCGCGTAAGTGATCTTGTCTCTATTCTTGTATGACAGTCCTTCAGCGGTGGCTGGCTCGCAAGGCAGCGCTGACACCCACAAAGGAGCTTGACCTTTCCGGGTCCGACATACCAAACTGAGGTATTTGTCGGCTGTCAGGTCTTTCCCCGTCTCCGAAACCTGGATCACTTCTTTGACAAAGGAAGAGTGGGTGCTATCATATCTGCGATGTCAATCACTGTTGAGTCGTCCGCGCCGGGTGTCCAGTGGGACGTCTCCAGCGCCCACCCGGAAGTTCGGGCGGGAGGTCTCATACAAATGGTGACACGAGGAAGCGCCCGGGAGAGTTCACATCATAGCGGAACTGATAAGATTGCAGAAAGGTCGACGCCGAACAGATAACTGTCTTGACGTCACGCGGGAGTGACAGCACAGCGAAGTGGTCTCCGCGGGACAGGACGAAACATGTCTTTCATCTTCTAAGCACAATGGAGATTTGGAATGAGAAGTTTGACTCGGGGAGCAACCACGCGCTTATCATCCACGTTGAAAGAACGCCAAATGGCAAGCACAGGAGACAGCTCGGCCCACGAGTGAGGAGAACATATCACTGATGCGCGACAACACGGTGTTGCAGACAATAGGTGGGTGCCATCATGACTCGAAGCCGAGACGGTTGGCATCGCTGATAAGAACCGCAAGTTATCAGTATCGAAGACTCAAAACGTGTAGTTCCCCGCAACAACAGGTCTCACTTTGATATGCACATGCTTCCGAGGGCAGTGCATCATTTCTAGAACATCTCCGAGTGGGCTTCGAAACTCGCCACGTCCGGGACCTCATCTGGCGCTGGACCTACACCGGCCTGCATCGGGCGCTTGGGATAAGTAGACGCCCACAACGTTTCTGGATGCGCGAAAGGGTTCGACCAGGTTCGACCGCACAAAATGACTCACGGACCCCAGACGCGAATAATCATTCTGCAGACGGGGCCACCATCTTCATCATGATAGGGACCTCACCTCAATCGCGGGAACTAAACGAAAATGGAAAGAAGACGGTCCTGAATGGGCTTATGACTTGTTTGATTGGTATACGGCAAAGGCGTGTGGGTAAGTAAATTATACAGCAATGCCTGGAGGCCCAAATAGAGAGAGAGAGAGAAATGCTGGGCCAAGAGCAGAATAATACATCTGGAAAAATAAGAAGTCCATGCGGGAATTTGATGAGGATAATAATACAATGAAGCATTGCGATGAGAGATGCAGAGAATGCCACAGATGAAGAGCGGACAAGATGCTACCAAACAGCCGGTGCAGCAAATGCAAACATTTTGTTCTTGAGAGGATGGACAGACGGCAGCTCGCCAGCAATGCGAAAACCCGCGACATCGCTCTTGGCACCGTCGTAGATTCTTGCGTTGTCGTCCACAGGGCCCGTCGGTGTGGGAGGTGACAATGAAGAAGCAGGAGACGTCGTTGCAGAGTGGCTTTGGCCGGGCGTATCCGGCGAAGTGGGCGAACCGGGCTTGTAGATGGTATTTGGGGGGACGATCGGGGCAAGCTGTGAGGGCTTCGTCGGGGATGCTTGGCGCTGCGCCGAGAATGCCGGGATCGGACTCGTCGTCGTGTTGGGATCGGGTATCGGGGTGGCTGATGGCGTCGCCGCAGCTTTGGCTGCGCGCTTCGAGACTTGGTGGAGGGAATACGTCGGATATGGCCCCTTCGCCCCGGCTGCAAAGTCGGTCTGGACCAAATTTTGAAACTGGCTGAGGATAGGCTCGTCGACAGTGAGTTCCCAATCCAGATAGTTGCACATCTCTCGCTCCATCTGATTGATCTCTCGCAAGGTGAACATCCCCTGGGCCACTATACTCCACGATTTGTTCGAGTAGGTGTCGTCGCAGATGACCTTGGATGCAATCATGAAAGCGGAGATGAACAATCGATGTCCCGACGAGCCACGTGCAGTGGGGAACCTCGCTTTTAAGCGCTGTAACAGGACAAGAGCGGCGTACGTGACCGCCGCGTGCAGTTTGGTTCGGTGCAGAGCATAAGCAATAAAATAGGGTAGTTTCGCCTGCGAGTGAGATGATTGCGGGGGAAATGGGGGACATGCGAACAGGTGCGTGATGAAGCGTGCGCTGAGGGAGGCGATATATTCGTAGCCGTAGAATGGGTCCGACTTGCTCGATGGTGGGATCTGAGCCTGAACGATGAAATAATGAGCACCAAAGAGTGTGGGAAAACTCTGGGTCGCACGGGTGGAACTGGATAGCTTTGACGCTGGTTGTGAGGCACCTTCTGGGGTGGGGCAGGTTGGGCATGTCTTGTAGCCATGGGGCGTGAATTGGGTCACGAGATAGGAATGCGAGCAGTGGGTCTATAAACGGTGCGCGGCCAGGATGAGCATCACCGACATATAAGAAGTTTGCAAGCGAAAGAGCAAGGTCTTTATTATGGCCTCAGAGGGCGTGGCTGGGATCTGAGATCCCAATCCCATCAGCCCATCATAAAAACTTTTTGTCCGGGCTCATAGTCCTTTTGAGACGAAGCACGGCCAGTGCTGGACGGGAAGGAAATGCGAAGGAAGAAATGGGACTCACCTAGATGAGTGCGGTAGGAGGGACCAGTGCGCGGTAACTGGAGGTCAAATGAAGACCTCAGTGATGATGGATTGAATTGTTCGGCCTGGAGAGTAGGGTCGAAGGAGAGTATCGAGAATGAGCGGCGCGTTTATAAAGAGCGGAGAGAGCAACGCGTGGCCGATGCGATGGTCGGGGTTCGTGGGTGGTTGGGTTCAAACAGATGATTCCGACAACAGTGCCTCAAAATGTCATTGTGTAGCATGTGACACTGTGACAACGCCTCGCTGATTTTCCGACGTCGGCCTCCAGGGCCTCCTGTGCTGAAGGGCGGTCCGACATCATTCCCGCCCCCTGATATGGGTATCCAAGCACATTAACTCCGGCCATATGGTGATCGATGACTGGGAAACGAGCAGTTCACTGTCCAGCACAGCAAAGCGATCGGCATTTCTGCGTCGAATCGAGTCACTCGCCACCGCCTGTGACTGTTGCCGACGTGGCGGTGGGTCGATATAGGTGGCACGGGTTTGCCTTGGGCTTACGGACGCTTCTTGTCCGGAATGGCAGCCTCGGAGCGTTTTTCTCACCGGACCGAATGCCCGGGTCATGCTGGCCACGACCTCGAGACGAGGTTCCTCTCATCCATCGTGTCAAGCTATGTGAACGCGGCCGAACTGCGGTAGCCTGCGAAGTCTAACTAGTTCATTCTCCCACAAGTGCACGGGCGGAGCCACTCGGACTTGCAAAAATGTTATTTGGCCGTGGCTGTGCCCAGGCGTCGGTTCGCCAAGTACTTTGCGCTTTGACTCGGTGGATATCCCCTATCAGGCGCTGCAGGCCCAAGTTAGATTTTCCGGTACACGTGCTTTTGGCCAAAATCTGATTGCAGAACATCAGCATCGAGTGTCCTTCGAATTCGCTCAGTCATGCATGAGTTATCGCATCAACGACATGTGTTGTTCTCACGGACCGCTATCAGAACCAGGAAGATCGTTCATCGTTCAGAGTGGAATGTCAATGCGTGCCGGAGACATGCCCCAAACATGCTGCCGCTTCTGTTACTCGTGGGGGTGGGTGGGAACGTTCTGGATTGAATACCCAATCATGATCGACTGTGATTTCTTCTGCACCGAGGACCTCCGATTTTGACACAGAACTGCTCTTCTATGATTTCTGGCCCTCGTTTCTTCCATCGCGCCTGTAAATGTTATCACCTGATCGCGTCACAATCAGATCACGTGCCTAGAGCCTGATGTGATCCTTCCGATTTGTCAACTCTTACTTACTTACCTACCTGTCAGGGCTGCACCTGATACATGCTACCTATTACTGGCACTTACCAAGGACACGGCAGGGGATCTGAATGCCTGACAAGATGCTTGCAGCGAGGTTCATGCCGCCTTCCATTTTTGCAAAGGGCCATCCATGTCTCGGCTCTTGGCAGCCCCGAGCCTGGCTCATCGGAGCCGGCCAGTGCACGAATTCAGAAGACTGAGGCTGATACAGGCTGATACGTGTAACACTGCACGCAAATGCGACAGCGGCGCCAGCACCTCTCTCGAAGGGCCCTCTTTTGCATGGCAGACGCATGCAGCCGTCCAGGGCACTCTTGCGAGCTGCTTCAGAACGCTTGAACGCTAAATTGCAGACTCCTGTGATTCAAGCCAGTAGAAATTTATGTGCTCATTTGAGTGCTCTGCGTTCTACTCCTAGAATTCTGGTATGGAATTATCTGATCAGCAGCCGAGTAGAGGCCGTCTGGGAAGGATACAATACTGCACGCGGAACATCCGGCATTGGTGAGAAAGTATCAGGATGGTTCACCGAGCAATGGATACCAAGCATTGCATCCGGCACTTGCGGAACGAGATGCAAGCTCTGGTGCATACTGCAAATGACAGGGTTGAATGAGGGGCATGATTCACTCAAATTCCGTTTTGTATCAGGACTCAACAAGAGGGGTTACTGATTGCCATCCGCAAAACTTTTGTAAAACACCCAGGCATCGACATATTCTTCACCCGCTCCGTCTGCGCGGACAAGCCGTCCCGCTTTGGGGATCAAACCGGCCTTTTGAAAATTGAGGCCCTCCCAGAGCCTAATCAATATCAATACAAAGATCACCATAGGTTTAGGCGCTTACTTGACAGAGGCTGTGTTATTGGTGTAGACCAAGTTAAAGACGCTCGCTTGGTAGCCCAATTTGGGCGCATAGTGCAGGAAAGATTTGGCTAAAGCGGATCCGTATCCATGTCCGCGCTGGATCGGGGGCACAACAAATCCTCCGTTGCAGATCTGAACAGCGTCAGGTCAGGAACAGTAGAGTCAGAGGACTAACGTGTGATGATCTGCCGGGATAGTTGGGTTTCACCTGGAATTGTGAGTCACACAAGAGGCACCACCGGCGTCGAGCCCGGAAGAAAACGAACATAATAATAGCCCGCGACGCATTCCTCCCACGATCGTTGACCCCGAGCTTCATCCAGAGTCAATGCAGCCGCGGCCCCCTCAGAGACCGTGTCACCGGTATCAACGAGCCGGGCGATAGCCAGAAATACATCTCCGGCGAAGAAATAGCCCTCGAACGCATCCAGAGGCATCACTTCTTGGGGGTATGTTCGACCATCTTCAATCACCTGCGCCATTACTCCACCTTCCGAAATACAACGATGAGCATCTCGCTGGCTGACTCGAGTGTCATTCCGGTACCGAGGTATCCGATCAGCCCCCCTTCCTTCTGCGCCGTCGAATGGGTGAGATGATGAATTGTGATCGCGGACCGATTGCCTGGGGTGGAAGAGCGCCCGGCGATCCAGACGGTGGACGGAAGGAGGCACTCCGTGCTTGAGGCTTTAGCGATCGCACCGTAGGCGGACATGTCGTAGTAGAACGTCGTCAACGATAAGTAAAAGTGCAAGGTTTAAAATATGTTGATCAATTCAATGATCGATCAAGCCTTACCTCAGAGTCTTTCACCAGCGCAGCCTTCTAGTCCACTTGCAGCTGGCTCTCGCGCTAAGTACAAATATCTTCGTTTCCTAACCAAGTAGTTATTCCATCCTCCCCCAAAATCCAGGCTTCCAGGCAAAGCCGCAGTAGCAAATAGCACCATCTGTCGACCGGAGGTTTCCAGTAGATCTGCCGAGTACCTTCCACGGGAACTCTAGACCTCCGCTCTGTCCTTACTCATTCCCGACACCTAGCGGCTTCATTTCCTCTTCTTGAGAACGCGAATCAGGACGGTGCGGACCGGATTGAGAAACGTCCGCGAGAAGGCGGGGGCAAGATATAATGAGGCTGCTACGCGGACAGGGAGAAGCGCCTGGAATATGTGAGTATTACGGTTACGTATGCACGAACACGTATCATGGGCCAAGCACCTTGGTAGCAGCATAAGCAACGACTGCGTTGGCTACATCGCCGGCGATGGTCCCAGAACCCTTCATCTCAGATTCCTGTTCTCGGCCGGCCTTCTCGAATCCGAATACACCGTACCGACGCCCGACGCGCGCGGCCCACTCCTGGCCGTCGTCCATCCAGTGAGAGCATCTTTGCACCATCCAATAGTCTGAATCCGAGGGAATGGCGGCGACGACGCGGTCTCCCACTCCCAGCGTGCGCGCGCCGTAGAAGATACCAACCAGAGGCACCAGTGCTGTAATTTCGTGCAGGATGCCAAACGAGAGTAAGAGTGAGGACAGTGGCGCGCCTGTGCGCGCAGAGACTGATTTCAGAGCCTCCCGATAACGGTCCAAAGCAGACATCGGTATTGATCACGGTCTCACAGACGGAGACTCGTGACGGCGAATCAGCCTGAGGGTTGCACGTGATGAGGAATTTTGCCATCCGGTTCTCCGAATCCATTACTGCATACCCCGCCACTGGCTGCCTCCAGCCATGTTGACTAGGAATACCGTTCGGCGCTGCATCTCGACCTGCGGGCCTACGCGTGCACTATTGCACTATTCCTCGTCGCGCGCCAACTCGTCACAATTTCCGTACAATGCTATGCGTCTGCACACAACACCTCAGAAGGAAACAGCACAGTATCCCGAGTGGAACCACATCCAGGGCTGGAGGAATGTCGTCTTACGTACCTCCACGCGGATAGCCTCCCCCGTCGACGCTCTTGCCCTCGTTCGGGCAGTTCAACAACAATTCGGTCGTGTGGCTGAATATCGGTTCAACCGGGACGGAGAAGACCGCGGCCAGTACCAATTCATGGCGTATCTCTCGTTTCGGGACTACGAGTCGTATGCTCGCGTGCCGGAAGAACCTGTCCAGTTGCGAATCCGGGTCCCCGTGGGCGAACGAGATCTGCTCTCGGGAGGCGTCGGTCTGGAAGACTTGGCCCCATGGCTGGATTCGCTGCAGGGACAAGACGGAACCGTTGATGCAGAGGTAGAATCTCAGTTCGATAACACTGAAAAGGCGCCAGAGGGCTCGAGATTCATTGTGTTCGTCGTTCAAAGAAGTGTGTGCTCCTTTGCGGTAGCTATGCGTTCTCAATGCATGCCCCACAGACCAGGGACGCTTCCAAACGTCGCATTCATCACCACCCTCCTACAACTCACGCTTCCACAACAGTCTCACGCGCAGCTTTCTGAGGTGGCGAGGATTTGCGGACCTTCCTGATTTGGACGGAGACGTCCAACTTGACCGCCGATTCATGTGGATGAATGGCGCGCCGGTTGACCGCCCGCATATGCGGCACCAACTATCGATATGGGGCGATCCGTACGCTCTTTCGCCGCGACCAAAGCGACCCGAGGTGAGCGATTGCGGCACTGTCGAGACCAATATCAAATGACCCTTGAATCAGCCCGTACCCCAATCTACCAGCGTTCCCGAGTCGGCGCTTCCCTGGATGAACGTTCAGTCCTCCGATCCATCTGTAGAAGAATCTCGGGAGACACACCCTGAGGTCGACATTCCGGCAGCTGGACAGGTATCGGAAGTAACTGCCGATCTTCCAGCAGTTTCACTGGAACTGGAAGCGCGTGCCGATCTCCCGCCAGCTGCACTGGATTCGGAAGTAACTACCGAGATTGTGACCGAGCAAGAGATCGCGCTGGAAGCCGAGCCGGAGCCTTCAGCGGCTGAGCTGGAACAACAGCAGGCTGTAGATCTTGAACTGGCTCAGAGGAATCTGGATGAGCAGCAGAGAATCAGGGAGAAACAAGCTGCTGTCGCTGCTACCAATCGTCGCATGCAAGTCCGGGCTGCCCGAAGTGTTCCGAAATCGCTCGAGGAGAAATCAACCAAGGCCGAGAAACCACTGAACAAGGTCGACCACCAAAAGAAGTCACAGCCACACTCGAAGCCTTCCTCTTTGTCTCAAAATTCCAGGGCTCCTCCAACCGTTGGCTCAAAACCGAAGTCTTCTCCCTTACCCCAAAGGCCCCGGATATCTCCAACGACGATCAGCTCGAAACCGAAGCCTCAGGAGCCGATCGTGGAGCAGCCCGACACCAGCCGCATCGATGTCGAGGAACGGCAGGCGGGGATGACATCTAGACTAAAAACCTTTGTTGGCAAATGGATTTAGTAGAGCATTGAAATCATTTCATCCCTCAAGTAGCCCGTGACATGACATCGATCACACGCACTGAGTGGCTGTATCCAGATCACTCGCACATTTCCGAGTCGACGGCCAAAATCTCTGCGCATAATTTGGACGCAACCCATGACTCCAAATAATCTAGACTCCTTTATCGTCTCAAAAAAGCCACCACCAGAAGCGCTTGCTGCCTCTCAAGAAATCCGGGACCGCGGCTCTCTATTTTCAGCAACGATTTACTCGGCTACTTCACCGTCACAAGCTTCAGCATGCATAACACACGTTCGGAACGTCGTTCATGCGCTGAAACCTGCTTCCCACGAGATGAGTGCATGGCGTTGCATGGTGGTCAAGCAAGGTTCTACTGGATTGGGCGGTCCTGAAGACTTTGAGGTGCGCGAGGGTAGCTCAGATGATGGTGTGTAATCAACGCTGTTCCCTGTTCCTTTGTTCACCCGATCTGCCGTACATAGGCGAACGCTGGGGCGGCGAAAAAATACTCGGTCTGATGCGCAAGCAGGGTGTCCTTGATGCAGTCGTTATCGTCAGTCGATGGTACGGCGGTGTCATGCTTGGTCCTGCTCGGTTCAGCCATATCGAAACATGCACCGTCGAAGTTTGTCGAGAGTTCAGACGCAGGGAGGAAGTCAGCGAGGCCCTATCGACCTTGAACACCCTTGACGACATTCTGAAGCAACTGCGCACGGAGCTAGCTGTCTTGCGGCAGCAAAGCGCTGGAACTGAACGGAAAGCTGCCGAGTACTCTTCTTGGATAGACCAGGATCTTCCCAAGGCTCGAAGGCTGATCCGGGCTAGAGAGAGCGCAATTAGCACCGTCAAGGAACTTATCGTGAAGGAGCAGACGGCCAGTCAAGCGCCGCCGCCTCCATGATCGAAGACGCACGTTCCTTCTCTATCCGGCTGCGCCGCCATTCTGTTGCATGGGACGGATCTCACAACACTGCACTCCATATCTTGACCGCTTGGGTGCACGACTGAAGTGAACCACATGTTACATGCACGGTCCGGGAAAGTGTCTGACCATCGCAAGGTACCCCAACGATCATGCAAGGATGATATCATGCAGTAGACTCATCGTCATCCCAGATGCGGTCATCTCAATTCATCCGGGGTCCCCTTTGACTCGGGACCACACAGCATCAGAAAGAATTATTGCTATCCGTGGAACGTGGCGTTCGGCGTCGATGTGGCCTGATGGAGGTCGATACAGCCGATCAGCTGCATCGATAGCATATCATGTTATCAGAGGCAGAGGAGACAGCATCCAGTTTGCGCATCAATATCTCTGATTCTATACATAGCCAAGCATTAGAACATGAACCCAGGTAACCTAACTTTCGCATGTCCGTCCTCTCAACCACCGTGATCATCTCGCACCGCCATACCGCACTTTGCGGCCAATGTCAAAGGGAACATACTTGTACTTGATCATGTGCCTGTGGGAGCTGATTAGCATTGCCGACTGCTACTTGCACTTGAAAACCCACTGAATCTGTCGTCGCATGGTCAAGGAGAACAGGACGAAGAAGTATACAACAAGGATGGGCCAGTACACCGGGACATCGAACACTTCTGAAAATGTGCAGAAAAGCGCGATGACCGTTGCACGCGTGGCCGACAGCCTGACGGATAGACGAGGTCAGCCCTGCAGAGGTTGGCACCCAGCATTGACAAGCAACGCACCAGAACTGCCATTCCGGGAGCCGGCGCACGAATGGACGGAATTCATCGTCGCGCGAACTTGGAAGCGACGACGTGTCACCGGTCCCGCCCTCTGCGTCGTCCGCGAGCAGGTCTTCTTGCAACGACGGGTCAAATTTGGGTTGCAAAAAGGCCAAAAGAAGGTTCAGCAGGTAGATTGCGTGCGCGTAGCAGACTGCAGCGTGTACATGAAGGGACTTTATTTGCCGGACAAAAAACGCGGCGTACCAATATACCACTGCGCGCGGAGACAAACGTTAGACAAAATGTCCGTTACGACTGAGATAGGAAAAACGAACTCACCCCTTGTGCAAAGATGATGCGCAGGAAAAAGACCGACAGCAGCCCCCCAGTTCCCAGCCAGCGATTGAGAGTGTAAGGTGTCCAGTGGTCAAGCAGTTGTTGGTACATTCGTTGCGCGCGAGTAACTTGTCCCTGAAGGTTTTGTACGGGCGTTTGATCCATTTCTGAGGCAGACATCATGGTCGACGTGCTCGGTCGTGCTCGTTGCTGCGGATGGAGGCGGCCGGTCGTGTCAGGCAAGGTACAAATGTGAGAAGTTTGGCGACCTTTGGGCACCTTCCTCTTTAGGACGCGGGCCGCGCTTGGGCTGGTAGTCATTGTATCCACTGAACGAACACCTGTCTTCACTATAACGCTCATCGATTTGACCTATGGCTGGGGGATTTGGGCCTCCGCTGGGCGGGTCTTCGCTGGAAGGATCTGAATGGCGGGGCGAGGCTCGTGTCGTCGGTCCGCCCTGGACACATCTAATAACACTCACAATCGGACTGCTCGGCGTGCAAGTATTCTGGAGCGTCGAAATGTCATACGGCTCTCCATACCTCATCTCGCTTGGCTTCAGCACCTCCCACGTCGCGCTCGTCTTTCTGGCCGGCCCGTTCTCCGGACTGGTCGTGCAACCGCTCGTAGGGGCATATGCCGACACCTCCACCTCTCGCTTCGGACGGCGCAGGCCATATATCCTTGTCGGATGTCTGCTTTGTGTGGTGGGAATGCTGCTGCTTGGGTACACGCGCGGCGTCGCGGGTCTTTTCACGACGTCAGGCTCGTCTGCGCACTCGACCCTCACGATGATCCTCGCAGTCGTCGCGATCTTCCTCATCGACTTTTCCATCAATGCAGGTGTGTGGTTCCTCGTATGCGACTTGCTGAACCGAACCTCCATGTCTCCAGTGCAGGCGGTTGACCGCGCGCTGGTCGTCGACACACTGCCTCCCTCCCAACAAGCAGCGGGAAATGCTTGCGCAGCCCTGATGCTGGGCCTTGGCGCCGTTGTAGGTTTTTTCGTGGGGAACTTGCCGTTGGTATCGATGCTGTCTTTTCTCCACGCAGAGTCGGAGCTGCAGGCGCTCTCTGGCCTTGTTTCCATGATCCTACTCGGATTCCATCTCGTCACAGCGATTCTTGTCAAAGAGCGGGTGCTTGTCGGATCACACGACACACCCAGACCGTCGTTGAGGCACGAGTTCCGTGAGATATGGTCCAACGCGCGGTCATTGCCCACAGTCATCAGACAGATTGTGAGCATTTCGCTCGTTTTCTTCTCGGATCTCACATCTGAACATCTGCTGCAGTGCTTGACCCAGTTCTTGTAGGCTTCCGGTTGGTTTCCGATTCGAGCTGCTCTCTTATGTGCTGCAGTGCATGGCTCGGTTGGTTCCCGGTTCTGTTCTACACGACCCTGTACATCACCGACGTGTATATGCGTTCGGCAATGAATGTGCCACCGAGCAGGCGCGAGGACACCGCTGACTTGGACGAAGCCACCCGTTTAGGTGCCCACGCGCAACTGCTTTCTTCGATTCTTTCTCTGGCGACCAACGCTCTTTTGCCTCTTTTGACTGCACCGTCGTCAATGACGTCATCGCCACACACAAAGTCAGGGACAAGACAGTGGCTTCCGCAGTTTTCGCTGCCCATGTTGTGGGCTGCAAGTCATGCCATATTTTCATTGTGCATGATCGGAAGCTTGTGAGCATTGTCTCGTGAGATGGCGCAGACTGCTGACAATATTGGGTAGCTTCGTACAGAGTGTTGCTGGTGCGACAGTCTTGATCGTGTGTACCGGGTTTTCCTGGGGCGTAACCCAATGGGCGCCGTTTTCTCTGGTCAGGATGTCGTCAGGTGCTCGAGTCTCTCACTGACATGTCTTTCTAGCTAGCGGAGGCGATCCTGACCTCGAGTCCGACCCCTGACGCTCATTATATTCAGCTCTCGGACCATCGTAGCGCGACGAACCTCGTCACAGACGAAGAAGACGAGCGACAAGCCTTTCTTGTCGCTGAGGAAGACGAAGAAGAATCTGATGAGGACGCCGAATCGGTCGAGACGGCTACTCCAACAAAAGGCATGGGCAAGGCTCAGGTCTTATTGGGGAACTCGTTGGCACAGATGAGTGTCGTCGATGTCACCACTCCAAGATTGCCGGCTCCAGAGCCGGAGATAGTCGACGTTGAACCCAGAGCCGCCGCCGTCGGAGGACTCGGTGCCAAAGCTGGCGTGATTCTGGGCATTCACAACATATTTATCGTGATCCCTCAGTTCCTGATCACAGGATTTTCTGCAATTGTATTTGCAGTGCTGGATGGGGGCCAAAAAAAGGGAAGAAACTCGGTTGTATATATATTTCGGTGTGTGCCGACTGTCATTTGGAAGATTGCCACTCATTGTCGGCAGAATCGGGGCGATATGGGGCGCAATTGCGTTTGTGCTCGCTTGGCGATTGGCCCGCGAGCTGAGACGAGGCAAAAGTAGTATAGCCGGACATTTGATTACTTAATCGACTACACGCAAAGTGACATGACGGCACTAGCCCTTGAGTTTCTTCATCCTCGGTGCATCGTCCTCCGGGGCTTCCGACTGCCTGGCGCGCTTCTTCCCTTTAGCCTTTTTCTTCTTCTTCGCCTTGGTATTTGGGTCGTCGTCTACGTCATCCTCTTGGTCAGGTCGGTACTCCGCAGACTCAACATCCAATCTCCGACTCCTCCTGGTCCTCAGCGGACTTCCGGACGCAGCCGCAGCGACACCTTCCATCTCGGCTGTCCGGATCCTCCTATCGGCGGGACTCTCCAGCTCTTCGTCGGTTGAGTCGCCGCGCTGGGAATAGGCCCATGAAGGGGTCGGAGATCCCCGCCGCCGGCCGCGTGAGACGGATGCGTTAGTCGACGTTGAGCCTGCATTTGATACTGGCGGACGGGGACTTGAATCCGGATTGGTGACTCTGGACGACCGCTCTCTTTTCAAAGGCTGTAGCTGCTTCTTGACCCCTCTGACCTCTTCACCGTCTCTGGGCAGATAGAAGACCTCCCCCTCCCTGAGAATGTCCAAACCAACAAGTTGCCGCACGATGCCAATGAGATCGCTGCTGAAGTCGAGTCCCTCGATGTCACTGACCATCCGGTGGCTGTCCTCAGTCGTCGCATCACCGAGATCTCTGATGTCCGCTTCGGCAATTAGATCCGATGAGCCGAGCGAGCAGCCTGGAACGATGAAACAGATACGAGGGCTGTCTGGGTTTTCCGAGTCCTCTGGCAGGTCGATTCGACGATATCGGCACTGGGACCGAGTCATTGGTGATGTGTTAGTAGATGTTGTGGCGGGCAGGGTCGGAAGAGAAGCGACACTGGAGGACGTAGAGCTCGTCGATGGCGTGCGTTCAACGCTTGGTCGAATAGTCGTCATCGAGTTCTGACGGACCGGTTTCACTGAATGTCGGTGCCAAAGCGTGGGCGGAGCCACTGGCGGGGGTGGTGGCGCTGGAGGCGGTGGAGGAGGTAAGGCATGCGCCGTTCGCTGTATTGTCACAACTCGAGGTGAGGGCGAGCGGGATGGGACCAGAAGCTTGGAGATCATGCTTGAGTTCGACGACGTTTCTTCTGCATTTTCCTCGTCTGACTCAATAGCCTTCTCTTTACCCTTGGACCGAGCCCTGGCAACGGATCCGACGCTGACTTTGCTGGCTTTCGAAGTCGCCGACTGGTCATCGTTGTCGTCGTCATTCTCGTCGCGCTTGCGTTTAAGTGTCCCAGAGCTACACGGGCTTGAGAATATTCGTACATTAGATGAGAACAGAAGACGCACTCTTGATCAGATGTGATGACTTCCGCAAAATCTCGAGTAACAGCAGGAGGCGTTCTTTCTGATTCCTCATGTTTTGCATCCATGGCAGCAGATGAGATTGGTTCTGGTTGGGGTTTTTCTTCAACAGCAATATTTTTTACCCCGGATTCAGCATCGATTTCCGTCGAGGCAATGACAGGTTCGAAAACCGATTCAATCACAGGCTCTTCGACTGTGGGGGTATCGAGCTCTGAGTCGTCGCCGAGAGAGACTTCGTCGCCATCCGCATCCGCATCGGAGCCAGAGTCGTCCCTCGACGCTGTGTTGGCGTCCTCCTCTGCCGATCGTTCGTCGACCGTGAATAAGTTTCGTTCCTCGAAAACAGGTTCGTCAACGACAGGTTGTTCGACGGATTGCTCGTCTGTGGTGGAGTTAATGACGGTCCGTTTCTCGAGGGCTCGCTCGTCATCGATGACTGAGCTTGGCGCATCGGTGACAACAACTGGATCGTCAATGGCGGTAACTGGATCTTCGAAAACAGTGTCTGACTCGTCGACAACAGCAACTGTATCATCGACAACAGCGACTGAATTGTCGGCGATTGTATCTTCACCGGCAGGAATGGCAAGGATTGAACCATCGTCTTCGCTCTTTACATCGTCAGAGACCGCACTTTCGTGCTGGGAAACAGAACGGTCATCCCCGATCAATTCATCTTCAAGGGATGATTCGACGACCGCCCCATCTGGCACCCATTCAAGAGCTGATGGTTTGCCCACGTCCTTGTCGAAGTCCTGGCCTCCGTCAGAATTCGGATACCCCAACTCGACTTCATCTTGCCCGTCAGCGACATCGGAGTCTCGATTGCCAGCAGCTTCCTCTCCCTGTACTTCTTCCAGTGCATCCGATTTTGGCAACGTGGTATCAACCGTTCTGAGCGAGTGATCAACGTTTGGCCGCTCCACTGTGCGAATGAGAAGCACGTACCTCAGATCGAAATCAAGTGAAACCGGAGCCGGTGGTGGGCTGGATGCCCGGGATGAGAGACCAGAGACGGGAGTGAACAAGCTTGCAGACGTTGTCCGGGCCAGTAACAGAGAGGGGAGCACAGTTTGGACTAGCGGGGGCGAGCCGGGATAAGGGTCGGCGACATTTTCGTTGGCAAGGATTGGCATCGGAATCGGGTCGAGTAGAGGAGAAATGGTCTGGTCCCCATGAATGGGGTGTTCGGGCAGAGTAGGATTAACCAGGGCCTCATCCTGCACAGGAAGTTCTGCTTGGTCTGCTTGTTCAAGCGATTCGACTTTCTCCAAGAGTTCGGCATCCTCTGAAGGTTCGACATTTTGCGAAGATTCAACTGATTCGAGCAGCTCGACTTTTTCGGACGCCTCGGCAGTACATGCATTGTTTCCAACTTCCTCGACGACAGTCGTGACACCCGCACTGATCTTCATGTGTCTCTCCTCCGTCGGCTCCTCTTCTGTAGACAATCGCGAATGAGGCTCGACGGAGATATTGCGCGAGATGGAGGGGTTTGTGACTCCTTCAACTTCTCCGTTGAGATCAGGCTCTTCTCTCTCGGTATCTTCAGCATGTTCTTCAACATCGTAGTCCGTCATAGGTTCCTCCACAAAGAAAACGCGGTTTTGCGGTTCGATAGACACGGTGCGCGAAATGACGCGAGCTTCAGACTGCCCGTCTGTGCCTTCTGTCTCGCTTTCAGCTTCTTCCACGACATAGCCGAAACCAACGCCAATCTGCAGATAATAGTCCTGTTCAGAAGCCGTGAGAGGCGCGCTCGGATCCGTAGGCACCGCTTCAAACGTCGGCAACTCGTCGCTCGAGTCGTCGAAGATTTCTAGCGGTGGAATCCTGGGATCGCCGTCTTCATTGTCTTCGTCGTCGTCATTTTGATAGTGAAGGGTATCATCCCAGCCAGTGGCTGAGCATCCTGAGTATCGGAGTGAAGCCTTCAAGGCAGACGCACCATCAACTCCGAAATCTGGGGATGATGTCGCGATCGGACTTGAGCCCGGGAGAACATCAGCATAATCCACGGCGAGCTCGTCATCGCCAGCGTCTATATCGGCTTGCAGTAGTTCGGCAAGTGTCAGATGCTCGTTTGTTGAGATGGGAGGTGGAGAGGAGCCTAGCGGCTTCACTTGTTCGTCGTCGCCGTCGTAATCAGCTACCACCTCAGACGGATCCGCATGCGGGGAAGAGCCGATCTGGTCCTCTTCAGCCAATTCGTCCATCTGCTTGTCTTGCATCAAGTAAACTGTCTCGACAGGTGGCGCTGAAACCAGCTCAATAAGGGAGCGGGCACGATAAAAAACAGTCACCATATTCATTCTCCTCCTCGGATTCCGAACCGGTCTCAGCTTCGTCTTGATCTTCGTGACTTTCATACCTGAGAAAGGGACTGTTTAGCGCCAGCTCTTCGTGGTTCTGGACCATGTCCTCGTCCGAATAAACCTCGACGATGTCGGCTTCATCCATCTCTTCCTCCGGCTCCTCATCTTCGGCTGGTTCGTCATCTCGAGCTGAAACGTTGTGCTTCCGCGACCAACGCGCGTGCGCGCGAGCTGAGCTCTCCCCGTGTCTGATGGCCAACTCTTCTTCTTCTTCGTCGTCGTCATCCTCCTCCTCATCATCCTCTTCTAGTTCCTCCTCCTCCCCTTCTTCGAGATCATAATCCACTCCCTCTTCATCCTCCTCCTCCTCCTCGCCCTCCAGATCTCGTAGACGCAACCGTAGTCGCGGTCCCCCTTCGTCCGCTTCTTCGTCATACTCCGCTCCGCTGTCTTGTCCTTCCTCATTCCCATCATCAACCTCATCCTCGTCAGATTCCATGTCAATTTCGATAGGCGCGTCGCGGTCGCCCCGACCAAGTCCAGGTCCCTCGCGTGGGTCGCGCCCTTTGCCTTTCGCGTCTGCGGTGGTAGGTTGTCGCACGTAGTCCTCCTCCTCTACGTCTTCGCTCGCACTCCGCGCCACATGCCACTCCTTCTTCGTCTTTACTTTGTCCGCACTCGTCTCGGCGCGAAACCCGAGCGCGCCCTTGAGAGCGCTCGTGATATCTCCGATCCATTCGTCAAACTGGGGTTGAGTGAACTTATCATAGGGATTTATGACGGGGGCGCGGAGGGCGATGGGCTTCGGTGCATGTCGCGAGCGCGAGTAACGCGACACTGAGGTAGAAAGTGACTGAGTGGTGGAGATCGAGCTGGGGAAGGAGCCTATGGGGGCGGAGGAGGAAGAAGAATGGGAAAAGGAGGCGGATGAGATGCGCGCATTGCCATTGCTACTGAAAAAGGGTGGAGAGGACATGATTTCGCCGTAGAGAGCAAGGTCACGACATGCGAGTCTGCGACAAGGCGAGGATTGATGTAAAGGGCACGTGCGCTACAAACTAAAGCAATTATTACGCGTAACGCGTCATTCATTGACTTGGCCGGGACGCGCAGGCTTCGAGTAATATAAGGATTAAAAAGATTGCGTTTGCACAACAAGTCTTCTCTCGTCTATGAGAATACGTAGAGATTTCCCCAGCCAAGACGGTTTGTCCTCACCGAAGCCCAACTGCGGTCCGTCTCCGAAGAAAACGTAACCCGGAATGTATCGGTCTACGAAACTAGACACGGCTCAGATTGAGTTGAGGAATATCTGGGTCTCAAACGTACGTTTTGACTGCAGCATCTGACATGCCCAGCCCACCGTTTCGGTCTTTCATGTAGTGCTCTTGTTCCAATCGCCATTTATATATCACAGAAAGCGGAGAGCTCAAATCACCGGTGGATGAGAACGGTTGGAGCTGCAAGCCGGGTCATAAGCCATTTTACTGTCAGATCATATTACTCACCTGAATAAAGATGTCGAAGAGATTCCACATGGGGACATACTCTTTGAGAGCTTCGTTCACTCGTAGGATATCTTCCTTCCTGATGAAATCCACACTGAGACCAAGACGCGTGCTTTCTTCCTTCCAGGAACCGTCCCATCGCTCATCGATCTCAGCCGGAGAGATTGGATAGAATCCCACACACCACCCCTCGAGGACAACAATGTCAACGGGAGGATGAACGATGAGCGCGCCGCCAGACCCCAATGGTAACCGATCACCCTCGCCATCGAACAAACTCTTCTCGAAGCGAGGCAATTCCACCGAGGCAGCGCCGGCCTTCACTCGACTGAGGACCTCCATTCCGAGCAACACATCGTGTGTGCCCGGCTGCCCACGCCCTTGCCAGAGTGTATTGGTGGGGTTATCACGAGCCAGCTTTACCAATCCCGAGTGAGGGAGGTATAGGTCGTCTAGTGAGAGAAGCGCTACGTTCAAGGATCGAGAGCGCAACTGCTCGACGAGAAGATTGGACGTATATGATTTCCCAGAGCCCTGCGGCCCTTGTAACGCGACGAAAAGTGGGCGTGTCCTCGAAAGTCCATCGATGACGTGCGCAAGGAGGGGAGCGAGCGCAGACATGCCGGGAGATGAGAACTAGATCCTAGTCCGTGATAAGATCATCGATGATGGATCATGCACTTCAAAATTACAACGGAATCCGTATGGGCTACATATGATATATACATGAATCGTCACGACTCGACGGTATTAGATGGGCATTCCTTGATCCGGCAGTCGTTCAATGGCGTATTTCCTCTTCACGACGTACATGAGTGGAACACCAGGAATCTGCCGGATGCGACGGCGGAGGTCTCGATCACAGGTCGCAACGATATAACACTTGTGCGAAGTGACCCTTTCAACAAGGCAGTCATCTGCGTATGTGCCCGAGTGTGAACATTTCAGACGCTCGAATCGGGGATCCCGTGCCACTCTGTCGTAAAAGTCAGATAAAGTCCCAGATGATTAGTATTGCTCACCTCAGAGCCACCCTATACCGCTGCCCTAGTTTCTCCAACTCGGCCATCACGCAGTCAGTTATGCACGGGATACCTGGGACCCAGCCTGAGATGCGCGGAGCAAGTGTCCAAGCTCCGACGACTCACATTTGGCATACAAGCAGTCCATCATCCCACTGACCAGCTCCAGTTTGTTTTGCAGACTGAAGTTGATGAAGTTGGTGTCGACGAGCACGCGATAGGGAGGCACGAGAGCGGCGTTGTGAGACAGGAACAAGGATGAAGCAACCTGCGGTCTTGTGGGCAGAGTGAGTTGACTGCACGCTCATCCGTTTCAACGTGGACTCACAGTCTTCGAACCGATTTCTCTTTGGCTTGTTCCTCTTTCAAACTTTGCTTCGCTTGATTCTCCTTGCTAGATGTGCAAGTGCTTCAGCGACAGCTTGCGGAACGATACAAGAGTACTCACAGCCGTATGTCATTCGGATTCAGCATCCGTTTGACCGTCGCAAATTTGCGTGTTTTCTTTGCTTTTCCCTTCGTGATACAATATGAGAGCGTATCCGTTATCAACTAGAATACCCACGGACCATGTTCTCGGGAACTTGGTGGTGTTCAAGGCGGAGGTGGCGATGAGGAAAACTTTTGACACGCTGATGTGTGATGGGAATGATTACCCGCTATCTACTCGTTATCTAATCTTGTGAAACGTAACGCCGAATGGCATTTGTGAAGTCAGGCAGAAAAAACCACAGTAAGCACTAATAGAACCCGAACGACGACCATTCGACTTTCTGAATAATTGGGTTCCGAATTGTCGTCAAAGATGAAGCCGGTGATGAGTGACCCAACGGTAAGTGACGACAAGGACACTTGCCAGCGGCCTTGCTTGAGCTTAAGGGCCAGCATAATCCCAAAAAGAAATCCAAACTCTTCCTTTCTTCCAACATCCTTTCTATTGAAGACACCCTCTTTTCTGACATCACTTGCCGTCCAATAATCTAACCGATGATTAATACTGTAGGAACAAATCTCCGACTGATCTTGACGAATCTCCGGACTTGTCTGGATTTCTAGCCCGCCGTCTCCATTACCCCACTCTGAAACCAAGTAGTCGGGCAACGCAAAGTCCGGTCGGCGTTTCAGCCTTTTCCCAAGCTTACAGCGGCATTGATGAAGATTGAGAATGCCAGATGTTTCAGTTATTAACATTAGACTATGAGCCGTCATACATGCATGTATTATAGTGACGCCTTGAGCCTGAGTTTCTTGAGTTTACATTCACGTTTTTCCAGACCCTGCGAGGAAGAAATGCACTGCTGATGGACGCGGTCAAGTCGAGGATCAGCGCCCCTTGCCCCATCAAGCAACGGAAGTATTTTCGTGTCTTGATTTTGCACTCCCATCTGACTGTCGTTGAAACATGCCAATTACTGATCCTGCTTCCTGTGCGGCCTTACGCTGTCGTGCACAGCTACTATCAGGAACCGCCACGCCCCCCATATAAATACTGTGAATTCACAGACTAGTGACTCACAATCATTCTCTTGCTTTAGACTGGCTGCGTTGCAAACTTCAACTCAATCTACGCCTGCGTATAATACAACTCTAATCATGTCGGAAATTCGCACTCGCACTCGTCGCCGGTCCTCCACTGGTATCGTCCACGTCCTCGCTTCCCCCCTCGCGTCGCACATGCCCTCGTTCCCCGACGCGCCGATCCCCCGCACACTGCTCGCCGATTTCGTAGCCTCCTTCAACGAGCTCCAGTCCTATCGCAGTGGCAGACCAGTCGTCCTAGACGGACAAAACCTCTCCATTGCTGCGGTCACCGCCGTATCGCGATACAGCGCCGGTGTCGAGCTCGATAGCTCGCCGCAGATCAAAGACCGTGTGCAGCGCAGTCGTGACGTGATAGTCAAGAAGGTGGACGGGAAGTCGAGCATATACGGCGTGACGACGGGTTTTGGGGGCAGCGCTGACACTCGGACGGACCAGCCGCTTGTATTGGGCCATGCCTTGCTGCAGCTTCTCCAAGCTGGCGTCCTTCCCTCGTCCAGTGCCATGAGTGCCATGCCTTCTGCTCTGCCTCTTCTTGACCCCTCGAGCTCAATCATGCCGGAGTCCTGGGTCCGTGGGGCCATTCTCGTTCGCATGAACTCGCTCGTCCGCGGCCATTCTGGCGTGCGGTGGGAGCTGGTGGAGAAGATGAACGAGCTTCTCGCAGCGAACATCACGCCTCTGGTTCCTCTCCGCGGCAGCATCTCCGCTTCAGGGGACTTGGCTCCGCTGTCTTACGTCGCTGGCTGTCTGAGCGGCAATCCCGCCATTCGAGTTTTTGACGGGCCGGCGACTAGCTTTGGTGTACGCAACATCTTGCCTTCCCCAGTGGCCTTGAAGGCTCGTGGCATCGAGCCTATATCCCTAGCATCGAAAGAGCACCTGGGACTCTTGAATGGGACCGCGTTCAGCGCGTCTGTGGCATGTTTGGTTTTGAATGACGCGGTTCACCTAGCTTTGTTGTCTCAGATCTGCACAGCCATGGGTGTGGAGGCGCTTGCCGGTAGCCGGGGCTCGTTCGATCCTTTCATTCACGACGTTGCGCGTCCACATCCTGGACAGGTGTGTGAGATGCACAATATTGAAAGCCTGGCTGAAATGTTCTGTGCAGATCGAGTCGGCCAAGATGGTATGGGACTTGTTGGAAGGTAGCAAATTCGCAATCACATCTGAGGAAGAAGTCACGATAGAAGAAGACTCGGGTGTTCTGAGACAGGACCGTTATCCCTTGCGCACGGCGCCTCAGTTTATCGGACCTCAGCTCGAGGATCTTTTGACTTCGCTCGACACTATCACTCGGGAGTGCAATTCCAGTGAGTGTTTATTTTTACTTGTCCGGAAGCTTCTTCTCATGCCATGCAGCGACAGACAACCCGTTGGTCGACGGCACTACGGGCAAAATCCATAACGGCGGCAACTTCCAGGCCATGGCTGTGACAAACGCAATGGAAAAGACACGTTTGGGACTACATCACATCGGGAAACTGCTCTTCTCGCAATGCACCGAACTTCTGAACTCGGACATGAATCGGGGTCTGCCGCCGTCACTGGCAGCTACGGATCCATCGCTGAACTATCACGCGAAGGGAATCGATATCGCGATTGCGGCCTATGTTTCGGAGCTGGGACATCGGGCAGCTCCGGTTTCAACGCACATACAGTCCGCCGAGATGCATAATCAGGCAGTCAAGTACGTGGAATCAGTACCTGTCCGAATCGATAGGAGCTGACCTTTTGTCAGTTCCTTGGCTCTAATCGCCGGACGGGCAACTATCGACTGCATCGATGTTCTGACTCAGCTGATTGCATCATATCTCTACGTCCTCTGCCAGGCTCTGGACCTGAGGGCGATGCACACCGAACTGGTGGCTGGACTGGACGCCATTGCTGCTGAAGAGTTTTCCGCCGTCTTCGGATCGTCCTTAAACGATGAGACCGCGAAGGACAGCGTTTGCCGTACTCTTCAGGCCGCTTTGGTGGAAACGAGCAACATGGATGCGGGTCAACGCGTTGTCAAGATCGCAGCAGCAAGCTCTGCTGTGCTGGTCGATGTCTGCTCGGCATCGCCCAACCCGGCTCGCTCGATGCCTCTCATCGCTCCTTTCCGCAGGAATGTCGCCAACCGCCTTGAGACGCTTCTGAATGAACTCAGACGTACATATCTCTTTGGTGACAAGGGCGCGAGTCCAGCCAGTGGCTTCCTAGACAAGACACGGCCTATCTACGAGTTTGTGCGGATCACGCTGGGGATCAAGATGCACGGCGCTGAAAACTTGGACTCGTTTGCTCATGGCCTGGGGGATACCGTTGGCCAGGGCGTCTCGCTTATATACGAAGTGGGTTTATTTGCGCGTCTCCCCCCCGCTCTTTTGCTGACACCCTCTGCAGGCGATCCGAGATGGCCAAATGCAGCCAGTCGTCGTCGGGCTGTTTGCATAAAAAGCAGGGTAATTGCTCATTATAATCTGCACATCAATGTAATCTATTATCATCCACGCTCGAGAACATTCCAGATCCAGAACACCTGGGAGTGAGCTATAAAATAAGTTGAGACCAGCTTTGTGACTCGATCTCCTGAAAACAAATCATGACTTCGTCTCGCAAAACAGTGATCATCGGCTCAGGCGTCTTCGGGCTCTCGACGGCATACCATTTGTTACAGAGAGGATGGTCGGACATCACTGTCATTGATCGGAGCGAGACTCTGCCGGCTCCCGACGGCGCGAGCAACGACATCAACAGGAGTTTGTCGATTCCCCCATCTCCAGATGTATCGCAGGTTCAACTTGGCAGCTGTCTCTAGTCGTCCGCACCTCGTACTCGGATCCGTTTTACTGCGAGCTAGCCAAAGACGCAATCGCCGCCTGGAAGGACACTGAAGTGCGTCCGAACCATCCCAACGATGTCTTGTTCCATCACACTCAACCGCGTCCGCTTCAAAGCTTTGGTCCGACACCTATCATGAGTAAGTCCGCTCTTTACCTCTCCTAGTCTAGTCTACTCCGCATCCCAACCGTGCTCAAGATCCGGTGTCCTGGTCGTCGGCTCCGCCGCGCGCGAGCGCGACTACGTCCGCAAGGCGCACGCGAACGACATCGCACACGGCCTACGCGTGACGCCGACCGACACGCCGGACGCTCTGCGTGCCGTCTTCCCGGAAGACGCCGACGTCGGCGATCTCGCGGGGCACTACACGTACTTCGGGCTGGACGGGGGATGGGCGAACGCCGGGCAGGGGGTGTCGCTCCTCATCGGCAAGGTGCGGGCGATGGGCGGCCGCGTTCTCGGCGGCAAGGATGTGGCGGGGCTGGTTCGGGAGGGCGGCAAGACGGTCGGGGTGCGGTGTAGAGACGGGAGCGTGTTGGATGCGTCGTTGGTTGTGCTGGCGACTGGGTCCTGGACGTGTTCCGCTTTCCCGGATACCGCTGTCAGCAAGCTGTTCCAGGCGACCGGGTGTGTGTTCACGGTAAACTGTGTGATCGCATGGGCTGGCTAATGCTCGGTGCAGACAGGTTGTTGCGATGGTTCAACTCACTTCTGAAGAGGCTGAGGTCTACCGCAAATGCCCAGTTGTTTTGGACTTTGACTCTGGATTCTATGTCTTTCCCGTAAGGACAAGGATTGTGTCTGGACGGACTCTTTTGCTCAACGCGTTCCCCAGCCAAACGAGCAGAACATCCTGAAGATGGCCATCCATGCTGGTAGGGACTTTGTCGGCCCATCTGTACAAGGATTGAACCGTCCACAGCCGGGTTCACTCATTCCATCGGAGACGGGGGGATATCGACCCCGCGGACCATCAAGTCCGACCCAGAGACCGGCCTGCGCATCCCGAAAGCGAGTGTGGTTCGGCTGCGAGATGGGCTGCGGGCCGTGTATCCGACGCTTGCCACGAAGCCGTTCTGTGCGACGAGACTCTGCTGGTCTCTACCCCCTCGCTCGCTTTGTGTGCAGCCCTCTTATGCGTCTTCCTCAGGTATAATGACTCGGTGGACGAGGACTGGGCCATTGGATATCAGCCGGGATCTGAGCAGACCGTGATGATCGCGACGGCGGGCAGTGGTCACGCTTACAAGGTGGGTTTACTCGATACGTTCGTCCCGGTCTATCTCTAATCGCACCAGTTCCTTCCCGTCATCGGCCGTCTGGTCGCCGACGCCATCGAGAACAAACAGAGTCCCGAGGTAGCTGCCAAATTCGCACCCGATCGAGTCATCCCTTCCAAGCTGAATGGATCGCGCGACGACCAAGTACAAGAACTAGACCTGAGCCAACTTTGTTTGCCGGAAGATTTACAATAATGTATCCAGAGATTATATGTATGTACATTGGAGCTGTTGAGCTCCTTTTCAGGCGCGCTTGCCGACGAACTCCCGCCAGGACCGCACTTCGCTGGGTATCCGGCCCTCGGTATATTTGCGGAGACCGCCTTGCGGAATTTTCCGCGCCAGACTCTCAACGAAGAGGTCTGCGCATTGCGCATTGTTCAGCAACGGAAGCCCGAAATCGACCGCGTTTCTAGACAAAAAATCAGCGTAGCACAATGGCAGATGCAGGAAAGAAACGCACCGTCGGGCGACGTAGTCCTCGTCGGTGAAGCTTGTGCCGCGCGCCTGGGCCAAGTTGATGACACACGAGATGTCGTACTCGTCAAACACCTCCCGCAGCTTCCTCTTGTCCTGTTTCGGGAAAAAGATGCGCTTCGCGGCGACGTACTGGACGCTGTTGAGGAATTCCTCCACAACAGGCGACGAACAGTAGAGCTTGAAGCCCAGGTCAACCAGTCGCTTCGCCACACTCGCCATCTCTGGCTTGGAGATGTCACCGCCGATCAGCACACCAGATCCAGCCTTGGGGATCTTGAATCCAGTCGTGCTGAGCAGCGAGGCCCAGTACGCCTCGTAGATGTCCTTTCCAAAGCTGGCCACTTCGCCCGTACTGGCCATTTCTACAGCAACAGGTCAATGCTACCACGCGATACCGATAACGGAAGGACGCACCAACACCCAAGAATGGATCGGCACCGCCAAGTCGGGTCCAGGAGAACTGGGCAACCTTGATCGACGTGTAGTCCCGGGGCTCAAGCATGAGATCGACTGGCTCCGGCACGTCTTGTCCCACAATGGCCTTGGTGGCAGTGTCGATGAAGTTGTGGCCGAGGACCTTGGACACGAATGGGAAGGAGCGAGACGCGCGCAGGTTGCACTCGATGACCTTGAGCTGAGGCTCCTCGCCGGCTTCCGCCGGTTTCTTGATGATCTGCATGTTGTACGGCCCCGAGATCTCGAATGCCGCGGCGACCTTCTCAGCGATGGTCTTCAGTCGCGACATGTCTTCAGCCGACAGGGAGAACGGCGGGAGGACAAGTGTAGCGTCACCAGAATGCACACCCGCGTTCTCGACGTGCTCCGAAACGGCGTGGACCAGCAGCTTGCCTTGATGGGCGACGGCGTCTACATCGATCTCCTGGGCGTTGGCGATGAACTTGGTGATGACAACCGGGTGCAACGGCGACACGGAAGCGGCCGCAGACAGGTTGTATTCCAGCGCAGTCTCCTCGTAGACCACGTTCATGGCTGCACCAGATAACACGTAAGACGGCCGGACAAGGACAGGATATCTGCCGCCCGGTCAGCCAGAACGAACAAACAAGCCTGACGAGACCACGCACCCGACTTTAGCAGCGAACGACTTGGCCGCATCCAGAGTGGTAACCTCCGTCCATTCAGGCTGATCGACACCAATGCTGTCAAGGACGGAAGAGAACTTGTGGCGATCCTCGGCGGTGTCGATCTGCTTGGGATCCGTCCCGAGCACCTCGACGCCAGTGTCCTTCAGCCGAAGAGCGATATTCTGGGGCAGTTGACCTGGTCACATGAGAATGAGCAAACGATCAGCGATGAAGATCCTCAGCAGCACGCACCTCCGACACTGACGATGACGCCCTGGCTCTGTTCCAGCTCGTAGATGTCCATGACCCGCTCATACCCAAGCTCCTCAAAGTACAGCCTGTCGGCCTCGTCAAAGTCGGTCGAGACCGTTTCGGGGTTGTAGTTGATCATAATCGTGCGCTTGCCCATGTCCCGCAGCTGGCGAGCGCAGGTGACCGCACACCAGTCGAACTCGACACTGCTGCCAATCCGGTACACACCGCTGCCAAGCACCATGGTCCCGTGCTCGTTGAACTCCACATCGTGCTCAGACGCGTTGTAGGTCGTGTACAGATAGTTGGTGTGCGCCGGGTATTCAGCCGCAAGCGTGTCGATCCGCTTCACGAAGGGTGTGATGCTCAGGGTCTTGCGCGCCGCGCGGACGATGTCCTCTGTGGACGAAACCAGGCCCGCGATCTGAGCGTCCGAGAAACCCATGCGCTTGGCCTGTTTCATGAGCTCGTGATCAATCTTCTCGATCGCACCCGCTGCTTTGAGCTGATGGTGGGTCTGCACGATATTGTCGATTTTGTAGAGGAACCACTGCGTTGAAGTCGATCAACGAGTTCCCCAAGAATACAATCTGAACGTACTTTGTCAATTTTGGTGAGGTCGTGAACCTGATCTACGGTGTAGTTCTTGTTGTACATCGCGTAAGCGATGGCAAACAGGCGCATGTCCGTCGGCCGAGTCAGGGCTTTATCGATGTCTTCAGGCTCGATGTACACTTCGAAACCTTTCCAGCGCGGGTCAACCTGACGAATCGCCTTCTGGAGACTCTCTTCGAAGGTGCGTCCGATTGCCATGACCTCGCCGACGGATTTCATCGCCGAACCAACTTCCCGGTTGACTTGCGAGGAGAACTTGGCCAGATCCCACTTCGGAATCTTGGTGACGATGTAATCGAGAGAAGGCTCGAAGCAGGCAGTGGTCGTCTTGGTCACAGCGTTCGGCAATTCCGGGAGTGTGTGGCCGAGGGCGATCTTGGCGGCGGTATAAGCGAGAGGGTAACCCGTGGCTTTCGAGGCGAGAGCGCTAGACCGACTCAAACTGGGCACGACGAGTCAGAAATGAGCTGCAGGTCACAAATGAGACGTGATCGTACCGAGCATTGACTTCGATGACACAGTATTCGCGAGACGTGGGATTGAGCGCGTACTGAATGTTGCATTCACCAATGACTCCCAAATGACGGATGACCTTGAGGGCGGCGCTCCGCAGCATATGATACTCGTCATCGGGTAACGTCTGAGACGGAGCGACGACAATAGAATCTCCGGTGTGCGTGCCAAGAGGGTCAAAGTTTTCCATGTTGCAGCAGATGATGGTGTTCTACTTGGCTTCAGAGGGGAATTCAAAAATCGTGTAAAACGTACATCAGCAGCATCCCGGACGACCTCGTACTCCAATTCTTTCCAGCCCTTCATACTGCGCTCAATCAGAACCTGGGGGCTCAGACTAAGACTCTTGGCAGCCAAATCACGGAGTTCGTCGGGGTTTTCAGCGAAGCCAGATCCAAGACCACCCAGAGTGAATGCAGAACGCAGAATGAGCGGGTATCCAATGGTCTCTGCAGCTGCGAGAGCCGCATTGACTGACGAAACGGCGGTAGACTGGGCAACGGGAATGTCAATTTCTGCAGTTGGGCTTAGCACTCGTCGAAAGCGGTGAGAACATGGAGGAGAACGAACCCTTCAGTGCTTGTACGAATAGATCACGGTCCTCTGAGACTTCCAGCGTACGGATAGGTGTTCCCAAAACCTTGACACCAAGCCGTTCCAAGACACCCATCCGGTCAAGCTCAATGCCGACATTAAGCGCGCTTTGTCCACCGAAAGTAAGTAATACACCGTCAGGACGTTCCTTTTCCAAAACATATGCCACATAATCCGCGGTGATGGGGAGGAAATAAACTTCAGAAGCCAGTTGATGCGATGTTTGCCAGGTCGCGATATTGGGGTTAATGAGAACCGCCTGCACACCCTCTTCGCTCAGTGCCTTGAGAGCCTGAGACCCAGAGTAGTCGAATTCACCGGCCTGGCCGATACTCAAACCACCGCTGCCAACCACGACGACCTTCTGCACGTCAGGACGGGGGATTTTGGGAAGAACTTTAGCGGAAATGCGGCGCGCAAGCTCGGAGGGGGAGTTGATGACGTGTTCGCCGTCTTTGGGGGTGTAGGCACCGACCGCAGGAGCTGCAACAGCGCGAAGAGGTGTTGTGGGAGCGTGGAAAGCGCGTGCACATTGCCCTAATCGAAAGCGCGACTGGGAGCGGAGCAGCCCGACAGCTTTGGAAAGCATTATGGGCGACACTCGCCTCTCGTGGAAGGTAACGCGAAGAGTAGTCGGAAGAAAAGAGTGATTGAGCACAAAATACGCGAAACTCGAGTCAAAATTTTAGATCACATGATACAAAAGCTTGACGTCACTGCCAATGTTGTTATCTTATCTTTCAGGCCAAGGCTTTTGACTGCTTATTTGACCTTGTAAAGAAAACGAGAACGACCAACACGACATTCCCGATGACAATTTCATGGATATATTCGTAGTACAAGTGCGTCTCATATGAGTCGGAGATGCCGAACAGTCAAGGCCAGACTTCAATCCGACTTCGGAGGAGGGATGAATATATTTTGACGATACCACTCCAATTCTAAACCCGGAGCATGAGCACAAGATCAGTAAGGATTGGTCGCCGACCTTTGATCGATCCCTTGATATCGTCCAATGCTCTGAGGAGTGGATTCATGAGTGTTCTCCAGGCCATCGCTTATAACAGGCATGACAGACCGATGATTGCTTTCACTCAGCTTTGAGAGTCCGAGCTGAGGATACCAACGTCTAGAAAGCTCCTGTTCGGATACTTGAGATAGCTTCCGTCATTATTGCAAGCACTCACCTTGATAGATGAAACGTCTTCACCCAGGGGAAGTGAGCCATCGTTCACGCGCTCCGGCAAATCACCTCACCGATGATACTGGGACTATTAAGCACTATATTATCGAAAAAACCCTTGGATTACCGATAATGCAGCCATTCAACGACGTCAGGCATGTGTTTTACCAAAAACGCTCTGTCGGCATGAACAGAGTTGCCTGCAAGTACGCCCACCCGTCTTTGCGGTATCCATTTCTTGATGTACTGTAGCACAGCGGTAGAGACGTGCTTGAGCGTGTGAGGTGACGCGATACAGGCGGCGGTGAGTCCGGACTGTGTCAATCAGCCTTGCAGGGTGAAGGACAATGTCGCAAAAATAATTGATTTGTTATCGGGCCTGACAAACTGATCAGGGTCTGACAAGGCGCAATAAGTTGTGATCAGGCAGCGGTCGGTCACTGGTCAGATTGCTCAGGCCTGGTCAGTCATGGTCAGTGTCTTGTCAGACAATGTCAGCAATTGATTAAATGTTCTCAGATCTGATATTGGGTAATTAAGGAGATAGCCAATAAATCAATCGCAGACATGATGTAAGAGTTTAGGGCTCGAAGGAACTGAGTGGAGTCCGTCATGGTGGCCTGCGTCATCGTGCGCCAGGTGGCTGTGTCGTTTCTCCGATGTCACTTACCCGACAATCACACATGTCACTACACGCACACGTAGACTAGTAGTAAAGTACCCACTCCGATTGTGGAGCAAGTAATGAGAAAGCCACCTGAGTTCAATTCCTACCTTGAGTTGCATATCCTGGCAAGCTTGAATCACATAGAACATTAATGAGCTAAGTAAGTAAGAAAGAAAGAAAGAAGGAAATGAAGTCAGAAAGCTGTGAGGGGTAAGAAATAACAAGGAAGACAGTGAGAAAATCCATTTTTGTTTGCCCCTTCCCAACCCCCACCCGACCATGGACTGACAACCAGATGATAGATTGCTGACCGCTGCCTGACCAGCGTCTGATAAGTACTGATTCGAGCTTTTCCATTGGCATCGGGGAACCGTCAGCCTGATGGTCTGACCGCTTGTTATCGGTCCTGCTCAGGAACGATAACAAATCAATTATTTTTGCGACAAATAGACCTGCGAACTTCGCCGTGTTGTTTGACACACCATTCGTTCATTCTGCCCTTGCATCGAAGTGAGAGAAACGGAGAGCAATGCGGAGAACGAACCCATCTAGGACCTATTCGAAAGCTCTCGCGTCTGTAGCTCCCATGCAAGGCTGGCTCACCGGCTTCTCGGTTTTGATGATGTACTCGATCCCTTCGTCCATCATGTTGAGTTTCCCGTCGGATATGATCACCTACAGCCCAAGGGAGAGTTGGGTTTCGGATGGTTTTACGGGTGAAGTAATAGCCGTACAGCGATTTCGAGAATCTTGTCCTGGTCAGGATCCAAGCCCGTCATTTCACAGTCGATCCAGACCATAGGCCCATCTTGGTATCCCAGTTGAGCACGGTTCATCGGTGGACGTCTAGTTTTATTGAACTCTCGATAAAAATGCAGGCGTTGAGGACGCGGCGTGAAGATCCTACCGCGTCGGAGCAGTGGTTGAAGGAGAAGCATTCACTTGATGATTGTTTGTATACGAGCAGCACTGCTTGGCAGACAGCCTCCAGTACAACGCTCATTGACATCATGGAGAGCGACCAACTTCGATTTCTTGGAAACACTCTCATGGATAGCTCTTTGTAGGTTGTGCTGCGCACTTCTCCTATCTTCTTATGAGTTCGACTCCAAGGTCCTCGATCGAGGTTCTACCGGGTGGGATTGAGGAATGGGCCGGCGTCTCTTGGAACAAAGAATCTCGAATGTCTCCTGAATTCCCCTTCGTGTGTCGAGACGGCAATCTAGGCGTTCCAAACAAGGTGTTGATGCGGCTTTACATGCTCGCGTCGCGCTCTCTCAACAATGGCCAAGCACCACTAGAATCAGTGTCTCAGATCGCATTCACCAGTGCTATCCTTCTGGCCAATCCCGCTCACCAGACGGCTCTTAATCTCCGTAAACGTCTCATCATGATGGGAACGCTGGGGATCGAGGAGGAGATGTGCTTCACCCACAAGTTGTTATCCAGCTCCCGGACTTGCGCCAAAGAGTCCATCCTCTGGGCGCACAGACGTTGGCTAATCGAACGGCTATACCCACCTTCCGACTTGTCTTCGCCAATTCTCCCATCCGATATCAGTTGCGAGTTACAACTGATTCTACGATGCTGCGAGCTCTATCCTCGCAATTATCACGCATGGACACATTTCCATTTCGTCTTCCACTGCATCTTTATGTCTATGGAGAGGGAAAATGGGGTGGGCCCATATTCTGTCTCATTAGTGGAGCACCTGCAAATCTTGCGACACTGGATAGAAGCACACGTGTCAGACCATTCCGCGATTCATCAATTCTGCAACGCAATATCGATTCTACGCTCTCTCAAAGACATTGATTGCTGCGATATACCCGGCTTGCAGGACTTGCTCACCCCCGGTTGGCATCTTGACCATGTCGCGGCTCTGCTTGGTGATTACCCCTCACACGAGTCACTGTGGTTGTATCTTCGCGGTATCGTGGCTTTAGAACCCAAATCACTCACACCCTTGGCGATATCTGCAACTAAAAACATGGACGGAGAATTTAGGACACGGTTCTTGGCATGGTTGCGCAGGATGTGATGACGAGATAGTGCTGAGTACACATCACTGACGTTAGTAACGTGACCGCGCGGCTACGTGTAAAGCACACCCTTGATCTCATTTCTCATTTCCCTGCTCGTCTTCGGATGGTTTAAAAGCTTTGCTTTCGAATTGCTGTCTGTTTCTTATCATGTCGAACCGCACACGACTCTCCGGTTCCGGATGTATCATTTGGCTCACCATCGGGTTGATTGCTCTCGCTGCGGTCGCCTGCGCACAGAATGACAGGTTGGACCCCACAACGGGAGTGGGTACATTTACAATGGAAGTTTGGCTTGAGCTCATACTCAGCAGAAACCTCCGAATGATGTATCACTTAAGGAGAAAATTGTGAGTAACTTTGAACGGACGCAACATCTCCATGCCTTGAACTTGGTTCCACAGGCCAAAGCCGACCTTGAACAGGCGGCGGAAGGTGATTTTCTTTCGTGTGAAATAGGATGGAATCCCGTCTGAGCTATACTTTGCAGCCTCGCGTGCCTATCGACAGGCAATGCAAACATTATCCACATTGACTGCACATCCTCCGTCTCACACTTACGGTTCTGGTCCACAAAGCTCCAAATCACCCTTCTCGTCGTTGTTTCCCAGCCTCCAGGGACAGGGGCCCCTGGGAAGCGCGACACGCATCATTCTCAAGCTGCAGCGTCAAGTTGTTGGTGGCGTTCTGGTTGCACTAGGGAAGGAATCGAAGTCCAAGCGTGAAGAGGGGAAAGGAAAAGCTATTAAGGTGGTAGACTTGCTCCAGCATTCTGCTGAGTTGGGGAACGCAGATGCTTTGTATACCCTGGGGCATGTTTCTCTGGTGAGTTAACCCTGTGTCGCGCATTCCATTCTAACTGTGGCGTAATTAGTTTCCTCCTTCCAATCACTTTCCTTCCGACCCTCAACTCGCCTACGATTCCTTCGCGGCACACGCGTCCATAACAGGCAATGCGTCGTCTCAAGCATATCTGGCCTTCTTTCACGCCAGTGGCTACAAGCAAATCGTTCCTGTGGACCAAGCAAGAGCACAACTATACTACACATTTGCGGCCAATGGTGGAGACAAAGGGGCGCAGATGGCACTGGCATATCGGTACTGGAGCGGGATCGGCACTCTAGAAAACTGCAATCGCGCAGTGGACTGGTATGCGCGCGCGGCGGATCAAGGTGCGTATCTTATACGCAAACTCGGCGTGTCTTGACGTCCCTCGACAGCCATGGAGACCTTCAAAGCCGGACCTGTCGGTGGACGAACACTGCCTCGTACTCATACCAGACTGTCTGATCTTGAGGGTGGTGTCTATGGTCCTGGTGCCAGTGTAGCCTCGACGGGTCTAAACGCTCAGAAACCTGCCATCCGCGCAGGTTTGTCTCGTGCTTCGGGTGAAACATGGGAAGATATTCTGGACTACTACTTGGTAAGTTCATGTCTATGTGCTGAGTATCGGCCCTGACTGTCGCAGTTCAATGCGGATAGACGCGAATTAGACTTTGCATATCGCCTGGGCAAAATCTTCTACCACGGCAGTATCTATCAATCTCGTGGTGGTATCGGCTCTGGGAGCGAGGGCGTTGGTGCTGTTCCACGTGACTTCGAGCGCGCCCGACACTACTTTATATCCATTGCTCGAATGGTCTGGTCGCGTGATCCGACGAATCCCCTTCAGTACACACCGATACCAATCAAGGACGAAAAACTGCCCCTGGGACTCGCTGCACCTAGTGCTTGCTTCCTTGGACGGATGTTCCTTCGAGGTGAAGGGGTGAAGGCCGATCCTGCGTTGGCCAAAATGTGGTTCGAACGGGGCGCTGAGCATGGCGAACGAGAATGTCAAAACGGACTCGGTATCATTTGGCGGGACGGACTTATTCCGTCCATAAAACCAGATCTGAAGAAGGCCATGGCATATTTCCAAGCTGCTGCAGGTCAAGAGTTGGCCGAGGCTCAGGTTAGCGTTGCCAAGCATCACTTTGGTGAGTACTCGTGTCTTGTCTTGTCTGCTCTGTCCCTCATCAATCTCTCCAGCTCGAGGCGAGATTAACTTTGCCGTCACCTTGTTTGAGACCGCCGTACTATACGGTTCACCTTTCGAAGCATACTACTATCTGGGCCAAATCCACTCTGTGCAAGCGACTAATTCAGCCATCCCTCCAGCAATCGCATCTGGGTCCTGCGCGATGGCTGTTTCGTTCTACAAACTAGTGGCCGAGCGAGGTGTCTGGGGTGACGATCTTCTGGAAGATGCCGAGACGGCTTGGACGACCGAAACGGATCGAGGCAAGGAAATGGCTATGCTCAAGTGGTGGATTGCTGCAGAGCGGGGGTCTGAAATCGCTCAGAACAATCTTGCTCATGTCTTGGATCAAGGTGCGCCTCGTCGTGCTTGTCTCAGTGAGTAGAAGATTCACTATACACGTAGACCGAAGTATCCTGCGCCTGACTCGTTTTTCGCCGAACACACCTTCAAACGAGACTGCTCGACTGGCGCTGTCTCAATGGACTAGAGCTGCTGCCCAGCGGAACATCGATGCACTAGTCAAAGTCGGGGACTACTACTACCACGGCCTGGGTGTCTGGGAGCAGACTGAAGCAGCTCGTTTCGAGAAGGCTGTCAAGTACTACCAATCGGCAGCCGATACCCAACAGAGTGCGTTGGCCATGTGGAATCTGGGCTGGATGTACGAAAACGGTGTCGGGGTTCCTCGAGTGAGTGTGCGCTCTTGTGTCCAGTGTTGTTTATAGACTTGTGTCAGGACTTCCACCTGGCAAAGCGTCATTATGATATGGCACTCGAAACTAATTCCGAAGCCGCATTCCCCGTATACCTCTCCCTGATCAAACTGTATCTGCGCAGTTTCTGGCATAGTTTGATGGGGGGTCAAGGCGGTCTGAGCATCTGGTCTTCCGACGAAGATTCAGACCGTGCGGGTCAGTGTATTTCTTACCCAAAGCTGACGAGTGCTGATGAGTGTAGTCAAAGCGCCTGTCCAGCAGGTCCCTGCTATCGACGACCATGCTCCTCCTGCAGAACAGGAACGAAAATATGTCGAAGAAGACGATGGGCCCTGGTACATGGGCAAGGCCAAAGATGAGTTTCTGCGCAGATCCAAGGAGCCATCAGAGGATGAGGATCCAATCCAGGTGCGCAGATTCGGTCGCTTTCGAATCTTTCTGATTCAGTCCCAGTGGGCGCGAGACCGACGGAATGAGCAAGAGAGGGAAAGAGAAAGAGATAGTGAATTCCCATCAGATGATTTCACCGCTCGACGAGGAGATGACGATGGTCAAGAGTACGAGAGTGAGGATTTTTCGGACACCATCCTGCTCATGCTCCTGTGTCTGGCTGTGGCCGTGCTTGTCTATGTGAGAACGCGAATCGTAGATCGGATGCGGAGAGACCAACAGCCCCAGCCGGCAAACAATGCTCCCGCGCCCGGGATGTTCCCTCCTCCGGGTCCAGAGCAGGACAACTGGGCCGTACTACGATGAGAGCTATCATCAATGCATTGTATCATTAGTCCTATCACTCCAACGGTCGTGTACCCTTAGAAACAGTACTTATATCTGGCGGATAATCTGGAACGTTGGAGTCAACGACCGAAGTGGCGGCCCGACACAGCGAATGTCCCACGCTTCCCCCTTTAGGCCTAAAGTGACGCTCTCACGTGCCAAGCATCCGTTCCTCCTCAAACACTGAAACACTACTTTCATCGCCAGCAACTCCTTCGTGGCATATCTATTCTTTGAAAGTGCCACTATGTCCTACGATTTTGAGGGCCTGGAGCCCCTTATCGAAGAAATTCTCTCTGCCCCCGGCACGGACCTCGCGACTATCAGTGCAAAACGCGTCAGGAAGCAGCTCCAGGTCCTGGACCCCGCTATCACGGAGGAGTTCCTCAAGGAGAACCGGAAGGCAATAGACAATGTCATCTCTCGCGTGTTCGGCCAAAAGTTCAGCGCGGACAGCCCTAAATCCGAGCCCGACGAGACCGAGGTGCAGTCTGGCCCGAGCTCGCGCAAGAGGCGCCAAAGCGAGGATGCCGATGTCGGGGACGAGGAGGAAGAGACGGACGACAATCCGGACGCGGAAGAAACTCGGCAGCCTCCCGCGAAGAAGGCTAAGAAACTCGCGAAGCAGGAGATGAGCGACGCGGAATTGGCGCGCCAGTTGTCGAGCGAGATCAACGGCAGAGCAAGACGTACCGGGAGCAAACCGAAGGCGACGTCGGGCACATCACCGAAGAAGCGGAAGACGAAGACGAAGACGAAGAGTGCAGAACGGGTGGTGGATTCCGAGGACGAGAGTGACGAGACGCAAACGAAACGTCCATCGAAGCGGAAGTCTAGTGAAGGAGGCGGTGCGAAAGGAGGGTTCGCAAAGCTGTATCTGCTGAGGTGAGCTTAGTTGCGCGTCCGAAAGCACACGTTTTACATCATCATGTTGCAGTGAGCCGTTGGCCGCCGTGCTGGGAGTCCCGTCGCTCTCTCGTCCACAAGTTGTCAAGCAACTGTGGGTGTACATCAAATCGAACGAACTGGTTTGTGCAATCCGAAGCTTAGACGCGAGGATCTCATTGGTTCCAGCAAAATCCAAAAAACAAACGAGAAATCTTATGCGATGGCGCGCTGCGTGCCGTGTTTAACGCGGATAAGATTGACATGTTCAAGATGAACAAAGTTCTGGGGCAGTGAGTGCGCGTCGAGCGGTCACGTGTGTCGGCTGATATTCTGTGCCAGACATCTGCACGAGAGCGAATAGCATTTGTATCTAATCTGAATGCAACAGTTGCACAGAAAAACAAAAGTTCTGAAATCGTCCTTCCCTCAAGTCTGACTTGGGAGTCCGCCGAAATCCTCGCACCTGAAGCCAGTTCTTTTGTTCACCCACACTTTCACAACTTTGTTTTTGTTTTTGTGCACCCCAGCGTCTGCCACGTGCCGCCTCATGTCGCTCTTACGTTTGAAGACGAAGTTTCAGCCGGAGGTGGTGCACAGGTGCCCACTTCCCCCGGTTTTCGCTGGCCACATCGGTTTCGGCTCGACCGTCCTTGGGACGGGGACGATAGCCGCCGAGCCTGGGCAAGCTCCGGTCTCACTAGAGCTCGGTGGAGTCGTCGTGTAAGAGCACGAGCTGAGAGAACTGTAGGAATCTGTTGATACTCCCGAGCTGGGCGGAATTGACGCTGCTTTCTGTAGCGCCGGATACTGCAGCGCATGGACCAGTGACGACTTCTGGCAAGGCTGCGCCAATCCGTATAACCAGAATCTCGATCTTGTCGAGGAATTGAGTCTCCTCCAGCAGTTGTGTCAACTCGAAACCTGAGCTACAGTCCTGCTCGTCGTAGTCTGTTGATTCGAGTCATCTCTTGGAAAGACATCCCTGCGTTGGATGGGATGATGGCGTTAGATGAGCGAGAGATTGAAGCGTTCGACGTGCGATCTTACCACGCCTCTCCCGGACGCCTTGGTATCGGCTTTTTCACCTGTTACATGCACGCGCGTAGTCACAGATGTCCTTGACACGGGCTCCCGATGAGTAAGCCACAGAGTCCGGGACTTGACATCTTCCAGATACTGGTCTCGACATCGTTATTCAACTTCCAAAGTGACATATTTTAGCGCGGAAAATGATCAGATCGAGTCCATAACAAGGGCCCAGCCACCTAAATCGTCTCGCCCCCAGCAATAGGGGTGATCTTACGCTCCTAGTCCATCTTGAGTAGCCGCGGGACGCTGTGGGAGAGAGCGGGCGATACCTGTGGGTCCACCATCAGTCTCGTGTGCTGTCTGCCTCCATGATTGATCTCACGTAACGCGCAGATCTCCCAGCGGTGTTCTGTGATTTCTGGGAGTCTGCGATGCCCGGAGTCTCCCCAAACCTGGTGCCGGTACCGCCAGATGTGCCTGGTCGATACGACGAGGTGCGTTGCTCCATGATAACGATACCTTGAACCTTTGTCAATACATGCAGCGACAGAGTTCAGCAACAATAAGGACCCTCTAGAGTGCTGTGCCTAGGCCGATGTGGTAGGAGCAGGCATATCCTAATCACGCTCGTAGGTCGATACTACTAGGCGACGGCCGATCGCACATTCATCTGGTCAACTAACCTCCGGCATGCACCAGGAACTGCTCCGACTGCACTCTGGTAGCAGCGTCAGCCTCTCTGGGCCCATGTCAGAACTCAAGGTCTGGTGGTGGCCTTCAGTCATTCAGCGGCACTCGATGGCGTGGCGCGGACCGCGCGTAACATCCGAAAAGTTGCAGCTTTCGTACGAATCAAATACGAAAGCCTGGCCGACGCGGGGATCCTTGCGCAGACCGAAACAATGGGCTGCCCAGCTCCTTCTCACGGACGGCCGACGGTTACCGTTTTGAGCCACAAAGTGTCCCTGGTGACCTCAATCCGCCTAGTTCAAGGAGCGCTTTCCCTTGCATCTCCCATCCATGAATTTCCCTTTCGCCAGGTTGCCCTTGGAGCTGATCCTGGAAGTCGTCCGGATCGGTGCTTCACCCGACTGTTCCACTGCGTTGCACCGTCCGTCGTATGCCACTGCGATTTCTCTGGCCTCGACATCGTCTATGCTGTGCTCTATCGCGATGCCGCATCTCCTACGCACGGTAGTGCTCTGCACGACCGACCACGTCATTGCGTTCATAGAGTCTATCGTGCTGCAGAGAAAACTACTCGCAATGAAGCCGGCTTCCCGCTTGGCGCTCGAGTATCCACGGCTGGTGCGTCGGTTCTGGTGCACAGAGTGCGCGGAGCGGCACCCCTTCTCTGCGGGCTTTGATCTGGACTACGGCGCTCTGTACTCAGTTCTGCGCAATCTCGATTGCCTGGGACTCGACTTCCGAGCGATGCATCTCCTGTATAACAGCCTCGCGAGTCCAGGCGCCGATCCTCAGTATGACTGGCTCTGCCGGCGTGTCGTCTTTGCTGGCAAGCACCCGCGATGGAATCCACTGAAGATGTCTGCGGGTGGAACTCACTTCTTTTCGCATATAACCCACATATCGTTATGGATACACGACGCTGCCGACTTGTCCGCCACAAACTCGATCCCTACTTGGCTCCAAGATGTCCCTCTCACAGCTATGCCGAAACTGACTCATATGACCGTTCTCCTGGACAGCGCCTCCGATCCCGAGTGCAGTCCGGGCAGTGTATTGGTGTGTTCCAGAGACAGCACCGGCAGACCGAGTTTTCAGTCGCAGCAAGATCTCCTCGCTCTCTACCCCGTTCACGACATGACAGTGAAGCCGCGCGCCAGCGCTGCAGGGGACTCGGTATGGGAGTTTTCATTCATGCGTGGTGAAGATGAGGTCTGTTGGACGTGCATTGAGTGACAAATGAAAGCGTTGCATCTTGAGTAGGTGCGGTGGATATACCTCAATTGAGATTCTGAAGCTTCATCCACTCGTTATCGTTAGCGTTGAAATTCACGCCTTTACTTCGCCACCAGTCACGAGCAGCTTCGCCTCCTCCAATTGCATCCTCGAGGGCTGATACGACGTCAATAGGATAGAGATATGGACTGCGTGGGCACGGCGTACCTTCTTCGATATCACAAAGCCTGTATTGAAGCGGCAATCGAGATCTGTCCCACCACTCTAGCACCTATTCCACACCATGTAAGTAAGCGGAGGGTCGAAATGGTATCCACAAGCTTTCCTCTGGCCGATTATGCCTCGTTGCACCAATCAAAGCATCCGTATCGAATATAAGCTGAATGCCGCTGTTCAGCCACCAATCCAGCACGTCGACCTGGCAATGCTGGGTGGGATGGAGTGCGAAGCAGCACGACGCACCTTGCCGTGACACGATGCGTTGTGAAGGGCCTGTGAGATAGATGTCGGAGATGGCAGAAGATCCGCATGTCGCTCCATCCCATGTTTCCACCAGGACAGCACCTCGAGGCGCCCATGCAACGAGGCTTTGATCGGTATACAGTCGTTTTTGTAGATCTTTTTGAATATGGCGTTGTCCGCCAGGCGAAGCGACTCGACCAGGAAGTACTCGAGCACATGGACGTAGCCGAAGCGTATGCAGAGGTCTGCCCCGATGGTCGGCAGATGCGTCACAGGATCCGCGGCTCGGATGAGCGCCAGAGAGCCCGTGAGCATGGCTAGATCCACGGGGGAGGCAAGAGACCACGCGGAAGGACGCGGGAGCGAGGTGGGCACGCCGACGGCGCGAGCCAGTTCCCAGTCCCCGACGTGATCCATGATGTCCGCCACGATTTCAATGGGCAAGTCGGGGGCTAGTACACGGGGTTTTGAAGGGGGAGGGGTAGGTGCAGGGGAAACGGGCGACTTGGGAACGTGCATTGCAGGCGGCGTGCACGAAATCGTGGTGCTGTCCTGCACAAGGGTGAGAAGAGCGATGGAAGCAGAAACATAGGGAGAGAGAAATGCACCCGCAGTAGAGCATTCTCCATCTCCAATTCCGCAATGCGGGTGCGTAGGGCACAGTTTTCGTCTCTCAATCGCGCAAGCTCAGATTTTCCTTCATTGCGGGACAGGCGGATTTCTGTACGACTGGGGCTGCTCAGATCGAGGTACTGGGATACTGCCAGTGCGAGCCCCGAAGCATCTTCCGAGTGCCAGGCCTGTGTCAAGGATCGAAGTCTTGGGTGCATTCACAGGTTGTAGCAGAAAGTAAGGTCGTGTTGTTGACATCAACACGCTGATCCGGGAGTGTTATATGGAACCCACGGGGGCACTAGAACGAACCGAGTTCGAACTGGGCTTTACATACAAGACATCGCGTCATAAAATTCATCACCCAGGTAAATGTAACATTACAAAGTGCTATACGGCTACACCTCTTTGACGGGCACTTTCGCATCAAGGGTCCCGGTTGCAAGCCGGTTGAGTTCGTCCTCGCGAGCATCGATGCTGCGGATGTGCAACCAGAAGAGCGCTCCAGCCACGGTGGCGATGACACCCATGGAGCCGTAGTTCCAGACAAGCAGAGGGTCGGTCGAGATCGCCACAAACGCTTCTCCGATCGCTGCAGAGATGGCGGAAGTGAAAAGGAAGACAGACATGACGAGAGAGCGCATGTTCCTCGGAGCCTTGGTGAAGGCATACTCGAGTCCAGTGATAGACGCGAGAATTTCCGAGAAAGCGACCAGCACGTACGATCCGGTTTGGATCCACACATTGAGCGGTGCGGGGATGACGTTTCCGTCGGCATCGGCACAAGTCGTAGCGTTATAACCACAAGGAGAACGCTGTAGGGACTATGAGCACACTCCACTGATTCGTTTGCGCTACCACGTACCTTGTAGATGTAGTGCTGGACAACGGCAGCCCAAGCCATAGCCGCAGCACCAGTGAAAAAGCCGGCGGTAACCTTCTTCAGAGCCGTGAAGTTGAAGCCGGCCCGCTGGAGAGCGGGGTAGATCTGGGTTCCGGTTAGAATCGAGGACGATACCGAGGATGGAGACAACGCACCACACGATCACAAATGGGAATAAAGATGATGAGCGCGAGCGGGTCCAAATTGGACAAGACGTCGTTCGGGAGGCCATGGGTGTTCATGGATCCGGCTTGCGAAGTCAAATTGTTGTTCAACTGGTTGTAGGTCAACCCTGCGCAGCCAGAATTAGAAAAGTCCTCAGTAGAGCCAGAATGAAGCTTACAGTAAATGGGATACCACAGGAACACCCAGCACGCTTTGATTCCTCGAGAAACCTCGTCGACCCACTTGTCGTCGAATGTCATCCAGGCCGGCCGCGACTCAACGGCAACGTTGCTTGGCTTGACGCTTTCCCAGAAGTCAGGGCTGGTCAAGTTCTTCCAGGTGGCAATGGGGCTGGCGGAGAACTTGCCCTTGGCAGCGAAAGCAAACATTTTCATGAAGGTGGCGAGGATAGAACCTGTCGGGGGAGAGTGGCGGTACTTGTGCCGGGCGCCCAGAAGAATGATTGGGCAGAACAAGAAGATAACCGTGGGGAGAGTGAACGACAGCCAGAAACCGACGTACTGTTCGAAGCGATCAGTGGGCGACGGGTGAACGCAAAGAGGATACGTGCCTTCTCTGAATAGGCCATAGTGATCTGACCAACAAGGGCGCCTACGTTGATGAACAGGTAGAAGTACATGTACATCCGGGACACAGTCATCGTCGGGTCGCAGATAACGCGCTCTCCACCGGAGGTGGTCACAACGAACGGCTTGGTGCGGCGGTACTGCTCAGCAACCAACGGAGAGATGTTTGCCTTGAAGAGACCAGTTCCGAGGCCTGTCACAATCTGAGAGAGAATGAAGACGCCAAAGGCCGAATTCGGGTGTTCCAGGACGGTGGGCACAGCGGATATGATCATGATGATATGTCCGAGCAGAGCGATGAAGACTGCCACAAGAATGGTCTTGTAACGGCCCCAATGAGCGTCGGCGATATACGCTCCCAAGAGAGGGGTAATATAACACCTGAAAAGATTCGGAAAGAGATCATTCGAATTCGATCAAGACTGACCAGAACTGGTAGAATGTACCAATACCGGTCGAAGTTTGCTGCCCCTTGCCCAAGGCCCCAGATTGGCCATGTGGTCCGCCAGCACCAGTCCGAGAGTCCTTGGGCAGTTTGTGCTGGATGAAGTTGGTGAAGACGACACTAGCTCCGTAGAATGAGAACCGCTCAGCGCCCTCCACAGCGGCGATGACTGAGAAGTGTATTCAGAAAGATACGACTGCAAATAGCGATACAAACATACGGTAAGCACTCCAAGGCATGGTGTCAGCAACACGACGCAGCGTGGCTAGCTCCTCCTCGGTCGGAAAGACCAGGCCAGCATGAGGGTCGTCTTTGGGATCAACGTATTCCTCCTCCGGCTCGCTATATGATGCCTTCTCGTCATATGCACGTTTGTGGCCGACAGCCTCAGCCTCAGCAGCGATGACGCCTACGTCGGATTGCAGTCCTGCCATTGGTCTGTGCTTGGGAGAGGAGGGAGAGAGAAGCTCCAGGGCCGAAGGACAGTAACATCATGCGAAAAAGAAGGGCTATATAGGCACCAAGACCGACTCCCCAGACACCAATCGCTTGTTCGTTCTTCCCGTTGAACTAGTCAAATCTCCAGATCTGCGAGAGCGCTATGATTGCGAGAGATTGCGAGGATGATCTCTGATGGATTGAGGACTTTTGAGGAGGACCACGGTCGTGTGCCAGTGTCAGTCACCATGTGGAAACGGAATCTTCATTCTTGGCGCGTTAGTGATAAGTATGCTTCGATATGTCACCCGTAAGCGATATTTCCACAGATAGCGCCAGAGAGATGGGGAGAAATGATTTTGATAGCCAAGACAAAGAGGCATACGTACTTATATCAACAGTGGTGAAAGCGAGCAAGAGAGGTGCGGTCGCGCAGGGTCACGCTGTGACGTTGACCTTGATTCGCATAATCCACCATCTCAGCAGCGAATCCCGCGGCTCATTCGAATATGTTGTCTATCAAGTTCAATTGCAATCAAAATTTCTTCGCTCCTCTGTAATACTTATCTCTTAGCAGAAAAGAAGCCGTCTCTTATCACAGTACAAGTTGAAAGGGGATACCTAAGTCGTAGTTTGTGATTGAATCAGTGGTGCCCCTTGTCATTGGATAATTCGACGGCGCACCGATATATCCCAAAAATTTGTTGGTGTTAACCTCCCTCACGGGATCCACAGGCAAAGCGTATTCCTGCACCAGTTTCTGCATATTTTCCGCGTCATACGAAAGCAGAGACCTCAAGTTCGCGGGGAACAGACTGCCCTTCGATCCATCAGCCCGCAGAATCACGGACAGTTCCTCGTCGAGATTCTGGATCCTGAGCAAAGAGTTCTTCTTTCTTGCATCTCTGCAACATTGCATCAGGAACGGGCTGATCGCTCTGTACTACGCGAGAGCCCACGAGTTGTTCAGAGATGTTCTTGCGTCCTGGACTTGCGACTGATTCACGGAAGATTGCTGCTTCAAACTGATGGGTATTTGCTCCTGGATCTGGATATCGACCTGCTGTCTAACTTGACTCCGGACGGCCTCTTTGATGAACTCGAGGAGATCCTCCCTGAGTGCGTTTCAGTGATAAGCCGCGGTTACGATAAAAACATCCGCACTGCAAGCTGGCGTAGGCCTGCTTCTTCACTTCCTCGTGCGCAAACTTGTCCAATCTGTGTATTTCCTGCTCCATTGAAGCGTGCGAATCTCTGACTTGGCTGCGCAAGATGTTCACGTCTTGCTCAATGTCATACTGCCCAAAAGCGAATGGGATCGTGTCGAAACCAACTAAACTGGAACACACAACTTACGGTGGTAGGACCAGAGACCTGCACATTTGCTGTACTGTCATGAAGTCTCTTGAACGACTCTTGTCTGCAACACCGCATCTGCATTGAGCATCTTACAAAGACCGCAACCGGGCCCATGAGTTACACGTGGTCCAGATCAATGTTCATGGCTCCTATAGCCGCTCGCACGTCTTGAGTCGCACTTGTGGGCGCGCTGCCAATATGCGAAGCGTTTGCGGTCATGCTGGTCAGACGAAGGTGTTGTTAGACACGAGGCTTCCGCGTGTGACTGTCCCAGGAGCCTAAATAGCCTCTTGATGGTCTAGGCAATTGGCCACGATGTATATGATATACTCATCTCATCGCCACCGATCCCGTGATCGTTCTCCAGCCTTTACACTCATGTTCCTATTACGCGTCTTCAAGATCTGCTCTGCTCTCTATCTCTTTGCCGCTGTACTCCACACCACAAGTCAGCTTTTCTCATCGCCTGTGCACGCTGGCATATCTTTGCTCGCCAAATGTCGCTTTCCTAGTCTGGTCGCTTCTTCCTTTCAGTCCCTCCTAGTGAAACGAACGGCTTCAAAGAACATCCAATTCGTCCCGCAAGATCAAATTTCCCTTCAATCTCGTACAAGTCAAGAAATCGTCCTCTGGACGTCTTCGCCCTTCGCGTTAGAGAATGGTCTTGGCCATTCAGACCCCATCCCCATGAGCGAAGACTTGTTCTTGTCTAAAGCGTTCTCCTCTCTACGACCGAGCAAAATTATACCCTTCTTCTACCGTAGGACAGGCTCTTTCGAAGCGGATGATATCACGATAACTACGTTGGTAACGAGCAACAGGCTGCAGGTGTTCGCTCGTTTGGTGGAGCGATATTCTGGTGTGTCCGTGTGCTAAAACGTGTTATTTCGCTCAAATACTCTCGAGGGCCGATTTCTGTCACTATCCACATCAAAAACTCGTCAGAAAACGTTCACGAGCTCTTGGATTCGATCCATTCGGTGTATACTTCGACTCCCAAGATGTCGAGCAATGTCGATGTTCATCTCGTCGTCGACGGTTTGTTGCAGTGCTTCTTGCTCAATGACTGCGTTTATCTCACCCTTACAAGCCTTCGACCGGCAGTTCAACACCTGGCGTAACATCGCGCGATTCTTCGCGCGTACAGACTTCGTCATGATGCTTGATATCGACTTCTCTCCCTGTACCGACTTTCGTTCAGCAATCCGCAGTAGTTCGGCCATGATGGAGAAGCTTCGAACTGGAACTGCAGCGTTTGTGGTGCCTGCGTTCGAGTATCCCAAGCATGAAGACGGGATTGACGCCGCAAGATTTCCGCAGACCAAGACTGAGCTTATTGCGCAAGTAGACTCTGGCAAGATCACTGTTTTCCATGCTTTCTGGGGCCCCGGTCATAGCTCTACCCAGTACGAGCGTTACTACGCATCTTCACCTGGCGAAGTCTATCGAGTGGACTCGTACCAAGCTGCGTACGAACCCTATGTCATTTTCAAGAAGGATGGACCTCCTTGGCAAGCTCATATATTTGTCGGGACTTGGCTCTGACCCACGTCCAGGTGCGACGAACGTTTTGTCGGATACGGCGGTAACAAAGCAGCCTGTTTGTTCGAGATGTATCTGTCCGGAATCTCCCTCTACGTGCTTTCGGATCACTTTCTGGTCCACCAAAACCATTTATACGAAGAGACAGCCCGACGAGCTGAGGTAAGTTTTCTTTTCTCGCCGTGGGTGGATAGTTGCTCAACTTGCTGACTAGCGCAAGTTCAACCGCAAAATTTACTCCGATTTCAGAGAAGAGGCTTGTTTGCGGTGGGTTGCTTCAATTTTGCTTCAAGATTTCGTTCCAACTGTAGCATGGCAGATATCTGACGGCATTTCGCGACAACGGTCAGCTCAACACCGATCGAGCGAGTAATGCTCGTAATGAATGCAGCAAAATCCGGAGCATTGCACGCTTTATGGCTCAGGTCAGCAGCTAGATCAATTCTGTCGCCTATGTACATGTTACCGACGACCAACAGCTTAACGATGGGTGACTTGTCCACAACTTCCTGTTCAAATCATCTGTAGAGGATGTGCGTCACTTTGACTGACGAGAACTTCAACATCAGTAGCATCCGTCTTGAGCTCAGAAGTCAATCGGTTTGCCAAAATGGGAAGGAAACCGCGTTCGGTGTTGGTGTGCCCGCCTAAGAGAGATGAGAAACCAAAAACCAAACGGAAAGCAGCGCACAAAGGATGACATGGGTTCCGCTCCCGAGTGCCGCAAGGACCTGATCCTGCAAAAGTTCAGCAAGCAGAATTGGACAGATTACAGACCCACGAACATGCTGCATCTCCCCCGTAAAATAGACATCCGCAATTGTCTTCAGACTCTGGAACATACCTCCGCCTGATCCAGCACAGATGGCAACAGTGTGAACGAGGCGATCGGGCTTGATTGTCGAGTATCCGACTTGAACTAAATTCAATGCTTGTCAGCTCAGAGGAAAGGAAGGTTGTTCGTCTCGAACTTACTCTGAGAAAGACTCAGATGTTTCTTGATTCGCTCCTCCAAAACGCTCATGGAGATTGGGGGGTCGAAAGTAACACGGCGGCCATCGCCACCGATGGCTGCAGTCGACGGCTTGGTGTCGAGACACGACACCCGTTGGGGGTCTGCTTCGATGCACTTGGCTAGCCAGTCGTTCATCCCATCGAAAACACTGTCAAGTGCGCTATGGGGAGAGTAGATCGAAATGCCAGCACTGGCACATCGAAGAAGCGTTTTTTGTAAGGGAGTCGACAGAGTCAGAGACTTGAGTGCGTGGAATATGGGCGGGTGATAGGACACTATCATCGAAACGTTATGGGAGATCGCTTCTTCACAGACGGCGGGTGTGACGCTAGATAACGGGGGACTTCTCAGCAGGGTTGTAAACCATATTTGTGAAGCTTTTACTCGATAGTCAGAAGGACTTTGTTGCTGTTGCTTGCGGTCGCCGATTCTACGGGCTTTCAGATGCGTTTTCTTTGTTGGAGAGGAATTTCAACCGAGTATGAGCCCGACCTAGTCTCAATCAGCATAACCCATAAGCTCGTTGCGTCAACACGACAGACATTGTCCCAGGATCCAGCTAAGACGAGGGGCGCGATGCGCTGCATGGCGGAGGTCACTGATTTGGTGAAGACTGTAGTCGCCATCTTGGGAGATCACACGTAAGTCTCGGATACCGTTTAGCAGTCGGTTTCTCTTATAAGTGGGGAGGGGAACGGGAGAACGCGAGTCGGTCACGCGTGAGACGCACGTGTGAGAGCTGTGCCAGTGATTGATCTCCGAAAGGCAATGAGCTTGCCTTTTTGGTCGGACGGCCTTTCGGATCGAGGTGCCGAATCTTGCGGCAATACGGTCCGCCACTGACCATTCTTTGTGAACATCATATTTATATGACTCGACCTGTTCCAGCGACAATTAGATAAAAGATCATCCAGCTTTTTCTATGCCACCTCGTATCCTCATTTGCGGTGGGCCACTTCACGAAACGCCACTACTGGTGGCCAGATCCTGATCTACGTGTTCAGGCGAGATTGTCTGGGCTGACGATGATGTGAAGGAACTCCTTGAACCGATAGCTGAAGTCATCGTCAGCCGCGAGTAACTTGCATCGCAGCTCTCTTTCTGATTCAATTGCTAGTACTACAATTCCAAGGACCGTGCCGAGTTTCTCGATGGATTCAAGCAGGGAGGGCCTTACGACGGAGTGGTGGGCATATTCCGAGACAATATGAGTGCTAAGCGAGTAGGCTTCTTCGATAAGGTGGGCATCAAGACAAGATGTCCGACATGCCCTACTTCCGCTCATTACTGCCTAGGAACTCATTGACGAATTTCCCCCATCTCTGAAGTGGATCGCTCATAATGGTGCCGGGTACGATCAAATCGACGCTCACGCTTGCAAAGCGAAGGGGATCATGTTGTCGAATACCCCCGGCGCTGTTGACGATTCGAGCGCAACGACTGCTCTGTTTCTCTTGATATCCGCTGTCCGCCAGTTCTCTGTCGCAGAACGTTCATTGCGGGACGGCAAATGGAAACCGCCGGATCTGGCTGCCAAAAGCCACGATCTCACTGGCCGTACCCTCGCGATTTTGGGACTGGGCGGTATCGGTCTACGATTGGCAGAACTGGCGCATGCGTTCCCTATGCGCATCATCTATCATTCGCGTCATCGAGTTGCTCACGCGCCCGAATGGTGCGAGTACATGGCTGATGTGGATGATCTGCTCAAGCAGGCTGATGTCCTGAGCGTACATGTCCCTCTCCGTGATGAGACGGTGGGCCTCGTTGGAGAACAGTGGATCCGCACGTTGAAACGGGGTGCTATCATCATCAATACAGCTCGAGGCAAGGTCATCGACGAGGAGGCGATGATTCGAGCGCTGGAGGATGGTCATGTACGTGCCAAACTTGCTAATACTCGGATTGCGGATTGAAAGAATCCCCAGCTTGCTGCAGTGGGGTTAGATGTGTTCCCCAACGAACCGGAGGTCAACCCGAGACTCCTCGAGTTCCCCAACCTCACTCTCCTCCCGCACATGGGTACAGAAACTCAAGACTCTCAACGCAAGATGGAAGTCCGTGCTCTAACGAACTTGAAGGACTTCCTTACTGCTGGTGCAGGAAAAGATCTTGTGATCGAGATGAAATAATCAATCCCCATGTCCTGGTGGGTGGTCGTCATTCCTCGCGGATGAAGTACATAAATGATAAGTTACACGTATGTCCTTGTCAGTGCTTGTGTGAAGCCGCGAGACCGATCGCTCCAGTCGCAGCGGCGTCATCCACGAATTCAACGTATTTGAAGATGTGTCCTTTCTCCTTCAAAGCATCGAGAATGAGCGTTCGATAGGCCTCAATCCCGGCAAGAGATCCTCCAAAGCACACGACAGCCTCATTCGCCCGGACCAGCTTGGGTCTGGAGGCGGTCTTTTCGCCCAGAAGCACAGCTATTTGAGACGCGATGGTCTCCGAAGTCGTGCGCAGCACTTGGAGAGCCAGAGGGTCCGAGTCCTCAAAGGCCGATTGGAACACTATGGGTGCAAGAGACGACAGCCGTTTTTCGCGCACCATAGAGAAATGAGGCAAAGAGCTTGGTGCGAATAGAGACGCAGCCGGGTCTGGCATGTGTACTGGCACCAGGACATCGAGAACTTCGGAAAGGCCGAAGCGTTCCAGAATACGCTCAGTCATTATGCTGTTCGGCGGAGGTGCGTCTGTGACAGAGGCACAATCTGTCGCAGCAACCATCTGCCGAACCGCCTCCCGTCCGACATGGAATCCTCCACCTTCGTCGCCCAAAATCCAGCCCCAGCCGCCTATCCGCCCCAGCTGATCGAATCCGGACTCTGTCTCTATGAAAGAGACAGCGATGGATCCGGTCCCGCAGATGACCCCTACGGCATGATGTACATCGGCATACAGCCGGACAGGAGCAGCAAGAAGATGCGTATCATTGGCAACAGATAGACGGGGACCAGCTGGTAAGCCAAGCAAGTCGGAGAGTATGGGGGTGATTTCTGCCATGGCTGTTGGAGAATCTAGGCCCGAAACACCGAACCAAGCAGCCGCGAATGGCGTCTCGCCTACTGGAGGCAAGGGAACGGGGTCGACAGACGGAGGAGACACACAAGACTTGAGAGCATCGCTGACAGTCAGGCGGACTGCAGTGATGTAGTCCTCAGCGCTGAGGTATGCAAAATTGGATGGGCCACCAAGCGCTCGACCGACGATTGTGCCTGCAGCGTTGCTAATCACAGCGGACGTCTTCGAGCCTCCACAATCGACGCAAAGATAGAGGGACATGATAGTAGAGTCGGAGATGGAAGCTTTATCGATGGGAGAATCATGAACCCATACATGAATCGGGTCGGTAAGTAATCCGTGACCGCGTACAGGTTATCTTTGATCTGCCATCACAAGTGATAAACAATGCCAAACAGGGAAACACTATATAATACCTCACCTATCGTTCAAATTTTCCTTAGTGCGGCGGCACGGCCATCCATTTTCCCCATTGTTGCTCATGCCTGCCAATTTCTACGCGGGCGTTCGAGTGTCAGGCCGTGTCCCGAACAAAAGGACATCTTAGCACCCATTTCGTCGTCTGTATTCCCAGGATCGACGAGGGTCGGTAGTTCGAATATTTCCTGCATTGTCCGTAGAATCAAACTTCAATGGCTCTAAGCGCTCAAATCTTATATTTTATTCTCCATGACCCCATCTATCTCTATGCATGTGCATTTCTTCTCAGTGTTTGAGGAAAGCATTCTCATGAAAAAAATCGTAGTCCATTACATCTGGAGCTGATCTTGAGTAGAATTTACTCTGTACATTGAAGCGACCGAACAACCCAAATCCCTTCAATGTTTGCCCCATCCTTCGAAATCTACTCGCTGTCCGCGATCAAAGCCACAATCATGCTGCACAAAGTCAAGGCTGGGGCAAAGGAATCCTGCAGGGGACGCACCGATAGAGATAGTAGAAAAATGAGAGAAGATAGAATCCGAGCTTGATGAAGCTCTCCTTCTTGTGACCAGTAATGGTTCTGAAGATCTCCGTCGCGTCGTACATGTGATTCTTGTTTCGTATCCTAATCGCAAGGATTTAGCGGAACAAATGCGAGAAACGTGGCTAAAGCGCACTTGTTGGCATTAAAGGCGACGAGGGGAACGTTCAGGAGGAACGCAGTCCATTGACCGGAAAGCAGGAAAAGTGTTGCGAGGAAGGCATGGGCAATGTTTTCAGGCAGAACGAACTGTGAGAGTGCAATGAGGCATGGAGTAGGCCAGCGGAGGGTGGACGCACCTGGTTCAGTTTATTACATAGGTCAATGGGGTTGATGTAGTCGCATTCGAGGTCCGAGAACATGATGATCTTTGACGGCGGGTCAGTGAAATGAAAACTCAGCGTCGTTGCAACGCACGAAGAAAACCATGCAGAACAACAACCCCGCAGCCATCAACACCGCAAACAAAAACAGCCAGCCTATTCATTCAGACGCACGGGTGGAGGAAAGTTCATTCGATGGTAGAGGTGGAAGAGCAAGAGGGACACGGTCAGAGAGAGCAGGATGGGAACGTGGAGGAGAAAGCACCCACCAGCTCCACCCATTTTATTCGTGAATCGTCCGCGAAAAGAGTTTCGATATGGGAAATGCTTAGCTAAAATGCCCTCTGTTGCGTCTGCGCGTCAGAAGGATAGTCTCGCGACCTTGAGTGGGAGGAGGGGGAGGAAAACCGAGTGACGTTGGTCAATCAGCGTGACCCGCCGCCGTGACGTATGCACAGACACGAGCTGAGAGCATTCTCGCTTAGTACCCGCTTTTATGCCAGGAAGCACATATCCTGTGGTTCAAGATGAGCTGGGATTCACCACTTGACCATAACGACTGTCAGGTTTCCTGAGTAATGGTATACTCACCAGTTCACACTGACAAACTGAGTCCGTCTGATAAGATTAGATATCCAACGACGCAAAGATGTAACAACAAGACCAGAACTTTTCTTATTTAACGTCAATGCCGAAGGAGCTTAGAAAACGCGGCAAAAAGAAGAAAGGAACTCAAGGTCCTCCGGAATACGAACGTATCGAAAACCCGCAAAATCACGAGCCGGAAACAGCATTCGAAGGAGACGCTGAACACGGAACTACACGGCCTAATCCGTCATGGATTATCTCTGGGTCTAGCAAACAGGACCAGGTGGACAAGGACGATCGCGCTGCAGAAATTGAAGCACCCTTCGGATACGTCGATGCAGACGTCAAAGCTTACTTTCGTACTGTGGACGTCCAAATGCGAGACTGGCAGGTTGCGACGGGAGACGGAGAAAATGTAGATGCGAACGAAGGCGTGCATTCATGGTGCACACAATTTCTCTTCCTCTGACTGTGCTTTAGATAAACGAATGTTCTTCGTTGCTGCGTTGACGGAGATGGCGGGCAAGGAAAAGCAACTGGCCACCGACCCTGATTGTTCTATTGTGCTGGAACGGATGGCTTACTCTATGGACGATTTCGTGCGACGTGTTTTCATCGACAGTCTCATCGGCTCGTGAGTGTACTACAAGCAGGCAGCTCTGCTTTGTGCTCACTTTCGAAGTTATGCTGTCTTGGTGAAACATCGGTTCGCGTCGCATGTGTGCCAAACCCTGTTCACTGTTGCCAACCAAACGATCGCAAGAGAGGTGAGGAAAGGGATTTTCTCGTTTCACAAAGTTTACTTTCGCTCATAGTGTACAGATGCGCGGTATCTATCCCACGATACCGGAGGGAGACGACAAAGGTGAACTCAGAAGAATGACTGAGCTGATCGTCGATGTATGTGAGGTAAGTGATGGAAGGAATCTGGCGTTTGCTCTTTGATCAAGCTTACGAAGGAAATTACACCTGTGTTCACCTCTCTGCTTGCGGATGCATTCGGATCGCATGTCATCCGTGCACTGCTCGTGCTTCTATCACCTGCGCTTGCATCCTTACAAGACAACTCTCACACGGCCGTGCGGTCCAAGAAGAGCGCAGCATGGAAAGCGAGGCAAGGCCCTCTGAAGTCGATGTTCAACGAGAGCCGATCGTCTGCCCCGATCTTGTACACCCCACCCGAATCGTTCGCTCCGATCTCACGCCACTTCATTGAGGCTGTGCGTGCCGAGCTGGGAGGAAACGAAGTCCGGGCTCTGGCAGCAGATAAAGTCGCTAGCCCCACTCTGCAGGTGTGTGCAACGGATTGAGGCCCATACCCACGTAATTCCTGAACACCATCTTTAGATGCTTCTTGTGGTCGAAGCAGATCAGCAGATGTCCGATGAGGAGGACTCATTAATGGATCGTGCTCTTGCTGGTCTTATCTCCCATTCAAGTGAGTAAATACCTGCTACGAGCTGGACCCATGTTAATCAATGAGGTAGAATCCGACTCCAGGGATGCACCGCCGGTGTCAGACTATCTCCACACACTGCTCCGTGACCCGACCGCGTCTCATTTTCTGGAAACAGTGGTGGCGAAATGTCCAGCACCAGCCTTTGCAACTCTCTGGACCCTCTATTTCAAAGACAGTCTGGCTCGGCTCGCTATCCATCCTGTTGCCAATTACGTGCTTGCCAAGACCTTTGAGCGATTGGACGCAGCCCAACTTGCGGATGTGTTCTTGGAGCTCAAAGGCGTTTGGGGGAAACTAACGCGTGAGTTTGACATTCACGTACAAGCAACTTCGTCTGAGCTTTCTCCGCAGAGGTATCTCGAACAGGTGTGCTAAGAGCTGCAATCGATCGTTCGATCGAGTTGAAAGCCTGTGGTCCCGATGTACAGGAGGCGAGTTATTGTTATTGATCATCGCACATCCATCTCTAAACGGCCATCTAGGCTGTCTTGGAAGCTTTTGAGATTAACCCCGACGATGTAGAACAAAAAAATGCGGTCGTACCCTGTATCTTGCGACTGAAGTCCTTTTCGGTGGGCGCGACATCAAAATGACTGGTGCAGTCTGACCTCTGTTTGTAGGACTATGCTCGTCAGATCGAATACAACAGCGAAGAAAAGGGAAAACAGAAGGCAAATTCGGGTGGTGAAATGACTGTTCAGGGGGCCGTGCTTCTGCAGTCGCTTTTGCGCATGGCAGACCCATACAATGGCATAGTGATCTCCAGGTGCGTCTGCTTTAGGCAAGATTGTGCTCTATGTAGACCGTTCTAGTTTGCAGTCGCTTTCCACTGTGGCATTGGTCTCTCTTGCCCATCATCCCGCTGCCTCACGAGTTTTGGACGCGCTACTCGAATCGAAAACTGTTCTCGTGAAATCAAAACGGCAGTTTCTGCTCTCCTTGATCGGAAGCTATCACCTCCTCGTCGACGATCGGATTGGCAGTCGGGTCGGAGATCGGTGTTGGGCCAATGCCGATACTTATCTCAAGGTGCCATTCAATAGCGAACGAAACGCCCGCATTTGTTCATCTTCTTCAGGAAAAAATAGCCCGGTCAATGATCCCAGAGGAAAGATTCCTCGCTGCATCGCATTTTGGGAAATTTTTCGCCCGCAATCTTAATTTGTATCTCCTCCAGCGCCGGCCGGACGATTGGCGCAACATGCAAAGCGGGCAACGGCCGAAAGCAACCGCCGTCCAGACCAATCCTCCTATGATAACTCCAACGATACAACCCAACCCACCTCCTGTCAAGAAGCGAAAACGAGACAAAGCCGGGGACGAGATCGACCAGCTTTTCGAGGGCATGGGGAAGAAAATCAAGCGAGGTGCACTGGCTGTATCTGACCATAGTGCCCACAAAACGGAGATGGATGCGTCATCTGCCGTGGACGATGTGCTACCCCAAAATGCTGATTCAGCAAATCGTCCTCGAGGCAAACGGAAAGGCAATGTGTAGCTTATGTATCCATATTTGCAATTCAGTGTCTCGAATGAAAGCGCTGACTGGATCAAGAGTCTGCTTCATTGTGTCCGCGATCCCAAAATTTCGTGCTCTTCGTTGTTGCTCTTTTGAACGGCGTCTCCGCGTCAGCTTGCGGGGTTCTGCTGGAGATGATGTAATTGATATGGACGGGCTCTCGATTTGAGCGATTTACGAGCGTCACTCCCCTTCGTAAAACTACTTTATGTGCCTGCGATATTTTCACTCGCTTGCCGATCTTGTAGGTGGTTCGTTTAGCCTGATTTCCTTGTGTTCTATCGATGCTGGCATCGGATACTTTCACGACAATGGGCTGTTTGCTGACAAACGCCTGCCCCGATATGGAAACCGATCCTTTCTCAAAACGATAATGGACGTTGATCTTGCATACAAGATCGATGCCATCCAAGAGCTCACAGGCCACCAAGATCGTGCATGGAACGTCGCATGGAACCCTACGAAACCACTCATCTCCTCCTGTTCTGCCGACAAGACAGTCCGCATGTACACCTACAGTTCCAAGAATGACACAGGACCAACCTTCACGCACATTGCGACGATACCCACCGGCCATACGAAGACTGTACGATCGCTGGCTTGGGCTCCCTCAGGAAAGACGCTGGCTACTGCGTCCTTCGATGCAAATATAGGGATCTGGGAGCAAGAGGACGACGAGGAGGATGAGGGTGAGGGGAGGGTTCGAAGCGGAGAGTGGGAGTGCATGAGCCTATTGGAGGGCCATGAGACGGAATGCAAAAGTGTTGCATACTCGAGCACGGGCACGCTCCTCGCTAGCTGCAGCCGCGACAAAACCGTGTGGATCTGGGAAGGCGCGTAGCAGCAATATCTGCCGTTGGCGACAGACAGTTGCTCAAGTGGCTTCAAGTGCAGTCCATCCCGACTCAGACTTTGAATGCATGGGTGTACTGATGGAGCACACTCAAGATGTGAAGTGTGTGGCCTGGCATCCCACGGAAGAGGTGTGCCTTTTACTCTAGTCTGCACCCTCCCCACCAACCGGCGATCTCCGCACAGATTCTTGCGTCTGGTTCGTACGACGATACAATCAAATTGTACATTGACGACCCTTCGGACGACTGGTTCTGTTTTGAAACTTTGTCCGGGCATCAGTCTACGGTGTGGTCGTTAGCCTGGGCTCCGAAAGGCAGCTATCTGGCATCGGCTTCGGACGATCGGACAGTTCGGATATGGAAACGACTTGCAGAGCATCACTGGGAATGCGTACTTGTTTTGGAAGGCAATGAACGCAGCGTCTACTCAGTGAGCTGGGGTGTCGGGCAGTCCTCTTCCAGTGAAAGTCTAGGCTGGCTTGCGGCAGTAGGTGGTGATGGGGTCATCCGCGTTTGGGAGCTTGCTGTGAGGTTCATGTATCTTGTCTATTCAGTTGACTGATCCTCTTGATAGGAAACGCAGGACTCGAAATTGTCGCACAAGCTGATTGCACGGTTTGCCGATGCTCATGGCGTGCATGATTTGAATTCCGTAGCTTGGTGTCCTCGACAAGGGTTCGAGAACCTTTTAGCAACGACAGGCGACGAAGGAGCCGCAAAAATATGGAGCGTTAATCTAATAGTATAAGCTAACATTGCTAGACCTACTGAGGCTCCCAATGCATCTTCATGCCAGCAGTTTCTTTGGGTCTGACCGCGCGGAAAGACCACCCATGAGGCCTTCGAAGCGGAATGGCGATCTTCATGAGTATAAACTCGACGTGAATTTGTTCATGCCGTCAAGATCTTTCCTTTACCGCCAGCGCCGTGCCATCGAGTTGCAATAGTTTTGCATGCTTCCTCGTAAGACTCGACAGGCGCACCTTCAATGACAGCTTTCTCCAAATCCATTTGCCAGCTCCCGAACATTCCCTTGACTTGCAACAAAGTCACCTTCTCCTCAACTCGTGTCAGAACACACTCCGAGACGGGATATATAGTCCCGTTCATGCCAAAGTTGCCAGCGGTCCGCATGAAGATGTGTCGGACCTGAGAACGAGGCTGCTTTGGAGGTATGATGGACAGAAGCGTGACCTTACAAGGGCGGGCATTAGCGGACCACCGGGAGAGACACTGCCTGGACGTGCCGTTCTTGCGCGGAGTATGAGCAGTGTGCTGGCGACCAGGGCGCCCGTTAGGAATTCCATGGAACACACAGCTAGTCGAATCGGCCACGGTCGTAATGGGGGTGTTGCGCCGGACGCGTCAGGCTGCTCCTTCCAGTTTCTCCACGTCAAGCTGACGGTGTTCGCGCTGGAAGCATTGATGAAAAGACAGCCTCAGTTTCAAGGGACAAATGGCAGCGAACGTGAAAAGGACGTCCAGACCCAAGGCAATGGGTGTCAACATGATGAACCTCGACGGACGCCGATAATAGAGAGGATTGTGCGCGCTCTTCAAGCGCGCCGCCACACCTGGAGTCTTTGCAAAGAGACCGCGAGCATATCCAAGGAAAATAGACATGATGATGTTGACAGCGGAAGAATCGGAAATGCCGGGCCGTTCCTTGCGCAACTATTCATCTGGGACCCATTTCAGTCTTAGTCTACAACATATCTAGTCCAACAGCATTGCTGAGAAGGCAAGGTATTCCAGGTGCACTACCAAGCCATATTATCCCGCGTTCACTACATAGATCCTGCATTGAAAGCTAATTAATACAGAGTTTGTGCATTTGGTATGAATCAGTTACCTCACTCTCGGATTCCGACTAGTTATCGAACATCCAAGGACGTGCGCCACTCTGAATGAAGGCCGTCACATCAAATCCGTCTTCAGAAAAGTATCGAGAAGCGCTGAATTGCTGGCTGCCCGGCTGTTCCGAATGGAAAAGACGCGTCTGAGCATCGAATTGATAGTTGTGGTCTATCCAATCGGACTCGGGCTGGGGCCATGGACTGTGTTGTGATGCGTCTTTGTCGTGCTGAGGCTCGGGCGCCGAACGAACAAGCGTGGGCGATGTACCGAGGAAATCCTCAGCAACGTTGCCTCGGATATTGGATGTGGGGAAAGCGACGCGGGTCGGGGGCGTGTCCTCTATTGAGATCGATGCAACCCTGTGGGCCTTGTCCATCTCTGAGCGAGCTTGAGCTGCCAACCTCACTAGCCGTTCTGAAGCAGCTTTGGAGTGCTCCCCATCAGCTCGGGCATATAAATGAAGGGCAGACTGCATGCTTTCGTAGGCGGCAGGCGCCAACGGATGTCTCGGCGCCCCAATCACAAACACAGCCTGACACACTGCCGCTGTAAAGGAGTGAAATATCCAGTACCACATGCGGGAAAACAATCTCGGATGTCGAGCAAAGAGCCCCCGAGCAACATTTATCATCGCGCGAGCAGCCTGTCAAGATCAGCATTCATAATAGACAGTATCGCTGCGCTTACATTCGTCAAACTTTCGACGCTCTGCTTATATTTTGAAGATACTAGATTCCTTCCCCCGAGCATCAAAGCGCGGCAGAATGGCCCACGATGCAGATCGAGTATAGCCAAGAAGCACATATTAGCCAGCGAAGCGATCTGAGCGTCCCGTCGCATTTGCAAGCCGTCTTTCGCCGGCCTGAGCTCGTCAGGTGATGGCAACGCAGTCACGGGGTGCTCAACCGCTTCGCAGATGGCCCAGCCGGGGAGCGAGGCATAGTACGACTGGACATCCCGATCCATGTCCAACACAACCTCATAAGTCGGAGTTTGACGGGCATTGAGCACAGTGTCAACGATTCGGCCCAGGAGTAGCGCAAAACGGAATTTTAGGGTGTGCCATTTCAGATGTGAAAAAACGCGATCTTCCGGGTCGGTATCAGACGGAAGCGGGGTGTCGCATGTCTGGGGCATCTCGCAGTTGTCTGACAGTTGCATCAGAACCGATTGGACGGTCACAGCTGGTATCACCCACGATGTGCATCGCTCAACGCATACGGCCGCCCGAGCGTGAACGACTGCAGCCGATCAAAGACTAGGGTTTCCCAGAAGACCCTCCTCCTCTCCTCGGCTTCGCGAGGCGGCAGTCCCCAGCTGGAGTCGTCCCGGTGACACTCCTGTGCCACAATGGAGCGCATGGCTAAGCCCAATGCTTGCCACGCTGAGTCCCCACCCTCTTCCCCGCGCATGCATAAGAACCAGAGAGCCATCAGATGCAAGCTCTGCGCAGCAGAGATCGAGTCGAAATTGACCGGAAACCTGAGGTCTAAGGCCGACAACGCAACCGCGTATAGCTCAGCTGATCGCGGTTGAACCTCGGCAATTGGAAGCGCCAAGTCAAACAGCGCCCCAATGGCCAGCACCATGGCAAATAACGAAAGGACATGCAGATTTGACGGAATGCAGGCCGCACGAAGTGGGTCCATGTAGATGGTAGGGAAATGGACAGTGAAGAATATGTCTTCGGGAACGACCTCGTACCTGGGTAAGAGCAATGGTGAGCACGGTGAAGTGAGTCAGAAAGGAATCGAGCGAACATGAACGACGCGTTGGAAAAGTACAGATGCGCGAGGCGATGTGCTTCGTCATATGCAGGGAGCAACGCCATTCGCGACACCAATTCGGAGGGCAACAGATGCTCGTCTTGGGACTGCTCGGACGTGAAGAGAGACGGATTTTGAGAGGACGAAAGTGGCTTACAGTGGCATTCTGGTCCTGCGACCCAGAATAGTTATGCATGTGCCGCGGAGCATTCCTCCACAAGTCGGGGTACGCGGCGCCGCTGGTTGCGCTCACATATCGTGGGCGATTCTCCACGTCAATTGTCAGGGTGCCAATGCCCAATGTCACGTCGGTGGCGGAAGAATCGCGATCTTTGGATGCGGGCGGTTGTGCGTCCGAGAGCGAGGCAATACGTGGACGTTTTGCTCGGCCTTCGTTTTCTTGGGGTGGTGAGGGTAAACGGAAGGTCGGAGCATCAGCCAGGACCGACGCGGTGGGCGGAATGCTGACGCCGGCCCTACATCGGACGTTGCTGTCATGATGACACAGAAGGGGAAGGAGGAGTGACGACGCACGCAGCCAACGCATCCTCCAACTCCTTGATCCTTTTCCCCATCGCATTGTCCCGTGCGAGGAACATCGCCACCTCGGAGTGCTCAATCTCCACCCCAGGTTTGACCGACGGCAAAGACTGCTCTAGCCGCTTCAAGAATCCACGTTTGCCCTTCTCGAGCGTTCCGGTCGGACATAGGTTCGCGCAGCCTCGTCGTATGCAGGACGAACAAGGGAATATTCGGTCGCAACTGGAAATGGAAGAGTGTGCCCGACGTTGAGCATGTCTATCGCGTACCCACACCCCGCACGAGATACGACCGACACGCACCGAAGCTTCAATCTCCTGCACTCCGCACATGACGACACTTGAGATTTCCGGGGGTTGGAATTGGCAGCGAACGATGCGGTGGAGGTACTGGGCTCGTCCATTAGCCTACTGGTCAACTCGGAATCACGTACGAACTTCTCACTTCTGCTCAACCGAGATGGCCGTCAACCCGCGGTCAACCTCCGTCAAACTCAGCCCTTCAGTCTGACACAATGCAATACACTCCTGGGAGGCCTCGTTCCACTGTATTATAACTGTCTCTTAACGTCTGACGGGAGAGTTCCGATGGATGTTCGTAGTGCTGATGGTGGAGAAAAGTGCCAAGGGCTGGACAATTGTTCGTGCCATCAATCTCAATTTTGGACCCAAGACTGTAAAACGGTTGCATGCTCATGTTGGTGCCTCAAGATTCCGACCTAGATTTTGACGCTAACATAACAATTGTTGGGTACATGTCCGGAGATGATTAACGCTTCCCCGACAACCTTGACTTGTGCGCCTTCGGAGACTTTTTTGTTTCCACTGACCATTTACATTTCGCGAGGACATCAAGTGTCGGACTGGCGGCGATTGCGATAGTGAGGTGCTGGTAACATATGCAGAGGTTATTGTGTGAAACCGCAGTGCTTGAGAATAGAAGCATAGTTTCGCTGGTTCCAATCAGTCACTGCTTCACGGCGGTCGCATAAACGCACTCATACGCGGTGGTCTGCACAAGACTGTATCAGTAACGAAACTAAAACCTCTCGGGGAGCACCCACCTGCCGTGCACTGCACCCGGACAAGATATTATTCAGTTCACGTTCAAGGCGAGACGTAGAAATCCATTAAATACACGGTTTCGGCAGTACAACAGTCGGCAAGCATACAGCGGATCTGGATGTCGCTGCGCTCTACAATACGTCATGCGTCCAGAAAGCAGGCAAAGAGCAGATCATTGAGCATACCAAACAGTGGCCAAGCGAGACAAGAATAAGCAGTCATAGATGCGATGATGATGGATGGACTTGGGAACCAGGAACGCAGATTGGGCCGGGACGTGATTCAGTCAACATCCATCCGTCCACCATTTCCGCCGCGTTTTCCAGCACCTCGACGGTTACCGCGTCCGCGACCCGTTCCGCCTCGCTTCGACGACCCTCGACCACTGTTCCCCTGTGTGTATTCGGCTGGGTTGGCGCCAGGAGGGGCGACTAGAACTTGTGCAGCTCTCTCGTTCAAGAGTGAGTCAGATCGCATTTTACTGACAGGGAATTAGTGCCACATCAACAACCAGCATCGCAATGGGATACACGCACGATCCGGTATCATTCGCAGATTCCATGAGAATATCCACGCTACCCTCCTGCCTTACTAAGCCCAGTCCGTCGGTTCCGCCTAATCGTCCTCCCAGACTGGTCGAAACACTGCCCACTACTGTCACCGACAACATCTTCCCATCGGCAGTTTGCTTGTCAAACTTTTTGACGGCAGCCTGGGCAGCAGAAGGGGTCTTGAAAGTGATGCGAATGGCAAGTTCCTTCCCGGGAAGAGAGGAAGCCTTTAAAATCTCCCCACAGCGTTTAAAGATAGCGACGACATCGTCTGCGGTTGTGCCTGCGGCGAGATTTTTGACTTCCACAACGTTTCCTTGGGATGCAGCGCTTGCTCCTCGGATGGAGAGCGGACTATCGGACGAGGAGGCGACTGCTTGGATGGCTCTGCCAACAATGCCATGATTCAGGTTTGCTTTCGGGGCGCCCGGGTTGATGTTCATACGGGCGGAGAGCGAATTATGGGTGTCGTACATGTCGTGCGTCCATTGTGTATCCGTATCTGGTCTGGGACCCGGTCGGTTCTCAGTGGCGATTGAGCTTGAGGGGTTGGAAGACGGGGCCAGAAAACCGACATACATAGGGGCTTGCTTTGTTCTTTTCGGCAAATTTCGAGCGGACAGGCCCGGTCCCACCGTTGGTGGATACATTCATGCGTTGAAGAAGAGATGCCATGAGCGAAGCAGGGAAGAGGTAATGTTTGGCCGATTGTTTGGCGCGTACACCTACGCGCTCTTTATTGCACCTGCCCTTCCCCAATATAGCAACCGATGGGTTGGCGAGATCAGATGCTTACATGCCAACCCATTGGTCTTCTTCTGCGCCATTTCTCATACCCTCCGTTAATACCTCTCCCTACCTCCCGCAAAACCGACTCCGACTTTTGACTCTGAGTGTCCGCCGCATCAATCCCACATGACCTGCACAGCACCATACCTCTGCCTTTCCGATCACTCACGTAACATCCCGGCGCCGCCTGTCACTCGTCGCTGTCGTCAATGTCTCGTCGCTGTCGCCAATGTCTCGTCGCTGTCATCAACGTCGTCGACGTCGCTCCCTTCTCCACCTCTGGATTTCCCTACCGCGCATGATAATGGCCTCGTGGGAAGCTCCCATGCTACCCGACTCGATACTCTACAACTTGGCTGGGCGGGATCGAGGGCTTGATCATTACGCGCGCGAAATAAGGGCGGCAAGGCATCGGGGCGGGGATATAAATGAGGTACATCTGGTGTGAATACTTAATATGTCTGGAATACAATGCTATGACCCCAGCCGTGAGTCGAACAACAAAACTGGCGTCATCTCCTGCACTCGTCCTCGCACCGACACTTCCATTCCTTTCCAAGCACTGCTACTTGTACGGGCGGGTGCACTTGCTCTTCCCATTGACAATCGCGCCATCCGTTCCTCGCCACGTCATGCCAATGATGCGCGGTTTTGGTGGTCGTCCGACGCGTGAAGCGCCTGTCGCTTGTGGGGTATATCGAACTGGTCCCTTGTCACCTTCGCATATGAGATGAGGATCCGGAAAGGTGTTGCGTCCTGTGAGTTCGGGGGCCTGCTCATAATAGGTGTAATATGCCTCTTGGCCGTACGTCTCGCAAAACTTCCTAGAGACAGTTTTGGTCAGTTGAGCCGATTTGGAACGCTGTTCCACCACGCACCTTTGCCGAGCCCTGAATATGACAATTGGTATCGCGCATGTCTGCCCCATCCAGCGCTGAGACGCTCACCTCTCACGAACCACCCCATCCCTTGATCTCCTGCGCGCCAGTGCCTCCTCATGCGCAACAGGATCCTGACGAAGAGCCTCGCGTCTCCTATTGTACGTTAGGGTAGCTGTAGTTGTAGTAAATGGAGGAACATGCCTGCGCATCCTCTCGCGCGCTGAAGCCCGGGTTGCGTCAAGGTTTCTGAAGATGTGTGAGGAAGTCGTCGGATGCGTGTAGCGTGTGAATGAGCAGACTTGTCGCGATACTGAGCTTGAGCTATAGCGTGGTGGATGTCGCGGACCATGGGGCTGCGTTGGGTGCAAGTGGATGAGAGCGTGTCAGTGGGCAAGGGATCAGACATAGTGGTTTCAAGTCAAGATGAGCAAGATTCCGCATTCAGTAACACGGGATAACTAGTTCAACTACTTACATTGGGTCTCGCACAATTCGGGTTTTATAAATTACATAGAGTGAATGGCCTATATTCTAGCAGTTCATGCCGAAGGGTCCGATGCTTTTAAACGCGTCCCTATCCCATAAATTGGGTAGTCAGTACAAGGAGACTACCGTGTTCGTGATACTCGGCAATGTTCGGCCGACACTTCTTGGGCAATTCGTTCCCTCCCAACTGGCTGGAATTCATGTACTGTGTTGATTCCGGAGGGATGCAAACGTTCTGAAAGGTACAAACGCATGAAGAAGCTGTTTACAGGCCGTGGATTCATGGAAGTGGCAAGATAGAGTCAAGTAGCTAAGTACTTGGTAGTACATCCTCGAGCGTCGTCAAAGCTTTCTCTCTCTCTCACATTCCACAAAGGAGTTGAGGCAGCAAACAGTCATGTATAGTTTCCAAGATACAGAGCTTCCAAGTCACCAGACCTGACCAACGGACTGGCATAACCAAGCAAGGCACATCCAACAAGTTCTCCTCACACACACAAGCTTTCCAGAACAAAAGTAGATGGCTAAGACGTCTATGCGCTTCCATTAGATGTTGCACAAGACGCAAGAGACCCGGAGACACGCACCAAAAGCCATGACCAGCCATAATCTCCCCATCCCGAGAAGTCCACCACGGCATAATGTTGCATACTGGACTCAGCGTTGTTGATGGTGACGCCAGACAGAAGAGGACCATTGGGAAAGGTCGGGTAGTTGCGTTGGGGAACAAGCTGGAACGAGGTGGATGGTGCAAAGGCAATGAAACATTGACAAGCACATGGCTTGCATGGCGACAGGCGAACCAACAGCGAACGGATAGCGCCTGAGCCAGGCACCATTGGAAGAGACGAGGAGAGGAGGGCAAACGAGACCGTGGAGAGGGGAGAGGAGGTGTGGGTGCTATGGCCCGTAGCGAAATGGGCAAGAGGAATAAGAAGACAGCTCTTGGGGTCACAACATCTTTGAAGGTGAGCACTGAACGTTGAACATCGACTTGGCCTTGTATTGAAGTCTGAAGGCAGATAGCAGATCAACGGCGGTGACGACGACGACGGCAACAATTAGGGGAGGTGATGGCGCGGCACGGGACAATGAGGGAGTAGCCGGAAAGACGGGGATACGGTGCCGAACAAGTCATGTGGTACTGGCGCGGTGGACAGAGACTCAGAGTCGTTTTGGCGGGGGTACGCGAAGGTATTAACAGAGGGTATGAGAAATGGCGCAGAAGAAGACCAATGGGTTGGCATGTAAGCATCTGATCTCGCCAACCCATCGGTTGCTATATTGGGGAAGGGCAGGTGTTTATTGATCAATGTATTGTAAGGTGCTTTCCATCGTACTAGGCACCGTCGACACTCCCCATGCCAGACGCAGATAGATCGGGCTTGCTCATGAGTGTGCCAGTATAGGCTTGTCCACCGCTTCTTAAGGGTTCCTCAGATCTCCCTCTCTTCGCATGTCACGTCCACAACGCTATCTTCACGTGCTTGTTCGCGCCACATTCCTTCCGGCGACAAGTACATCGACATCGGAGGATTTCCAACTTCTCAGCTAGCTTTCACTGATGCAGGTTCTGGTGCCGAAATCTCATGTGGTCATCTGCTTGAATTGGCCCTCTCCTCCGAATGTGGTTCAAGAAATCAACTGCAGACGTCGCCGTTCCCTCAGTGCTATCTTCGAACACAATGTTGAACTACTCTCATCCAATCCACTCGGCTGACCACGACTGATCTTGAACAGCGAAGAAGGGGTTTCCGCCGTTCGCGCAAGGTTCACCCATTCCTATCCCAGAATCCGCCATAGATGCGTGTGTTGTCGTGATATGCGATGTTTTGAACTGGGTAGGAGGCCCACTCCCTGAAATCCCTCCGGCAGCGCATGGCATGCTGACTGTGCGACTATTACTTCAGATAGGACGAGTAGAGAAGGTAGTGTCTTTCGATGGCTCACAGGCGAATGAATGCTACGGTTCGGTCAGTTTCTAGAGTTTCATGTTTCATTGATTATCTCGCAAGCAGGTTTCTTTTCCAGGGCACCACGGGTAAACCTGATGTACACATTTTAGCGCCGCCACGGGTCTCTTTATGACTCTCACCAAGAGGGTATCGAAGTACGGCGGAAAATATCCCACACCCCTGTCCGATCCTGAAGTAATTCAGACACATCTGAACATTGTCGCTCTCATGGGCATGACTGGCCCAGGCTTTCTGAAACTTCGAGCAGACACACATAAGTTGATCGATGTTCTGCCGCTGTACCTCATCTATGCTCTGACCCGACTGCTCCACTACTCTTTTACGAGGGGATGCCCGATGGTCATCATGCATCGTTTCGACTCTGCGAGTTTCTACGTGGCAGCCGCATTGCAGTACAAGCCCACGATCTGTCTCGTTGTCCCTCCTATTCTGGTTGTTCCGATCCGTCATCCGTGTCTGTGGCACACTCTTTTGTGTCGCATTGAATGACGAACTGGCGTAGTTATGGAAGAATACAAGGTAAGGAGCATCACAGTTCTCTTTTGGGGGCCGAGCCATCGTCCCAACATCTCTTCAAGGCTGCAAGTTGGATTCATGACACCACCAATCCCTTCCTTCTGAACCCGTCTCCTCAGGTCAGACGGTGATTCACCAGAAAACATCTTGGTCAGAACTTATTTCCAATCACTCAAGATTGGGAACCCCCCTGCATCATTTTCCTAAACGCTCGATCACGCTCACCAGGTTACAGTTGGACTGAGACGTCCCCAACGATTGCTTTGTTGCCCGTCAAAGATTCGGAACGCAGGGTCGACAGCATAGGGCCCCTACTGCCTGATCTCGAGACGCAGTTGGTCGAAGGTGGCGACGGTTATCTAGATGTCGCCCTGGTGAATTGTGGGTCCGCGGGACTACAGACGTGAAGGTATGCTGTCTTTGCCGTGGCCTTTGGCGGGTGTCGCTGAGAGTAGCACAGGGTATCTCAATAACCCGTCCGCGACCCAGCGCGCCAGTACACAAGACGGATGGATCAAGATCGGAGGCGTCGCCATCCGAGACTCAGAGGGAATTTACCTCATTTCTGCCAGACGCAAAGAATCTGAATCGTTCCTGTACAAATTGTGCGTGCGTGTAGTTTACAAGTTTACATCCGACTATAGGGTTTTCAATATCAAGTTCTACCAGCACCTCAAACTGTTTGACCCAAGTGCTGCGCTAGTCCCGCCTGCAGAACTGAGAAATATTTTACGGACCAGTGTGAGATCGCAGATGCGCCGTCAATGGGCTCGAAAACGTCGAAGAAGCGACAGAGTTACCCAGAGCTTTTGTGGTTAGATCCTTGCCACGTACCAAGCGCAGCAGCGCAAAGAGGGTTCGCTCGTAGCGCTGTCTTGTGGGTCGAAGTGCGAGTCGCGAAACTTAACTTTCTTCGCGGAGGCGTCATGTTCTTTAATGACATTCTTGAGAGGTTTGAGATTTACTCTAGCCTTGATATCTTTAATCACTTTCAGCCCTTCTGGCAATATTTTACCTCGCGAGTCGAGGGAGCTCGCGAAAGAAGAGGTCGAAACAAAGGCATTGCAGATTCAAGCCGAAAGCCACACTGTGCATTGGACAGATATATATCTCGCAATGGTAAAGCGCAGCAGTAATCTAGAAGATGCAGTGAGTGATAAGATTGAGAGCGGACATTGAAGAATTCAGAAGTGTCAAGATTTGGAGCACGCCCCATGAAGGGTATTCACCATGAAGAAATTCAATAGAAATTGAAGGCATCAGAGACTAGAAACCGGATGAGATAGCTCACCTTGAAGTCGAAACCCATATCCAACGCAATGAACAACAAAGTTCCAACACAGCAAAAAATTGCAAGCCAAGCCGACCGAGAGTGAGCCCCATTGAGTTGAAGGCCTTGAGGAGCCAACAATCGTATAACTATGTCTATGAGGAACAAACTGCCAGTTCATCGAGCAGCCGCTGAGCGACGGCTGGCTCATATCTTCGCCAGTCGCGCCTTGACCAACGGTCACCTTCAGAGCATGCAACGGAGTGGAAAGGACGGAGGATGATGAGACGAAGAGCCATGACCATCCAAAGCGTTCCATCCACCCCTGCTAATTCCAACGAGCTTGGAGTTGGTCGCTTTCCGAATTTAAGCAGGGATATTCTCCGTTTCTCCGGGGACTTTCCCCACAGCGAATGAAGAGAGTAGCAACCCTCTGTGCGTATGCTGCGAAGACGATTCTTCGGACGGCCTGAATTCGAGAGAAAAAAACGATGGCATGCTTTATAGCTAGTGGGAGTTGTATAGACATGTTTGAGTTTGATGGGATTGATCGATCCATCACGGCACCCCACAAGCTGACCACTTACACGCACCGTTCATGGCAACTGATAGTCAAGCTAAGCAGAAATCGGCTCAGTCGAAACCGAGGGTGGTAAACACTTCTCATCGTTCCGTGAAGCATATTTCTTACGACTCTCAGGTCCCCCTTGCCAATTTCCCGACAATCAAAGTCATACAACCTCCGAAAGGTAGAGTGTACTGCATCGCTAGGATGGCCCGAATGCAACCTCATCTCATACAACTAGGGAAATTCTCTCCGAGAAATGATCAATGGTGCTTGACGTATTGCTCGCAAACCGTTGCTGGACGCACACAACACAAGCAACCTTTCTGCCGATCCATATGCATCCGCAAGGTCTTCACACACGAAGTGCAAAACATCCTCCAATTCAAGAGCCACACGGAGGTTGGACCTGATGGCAAAGCGCGTTTCCCACTGCCTCAAGAAGGCCAGCCCATCAATCTGCCTCGATATCTGGGCGGTAAACCTGTCGACGATCCAGAACACGATCGCAGGTTACCTTCAGACGTGAGGTACTGGGAAGAGGGTTGGTATCTGTGGAAGGCGAATGGTATCCCCGCCGTATACCACCAGCTTTCGCAGGTCGCGATGGATCTGCCTAGTCTGTTCAGAACGAGCGAGGCACGCAAGAATCAACAGCGGCTGCGACAGGAATACGACAAATACGTGGAGTCGGGTCGCCCGGAGGCGGAGAAGGAGAAGTGGACGGGGCAGGTTGTGCCGCCCAATCTCGGAGATCCTGCGTGAGTGCATTCCATTGCTCCCGTTCTCTGTCCTAACGATTGTGGCCCATCACAGACCCGACTCGTTGCTCATTCCTATCCCCTTCGATTCTGGCCCCTTGCTGGAACCCGTGTGGAATGTCCTTGCCCCAGCCCGTCACTCCGTCGGCTTACTTCGCGAGAATCTCAAAGAGGGGAACTTCGAGAAGTTTGGACTTCGTGTGTGGGATAAGGCATGGTCGGGTGAACCACTCATGCTTGCGAGTCGAGCTTGGAATCTTGCCTACGACCGGTGGAAGGGCAACGATAAGGATGATGAGAAGGGAAAGAAAGCATAGGACGATACCCGCCGCCGACGCCTTGTAGCATTAGACATTCATTTGACATTACTTACGCAGACATACTGCATAGACGCATGCACAGTAACATATTCACCTATCCTACACGCCCTGCTCATGAATTTGTTCGCGGAGCCGCTCCCGCTGTTTCTCGTACTTTCGCTAAGCACGTGGCGCTCAGATGGCTTTGTCAGAGTAGTCCATTCTGACCACTCAAATATGCCGAGACCCCAAGTCGCGCTCTCTATAGCTCTCCACACCCACCGATCCCAACATAATGGCCAAAGCAAACGCACCCATTGAAATCCAAAGCGTCAAGCATTGGAATGAGACGCTCCGCAGTGCCAACGCCGCCGGAATGACTACCGTCGTGGACTTCCACGCAACTTGGTGTGGGCCTTGTAAAGTACTTTGCTCAGTGCTCTTTCAAGTGGTCTCTCCGGGCGCTCAACCGTGTGCCTAGGCCATCGCCCCCAGATATGTCCAGCTTGCATCCGAGAACGATCATGTTCGATTCCTACGCGTGGACGTCGACGCACAGCGGGCACGTCTCCTCACTCGCTGTTTTGGAGATGCATCCTGATGGAGACTGCAGGCCATCGCGGCGAAATACAACATCTCCGCCATGCCGACCTTTTTGGCTCTGAAGCAGGGCCAGGTTTTGGAGACAGTGCGGGGCGCCGATCCGCAAGGCTTGGCGCGCATGATTGCGGTGCGCGGTGGACCGAATCCTCCGGTAGCTCCCTTACCAGCGGAGGCGGAAGCGGCCAAGGTGGCTGGAAATGTGCGGCACTGTCTTTGCACGCCTCCGTTCTTCTTACTGAACTGAAGGTCATTTTCGCGTAGGCTTTCTTCAAAGACGGCAAATATCCAGAGGCGATCGAGAAGTATTCGGAGGCGATCACCATTGCACCGACGTCCGCCGCTCTGTATGCGAATCGCGCTGCGTCATATCTCAAATTAACGGATCCGGAACTGGACTTGGCTTTGGCAGATGCTCAGAAGGCGACAGAAGTCGAGCCTAAATGGGGCAAGGGGTATTATCGACTCGGAGAAGCCTTGCAGGCGTTGGGTCGAGACGAAGAAGCAGTCAAGGTGTTTGAGAATGCTGTAGAAACGTCACAAGGATTGGTTCAAACGGAGGCGAAGCGAAAGCTGGGGGAGTTGAAGAAGAAACTGGGCTGGCATTGAGCGCCTAAGTATTCCTTCTCTGAGACCTTCCTAATTTGGAGCATCGGTGTTGCAGACAAGTTTCATGTAATCGATCCTTGGTAACAGCGTTTTCTACTGTATTTACGTATTCCGAAGCCGATCGGACATCCATCAAGTGTGAGAGACGGTGACAGAGGACGAAGAGCTGGATGCAGAAGTGAGAACCTTCCCGTTCTGCTCCATGTTGATGAGGACTGATCCGGACGGGCCCATGGTCTTGCCGGCTTGGGTGGTAGCAGAGGCTCCGGTGAAGGTGACGGTCCCAAAGTTGGCGAGGGGCACGAGACTGTTGCCCTCCTCGAAGTCCTCGACGATCCATTCGGCGTTCTGCAGGCAAAGCTTGGCCGAGGAGGTCAGGGCCTTGGAGACAGTCTACGGGTACGGAAAGTGACATGAACAAGCTGGACATATCGCGAGATTGGAAGCGACGTACGACACCAGTGGAGACATTCTCGATAGTGACTGTGCCCGAGGTGGTGCTGCTGGCGGTGGCAGTAAGCTTGATGGTGTTACCCGCGGAGATCTTCGGCCTGTCAGTGACTAATTCCGCAGCCAGGGCAAAGGAGACGCACGGGGATGTTCGTAAAGTCGGTGGCAAAGGCGGGGAAGTATTCAAACCACGCATCGTAAGAGACTCTCCCGTTGACCACGTTGAAGTCAATTCCCTGTTTCAAGTCGTTGGCACCGGGACACAGCAACAGCGACAAATACCACATACGGTTTGGAGAATGGCTTCGGGACTTGCCGTCAGAGTCAGGTGGAGAAGATAAAGTTGATCTGCTCACCGGTCCCGCAGGTGTCGCCGTCGATTCCAACCCAAGCAGACGCGGAGAAACTGCCGGTTCCGCCGCTGGGAGCCTTGGGGGTAGGCACAACAAAGGTGCCCGTGACCGATTTGAAAGTACCCTAAAGTCAAATGTTAAATGGGCGAAGCTGATCGAGAGGGTGGAGCCAACCGCTGGAGACTCGAAAACAGCACCAGACCAGTTGGAGCTGACTTCCGCGTGGGTCGTGTTGCCGGCCAGGGCGGACAGTCCGCTGCCGGGCTGGCGAAGACCACTGCGGCGAGCGACACGCTGAGCAAGACGGCTCGAAGAGCTCGGGAGCGCGACAGCAACCGTAGCGAGCAGAGCGTAGGTGAAGAGGGCAGCGAACATTGCGAGGGCTGTGAGTTGAATCCGGAGGGACCTGGTCTACACCCCAAGAATCTTCAACGTTTTATAGAGCTGGTGCATAGGCTCAAACAAAGTTATGTTGTCCTTGAAATCATGTCTGCATGCGGATACTCAGAGCAGTGAGAGATTCAGTCCAAGTAAGGAAAACATTCCCGCGGTGGTTATCTAGAAGTCGGACTTTGGAGACCCGGATAGCCGGCACTTGAACTGGGTAGCAGATATTGACTCGAGAAACAGCACGGAAACATAGAGAGGAACCATTGGCTGGAGTTGAGTCGGAAACAACCAAAAGCGAGTCATTGGGTGGAAGTGTGGCCCTACAATCGAGCCAGCGCTACGCAGTCTCCGGAGATTCTACGGGTGACAAGCGGATTGAACGCGTGGAATTCCGACGATGCCAGTGTCGGCGCGGTCAGATGAAGCGAATGCCATGCAGAAAGATAGCTCAGGTTCAATTTTAGGTCGCGATAACCGATACATTTGCTTCGTCGCACGCGCTATAATCAACACCTGGGTGGAGAGAAAGAGTTCTCGATCCAAACGCTTCCCCGGATATGAGGTACCGGCTTGGTGCAACACGCGCAGGAGATATGGAGAAGGAGGCTTCATTCAGATTTGCGGTGAGAAAAGATGTCGCCATCCGCGGCCAATGAGTCGCAATAGATTTTCGGGTCGTCTTTTGACTTTACAGAGCACGAGCCATGGCTGGAAGCCGCTCAGAGTGAACGACAAGTGACTCTCAAGCTGAATGCCGCGGGAGTGTGTTGACACTGACAGTGGCTTTGATGACGATCACTGATGGTGGTTAGATCCACGACCTGTCCCACCTTTCCCACCTCCGTCTCATAGCAGAAATTCTCATTCTCGGAGAACGCAGGCCGTCTTTTACTCTCGTACACTGCACCACATAAAAAAGAAAATTCAAAGAATTTATGGGAGTTCTCGGCTTAAGCACATACCTCCGGGAGAACCGTCGGCTATCTGAGGCACATCGGCTCGATACTCGTGAGCTGCTTGCAGATCGAATCAAGATTGTCGTGGATGGATGGTCGTGAGTAGCGCAAATGGACATACACACGAGTTGGTCAATAACTACTATCCGAAGCTTTATCTACGATCTTTACCGATCCTCAGGTCTGCCCTGGGTATATGGCGGGGAATACGCAGCCTTCGGCCGGCTTGTGAGAACGGTTGTGGAGGCTTGGGTCAGGGTCGGCCTCGAGGTCTCGTTTGTTTTCGATGGTTTGACTATTTGTCTGTCGAAGCGTTCTCTGATCTCAAAATCTTGAAGGACCTTGCCCAGAACTCAAGTTTCCGACCGTTGTATCTCGCCTCACTCAAACCAACGTGACGAATGCGCTTGTTTTCTTCCGAACATCCTCCTCGTCGAGAGCGAACTCTCGCTTTCTCCATGAGTCTCGCATCATCCCTCCGCTCGTGTATACGGCTTGCATTGAGTGTTTGAACACACTCCCCTCCTCCATAAACGATCACGTTTTCGTCCATTACGCCGACGAAGAGGGCGATCCCTATGCGGTCGAATTGGCGGGTCGCATCGGCGCCTTCGTTGCCGGCTCAGATTCCGACTTTGTCATCTTGAATGCGCCAGGATATCGAGGCTGCATTCCCCTCGATGAGATGATCTGGAGTGCGGCCGAGGCAGAGGAAGCGGTTGTGCAAGATGACGACTTCCAACCAGTGCGTAAACCGAAATCGCATAAAAGAGCTGTCGTGACCTCTGGCCGCGGTCTTGTTCCACCAGCCGATCTGAAGGGGCTCTCGTTGGCCTTCACGTCCTACAGTCCCACTACCCTGGCAGCTCATCTGAACTTGCCCATCACCCTGCTGCCCTTGATGGGTGCCCTGGTCGGCAATGACCTGTCGAACAGCTCTTCGTCATCGGGCAAGAACGTGCAGCTCTTGTTTTTCGAACGGGGGATGTCTCACGCTCAACGCATCACACGTGTGACGGCGACCATCAACTCCATCCTCTCTGCATCCTCTCTGAAGGGCAAGCAGAAGGTGGAGGGCGTGATGGATCTCATCGACAAAACGGTGACGGCGCTTCTCATCCGCTCTATCTCCACAATGGGCTCGGGCGAAGTCGAGAAAGTCGTAGACAGGATTGTGGAAGCCACACTCCAGTATGCTCTGCACAAGAGCCCCGATGATAGCAAGGCGCTGTGGCCGACCTCGATCTGCGCATTGCACTTGCCAGAAGTCTGTCCTATTCTGCCAATGATGTCCCGGATGGAACGACATGACATCAGAGAGGCCTATCTCCAGGCTTATAGACGCGGATGTCTCAATCCCAAGATTCTTGATCTGCTGCAAACTGGCACGTCCTGGCCGAGATTATTTCTCGAGGTCCCCGACTTGGAGACTGTCAGCCGAGCGCTCGGACGCCCGATCAGGCAATGGGGATATGCTATCCTGCACGACGCTTTGGGGCTGCCGTGTCCAGAAGCAGACTTAGATGAGCAGACTATCGGAGCCGATGCCGAAGCAGTCGACGAAGACGACGAAGAGGAACTCGTTGATGTCGTTGAAAGCGACTCGGACGAAGAGTCTACGTCTCCTGACCTTCTTGCACCTCTTCGCGGTGCTTTGCAGAGTCTCCAAGTGCCGGAGGATGCAGAATCCCATATCTCCGATGATCGAATACCCATTGTCACCGAGTTCCTGCGTCGTGGAACCAGAATCGCGGAAGAGCCGGTGGCCGTGCCGATGATCTCTGATCTCCTCGCTTCGATCAGCTGTTCCGCTCCCGGGCCCGTGGCTTGTCAATCTGAAGCACAGCGTTTGACTGTGCTACTGCGCGCCCTCCGCTCTGACTCGGATGCGGTGCGAACATTGCCTCGGAGACAGTTGGGAGCAGCTGTCTGTCTGCGTTGGATCATCATGACATTGCACGAGCGAGCTTCGGAAAGCAAGGACCGTGACAAGGAGCGCTGGACCCGCCGCGAGGCTCTCTGCTTCCTTGCTGCACATGAGCTGGATTCCGATCCTTCGGAGTCGGACAACTCGCCCGAACTGTTGGATCGCAATATCCAGTTGACAGCACAGGCGCTTACTTGCATCGAAGCAGTGGATCAATTATCGCAGATCCTGCTCATAAGTCATCTTCTGCCGTCCATAGCGCCCACATTTTCGGGCATGGCATTCCACCGTCGTTTGACGGGAGTGACTCCCCCGACTGTGTCACAGCCTCTATCAGACGCCTGTCTTGTTGATCTTTCATATGCCCTTGCGGACGAACGCAAGAAGAAAATCAGGAAGACGAAAGGTTCTGGTCGGGGCGCCTCTGTTCCTGCAAACCCAGCAACTGGTCTATTTGGATTGTTGGCAAACGCGGACGCGTAATTGTATCAGTTGGTTATCTGATTTGTAATTATGATCTGAACGAGGCAGAGCGCCCAGCTTTGTGTCAGGCACTGACTCTTCACGATGATCAATGAGCGCCGGAGCGCTAACCTGTGAAATGCTGTCCCACTCAATCCTGTCATGCAACACATATATATGCCCCTACATGTATGACCTTGTGCCATCCTCTCGCATTCAATGGCAGCCATTGCTAACCGTACTAAAAACACGACACCTGCGCTCCCTGACTACATCACATACCGCTTTGCAAAGCGCTTAGTGTACGTGAAGCCTGCTGAGACCTACGAGGTGCGTTGGCTTTCTTCTGGTCGTGTTTTTTGTGTGATTGATTGTTGCATGTCCAGACCGCAGTTGACCTTGCTCAGAAAGAGTTTGCGGAGCTCAGAGACATTCCCCGGGAACTAATATCGTTCAACACCGTATTCAATGCCAAGAATGATCCGCGCCTCGTTCGCATCTCGGAGAGCGCCTGGCTGGGTGCTGTGGCGAAACAGTTTTGCGGCGCGGTCATAGACGTCATCGTAGTGCCCGATCCCAATGCTCCACCGACATACCTCGCTGTCCCGACAGATCCGGTGCATGAAGAGATGGAAACTTGGCGTAAATCGCGTTCAGCGTCCGGTTCGCCCGCATCGTCGCGCCAGCCGTCGCCGTCAGGCAGGAGTACCAAGAGCCCAAAGCGATCATGGCTACCACGACTGGCATGAACATCTGAGCTGAATCGCACTGATCTAGTCCCTTGCTGTATTTCTAGAGTCCATCTCACGTCCCATCTCGAACTTTTGCTATCTTATGATGTGCATAGTACTGTATATCTGTCTCACTTCAAACACGCTATCATTGACCGACGAGCTACGATGTCCGACTGTACCTGAGCAAAGCTTTGCTTCTGAATGTTGCGTTGTACTGCAAAAGATTGTTGATGTCTCGGACCCAGTCATCTTCCTTTCCCGGGCCAGCCCCTTCATGCTTTGTCGCCTCTTCCTTGGCTATGGAGGAGCGGTTGATGCATGGGACAGGATACGGAGAAGCGTTGACAGTCACAGACTCGCCGGGATTCAGCACGTGCGACGTCCGTCCGTCCATGGAAACACCTCCTGGCGCTCGACTTCGATCTCCGATCTACGAACAGCTCAGAAGGGGGCGAGTCAATTTGAAACGAACAGACCCTGAGTGTTATGGAAGACGACGATGGAAAGACGAGCGGTCGGAACGAGAGACTTCGAGGGCAGATTGGAGTGAGGACAAGCGCACTCAGCGAGGGATGTACGATTGGCCCACCAGCCGAGAGCGAGTATGCTGTGGATCCGGTAGGGGTGGATATGATTAGGCCGTCAGACTGAATTGAACATAAGCGGAGAGTTCGCCCGGGCGAGGGAGCACGCACGACTGCTTCGGTCAAATGCTGTCCGTCAACGAAGATATCAATCGTGTTGAGATGGGGGCTGGATCCACGGTGGAGTGCAATCTCGTTCATGACCTGCCAGTCTACACGCAGATTAATAATCTTTGTATCTGACCGCAACACAGGATCGACGCACCGTTCCGCTCGCCCGCCTTCTCGGTGGAGTCAGGATTGTAGAACGTACAGGCCAGTCGCATTCTGTTCAATATGGTGGCCTTGCCCTGAAACACACTCTCCAAGGCCTCCGCGAAGTCGTCCATATCTGGAAGGAAGGGTGCATATTGAGCTGACGCGATTCTAGCGGTCGAAAACACGCACGGAATGGAAGCAAGAATCCAAGCGTCCCCATGGAGAAGCTAAGAACTGGTGGAACAGCACCTTCGCTAAAGAGCGAGGACGCGTGAAGGATGGTCCCGTCCCCTCCAAGAGTCACGACCAGATCGATCGGTTCGGCATTGTAGTCTGTTAATGGCATGAACATGCCTGACGGGAACATGGAGAACAAGATTTATGAACCTGGTTTCCAAACCTCGGCAGCATGTGGAATGTCATCACGGTCTTCGTGGAATACACGGACGTCGGGGTAGACTGAGTGAACATGCCTAGAATCGGCGTCATGAAAACTCGGCTTCCCTGTGACTGCAAGACGATGCTACGGACTCGAGGAACGCGTTAATGGCTAATATAACCGGTTGTGTTCGCAGCTTATTGACAATGAGGATTGTTTTCGGTGGTCGCTGTAGTTGGAGTTGGCTCCGCCTTCCTTCCTCTCAAATTAATCTTGATGCAGCGCTCAAGAAAAACAGACGGACACTGAAGAAGAACTCGCGGTAGAGGAATTGAAGCGAACAAAGTTTAACCTCTGTCGTCGCGAACCGACATATCCACTAGCACGAGGACGAAAAGTCGGTTTTAGCGCGCGATGTAAACGCAGAACGGAGAGCATTGTCATCAAATCTGTGAAACCTTGTGACTCACAGCTGGTCACATGGGGCCTCCGGTTGGGTCTAGGGTGGAGATGAGGCTAACGACACTTGAAAACAGAGGAGAATGGCATCAAATATAAGTGCTCACAAGTCGATAGCTTTCACGGGCAGTCGAGGGCATAGAGCTTCGTAGTGCGCTGACAGACGCGCATTCAATGACGACGGAGAGTGACAGCCGTTCTGCACGTGACCGTTCCCCTTCTTGTTGCGAACTTCCAACGGTATTGTGCGCGCAGGGTATGCAAGGAAGTCTCTGCTGCCGCCGATGCAACCACCTGAAACGAAGCGCGTAACGCGTTCTCGATTGCTTGCCCTTCCAGAACCTAATCTTTCTCTCGACCGCTCTCCGCTCAAGGAGGCACGTACGGCCCAGCGCAACTATCTCCTCCATCACCGACCTCAAACCCTTGTCCAGGAGGCTTCCGAGTCAGACGATGAACTGCTTCTGTCCCCGGGCAAGAAATATGCACTTCCTCGGCAAGTGGACTCCAATACAACACGGTCGACCTCGCCGCCACCGCAGGACGACTTCGGTATCACACCACCAGAGGTCTCTGGTGGACACGCCTCCAAGAATCACGATTGTGAAACAGGAGAGTTGGAGAGCAGGGATAGCATGGAGGTTGAGACGAGCGGGGCAGCACAGAACGAGAACCCGATCGCCAAATTCATCCCGACACATTCACGCAACCTCTCTGAACCGACCACCATGTCGTCGAATCCTTTCTCGACGGGCTCCTCTCCTAAGGCTAAGGGAAAGGATCGGGCACGCTCGGTTCCCGCCTTCCCCGTGATCGACTTAGAGAACGCACCTATCTCCCCCAGACGCAAGCGTGCGCGATCACGCTCCCCGACGAAAGAGCGCGACTCGCCCAAACTGCAGATACTTATCAAGACTATGCCGTCTATCCTGGACACCGACGAGATGCCACCGCCTGCGTCTTCCAGCACATCTCTATCGGACGGGCCGCCAGTAACTGCACTTCCCCTCATTCTTGAACCACCACCTTCGACTCCAGTTGCGAAAACTCGCCCAGCTACTATTTTCAATACCCCCATGTCCCCGTTGACACCAATACCCTCAACGCCCCCCGGGTTTCGTACACATGAGCATATTCCATCCGACCTTTCTCCGCATCCCAAGGGCTGGGATTTTGGATTTGAGGTGCGTGGCGGTTCTTTCAGACGTTAATCCTGAATCAAATCTCTTCCAAGACATCGAAGCCAATTGAGGGACCGCCAGATGTTCTGGATGCTGTACCTCCATACGTTACTCCCACTGCTCCAGCCGCTGAGGCTGTTGAAATCACCCCAGATCCTCCTACCAATGCAGCTACAGCGCGGAAAATAGCTCCATCGGACAAAGCAGGTTCTGTTCGTGTAACGCGAGCTGTGTCGCAGCAAAGTCGACTCCCTCGTCCAGGTTCATCACATTCCAATCACTCGAGCGGCACTTCCACACTGTTGCATACGAAGGCGATGAATCCTCCGCCTGTGCCGAAGAAGAACGCATTTGATGTCATGATGAAATCGACTGCAAGAATAGAGGCATCCAAGAGTAAGGGCAAAGGGAAAGAGAAAATGCCTCCCGGGTTATCAACCAGTTCCTCGAAACTCGCACCAGCTCCACCCGCGTTGACCCACTCAAAGGCGATTTCCAAACCTAGTCTCAACAAAGGCAAAGAGAAGGAGAAAGCTAAAGCGGGTGTGGGTTCCAGTGATAGCAAGAGATCGTCCATGAAAGCGAAAATGCGGCGTAGAGAGAAGCCTGCCCCTCTGCCACCACCTATCCAAGATCGCTTGCCGGAAGAAGCGGATGGCCTGGTGTCGACAGAAGCTCTTGTGGTCACCGAGGAACGGCTCTCTGACAAAAGCAGCCCGCTGGCTCAGCCGCCAGCCGACAAAGTGACTGCCCAGGAAGATGAAACCATCGACAATTCGGTTCCCAAGGTCAACTCAGAGCCGCGCTTTCCGGATGTTGACGGCGTAACACCTGGATCCTTTCCCTCGTCGTCGCTAGATGCCGTCTTATCTTCCGAAATTGAGCAGTCCGTCACGCCTCTTGAGGAAATTCCCGCAGCCGAGGTCGAAATGAAACCAGTGGAGACGCCAATTGCTGTTGATTTTGTGGAAGATGCTCCCATGGATGAATCTTTAGTCGCCGATTCTCCCGTCGTCGAGGCTGTCGTTATCGAAGAGGCTTTCGCGCCAGTCGCCGATAATCTCGTGGATAGCCAGCCCACGGAAAACTCTCCCGTCGTTGAGAAGAACGTCGTTGAGGACATCGTCGTCGAGCGTGTCCTCGAGCATGTCCTCGCCAAGAATGATGACCTGGCCGTAGACAACGATTTCTCTATGTCGCAAGACCTTCCTGTGTCGCAAGATCTTTCTATACCGCAAGATCTTCCTACGGCGAAGGAGCGGCCGAGATCACGTACAGGTAAATCGAAAGCTCCAGCCACTACAGCCGATCGCGTTACTCGAAGTTCTGCTCTCAAACGCAAGGAGATTGATCCCGGTCGGTTCTGTTTCGAGCTCCATTTTTTCAAGTGCTCATCAGAATCATCAGTGACTACGCAGAGGACAGATAGGGACCATGCGACTGTCGAGAAGCCTGCGAAGAAACCTAAACTGTCGGAGAGTTCCACCGGTTCTTCGTCGTCATCGAAAGCCACTTTCGCATCGTCCAGCAAAGTGCCTTCATTCGCTAGTCCGACGAAAGCCAGTGCGGCGAAAGCGAAGCCGAAGCAGATCGAATCATCGTCGCCGACGAAAAGACTTGCAAAAGCGCCGACTTTCTTCCCCGTTGTTGGCCCTCCTGGTGTGTCTTCGTCTCCTATGTGGACACGATCTTGCTGAAAGTACCTTCAGCATTCGCTCGTTCCTTCACCGGTCCACCGGGAAAGCCCTCATCTTTACAAACACTTGCTTCAGCGTTGGAAAAGTTGAGAGCGCCTCCTCCCGAGCGACCCAACACAAGTCTTGGGTTCAGCAGAGACGAATTGGAGCCTGCAACGAAGCACAGCGTTCCGGCTGCAAGTATCGGACTCGGTCGACCGAGCCATGCACTGCAGCGAGCCTCGACCTTGGCGTCTCTTCCGTCTTCTTCCGCCGGGCCGTCTAGGCCGCGAGTGGGCCCGTCAGCAAAGCTTGCCGTGGGGAGCGGCTCGCTGATGCGCGGTCGACCGGGTATGTTTAACAGACCTGGTCCCAAGGTCAGCCGCAATCCCGGTCTGCCCAGTGTCATCGGTAGTCCTGTCAAAGGGGGATCGCTGGAGGAAGACAGCGCGACATTTGATCCGCCAGTCTCGCTTCCAACATCGTCAGCTGGGTCGATGGGACCGCCAGAGATGCCCTCGACTGCGAGCACTCCTGCGGAAGCGACCACGGAAGTCGACGGCATGCGACGGAGCACGCGGATCGCGCAGAATACCCCTGCAGTCGACCTCCCCCAAGATTCACAGATGGAATCTGAGCCCCAGCTCACGGTTCTCAAAGGATGCATCGTCTTCGTTGATGTACGCTCAGAGTTGGGTGGGGACGATCTGAAAGATCATATTGCCTCCAAGCTGAAGGAACTCGGCGCTAGGGTGCGCTTTTCTTGTCTTGCTCCTGGCCGGCCATGCGCTGAAAGTACATCAGGTTCTCGGGCAAGTTGGACAAACCTGCACCCACATCGTGTACAAGAATGGGCTGCCCAGTACACTGTCGAGATTCAAGTAGCTATTTTCATTAGTTCGCAGTCGCAAGCTCACCACTCATCAGGCAACTGTCAGAGCCCAAACCATTTGTCGTTGGCATGGACTGGGTTTTCCGCTGCATCAACAGTCTCACACGGGAGGAAGAGCGACGCTTTCTAGTCGATATCGACGATATGAACTCCATTGCGCCCAAGGTATGCGCGCTGCAGCCCTTTTGATGGCTTGAGCTCACTGTTCGGTCCAGCGCCGTAAATCGATGCTCCCCCAGCTGGCATTTGACCACATGGACGAGGGAAATGATGCGGATCGCTCGTTCGAGAGCTCATCTTGTACGTTGCTTCCTGTCTTTGGTCCAGTGAAGTTTTGACTGGGTAACAGCTATGGTTGACAATGAGCTCACACCACTGGAGCGAGCTAGGCTACGAAAAGCCGCAGCTGGTCATGGAGTCAAGCCCCATCGATGAGTTGCTTGTTCGCTGTATCATTAGGATCCAGCATAGTTGCATCCTTCAATTGTAATTGTGCCTAGTAATAGGCACGTGTACATTGCACGTGGTGAGAAATAATTATGTCAGCCGCGACTATAAAATCAATGCTCGCATTCAATCATCTTTGCAAGAGAGAAATGCCACGCTGACCGGTGTTAGGTTTCCGACCGTCGAGTCAGTGCCAGTGACCCCCAAGGGGGTCCTACTCTCTCAAGATATACTCAGTCTAGGAAGTGTCGTTTTGACAATGACGAGGAAACGGCATGTCGATTTTCTACTGGCAAATGATTCTATCTTTTGTAGTGTGCAATGAACTTTTTGATTCTCGCGGTATAAAACAACATCGTACAGTGTACCTGAGGACGACAACGACAACTGCTTACTTACTTACATACACGGTCAACGGTTACAATCTTCATGGGGTGTTCAAGCCAGAAGACCGAGCAAAGTAGCCGGTGTCTGCACTTTTCTCGACGTCGGCGACGAGCCACGGATCTCAAGCAATAGCGAGGCCGCCGACTCCTCTTCGGGTGTCCGATTCGACATAACGTGTGAGTGAGTTGCGACGGGGCCCAGGCTCAGGGCCGGCGGTTGCTGTGACGGTGCCCGGACAGCAGCGAACTGGGTGGACGACGGGGGCGACGGCAGATGCGACTGGAATACAGGGGAGGTGTGCGGGGATGCACGCGGCGGCTCTGGAAGCCACGACGAGATGGAGGGCAGACGCGCGGACCTGTCGCCTGATGGGTACGATATCACCGGACTTGCATCGGGCGTCGGGGCCTGCGATGGGCGTTCGCGTTTAGTCGGCCGTTCTGTCGTTGCGACAGTACCAATGGAGGCGTCTGCCGAATGTTTGCGTTTCCGGCTGTTGGCCGCAGTTCTAGCGACGCAGTTCGAGCAAGACGCCTGCTGAACGGCGTCCTCCAATTGGGCGACCCGCTGGACCAGGTCCTGCATATACGAGACTGTTCGCACTAAGATCTCGAGCTTGAACTCTTTCTCCTTCTCTTCTCGCTTGCCCGAGCCCTTCTTCTGTTGCGGCCTTCCGCCGCCATTAGGGTCCTCGGCATCGTTCTCCTCTGCCTGATGGGGATTGCTCGGCGGAACGAGCTGCTTGAGCGTCGCCAAGGCGTCGTTTATCTTCGTGCGCCGGGCCTTCTCGATGATCGAGTGGTTGAGCTTGCGCTGTGCCTCCCGCGCCGAGCGAGACTGGGCCGCGGGCTTGCGGCCGCGTTTGGTCTTGGAGGTAGAGGTAGATGACTCTGCCGGATCGGGAGACAGACCGGGAATGGACTTGGACAGCTTGGGAGAGGTCGCCGTCATGCGGCGAGGCTCCGGGGCATACTCGGAATCGGAGGAGGTCTCAGAGGGAGTGGGCGACGCGTGCCTGAGCTGCGTGCCGTGTTTTGCGGTGCGGGGAGGGTTGCAACTGGCGGCATACATTGTGGACATGGTGCTGGTGTTGGGCAAGTGGACGGGGACGTGAAGATGCGATCCCAGGGATTTATGGAGGCGCTTCTGGCCATTTCTGCTCGTGTGCCCCTCTTGAAGGAACGTTTCTGGCACACGACCGGACGCGGCAGCCAATCAGATCGTGTGGACCGCCGCACGTTCCTCGTCTTAGATTGCTTCGACTTCCCGTCTTGGCAACGGGGCTCCAATTCAAAGATGAACGTTCATTAAGGCATATGATGAGTGTCTGGTAGAGCGTGATAGTACATACTAACTACAGTGGTCGAGAAACAACGCAAGTCAGAGACCCGGGTGGATGCTAATAATAAGTGGCGACGGCGAGAGTTTTCCCACCGGGAATGTCGATATGAAGCCGGGGAGGGCGTGCATCTGGAAGCCGACGACCTGCGAAGCACTTGAGCTGACTGGTGCGCCAAACAGGGGTCTACGCACGACTTACACCAATGTGCGCCATGAATTTGTTGAGATTCCGCGTCCGCGACTCCATGCTACTGGGACTGGCGGCCTCAGTTGCAATGGGAGTCACTGGGACCGTGCAGTCTGCCAGCCCATATTCCTTAACCAGAGTCTCCGCTTCTTCGGACTGGAGCGCAAACAGCGATCGCAGACTGGTCGGAAATAGCGGAGACGGGCTGGCTGCCTCAGCATCCGCTACAGCAGTAGTAGACAATGGCCGCAAAAGCGGCCGAAGTTCGGCGTTCAATTGCGACGGGCCCAACGCAGAATTATGCTGCCTTGCTTCTCTAGCGCAATGTTAGATGGGAGACACGGTCGTAATCAATCTCACTGACGAGTTCCTCAGAGCGCGTTGAACTTCGACGATCTGCACCTGATGCGTTTTGATCTGCTGTCGCAGCTTCTCCGGGATCTGGATACTGAGCTAGAGGTAGGTGTTACTCAATGTGATAGGAATGGTAGCGGGATATATGCCAACCTGATGCGCGACCCTCTCCTTCACTTGTTGCTCCACTGCAGATCGAACATGTGCTTTCAAAGCATCCGAGAGACTGTGTGTGACCATGCGTTTAAGATCCGCTTGAATACTCGTCGCACGGGCTTGATGATCCTCGAGCTGTTGCTCGAACAGTCCGCGGAGCCTCTCGAGCTGAGAACGTTTCGTAAGATCACAGTTAGGCGAAGAAACCAGGACGTACTTGCTCTCGTGCCTTCAGAGCGGTCCCCAGTGTCACAGCTCTATCTGACTGCTCTCCCAGCGATTCGAATGCAGTCGTAAGGATGGCGGTGTACCGCTTCATGGCGGCAACCCATTCTCCCATTGCGATCAACTCTGGCGTCACCACGAGCTTGATGCCCTTGCTGGAGTCTGCGAATTGAAGAGGCGAAAGAACTTTGTCCAATGTTTGTGGGTACGAATCCGATTGCAGGAGCGCGGTCGAAACGGTCAGTTTAGGTTTGGGGAATCCAGTGAGGGTCGTCTTCAGATGATCGCTCGCCTGGTGATTTGAGTCGGCGGTTGGGGCTTGTACTGGGTCCTGCTCCGATGGTGGAGCCTCCATAAGTGACTCGCCAGAGAAGTCTTGAGGTTTACTGCGGGCAAGATCGACAGATTCGGTGTGCTCTGCTGGAGATGGTGGCTGCAGATTTCCCATCGATGTAGGAGATGCTGGGCGGGGGGATGGGACTTCAGGCATGACTCTTGGAGTGGGCCGTGGCATCATCTTCGCCATTATAGCGGTGAAGGGGTAAATGACGCGTTTGAAAGGTTACTGATACCACAGACAGTTTTGGCTTTCCACATATTTGAAGGACCACGTTGAAAGGTCGTGTTTGACCCAGAGAGGAATTGGATTGACTACTGTGGGTAAATCGAGACGGAGGATGAGTCTGCGGAGAAAGAAGGCAGATCGCGGTAGTTTCCGAATAGTAATGGCTCAGCGCTGATGGAGGAGATAGACAGAGATAAGGATGCATTGCAAGATTTGTATTGGCACAAAAATCCATCAGCCAAGTATATGGAAGTCTTCGTGATCGACGGTGGGCGGTAGACGTCAACTGAGGAAACCGAGTAGTATCATGAGCAGAAGGTGTGCACGTGCCGATTGATGTGCACGGACCTCACGTGTGCGTGATTGAGGCAATATTTAAACTCCGCTTCATCATCCTTCATTGCAATTTTTTTCTTCTACGTTGTGTTGGGCGTCGTCTCTGACCACGAGCATGTCGACACTAGGGCCATATTCTGGATTTGCGGAATCTGTAATAGGTTAGTCTCCTTCTCTTCATACGACACGATGAAAATACAACCCTTTTTCGTCGAGCGTGTCCACGCAGAGAGACTTTATACATGTCATAGTTACACTGATCGGTTTTCTATCTCGTGGATTGGACTTGTTTCTGACGATTGCTTCCAGTTTAAAGATGCCCTGACACGCGCGCTCGGCGTACGACGTAGAATGTGAGTGCCTTTTCCTGTTCATTCATCGGGAGCGATGAACCCATATACATTTTCAAACTAGAGTATATGAGCCAAGTGCTTTGATTTTCCTTCTACTCTGACCCATCTCATCCGTACCTTTGATTTGAGGCTCATTGTGCTTACAGATATCCTGCTCTCGTCGGCGATCTCCCTCGTCCTCGTACAACAAGCACATCTTGAACGAAGGTGAGCCATTTTCCTCTGCCTCTCTGAAAGATGATCAAAAGGAATTACCGCCTGAGTCTCCGGACTTTGACGACATTTCCATGGCTGTTTTTATTATAAAATCCTGACTCTCTTGTCACCGTCTTTACATATTTTTTCTGACGCTTTTCGCGCAGGTGCTCTGCTTGATGCCTTCAGTCATCATTTGGGCGTTGCCCCAGAAATATTATGGTAAGCATTGTTTTTTGTTTCGTTCATGATGTTCTTTACACGACGGTCTTCGTATTTCGCTGCCGAAAATGCCCGCCACAGCTCATTTTTTCGGGCAACCCTTCTGATCCTCCTCATTGTTATCCACATTCACGAACTCACATATCTTCAGGCCCATTTTGGCAATATGGGTGTTCATGTGTGTGACCTGGTTACTGGTAAGTCTTATGATCTTTGCTTCCCTCTATGATACATTTCTACACGACGGTCTTCGTACTTCTATGCCGAAACCGCCCGCCACAGCTCATTTTTGTCGGGCGCCTTTCCTGATCCTCGTCTGTCAATTAATGGCTTGCTAAACGATTTCACAGGCTTGCGTTGTGCGTATTCTACGAGCTGGTTTTGCCATTCCCTCCCGTTATACGATGAACTTCATAAAATTATCAACTAGAAGCTGTTGCTTAGCTCTGCATGTGCAGGGCGTTGATTATAACTCTTAGACCTGACCTTCTGTTTCGTTGTGCGGCGGAGACTGGCTTGCTAACAACCTTCCCTCAGTCCCTATGCCCGTCGTGCAAAAGTGATGGTTGATTATTACGATTTGTATCTATTAGCAACGTAATGTGAATGCGTTCGCTCGCTTCGGTCGACATTTTGCTCTCTACGTTGTCTACTTCGTCATGGCTAAAGTCGATTCGTATCATGTCCCGAAGGCCGCACGCCGTCCGACACGATACGGTTTGGTTCTAAGTCTCGTCTCTGTTACTCTGATATCCTACTTTGCCTATTCGCGCGACAGTTACACGGTCTGCTCTTCAACGCACTCGATCTACACTGTGGATGAAGTCCGTCCGACTGCCGAATGCATCTCTGTGCACAAAGGGAGGATATCTGCCGTGGGGAGTATGGGTGAGTGGATGCTTGAGCGCGAACAGCTCGGTCTGGAACGCGTTCAGGCATGGTACAACGGCTTCTCCCTTCGTTCATGTATCCTCTGGCGGTTCGGCTCCTGGAACCAGGGCAGATTATCGTGCCCGGCCTCTCAGGTGGATTCAGTTCAACCGATCGCGCGCGACCTCTCGTTGATACCGTGAAAAGATGCGCATGCACATTTTCTGCAGCAAGGTTACAAAATGCAGCTGCAATTGGACAACGCAAAGTCTGTCGAGGAGGTTGTTGACAGAATCAAGACATACATCAATGCACACCCCGAGGTGAAGGAGGATAAGACTCGCTGGATAGAAGGAATGGGTTGGGACCAGACGAAATGGGCTGGCGCGTCGTTCCCTTCAGCTGTGAGCTATGATCTACGCATCCTATGGTGCCCGTCCAATCTCTCATGCCACGCAGGCGGATCTTTCCAGAGATCCATTGCTCGCAGGACGGCCAATACATCTGCTAAGAGTCGACGTTCACGCCGCCTGGGTGTCCGAGCGGTAAGTTATCGCTGAGTTCGATCCAGCTGTGTTCAACTGAGATACTCATTGCCAAGGGTTCTCGAACTGATAGATCCTCTTCCCGCTGACGGAGATGTGGATGGTGGGATCATAGTGCGAGATGGATCGGGCAAGCCTACTGGTGAGTACTAGTACATTCAAACATGCTCGTGGATGACCTCGTATCAGGAATCTTCGTGGATAACGCCATGGCGCTTATCCCTAGTCCCCCATGGGCCCCGGATCAATATTCCCGGTTCTTTGAAACCGTCGCCGCAGAGGCGCTCAAGTTCGGTTTAACTACCATTCACGACGCAGCCACGGATCCAGCTTCGGTCGCATTTTTCAAACAGTAAGATAACATGCGGCCTCTCATAGAATGTGTTTCATCGTTCCCAGAGTCGCCGATTCAGGAAAGCTCCCGGTGAGCTTGAAGGGCTGCGTGCCTTTCACTGATTGTTGACTTGCCCGACTCCAGCTCCGACTGTATTTGATGGCTTCACCAGCTGGCGAAAACTTTACGAACTGGGATCCTATGAAGGTTGAAAAACTGATCAACTACGGTCCTCAAGAACGACTGACTTTGCGAAGCGTCAAACTCTTCACAGACGGTCAACTCCATCGTGATGCGGTCGGCGATCGAAACTGAGACTCCCGCAGGCGCATTGGGATCATGGGGCGCTGCGCTAATTGAGCCTTACGCTGATCAGCCAAATATGCGTGGAATTTTGCGAAGTCCACTGGAAACCATGGACGGTTTCATTCGCGATGCTTGGAATGCGGGACTCCAAGTGGTACGCGATCTACTCCACCGCTGCAGTGTCACATACCCACTTCGCATTGCAGAATGTGCACTGTATCGGTGATCGGGCAAACCAGGTTGTGCTGGACATATTCGAAAAGCTTCAGCTTGATAGTGGAGTCTCTATTGCCAACTACCGTCCCAGAATCGAACACGCGCAGATCCTGCAGACATCAGACTTGATTCGCATCGGACGGCTTGGAGGTCAGTCCGCTGAAGGTCTACCTTGCCATTGGAATGCTCAACCTAGTCGATGTAGTGATCCCAAGCGTGCAACCGACACATGGGTGTGCATCCTTCTCTTGCTTCCGCTGCTTGTCGCGACTAATCTTGCGACCAGGACGAGCGATATGGGCTACGCGGAGTCCCGGCTGGTGCGTGCCTATGGCACAGTGGCTATCCTGGCGTTGACCAGTCATCCCTCAAGGGCCCGGAACGGATCAAGGGAGCATATGCATATCAGACGCTTCTGCAGTAGGTCGCGCTGCCGTTTCTGAGGTGCTGATCCAGTGACGGTCTCGTAGATCTTCGCCCAACAAAATTTTGCCCCTGGGCTCAGACTTTCCCGTAGAGGGAGTGAATCCACTGCTGGGATTCTATGCCGCTGTTTCCCGTCTCGATCCGAACGGCAACTCGCCGCATGGCCCCGGAGGATGGTTCCCTTCAGAAAGATTGACGCGCGCTCAAGCTCTCAAAGGAATGACACTGGATGCGGCGTATGCGTCCTTCTCCGAGGGCGATCTCGGCTCTTTGGTCGTTGGAAAGCGGGCAGACTTTGTGGTACTCGACCGAGATATCATGACTGTCGATTTAGGAGATATTTTGGATACGAAAGTGGTGGCTACTGTGATCGACGGGAAGGTGGAATACGGTTCCATCCCCTCCTGGACCGTCGCACAGTTGCTGCGCGCCTATGCTGCCCAGAAGTAGCTGTACATACATACACAACTTGCGGACATGCGCATCAGATGCGAGTGGCGATGCCATTTCGTCGTACTTACTTGCAATTGACTTCCATGGCGCTTGTCAAACGCGCCAAATTCAAATCCTCGGACTCGGACGACTCTCACGGGCAAACGGATGACACTAACGAGGACTCGGTCGAGACGGCTTCGGCTCTGCACGCTGAGAAGAAGAAACACAAGGTGATACTCAACACAAGTCCTTCCATTACCACAACTCCTCCAACACAATGTAGAAATCACGACCTATAATAGCCTACAAGCGTTTTCTGTTCCCGTTAGGCCTTATAACAGGTGCCCTTATCGCGTTCGTGCGTATACAGACTGTACTGCGTGAAACCATCTGACGGGGGAGGTCATACCAATACTCGACAGTCACTTATCGAACCGCGCGACATCCAAGACTTGCATGCACATTTGACGCTTCTCCTGGGCGAATACGATCTAGCTTTGCCCAATATCCCTGGACTGGATCTTTCTGCGCTTGAAACGGAGTGGCAGCGGTTGAGGAGCAACATCCCGGAGGTCTGGAAACTAAGTACGGACGGACGCGAGTTTCAGGTTGGAGAGGCCATGAAAGAGCGAAAATTGACTGCGCAGTTTCCTGTCGTGCTGATTCCGGGCATAATATCCACAGTGCGTCGCCGTCTCTAGCCGAATGTGCCTTCCGAGTTTACTCGGATGTATAGAGTTTGGAATCGTGGTCTACGGAGCCCGAGTATCGGCCTTTCTTCAGGCAGAAGATGTGGGGAGGGTTCAGCATGCTTTCTCAGGTCACCTTCAACCGCGACAAGGTACCACACGCGTCATACCCTAATTAAATACGTACTGAACAGTGGCTCGCCCAGTGGATAAATGCCATGCTGCTCGACCCGGTTACAGGTCTTGATCCGCCCGGTGCCAAGGTTCGAGCAGCCGAAGGGATAGACGCAGCAAGTATGTTCATACAGGGATACTGGATCTGGTGTGTGGACTAGTTTCAAATTCAATTCTTGACCCGACGATCGCAGGTCCAAAATCGTAGAGAATCTCGCTGTTGTGAATTACGACACCAACAATCTTTACCTTGCACCCTATGACTGGCGGCTCTCATTCTCGAATTTGGAAGAACGTGACGGTTATTTTTCGCGGATCAAGACCACCATCGAAAGCTTCAAGCGTCGGCAAGGCAAGAAGACGGTTATCGCAGCCCACTCCATGGGGTGCAGCGTATGTCGTTGCCTTAAAACATTCGCCGGTCGCCGCTCATGAAATCCTCTTTGGCAGGTGTTGCTGGTATGTGGTTGCCTAGTTATCTCGACGGTGAATTGAGCCATACTAGTATTTGTTCGTCTGTCTACTTGCTCTTTGCCCCGCTTCGAGATATTGACAATCAATTCAGCTTCAAATGGGTCGAATCCCCTGCCCATGGCGCAGGTGGACCTACCTGGGTTGAGGTGCGCATCACTTGGCCGTGATTTTCTGCTTGTCGTTGCTGACGTCGTACCAGGACCATGTCGAGTCATATATTGCTATCTCTGGAACCCATTTGGTGCGAAGGACGAGTGATCGGCGAGATCCAGACTGAGCTTTTTGCCAGGGCGTTGCAAAGGCCATGACGGCATTTCTGTCTGGTGAAATGAAGGACACCGTCCAGATGAATCCTGCTGGAGCCTACGCTTTGGAGCGCTTCTTTTCTCGAGCCGAACGACAGAAATTGTTTCGATCGTGGGCTGGCAGTGCCAGTATGTGGGTCAAAGGTGGTGACGCAATCTGGGGCGGACCAGACGGTGCACCAGACGATGAGGTCAACTGCACGATGACACATGGAGAGCTGATCGCATTCAGAGTACAACCTCCTCCGCCTGGAGTAGCTAGTAGTGGACTGGGTGTAGATGAAGGGGACAGGAAGAACATGACTGTCGACACCGCGGGATCCTGGATCTTGCAGCACACCCCGTCTTCATTTCAGGTTCTTCGCTGCGCTCCTCGAGTAGTGACATGGCAGCTGATCATCGGACAGAAAATGATGGCCACCAACTTCTCAGTTGGGATAGAACGAGACGAAGAAGTCCTGAGGAAGAATAACGAAGATCCGACAAAGTGGTCAAACCCACTCGAGGTCCAACTTCCCTTGGCTCCTTCGATGAAGGTATATTGTGTATATGGTCATGGAAAGGTGAGTTGAATGTTGATATAAACCAAGTCGACGTCTGAGCCGTTATAGGAAACGGAGGCAAGCTATTTCTCTGTAGCTGATGTTTTTTTTTTGACAATCTGCAGCGTTCCTACTGGTACACACAAGCGCCTAACGAGTATGACGAGGCCGCCGAGAATGCCTTTGGGTCTCAGCCGCTCTGTGTCGATGTTGGGGGTGAAGCTTGTCAGGCCAACACCGGGTTGCCTGTGGAAGCACCTTTGATCAGGAAGAGCTGGATCGACGCCGAATACAACGATGAGAACGTCACTCCCAAGATCCGAAACGGGGTCATGATGGGGGAAGGCGACGGCACAGTTAACCTTATCAGTTTGGGTGCCATGTGCGTCGAAGGCTGGAAGCGTCCTCGCTGGAATCCTGCCGGCATAAAAGTCACTACAGTCGAAGTGAGCGGAATTGTCTTATTTTGAGCTGCTCTCATTCCTTCCAGCTTCCTCATCAACCGGTTCTGAACATGCCCAGAGGAGGAGCCAACACAAGCGATCATGTGGACATTCTGGGCTCAACCGGACTGAACGAAATCATCCTCAAGGTGGCCACAGGGGTCGGTCACGAGATTGAGGAGCGCTTTGTCTCGAACATCAAAGAATATACGAGTCGGATGCGCTGGGATGCAGATTAGACTAGAGTATAAGTCTTGGTGTAATTGGTCATGTGTAATGTATCCATCACGTGGTGTCTTTCGACACGGTCCACGTGCGTATTGTTGTCACCTGTTTCGCCTGTTGACGACCAGAACCATGACCTCTCCCCGGACGCTGGGGACCTCGTCGCCGCGCCAGGCGAGCACGGCGTCTCCTCTCCGAGACAGACTACTATCAAACTCCCCCGACCCAGTCAAGAATCAAATCCTCCGGGACTCTGGCCTCGGCTGGTCAGACAGTCCGCAAAACAGCACCCCCACATCCCCCCTGCGTATCGCTAAGCGCGACTCACCTTTACGTCGATTGCCTCAGATCCAAGTCGCCCGTAGAACATCATCCAGCTTCAAGCATGTAAAGAACAACAATCTTGTCTCCAAATCGCCGTTCAAGTCTCAGATCCCCACGCCTGCCACTGGGGGTGTTCCAGCGCTTCCCCGCCCGCACGCTTCTCCCACTCGCCGTGTCTCTGGCGAGAAAAGGCCTCGGCCGCAGAGCATTCATGATCAGGCGGAAGCAGAGAACGACAGACCGTTCTCATTCAAGCGAGAGAGGCGCCAATCCAAGACTTTTGAAGGGCTCATCCAGAAGGAGCCAGTCACGAAGAGCCCCTTCCGACAGCTTGAGCCCGGATGGAAAGGACCTGCTCAGACAACTCCAGTGCCCCCGGTGCCACAGACACCATCTCGCATCCCAGTGCCTGCATCGGCGTCCACGACTTCAGCATCACCGATCCGCTCTTCCCTCGTAACCAAGCGTATGCATGGACCCCGCTCGAGTGGCAATCTACGCCGTGAACAAGAGCGTCGGAAGACCGTCACCTTCAACGAGTCGTGCGATGTTGTTGAGTTCGACCCGCATGAAGATGGCACCCCGGACACGACCATGTCCAGTGTCGATCAAGATTTGGACCAAGAGGATGACGATACGGAAGACTTCTTCGCTCCCGAACAGGAGCAGATTCCTCCGCAGCACGAGTCGTCATACGAAAGCATCGACCTGTCCGACACTTCGCTGTTGCCGGAGACCTCGCTGCCGTTGGAACTGGACCCGGACACGAGCATCACGGGTCTTGTTGATGCAATGTTCTCATCAAATGAGGCGGCTGTGACTAGTACGCCACCAGGTTTAGGGTCTTCGTTCACGAGAACTTTTGCATACACACCAGACCACCCGACGGACCTCGACACTGAAGATGGCGTGCCATTTGGTCGGTCCCACCACGCGTCGCGGACTGCTGCGTTCCATCAAGAGCAGCACAATACGCCCCATCTTCCCCCCATTCCACAGCCCCAACTTGGCAGTCGCCCTCTTCCATTCCCTGAGCACCCGACCGCCCACACCCCGCCTCGACATCCTCGCGATCCACTCGAAACGCCGCCGTTGGGGCGGTCGACTCACTTTGAACGTCGTCATGCAGTCACACAAGAGGAGGCAAAGATTGCTCAGGAAGATGATGACGTCGCCGCACTCCCTGGATCCCCTTCTCCAATGAAACCTCATCAGACTAGTGTCGTCGAGATTGGACTGACGCGGTTCTCGCTGCCTAGCGGTATGTCTCTCAGGCTTATCCCAAATCTCAGCTCATTCTTCTAGGTGGGGGCATGGACGAGAGCCCTGATCCCTTCGCTATGCCCAAGCTCCAAGATGAACCGTTGCCAGGAGAGGACAGCCGTGAGATCAGCATAGGTCGCTCGGAGGCAAGTGATGTCCGTTCCAGCTACTTCAAAGACTGACGGATCCCAAGGTCAACGAGATTCTACGCAGTGCCAGCGCCAGTCCCATGCCAAGCCCCAGCCGTAGCCTGCGTCCTCGAATCAGCCGAGAAGATGTGCAAAGACGGCTTTTGCGTGCTAGAAGTACTAGTCCGGAAATCGACATCGAACAACCCGTTGCGCAGATGGAGACTGTTGAAGAGCAAGACAGTGTTCAGGAGAGTGTCGAGGAGGAGGAGGAATCGCACAGGGACGAATCACAGGAGCAAGCGGATGACTCGTTTATGTCAGCGGAGGATGAATTCAAAGAGGAGCGGGAAGCCGAGGCTGAATACGAAGCTGCCATGTCCCGGGAGCAGGAGGAACGGGAAGGTAGTGCGAGCACGGAGATCGGAATCGTTGGAGTGGCTGAGAAGCGGCTGCTCTATGATCTCCCTTCGACTCCAACTTTCCAAGTGCAGGCCCCGTCACCGCCTCATCACTCGCTCTCGCCGCCGATCGAGTCCGAGCAAGAATTGGGTCTGAACCTGGGGCTGGATTTCGGCAGTCGTTTTGGCTTGGGCAAGCTGGGTATTACTGGCTTGGGAAATGGCAGCGTCAACTCGCAAGATTCGTTGCAGGCTGCCGAGCGACTCGAACCGGAGCGGATGGCTGTTGATATGGACATGCGCAGTGCGCTGGATCGCTTGATGGACGATGTCGCCAGTGTCGGTGGCTCCTCAGTTATCGAACAGCAAGAAGAATCTATGCGCACCGAGGATACTCTGCCTGACGACTCTCTCGAACTCCCTCAAGGCCATCCAGTCACGCGAGCGGCGACAGATTCAGTGCTCGATCTGCGGCACAGTGGGAGTAGTGCTTCGTTGTCGTCCATTCCACCTCCGGTGCCGCCGAAAGACAACATCCGCTCCAGGGAGGCGCTGATCTTGGAGAAGCGACGCGAATTACGTCGGCTTGACGAAGATGACTACGAAGAAGCTCCTCAGCGGCTGGCTGTCGGCCGACCCAGTGCGCGCCGAAGCATGAGCACCGGGGATGTGGACGACATAACTAAATTACGTGCCAAAGAACTGCTCGATCTCAGCAAAGAAGATCTGTTGGGGACTAGCATTGAGAAGGCTTTGACGAGGCCTGAGGAGCCTCGCAAGCCGGTGCGCGGAATTTTGCTCGCATTTGATGCATTGCTTACGCCGCCCAGAAATACCATGTTCATGAGCACGAAGAGATGATCTATGCGTCGTCATCTGATCAAGAGCGCATCTCTCATTTGGCTGCCGCCGGTGACATCAATGCGGGCAAAGCTTGGAAGACTGTTCGCCGTCCCTCAGACATGGTGCGTCGTCCTTGGTGATTTCTATCTTGCCAATAGGCTAAATATCATTCAGAACGAGTATTCCAAGCAAATCAAAGAGTACCGTGCCATGCAAGATCCGGGCAAAGCATGCGGCAAAGTTTTTGTTAAAGGCCAGTGGATGCACTTTTTAGCGCGCCGCGATGTTGCTGACGTATTGTACAGTTATCGGAGTGAAGGGCATGCATCTTCCTCTCCCGAATGAGCCCACGGCGGTGACGTGTACACTCAATAACGGGATCCATTTTGTGACCACGCCCGAAACTGCGCTTGGGCGGGAGACGAGGATCGAGCAAGAGTTTGAGCTGTATGTGATGTTTAGTAGAAGCTCCCAGAGACCGTTTCCTGACGTCATGCAGCATCGAAAGCGCGAAATTGGAATTCACCATGTCGATCAAAGTCCGGCGAGACCCTCATATTATCTCGCAATTCCGAGCACTGCAACCGGCTCCAGCTGTGATCGCACCGGTTGCACCAGCCCGTCCGCCGCCTGTTGTCCAACAAACTTCGTCGAAGAGCGGTTTGCGCTTCTGGGCCTCTTCGCCGAAGAAGAAGGACAAATTGATTGCTGCAGCGCCACCCCCGCGACCCATGGCACCTGTTGCTGCTGCGGCACCGGCCAGGTTACCTGAGAATCTTGCGCGGTATCTTAAGCCTGATGGGACGCTGGCGCGTGCGTTTGTTGCCTTCAAAGACATTGCGTCTCGGTGTGACACGCGGTTATTCGAGACGAGCTTCCCGTTGATTGGGCAGCGCACGGAAGTGGGTGGTAAGACATCTACGCTGCAAGTCGGCGAGCTGGTCCTGCAGATCCTGCGACTTCCGCCACTGCCGAGCATTCCGCAAGAGCAACTGCCCCAGAGCCTGGATGAATGTCTCCGGGGCCTCCGACATATCAATTGGCACAAGGTGACCTATTTCCAGGGCACCCTCACCCAAAACGGGGGGGACTGCAGCGTGAGCTATTGGCTTGTGCACGTACGTCGTCGGTTGTTGATGAGTTTTACCAGACCTGGCGGAGGCGGCAATTGCGTGTGATCGGAAGCAAGTTGGTCGCATTCAACGACGTTACGAAACGAGCGACTGCGACGATCGATCTCAGCAAGGCTATTGCAGTGGAAGACAACCAAACACCCCGCGGACCGCTCAGCCCGGCATCTGGAATGTCGCGTGTCAGCCAGTACGACGAGTACGACGGCTTGTGCGGTGTCGAGCGGTCTTTCCGTCTCATCTTCCCTCACGAACAAGAGATCCTCTTCTTTGCTGATTCTGACGAGGACAAGGCCAAATGGTGCGCGGGCTTCTATGCACTGAGGGACATTCGTTAACATGGCACAGGTTGGAGGTCCTCCGGGCTCTGGTTGGGCATATACCGCCTTATCCTTTGTGGGGCGAGCTACTATGGCAACGGCAAGAAGACTTGAGACGTCGACCGGCCTGATATGTTATGTCCCTTTTTCGCTTTCTTGTGCGCTAGGCCTCCATGCTTTCGAATATCTTACAGCCATCCTCTTGTACTTTAGTTATCCCGTATGTATATGCGACCAGTCTCCATAATAGATCTGGTTTGAAACACCACCTCGGAAGATGGGATTCGTCTCATGGCGTTCGCTTCCATCAATTCTCTTATGCGAGTTGGTTGGGAGACCCAGGCCCCAGACCGCATCCAGAGCCAGGTGATCCACAAATCGCTGCGACCAATCAATGGAGTTGGTGATCCCAGCCTTGAGGACCCTTGAAAATCGGAAGGAAGCTACGATTTCTGACGAAGGCTCGTGGGATTGGCTCAGCTGATAGACAATTTGGAACTCATCCTTTTTGCAGGTGACACAAACAAGGCACGAATGCGCCAGGAATATGCGGGCAGCCTGTACACAACCTGGAAGATTCAATCACTCAAGTTTGTATTATGTGTAGTTGATTTATCTCTCATCGAATCGTAGTCTGGACGAGTTGGATGAATTGTTTGACCGTGTAGGTCCAGGTGCGGTGCGATCAACAGGACGTAGTCTTCAAACAGTTGCTATGGCATATGGTATCTGCTAGAGAAAAAGAACAAAAACCGTTCATCCTAAAGCCTGCCTCCGAAATGAAATCTCTTTGTGTTGGATCGCGTTTCATTCGGGTGTCGCGTGGTCATTCGAGAATCGTTCAGTGCAAGAGTTGAAGTTCAACTCAAAGGCCGCAGATTGTTTTCGGTCGAACGTTGAGATACTGTACCTCTCCTCCGACCCCGACATCGCCATTTATGGCTGCAGACTGTAACTTGGAACCCGACAACATGGAGGGTGCTCTAAACCACACCGAAATTCTCATTCGCAGGACGTATCCGTTGTTACCGCGATGCGTTGTGTGGGGCAGTACTGTCGGAGATAATTCGGAAACATGAGAACCCAAAAATCTTAGTTGAGCACATTTGGAGTGCATCACGTTTCGACGGAACATATCTTTCGCATTTCCGAGTGAAGAGAGGCTTGAAAGCTCAAAACGTGCTCACAGACGTCCTGGGCGCTTACAGAAACCCCGATAGCTCCACACGATTTCATGGAAGGTGGACTGCATGATAAGCGAGGCAACCCAGGAAGCACTGGCCGGTGACCGGCCCGCTCCGAGGCGCCATGCAGCTTGTTGGCGCGCGGTGATGAGATCACTCACGAATGTCTGACTTAACGAGGCAGACCAGCCCGAGTCGGATATCCCATTCCCCATGAGCCTGGAGAATGCTGCGACGGCCCCGATGTCTACGTTGAACGCAGACGAGGCCCTTGCTGTGGTCATCAACTATCGAAGCTCTCGTGCGTCTATCTCAACGCCGTTCGCTGTTTTCTGTGTCTCGACCTGACGCGCTTTCAGTGGCAGCTCTCGTGTGGGTGTTATACGATATTTGTATCACATTCGACCAGGAAGTTGCGCTGATCTGGCCGTGAGACCAATCTCTGCTCACTTTTCCCTCATTGATCATCGGCCTTCAGAAAACCATGGTCGCGCATGAAATTCTTGTATCTGTTCATCCGATACGTGCCCATCTCTATCCAACTGTCTGTGCCGTCCGTTCTGCCATGCGCGTGTCTGATACCCATGTCTGCAGCTCGATTGTGATCCCCAGCTCGCCAGAACTGGTATCTACTCTGCATCTCACTCCTCACGCTTGCTATGTATGGAAGATGTACCAAGGCCTCGCGACAATCATGACGTTCGCTGCGGTAGACTTCGTGCTGATTCTGAGAGGTGATTACAGCTCCCATTCACGCGCTCTACCTGCATCTGACCTGGTGCGAGTGTATGCGCTGTGGACACATAGCAGGCCTGTCCACTGGATCGTGGCGGGTGCCTTCGCTCTCGATCTAGTGGCCATCGCCACCGGCTTTGCATTGATGATGAGGAGCGTCACTTTCGACAATATGTGTCTGCCTATCGCCGTGCCAAACCCGGTCCTCTTGGGTGTCTTTTCGTGATGGGTCCCGCCACTCCAGCATTGCTGTTGTCATCTAACGTGTTTGTAGTGGCACTCTGCTGATATTCCAAACGGTTCTGTTCGTGCTGACCGCCATCCGTTTCGTGCATGCCGTACGGCAAGGCTGGGGAGACAGTCCCCTTGTCGAGCTCGTCATGCGAGATGGGGCTTGGGCCTTTGCGGTGTTGTTCGGTTCGTGGTCGCCGGAGATCTGTGCTCGCTCGCTGAAACCTCATTCCCGAAGCTATCATTGCCAGTGTGTCCGGGCTGTATATATCGAGAAGCCCACTTGCTGAACCTGTATTCGGGTACGTGGGTGCAGGCAATCTGTGTCGTGTGAGCATATAGCTGATATCTTTCAGTTGGTTACTTTTGGTCTATGCGTTTTGTGTAAGAATCATTCACCCTTTTCGCGGCGTGTGGGCTAGACTCGAGTTCCAGGGATACCGTGTTCTGCTCAATTTGGAGCGGCTCGCAGCACCGAGGATGTATGCCAACCGAACTGTGTCGGAGGATCGGAGAATGCAATTCACGACAAGACTGACCAGCCGATGTACCGCAGATGACACGGTGTCTGCGGATGCATACAGGCTGCATTCGATCTGAGGCGAGAATGGCTGTCGCCGTGTTTAGTCCGTAATAAATACACATCTTACATATCCTCTGTCCCCCATTGGTAGCTCTCGTTCCCTTTCCGCTTCTGCTCGTTTCGATGCTGGAAAAGTTTCTTCTCAAATCCGTTGCCCCGGTCTGGTAGTTGTCATCAATATCGGTCTTTGGTCTAGATAACGCGTGAGACGCACCGACCCCGTCCCATCTGTAGCCCGGCTTGATCCCAAACCTGTTTGGAGCAGGAGTGGGGCCCGTATATTCTGGTCTCCTCGGTCCCTTCGCGTGTTTTTTCTGTACGATGTTAGGCAAGGCAAGATCGCGGGCAGGCAACTGAAACCGCACCGTCAAGAACTGAGCAGCAGGGTCATTCCATATTTCCTTCGACTTCAGCTCTGCGTTGAGTTCCGCGTCGTCCGCATGTCGTGCGAACTTGGAATTGCGCTGCTTCTCCAGCTCCTGCTTCCGTTTCTCTGCCTCGTCACGTTGCACTAGACCCTTGCCCCACTCCATCTTCTGCGCCTCCTTCTCCTCCTTCAGCCGCTTGAGCCTAGCCGCCTCCGCTCTTGCGGCCTTGGTGTCTATCTTCTTCCCGGACGAGTCTCGATAGATGGTTTCCTGCGCCAGGGCTATTTCCTCGGCACTCTCGTCCACAGCGTTGTTGGTTCGTGAGTTTGGCAGTGCTTTACTCAGTTGTTTCGCAGACAAAAGCCCGCCTCGGAACGGTGTCTCTTCCTCGTCGACAATTTGGGGCTGCTCGTCCGGCAAGGGCACATCTTCCTCTTCGGCCTTTGCAGGTTGGACTATCGTCGCCCAGCCAGATGCTTCCCCACCCGAAGCCACTTTACGCTTCTTGAAAGAGCGGTCCGAAGCGACTACTGCGTCCTCAATATCATCCTTCTCTTCGTGCGCTTGGTCGCCCCATCCTCCGTCGACGTCGATCACAAACGAGGTCGACGGAGCGGGCGCGTCGGACCCCACTTTTCGCTTCTTCTTCTTGAGTGGTGCACTTTTGGCGAGGATGGCGTCGGCCTTGGGGCCTGTCATATACTTTTCAGCAAGATACGCCTTGAGATTCGCCATGGCCGAGGATGAGGAGGTACGATCACGTGTTTCGTTATACAAGTACAAATACAACTAGATGTCTAGTGACCGTGACCATGTTCGTGACCGTGTTCGTGACTGTGTTCATGTTCGTGACTGTGTTCATGGCTGTGGATGTGTGAGTGGATATGGGAATGCGTATGTTCGATGTGATGGTGGCGGTCACGCTTAGCGTTTGGCCCGCCCTTTTGAGTGTTCTGCTGTATGTCGCCGCCCAAAAAGTTCGAGCTGTCCACCACCTTCCCGTCCGGCTCCTGCTGCCTGTCGAGGTGGGCCGTCTGATACTCGGCGCTCGGGCGAGTCCCAGTCAAAGCCACATCATCGTTTTCAAATCCATCCTTGTGCTTCTCAGAATGCGTCTGGAAAACATCCGCATCGTTCTTGTCCACTTTCTTAACGGCTGGCGATGCACCCAACGCCGTGTCGTCCATCTTTCCAGCCCGATCACCGAAAGATTGGTCGTCGCCAGCGTTTATGATTGTGTCAAGGGGGTTCACTATGGTTTCGAGCAAGTGCCTGCGCTGACCGAGCGTGTTCCGATCGATGGGAATATGCTCAAGGGGTTGCGGAACCGCGTCCCGAGATCCTAGGTCAGCCAACTGCGCCGAGAGTAGCTCTGAGAGCGAAGTCGCATCGCCGAGGGAGTCAACGTCTTCAACAATAGGCTTGGTATTGCTCTCGTCGCGTCTAACGTTTGCGGGGAGTGTCTGGGGAAGCATCTGCTTCACCGGCAAGTCGCGTTTCGGGAGTGAGGTGGGAACCTTGACAAGATTCGCAGCACGGTTGTTGTTGGATATAGCCTGAAGCACATCACCGACGGGTGAGGGAGCAGACGGAGGTCCAACACGTTTGGTCATTTTCTGAGAGGAGACGTGAAATGCAGAATGAGTTTGGGAGATGTAGCGTACCATCGATGACGGCTCTGCGGTCACTTCGACACCACTACGAGGCATATGGGGATCGATGACGACGCGTGGAAGATCACGCGGAACACGAAGGCCCTGGGCGGATCAGCAATAGGTCAGCGGCGTGAGGGAAAGCGCATACATTGGGCACCTCGACAGGGGCATCTGCGGGTAGAGAAACGGCAGATGCAGCAGCAGCAAAGGCGAGGAGGCCGAGGAAACGAGACTGGATGGCGACCATGGCGAGGAGGATGGAACAAAAGAGCGAGATAGAGAGTGTGGGTGTGAGGATAGATGAGATGGAGGTACAAGAAAGAATTAGATTCCTGGGCTCCAGCTGAATTTATATCTTTGGAAAGTGTGCTCGTTTATTTGGTCATTGATCTGTGCAAGATGAATGGCGGACCGCTGAACCGAGCAAGGATGAGTCTTCTACTAGATGCGCGAATGGCTTGGATAGATGGCCCGCCAGATCCTTGATAGGCCGATGATTTGAGCACGATCAGAGTCGAGCTCCTTGGCCGCATGGAATTATGCACTAGAACCAGAAATCGAGACAGCAGTAATTACAATCGGTAAGTCCAAATGCGTTCCGATGCTCACCACGTGACCGCGAATTAGGGGCCATCACTGGACTGAACGAAACCGAGAACCGCACAGCATGAGAAGATAACATGGTCTGCTAGGACTCGAGAGAAAGGTGAGCATCTGGTAGCACATACCGTTGTCATTGTACACATGCCTAGGCCAAGCCGCAGCAGAAAGACCATAATTCTCATTGCTGCAAGCGGAATCCGTGGTATTACATCCAGCAATGGCGCGGCTTATGGTACAAGATGGTAGCTTGGCAGTGGGTTATACGGTCCTCCGATCGGTCATGGTTCGTACAATGCATCCAGTTCCCGCAACTTCGGTGAGCTAGCCGGATGTTAGGAGACACCTACAGCAGATATATCGGGCACACCTTTTCATGCCATCCCAAGAGTACACTTCCACTGATATCACCCCAACCAGGCATGGCCATCCCCTTGTATAGATATTTCATAAGGGTGTCTTGTGCGTCTTGGGAGAGTGCTTTGCACACGGCAGGGACTTCAGCGGCTTTAGTTGTGTTGAGGATGGTGAGGAGGGTTTGCAGAGTGACGGTCTACACGGAGGACTTCGATATCAAGTAAGAATACTGATACTGAAATGGTACCTTGGCCTCTTCGACGTTAGGACCATACGGTGCATTGTCCAACACGATGTTCAGTGCACCTACGACATCACTCCTGAACGATAGACAGATCAGAGTCAATGTCTACAGGATAGGGCTGCGCATTACCGTGCAAGAGCACTGCGCACAGCAGTCTGACGCTGCTTTGCATCGTCGAGCACTTGAGCTGGGTCCCGTGGATCCGCATCAACAAGCTCCTCAACCTGCAGGACGTCCTCGTCGTAGAGGTCGATATCGATCTTGCGGAAAGCGTTGTCCATAGATGATGGCTGTGAGGATTCAAGTGTGTTTGTGCGTGCGATACCATCGACTAGTGCGTCAAAGCATGCTGACATCAGCTGCTCCGGAAACTTTTTCGCCATCCTCATGGCTTCGACAACCGTGCTTGTCGACCCAGCTACTGTCCTCGGAAAACGTAGAAGGCCTCAATATCTTCTAAAACTCACGTCTAGTCCTGAACCGCCGGCCCTTGCGGACGAACGACGCGCCTCAAGCTCGAAAACAGCTCCGCCAATCATCGTCAACGGGAGCCTCGTTCTTGCGTCAAGCAAACGACGTTATCAATGCACGCATGATGGCTGCAATAAGGTCTATACCAAACCGTCGCGTTTAGAAGAGCATGAGAGATCGCATTCGGGAAATGTTGATAGTCCTCACGTCCTTGTCTGGCCCACCCATTGACCCTACCTCCAGCGTCCTTTCGTTTGCGAAACATGCGACAAGTCCTATCTACGGGAAACGCACCTCCAAGCCCACTCTCGCAGTCATCTACCGCACTCGGAGCGCCCATACGTTTGCACTGAGAGCAATTGCGCAAAACGATTCTGGACTTCTCAGCACCTTCGGACGCATGTCGATTGGCATAATGGAGCGAAACCATTTGAGGCGAGGGCCCCAATTCCGTGTGTGCGTTGTTGCTAAGCAAGGCGAACAGTGTTCAGAGGACGATTGTCACCAAAGTTTTGCAAAACATCATCAGCTCCTCTCACATAAGTGCAGCGAACATGCGCCACCCGGTTCGAAGCCCTACCGCTGTAACCACGAGGGATGTATCCAATCCTTCTCAACAAATCAACATCTACGAACCCACGCAAAGGTTCATAATGGTAAGTGTTGCAATGGTGACCTTCAAACAATCAACTCACAGGCTCAGTCAAACGATATACTTGCGCGCATCCCTCATGTATATCCTCGAATGACGAGTCAATAATCTACTTCCAGACTTGGACTGCATTGCAGCATCACAACCGGACTGTTCATCCTCCGACTTGTCCGTATCCATCTTGCGAAGGGAAGACTTTTACGGCTCAAAAGGGTCTTCGGGCGCATTTTAAGCTTCACGAGCAACAAATGATAGAGGCGGAATTGACTGGCGCACTTTCCGACGACGACGAACGTCCGCCAAAAAAGAAACGTCGAGGAGGGGAGGTTGGACGGGACTGGGTTTGTGGGCGAGACGGGTGCTCTAAGGACTTCAAATCGGTGTGTTTCAGAGGCAATGTATGTCCAGGTTCTCATTATGTCTCAGAAAAAAGCCATGACCACACATGTGAACATCACACATCTGGGCCGACGGGATTTTGAATGCTCCCATGAAGGTTGTGATCAGAAATTTGGATACAAGCACCTCTTGCAGCGGCATCTCGCCAAGCACACAGCTCCGACATCTTCAAGTGACGATTCAGACGACACTTCTCCCAAGGCCCCTGATTTGACCATCGACATCGTCACTGGCCAGGCCTATGCACATTCTGCTGAGAAGAAACTCGAATCGTTCCAAGCAATCCAATGCCCCTTCCCAAAATTGGACGGCCTAGGCCTTGTTCGGGTGTCCAGTAGCAAATTGACATGCGCCTACGTCTTCAATCGTGCATACGATTTCCGGAGACATCTGCAGTCTGCCCACGATATCACCGTCGAAAAAGATGTTGCCACCTCCTGGGTTCAACGACACCGGGTTTCTCTCTTAGCATAGGTCTACTGTGTTGAATGTATTGATGTGTAATAATCCATCATGCCGTCGTTTGAATCCAACCGATGTATTCAGGCTAGTGCGCGGCTTTAGGTCGCGTCTTGAGCGACTTGTTCGTCGTAGCCGTCTTCACGCTCGAGGGCGTCTTGACACTCGAATTTGCTGCAACTCTTGCTGCCTTGGCCTCAGCCGAAGCAACTTTCCTCGCAAACTCCTTGGCAAGCCCCGGTTTGCCGCCTCCCAGCGCTTTCTCCGCTCCGCTCTCGCTGCTAACCCAGCCTCCTCCTGCTTCCCGTGCGCGATCTTCGCCAACGCTTTCTTGACCGACAAAATAGGCTTCATTGCCTCGCTGCGTTCCTTCGCCTTGAGCGCCAGCCGCTTCGCAGTGAGTCTCGCCCGGTCTGCCCTGACTTCCTCCCGCTTCCGCCTCAGTTTCTGCTTCGCCCGCTTCATGTGCGTAAAGTCATACGCGACGCGCCGTTTTTCCCGTAGCCTGTCACCCGAGCGTCGCTGCGGCGAGTTGCGAGTCGGGGGCGCTGTCGCGGCGCGCCACAGCCAGATGAGAGACGGGGCAGACTGCGGAACAGACTGTACGACTTGCTGCTTCGAGGCCTTGGCTTTCGGGACATCGGGGACTGCTCGGGCTTCTCGGACGTGCTTGACGAGGCGGTCACCTTCTACTATGGGAAGAATGTGGTGCTTGAGAAAACTGCCCTCCCAGGATTAGTACGAAGGTGGAAACAAGTGTAGGCAAATGTAGACGAACGAGATGGAGCGCACGGGGTGTTCGGGGTGTGGGACAACAGGAGACGGGACCCTTCTCCGGGTACCTCGTTCGACGGTTGTTTCACGCTTTACAGGCGGAACAGACCCAAAGAGGGCCTTGAACTCGTCAGAGGGCGTCTCCTGGAGTGCCAGTTTGTAGATTTCGGTGGTTTTGAGGCCGGCTTTGACTGCATCTCGGGCAATTACTTTTCGGACAATAGTGAGGCCTTCTCGAACTGCGGCCTTATGTTGGGCAATCTGTCCTGACCATGGAAGCGCCATGGCCATGCAAGGTCGGTGTCAATGTGCAGTGCAGTCCAAAAAGTTCTGATTGGATCTGATGTTTGTATCAACCAAACTACGATGCGTAGTATATGTCCGTAGTCAAGTTCCGAGAAAAGCGTATGTTCACTGCAATAGCCATCGCGTAATTCCCAAATACAAGTACAGGAATTATGGACTCAAGTATTCAATCTAACATGCTAGTTTATAGAGATGAGGGAGGCTACAGGGATACAGTCGTCAGAGCAAACGACTCGGAAACTTGAGTGATACAGATTCAGGTTGACCGCAGAGATGTCGGTTCAAGCCGTGGAGCAGTGCAGTTAATTAGGACGAGTGCTGTTGTATTCATGAAAGAGGGTATCAACAAAGGACTTGTTGGTCTGCAAAGGTGAAGCGTCAGATACATTTCTCGTGAGCCCGAAATTACTGACGTGAATGAGAGTTAGAACTTCCCGGATAAAGTCGTTTCTGTCAAGTTGTGGCTGAGACGCCTGCGCCTGCGCAGAGATAGCTGTGATGATAGATGCCCTGGCCTTGGCAGGGTCAAGCATTGGCTGAGGGTTTTGACCGTTGACGATGGCTCGAGCCGTCGCAGGCTCAGATGGCCCATTGCTTGTAGTGGTGCTGGGCGAATAGGCGAATCACCAGGCAGAGGACTGGCAGAGGCCGACCTCGACGAACAGGCGGACAGTACATGATTTTCTTGGCTGCGGACAACGCGTTTGCCCTTCCTGCGAGACTTCCCGCGGCGCCCAGTACCGACGTCTGGAATAGCCACTTGATGCTGCCTGCGAGAGGCGCGATGGAAAGCATCAGGGTCGCTCAGGACACTCGTGTCCGCAAAGTCAAGCTCCACGATGTCCTCGTCTTCGGGATGGTCCGGATGGGCGCCGTTTTCAAGCCAGATGTCAGATCCGCTGGCAAAATGCCCACTTCGAGACAAAGCGTCAGGTCGCACGGTGGAGGAAGATCCGCTGGTCGCGTCAACTAGAGCCGGAGGTACAGGGCGATGGCCATTAGCCAAAACAAGGGGCACCGGTGCTTTCGGCGTTACATCGCCATGAACGCGACCTTTGCCGTTGGAGTGAATCCCGTTCATTGTAGAAGGCCCATTGGCAGGAAGAACCAACTCAGGCTGTCCAGTATTGGCATTAACAGCTTGCAGTTGCTCTTTGAGCTGGGCGTCCAGATCGAGGACGGTTGTGGACTCCGAGAAGCTGTCGGTTCCCTCACCTCCCGGCTCTTGGTTGTTGCCGGGTGAATCCTCGTATTCATTATCACCCTCGCGCGAGGTGGTATGGGAGCGGGAGTCACTGCGACCTGAGAAGGACAATGTCGACGCAGACCGAGAAGGTGGTAGGCCTAGCAGAGCCGTGATAACGTCGTGGTTGAGAATTTGTGGTAAAGAGTGAACGGTCGGGGTCGGGGAATGAATAGTCAAAGATTTTGGTGGGGATAGCGGGACAACTGACGGAGCAGCAGATGCAAATATACTGTCAAGCAGTGGTATTCCGCTTCGTGGCGCAACGGGCGATGGAGGTGCATTGCCACCCCCGACCGAAGCAAATAGCGAGTCAAGCGTCACTGACGAGCTCCGTCCTGGACTGGGCAGCGCGCCAGAGAGAGATCCAGATGTTGAATTCGTCGTCAGCTTCGCAAGGAGTTTGCTCAGGTCAGAGGTAACAGTTGGCGTCTGTGCTTTTGCAAAAGAGCCTGGCCCAGCGTAAACAAGAAGCAAGATTGCAACATGAAGAAAACTCACGCTCAGAAACAGAGGGGGAGGAGTTGGTTGTTCGGAGATGGGGATTCGGGGGAGGTGGACGGCCAGGCCCGTATCGGAAGACGTCAGGGTAAGGCATATTTTGTTTAACATATGAGTGCAATCTGAGAAACGGTGAGTTCGAAGGTACATACTCCCAATCCGACATACCGAATCATGACATCCATCATGGGTTCTCGAGCATCCGTGGGGAACATCCACAACCCAATCGTGCTGCCGCGTCCCTTGTCGGCGTCGGAAAGTGTGTCGAGATCATACACACGGAAAACATCCGAGAACTTGTCGAGAGGCTGTTCGTGAGTTCGATAGATTTGGGAGAGACGTCGGTTCGTGAATTCGGGGTAAGATCGAAGCATGAGGTATGTGCCATGTAGACCTGAGATGTCTTCCGGATATAGACGTTGAACGTAATCCTCCATGCCCATACGATTGAGGATGTAGAATCCATAAGGTGGGTAAGAGTCTCTGCGTTTGAATTGTTGAGACTGCGGGCATCAGAACCTCCAATGCCACCACGGACCTTTCGTACAAAAACATGCTGCCCTCGTATCCATTCTTTTCCCATGTTTGACCGTTGTGATGGTATACACATACGTGAGTGAACTGGTCAAAAATCGACGTGATGGACGAGTCCCTCCTCCGCAGGACCTTTAGGTTGTGAGCGTATCGTGCTTCCTCGGACATTCCAAGGTTGGTGGTCTGGCCCTCTGTGGAGGGTTGGGGCTGATGCTGTTGGTGTGCTGGTCGAGGTCTTGGTGATGCAGTCGCCGTATTCAGCTGAGCGGGAGGGCCTGCATTGGCGTTGGAGTGGGCTCGGCGGCGAGCCATGATCAAAGGAGAGAATGAATGTTTGTGCGTGCATCGTTCGCGTTTGTGACACTTGTGCGTCACCGTGACCATACAGCATTATCCCATGCAAACAACGGCCATAAACCGGCGGGCATGAGCAGAGAGAAGCGACAACAGCAGGTTCTCTCCAGTCTCAGCTAACGGCTCTTTTTCTGGATGCTTAAGGCGAGCTCGCTGCGCTTGCTCACGTGGGGTCAGCAGTAAACCACGTGACTCAGTTGTCAAGTGAGGAAAATACGATCATTCATTTTGGACGGGGAGGAGAGCTGATTGCGTTCATTCTGTTACATAATAATATGTTATGCATGAAGGATGTTCACTCCATGCTTCCCACTTGCTGTTCTTGAAGTCCTCGAGCCTTCAATTCGGCCTGTGTCTTCTCAACTTCATCTTGAACCCGCTCGATGGAGCGGAAATACTTAACCGTCTTCACGTGAAGTTCTGGGCGAAACATCAGTACTGGGAGAGAGATTTCAACGTTCAGGTTGTGCTACTGACCAGCAGTTGCGTCCTCGTCCACGAAAATGAGTGCCCACGGATGCATTTGCAGTGCCGAGAGAGTCCACTAATTAGATATGATCAGGAATGTATTTGAAACTTGACGATTCGCTCACGAGATGATTGACACCCTCCTCTGTAGCAGATTTATCATTACCCAGTTGCAAAAATCGCCGCATCACTCACCGATGGCCTTGCTGAGTGCAAGGGCCTTGCGCTGCCCAGTGACGACCACAATAACCTCTCGGCTGTCGAGAACAGTGGCGACCCCGACCGTCAGAGCCATCCGAGGAACCTGGGTGATGTCGTTGTCGAAGAACCGAGCGTTGGCTAAGATGGTCTCGAACGCGAGTGTCTTGATACGAGTGCGGGATGCCAAAGAGGAACCTGAGTACACGAAAGTTGAGCATGTAATCCCGGTAGATGATTTTTCCAAATACCTGGTTCCTGAGTAGTCGAATCATTAGCACTGGGGTCCCTTGAAGAGATGAATAACAAACATTGAATGCAATATGCCCATCTTCTCCGATTCCACCCAAGAATAACTCAATCCCACCGACGGCCTTGATCCGTGCCTCATAAGAGTTACACTCAGCTATCAGATCTATGGCGTTTCCGTCTACGGCAAGAGATATCAGTCGCGAGAACTACACGCTCAGCGATCCTTGACCCACCGAGGATGTTGACCTGTGACGGAGGAATATCAACTGTGAGGGAGTGACCCTGTAGATCAGATGCGCATGACCAAGAGGTGCACTTACTGTGCGAGAAGAATTCCCGGAACATGAAGCTGCCCTACCAGTAAGTACTCCGTGGCATGGGGAACGAGGATTGAAACGAACGTGTGGTAGGATTCAGTATGATCGCGAGGCAAGCCAACATACTCGTCCATGTTGAAGGTGATGACATGCTTGAACCTGACGATGACTGATGAAAACGGGGACCGCTGTTGGGCGCGATGCATACGAGAGCTTCTCCGTTTGGACGAGCTTGATAAGAGCCTGCAGACCTTGCACTCAGCCCTCCTTCCGAGTCCTGAATGAAGCCACAGGCCGACCTTGTAGGTAGGAATGGGAGAAGATCCAGTCGGTAGACCGAGCACGAAAGGGCGATCGGCCGTCGGCGCGAAATCGTTTATACGCTTGCAGATATAATTCGCGATGTAGTCGCCAACAGCAGGGGGATCGTCACGGATGATCAGGCCTGGATTGTGTCAGGCGGAGATCTGACGTGCGTTGAGGTGCGTACGCATTGTGGGTAATGGGGGACAGAGGTGATGGAGCACTGAAGAGGCGGACCAGGTTCATTATGGAGCCAGACCGTATCATAGATAATGTCGTCGAAGCTTCGGCAATCTGCCAAAGTCTATCAACCCGTCTTCCGGGACTTCATCGATAGAGCTCGTCTTTCAGTCCGTGAAAAGTCTCGACGTTCGAATCCGCAATTGATAGGATAGTCCTGAAGAACTTGGGAAGTAGAACCATCGCTTAGAGCACGGGTCATTGAGAGATGGCAGGTGCGGGTGATTTGATCAATTAGAACAAGATCTCCATTCGTTCCTCACATTCACATGTTACATGCAGGCCAGTTCTGGCCTGCTCCGCCCGCCCAGCCGCTGTATTCTTGACCTCCTTCGAACGAGATGCTGGGCCCCGGTACCCATAAAACGCCACGCTTCAGCATCTAGGCCGACTGACCCCGAGCCGGGTGATGCTACGTGGCCGTATGAGCTTTTCACATCCTCCCGGATTACGGATCGCAAATCTGGCTTCCTGGCTCATGCGACTAAACTCCCGGATCCCTCCGCGCTTCCTCAACTGCTCAATCATATTCGCGACATTCCGCGTCTCAATTGCAAACGTGCGACACATTGCATGTACGCTTTCCGTGCCTCAGGGACCGAGGGGCAGTCAGACGGAGGCGAAGGGGGGAGTGGCGATCGATTGGCGCGACTGGTCCATACCGAAGATGTAGTCGTTGTTGTGTGGCGATGGTATGGAGGTGTCAAGCTGGGTGCCGATCGCTGGAAGTGCATCTCTCAGGTGGCCAAAGAGGCTCTGGATGCCGGCGGTTTCCGTGGCCAGAAGGGAGCTGTGATCAAGAAGGGCAATAAAATACGGAGAACTAGATGAAAGGACTGCGACTACATTCTAGTCATTGACCCGCTCGTTCGATAGTATCTCTAACAGTTCGGATAGGCCATTCAAAAACACACTTGCCATCATCTGAGCATTTCGAGTCCCAATAGGAGGTCGTAGTCCATCTTGTGACACTGATTTGCTGGCCCGGTCGGCTCCCACCATCGAGGAGGGCATGAACGCTGGAAGATAGTAAACACCGTGAGACGGCAGTATTGCCCGCATCAGATAATCTTGCATGTACACTGGGTTGTTCGTTAATGAACAGTGGCGGAAGATCAAAGACTAGTTCGTCTCACCCTGTGAGTTGTAGTACAAAGCCCAAGGGTCTTTCGTTGGTTGATTTCCGGTCCAGTTGGGTGGGATGAAGTCGTTGTACCAGTTGCTCTGCCAGATCAAGGTCTTGAACGCCATCATTGGCTCTTGGTATATCTCGTGCAACGACCGGACGACTTGAGGGACAAATTTATATAATGTAGCGACAAGTGCGGCATGGATGATCGATGTTTCAAGAGTGCGTGGGATTTCAGAGCCAAAAAGCCAAGGACCGTCTGCAGCGAAACTCCAGTTTCCGAGAGGATCCCGGCCTTGATATGTCGCTACCGGCGCCGAATGGGCCCGCGATTCAGAAGAATGATGTCAGAGCCCCGGGCTTTGGCACGCCAAAAAGCATCCTTGACTCGAACGCCAGTAAGCGGGTCAATCTGTGCCGTCGTATACACAGGAGCGTGTCTGTTGAGGGAAGTCTCGAGCGAGCTGGAAAGAACATAGCGGAGTACAGAGGATCCGGAGATCTTCAGGTATTCGTCCTTGGGTGGTATCTTGTATCTTGCGTGAGAGATGTTATGACCAGGCGGAGACAGATGTGGTGAAAGTTGCAGAATTCTGGACCCGGACACGAATGACCGACCTCACCGGCAGTTTCTAACGCGCTGAGCCACAAGGAGTGCAGATGGAATGTAACTTCAGGTCCCACAAGGAGAATCCGCTTGGAACTTATGAGCGTGCACAGTTCAGAAGCGTTGAAGATGAATGAGGAGAGCGCGTAGGGTCTCTGTGGGGAGAGCATAGGTACTGCTGAATGCAACAGCTTCTGCACAGCACGGATCCGTAGTGTGACATTGGTCCGGATCGGGAGCGAGGGTGGGATACCGCGTTCCAGTAAATCATTGAGGACCCTTTGCAACGGAGGTCCCTTCTTCCTCATTGAGAGCCCTACAAAAAAGAAGAGACCCAGTGCTGAAGCAAGAAGCAGCTTCAGAGCGCATCGGTACCGCATTCTGGGCCCGGGTTGATCTGGTCAAGAGCAGCTGGTTGCTAAAAGCGGATAGCTCTAGCACCATTGGCACCGCCTCTGCCCATCAATCATGAGCTCATGCGGCGCATTCACTCTGCTCACAACCAACATATACCCCATTCGAGATCCATCCCCTGACAGACAGTAATGGCGTATAGAATACCTCTACTAGGTCGGCTTTCCTTTCGTGAATATTTTGTTCTGGTGGCCGGCCTACTTTTCGTTGTCCTCGAGGGCTTCATCCATATAATCATCCTCTTGCTCCCCAAATTCGTCATCAACTTCTGTTACCAACGCTCTCGCTCCCTCTTCCACCGCATCGCTGGTCCGCCCAAGTCAAAATCAGCTCAGCGTCTTCTCGCGGATCGCATACGAGAAGCCCGTGACTTTGCTGAATTATGCTCCATCTACGGCTACACTCACGAAGAGCACGGTGCGTTTTATCTACTTCAACTTCCCAAAGACTCAAATTCTCTTAGTTGTGTTAACCAAGGACGGGTACTTGCTGGGCTGCATCGACTACCTTCGAAAAAAGGTCAACAAAAGGTACTTGTCACTGGAAATCAAAGTCGCCTCGAATGCAAGTTCACTGTTTGAACAGACCAGCCCGGGAACAAGTACAGGAAACCCGGTTGTTTATCTGCACCATGGACTTTTGATGAACAGCGAAGTTTGGATCTGCTTGACGGATGAAGAGCGTTCGCTGCCCTTCGTATTGGTCGAAAGAGGTTTCGACGTTTGGCTGGGCAACAATAGGCAATTTGCTCCGTGTTTTGAGTACAATCTGATCTGAACTTTCGACAGGGGAAACAAGTACTCGAAAAAGTCAATACACAATGGCCCGAATTCTACCAAATTTTGGGACTACAGGTTTGAGAGTCTGATCTATCGTGATGGTTCTCACTGATTCTCAAACACAGCATGGATGACTTTGCGTGGCACGATATCCCTGATTCCATCAACTATATTCTAGACTGCACCAAGGCAAAGACCTTGAGCTACATAGGTTTCAGTCAGGGCACAGCTCAAGCGTTCGCTGCTTTGAGCATCCACCCCAATCTGAATGAGAAAGTGAACGTCTTCGTCGCATTGGCTCCAGCTATGAGTCCTGCCGGTCTCGCCGCTTCGATCGTGGATAGTTTGATGAAGTCCTCGTAAGTAGTGCATCTCCGAACCGGTGAGGTCTCTAATTCTCGTGCAGGCCAACCCTTCTCTATCTGTTTTTCGGACGGAAATCGATCCTGCCGTCCACCGTAATGTGGCAATCCATTCTCTACCCTCCGATTTACACCAAAGTCATCGACACTTCTCTCCGGTGGCTTTTTGCGTGGCGCAGTGACAATATCTCTACTCAGCAGAAGCTCGCTGCGTACGCTCACCTCTACTCCTTCGCATCGGTCAAATCTGTGGTGCACTGGTTCCAGATCATGCGCAACGGGCAGTTCCAGATGTTCGACGACGAAGTGCAATCGCCAGTCATGCGGACTTCTGTGAGCAGCTATCGACCGGCACGCTTCCCGACGCGAAACATCGTCACGCCGATTGTGCTGTGTTACGGCGATTGTGACAGCCTGGTGGACATTGACGTCATGGTTTCCCAGTTGCCAGGTCACACCGTTTGTCGACGAATGGAGGGCTACGAACATCTCGACATTCTCTGGGGAAAAGACATTGACATCGACGTCATTCCGGAGGTCCTAGATGCGTTGAAGCAGCACTGCGAGAATCCTGAGATGCTGCTTGTCAACGGAAGTTCGGTACGCGAGAAGAAAGTGGTCATGTCAGACTGAACTTGTACATTAACTAATGTTTTACATATACCTTAATACAACATACTTGTATCATTCGTCGGCCATCTCAATCGACACGCACCAGAATACTGGTCCCCACGGATCTGACTGATCGTCTGCCGGACGGCTGTCATCTCGTTTGCCCGAAAAGTCGGTGTCGTGATGGACATCCGCGTCGTCAGCCACAGTGTCATGGCGCCGCTCACAGCACACGAATCTGACGCCCTGCCCGTCCCAGTATCGAGCGAGATCGAAGCCCAGTCCACCCGGCAGACGCAAGCGCAGAGAGGGAGAGAACTCCAAGAATCCGTAACAGAAGTCGGTCGTGATCACATCCTGGGAACGGCATTATGAGGGCATCCAGCGCGGCGAGGAAGGCTGGTAGACAAACCTGAGGTCCAAAAGTAACAGATTTCCGATGACCTTCGTCGCTGAAAAACGAGCGACGTTGCTGCGCAGTCATGCCTTGTGGGACCACCTCAACGGGACTTTTAGACCCACGACTCTTGCTGCGGATACGCTTGCTGAAGATGCTCCCACGGCTGGAGCTGCTCGATTTGGAACTGGATGAATTGATGGACGACGGCGTGCTTGAGCGACGCGTGTGACTGCATAGATGGAGCGACGAGGTTTCGTCCGCGATGGAATGGCCGGGTGGAAAGGGCGCGGGGTGTCGCCAAGGGGCAATCGAGCGTGCTCGAAATGAGGCATGGTTGCGACAAGCGGGGAGAGTGCCCATGGTTTGCGTGTAGCAGTGCAGGTCAAGTCGTGCGACAAAGTGGGGTCGATGTATCTTTCGTAAATGTTCAGCCTGATGAGTTCTCGAGCGAGCAGATTAGTGACTGGGCACGCACTTCATGAATTGAAGAGCAGCTCCCGTACCCCATGGCAGCTGCAGAGGCCGTTCGAACACGTTGCCAAAGAGGATATCATCTGCAGAGCGGGGAGACAAGAAACGGCCTTCGCGTTTCGTGAGCTCGCGAGAAAGGTGGGAACCACTGAAGTATTACCTTGAACTTGAATGCTCCAGGTAATGCCCTGACGATCTGGTCTCGAGAAATACTCGGCGTCGGCGCCTGACGAAGGGTCTCCGTCGTTGAAACCTTTGATGAAAACGGTTATTTCGCCCTCCCACTCGGCGGTGGAGATTCGGAAGGGAACATTCTTGTTCACGAGTGTGCTGATTGGAGTGAGAGACTGGAGCGAAGGGCCGGCGAGAACCTGAAGCTTGGGCATGGAGAAACAAGAGTGAGACCAGCTGGGAAGTTGTGAGTTCAAGTAGCCCGGCTACTTGCGACAAGAAGAATTGCGCAGTCGACAGCCTGGTGTCGAACGACCTTTGTGGGGTCGACGACACGATCACATGTCTGTCATTCTCACGTCACTCCAAACGCCGTAAAAATACAGATGTCATAACGCAAGCAAGGATACAAAAGTCTATAATGGATCCGTCCTCTGTGCATGTGCCCGTTTCCGTGCACCATCGAGATCCTCAGGCTGAAAGCGCCGCCGTTTTTTGTGTTTCTCGTTGTCTTTGGACTCGCGACTTTCGGCCCCTCCCCCGTTAATGTTGACCCGCGGAGGGACCGCAAAACCAAACGACTTGCCAACCTTGGCGAGGTCAAGTTTGTTGACATCAAAGACCTCCTTGAGAGAGTACGATGCGTAGGACTGTAGATAAGCTCGGTAGCCGTCCTTAGCAGACTGATGGAGATAAAAGTTCTTTTGAAGCAACTTCTCGAGCTGAAATGAAATGAGAGGATTGTTCAAGGCAGGAGGCAGAAAGAGTTTCTCACCTGCGATTGGATATTTGCGATCCGATTGCCCGGAAAGCTGAACTCGTTGAGCGGCACCTTCGCCTGTTTGAGGTACCGCAGGAAGCCGAGTTCCGACTGAAGCAAGAAGAGCAGACTCTTGCCGTTCTTTCCCGCTCGAGCAGTTCGACCAACGCGGTGAATGTAGTCCCGAGGGTCGTCTGGCGGGTCGAATTGGACAATCCAATCCACTTGCGGGATGTCTAACCCTCGTGCGGCGACATCAGTGCAGAGCAATATCCCCGACGGTGCATTGATGAATTCAAAGAACGTGTTCGTCCGTTTTTGTTGTTTTTGTTTGCCCTGGCCAAATTGAGACCCTTGTCGCATGAGAGAGAAATGAGCTCACATGCAGTTCCAATACAGGCACATCGATGTAGTTGAGCAACTCAGCATGGTACTTGACTGAGTTGCAACTGGAAAAGAAGACGATCACTTTCTTCTTGCGATTTTTGGAGAGGAAGGTGTAGAGAAGGAGGAAGCGTTGATCGGACTGGCACACGACATAGCCTTGTGCCAATGTATCGACTGTGCTTGCCTCCTCCTTGCCATCGATATCAACATTCACAGATCCAGGTCGTAACGATATTCGAGCAAGATCCGCAACCTTGGTCGTTTGCGTAGCGGAGAAAAGCATAGATTGCCGGTTATCTTGAATACTATTAGACCGAGAAGCGGGGCGGTGATGTCGCAGACGCACCGTTTGGCAAAATGCTTATGATTTTCTTCATCTGTTCCTCGAACCCAATCTCCAGGATCCTGTCCGCCTCGTCGATTACCAGTGCTCGTAAGTTTCCTTGAATTAAGTCAGTCATGAGCCAGTCTGGAACACGAATGAACACACGGAATATGAATCCTTTGGTGTTCTGAGGGTCATTAGGACTGGTCCTGAAACTTGTGTGGATAGAGCGTACCATGAGATGGTCTAGTAATCGACCCGGTGTCGCAACCAAGAGATTTACACCCTTCGACAATTTGTCCTGCTCCGCGCGCATGTTCGCACCTCCCATAACGATTCCACAAGTCTGGGAATGGAACTGCATGACATCCTTCGCAACACCGAAGATTTGAAGCGCAAGTTCCCTCGTCGGTGATATGATAATAATGCCCGTGCCTATCAAACTTCGTCAAGGAGGATTCAGGCAAAGTCCACATCTCCCGCACCGTTCATAGGTTTGAATTTAAGTCGATGCAACAGTTCCACTGCAGGAATGACGAAAGCGAGCGTCTTTCCAGATCCTGTGCGTGCTGCACCCAGAACGTCTTTGCCAGCTAAAAGGATGGGGATGGATTGAGACTAGCAGAGAGTCAACTTGATGGCGGTGAAAAGTAGTGGAAGTTTTGACCTGGATAGGCGTCATCGTTTCCAGTCCCATAGACTCAATGGCCCGGACGTTTCATTAGACAGATCTAGTGTCTTGAATGACACACGCTCTGGTGCGGACGACGTAGAGGCTTCAGCCATAGTCGGAAGATGCAGAAGAAATTTGGGCGACTGCAAGTGATCGACATCAATAAAGCAACACCAAACAACCCGATAGATGACAATCTAATCTAATCGAAAGTTCCCTGATGAGATGATCTACTCTTTCAAGGTTGTCTTCGCCTTGTCCTTGGACGTCATCCCTTCTGTCTCTTTTGACTTATCTTTGGATCGTCTCTTTTTATCGGATGATTTTCGACTCGGGATCTCGGGTTCTGCCTCCGTGACCTCTTGCGCCTTCTCAGCCTTGTCCTTACGCCTCTGCTCTTTCCTTTCCCTCTTCTCTCGTTTCCTGCGGGCTTCTTCGTCTTCCTCGATTTTCTCCTCCACCACAACATCAGTCTGGGACTGGTCTGATACCGGCTCTGGCTTTGCAGAAACGAAACCGGACATCATCGCTGAAAGCATGCCCATGCCACGACTCATCCCCAGACCAACTTTAGGTGGTGCGTCCTCCACTGTGTCCCGAGATCGCGCGGCACCCAAGCCAAACCGAGGCCGTTCGTCGTCAACCTCCTCTTTTTTGACTGGTTCTGAGGCTCCGGGTTTCGCTTTGGTCGACAGTTTGTCTTTGAAGTAGTCGGCCATGCTTTTCGAGGACGTCGTCAGCTTCTCTAGGCCCTCAGCTTCCCCGATAGACGTCAGCACGGCTTCTTGTGGCGTGACAGAGCTCGAAGGTGTCGCCGCAAGCCCCAGAATTTCGGAGATGGCGGCAGCAGATTTGGAGGCAATGTTTTTTGCGGCAATGGCCCGAGCGCGATGCCTAGAAATGGTGTTACACATTAGTAAATTACGGGAGGGGGGTAGGACGCACGCTCGGTGCCTTGGAACCAATGGTTTCGGTACTGGCGTGTCCGGAACAGAGATTTCGAGAGGCGGGGTAGTAGATATGGTATCCGGCGACGCAGATTTAGATTTGGACTCTGATTTCCGTCGTTTTCGCTCGGCCTTGCCCTCCTCCCCATCTTCACGCTTTCTCTTCTTTTTCTTCGTCTGTTCTTTCTTGGAGTCGTCCTCGTCAATCCGATCCTCCTCCATATTCTCCTCTTTGGGCTCGTTATCTTCAGCAGTGGCCCGGTTCAACCGCTCCAACACTTTCTCGAAATCCTTGTTCTGTTTCCATGCGATACCGTCTGGGTCCCTCGACTGAGCAGCGCCGATACCCAGCATATCCAACTTCTGTGATACTGCGATGTGGGTCGTCCTTCCTTCTCCAGAAGCTCCCAACCCTTTGCCGCTGGATGCATCGAAACCAAATTTCGCGAGGTAGGAGGAACCAAATTTAGCCGCATCGTCCGCCCACGCGAGATTACGCGGATCGTTTGGAATGCGCTGCTTGGTTTTACGTCCGGAGAGACCCATCACAATCGGCTACAGGTAGAGCCTGCAGAGCCTCGAGGAAGCGACTGGGAGAAAGTTATGATTGAGAATTTGGACAGCTGACACAGCCACACAGATGGCGGTCCGGCTACGGTAACATCATTAATGTTGTTTTGAGCAAGCATGGGCCCAGGATTGTGTTTTATTGTCCTCTTGACGGCGAAGTGATGGGTTGATAGAGACTCTGTCTTCCGTGGATGCACGGCATCGAGTTGTGCCTCGCTTGTAATGGGGATCATTCTAGCTCGAGCTTCATTTAACTTCTCATCTCGCTCCAACGACGTCCTCATGACTGCCCCTTCCGACGAAACCTCTCCCCTGCTGAATGGGAGTATCTCGTCCGCTTCGGTGACTCACACTGCGCGAGATGCTGCCTATGCGCGTTTCTCGCCCGCTCAGAAGCGCGTCATTGTTATGCTGGTCAGCTGCAGCTCGCTCTTGCCCAGTCAGATCTCTCTGCAAACGTCTGCAACCTTGCTGATACGCGCAGTGTTTGCCAGCGGATCTTTCATACCCGCCATGCCTCAAATAGCACGGGATCTGGATAGCACAGGCCCTGTCATCAGGTATGAGCGTCGCGGACAACTTTTTGCCTCTCACGGTCCCTGACCGTCGATCCAGTTATGCTGTGAGCCTCTCCATCTTTGGAGCTGCGCTAGGTGGTATGATTTTCGCCACCTACTCCTCCTACTGTGCGTTGGCTTCCCGGTCACAGTGCATCCGGCTCACAGTATCTAGACGGACGGCGTCCTGTCTATCTTTTTGGCTTGCCTCTATTGTGCTTGGGATCTCTGGGTGTATCGAGGTCAAGCACGATTCCTGCGCTCATGTGTTTCCGCTTCATTCAAGCTTTTGGGACATCGGGCGGAATCTCTGTCGGTTAGTGCAATCCACTGGTCTCGCGGCTAGATGTCTGATCAATAATTTAGGGGGTGGGGTCATCGGAGACGTCTATCCGTTGACGGAGAGAGGGAGTGCTTTGGGCATCTTCTTTGCGGTGAGTCGATTCTGGAGGCTTGTGCGGTGGATCTTACTCGGTAGGCTTCACTTGTGGGAAACGCTATTGCGCCTATCGTGGGAGGTTTGTTTTGATCTGTCCCGGCAGAAGATAGTTCCTGACTTGTGCTGCTTAGGTTGGGGTGGTCTGTGCCGTCCATCTCTATAATCTAGGCGTCTTCTCAGAACTGGCTTAGCCCGATATTCTTCATGGCGGAACGTGCAGCTCGGCATTCTCGCACTCGGACTCGCCGTATTTCTGGGCATGCTTTTCTTCTTGCCGGAAACGGCGCATCCTGGTTCGAGAGGAATCGAGAAGGACAAGGCATCGTCTGGCAACGACACGGGGAAATGGGTTTGGCTCAATCCCTTCTCCTGCTTGTGGCTTCTGCGTAGCCCAAATATTATGTTTGTTGTGAGCACAAGCCTATTTGCACAATATCGGCATCCTAACTTTGATGAACAGACCTTGACGTCCCTGACTGTGCTATACACTGATTACGGTAGCATGAGCTTCCGACTCCATCATATTTCTGCTCAAAGCGGTTTATAGCTCTCCTAGTGCCGATTGCGTATACTGTGGTCAGTTTCCGTGCTTCAATTTGCTCCCGATCTGGCTTAATCTCCTTATCAGGGCAAGAGTTACAATATCACCAACGAGGCCATCATTGGCGCTTGCTTTTTTCCGATGGGCTTGGGCAATCTGAGCACGTCCTATTCGCATCTCGGAACTGCAGTGCTCTGAACGTTTCCAGTTGGAGCCCCTCTCGCCGGTTGGATTTCTGATCGAGTGCTCATCCGGGCTCGTCGACTGCGACGTGGTGTATGGGTTCCCGAAGACAGACTGCTGGCGGCTCTCTCTGCAGGCTACACTTTCGTCCCACTTTCCGTGTTATTCGCCGGCGTGTGCCTGCAATTCATACCCGGAACGCCGGGGCTTGTCCTGACTTTGCTTTGTTTCTTCTTCAACGGACTGGGGGTCGATCTGGTGCTCAGTCCAGGCACAGCATATCTCGTGGATGTCTTGCATTCGCGCAGCGCAGAAGTGATGGCAGGGAGCATGTCAGTGTTTGAAATTTGTGGCAACGAGGCTACGTGACACTGAAGTTTCACCAGTGGTTTAAGGTCTCTCCTCTTGTCATTGGCGATTTCAGGCGTCTTGCCATCCATAGAGACCATGGGCATGGCGGGATTCTACTGTCTCGTTGCCGCTCTAGCATGGCTGGGTGCAATGTAAGGTCATCATCCAAGCTGTTCTACAACGCAATTGACACATGGCAGTTTATTGCATGTAACCATTAGAAAAGGGGATAAAATGAGGGCGTGGTTGATATTGGCTTCTCTACAGTCGATACAACGTAAATTAGGCTGTCATTATTCGGTCTACGTCTGCGGGTCGTAAATATACAGGCTGGTGATACAATTAAGATCTACCACGCGATCCATTCCCCGTACATGTTGGGGATCTCTCCGCGGATGTAAGCTTCAAAAGTCCTTTTCAACACGGTCGACCAGTTCAAATCGCGTTCGTCCTCGAAGCTCGCGTCGATTTCGATGTGACCTGGAAAGTTCGGGCCAAGATCGGGCCAGTTCCGCGCAGAATCGACTTTGCTCCACCTGAGAGCCCAGAATCAGTAATGGCGAGAGGAGACAAAAGTTGAGATACCAGTTGTTGTGGAAATGATAGGAGTACGCCCCCGAGAAGAAGCCGGTGAAACCTAGTGCTAGGGGAGCACCGCTGCTCACGGACGGTGTATCGAAGAAGTCTTCAAAACTAGAACAGTCAATCAATACCAAGCAGATGGAGAGACGGAGAACCTACAGGTCAAAGTGGGGTTGAGGAGGCCGATCTCTTTGGTATCCTTCCTGTAATGGTGTTCACACGACAGATTGGGATGACAGGATCATTTTACCATGTTCAGCCATGCGGGATCGAAAAGAGCGTCCGGCAGCCGGGCAAGTAGGCCTTCAAGACGGCCCTCCTTGAGATACTTGGTGATCTCAAAAGGATGGAAATCAAAGCCATTCTTGACCGCAGTTCGGATTAGGAAATGTCCAAGCAGCGAGTTCTTCCGCAACCTGAGCACAGCCGTGTTGTACGCATCGTGGAAGGACCATCGGTATGCAAAGGCACCCTTGTAGCCCCAGAGCTCTTCCCAGTCCCGGAGAAAGGCCGTGTCAGCATCCACATAGATCCCGCCGTATCTGTTTTCTTGTCGTCGGTCTTCGTGCAGGAAATCAAACCGGCTGATGACTCACTTGTGGCAGAGCAAAAACCGAGCCATGTCGCTCATGATGACGCTGAGACGATCATAGAGATCGGGGGACACAGACCCCGTCAACTTGGAGATGTCCTTGCTTTTCTGGTCTCCAGAACTGAAAACAATGTGGCCACCAGACTTGAACAGCGTCTTCTTCTTTGACCAATCATCCCGGGTCTCCTGCAGGCCGTCCAGCTGCTCAGTCGTGTTCCAGAGTTTGAACTGGATCGCATGCTGGAATCGAGGATGGAGGAACGGGGCCGACCATGGATTAGATTCCAGCTCCTCGCGCAAGTTGTGCGTGACGTTTTCCGCAAGCTTCGCAGCCGGGCTAGGGTTGATCCAGATCCAAAGCTGAGGACTGCAATCTGTCCTGCCCACGTCCCCATGAAAGTGCAGGCCGGTGTTCTGTGTGTACAGGAAGCTCAACAATGTCAGGTACGGCTTGTCCGTGAAAGGTCCCGTCCAATAGATATGGAATATGCGCGGGTCATCTCGATCGCAAGGCACGTCACGAGAGTATCTGTGATACGCAGCAGGAGGACGTGGTATGATTGGTGGTTCCCAATCGTTGTGACGGCTTTTAGTGAATCCCTCGTCGAGATAGGACTCATGCTCGCTCCGGATGATACCCTTGCGCTCGAATGTAGTTGGCGACGAGTCTGACGGCGGCTGTGACCAAGATTCCGAGTCCTCGATATAGACATATCTCAACGGGTCCCGATTCCGTCGAACGCGATTGTTAGTGTCCAGCCCTCCGCCGAGTCGTAACAGTTCGAGACAGTCTCTCACGTACTGCAGAAACTCAGTTCGAGGAAGAGAGTTCCTGATGACCGTGGTAGACGCACTTTATTCTCCGAGAAGTCGCAATACTCTATTAGTAGATCGAAGTCTGCGCAGCTTCCTAGCACTGGACGCGGTGGGTATGCAGTATTGGGTCGTCGACCGGCGATTTCAAGGAACACGTGTGGGGCGCCAATTCCTTCCGAGATGGTTTTTGAAACGACTGGGATTCTTCGGAACTGTATCCCTATGAGCGCGTCGTACGAGAAGAGATGCCGACACACTCACTGCTCCTGCAACTGGGATGATGTCCACTAGCCACCTCGTACTTCCATATCTGTGCTAAGTCTTCTCGCTTGAACACGAGTTTCGGGGATTCACCGCCGGGCCACTTCTTCTGACCGCTCAATCGCTTAGACAGCGCAAACACGGTGAAGAAACACAGGATAGATGTGATTGAGATGACAAGTACGCCCCCAATGCGCCCAAACTTGCGCGTTGCGGCGAGATAGATCAGGCTAGGGTTGGGGAAGAACAGTCTGGAGCGCCGGCCACAGAGGGAAAGGGGGACCGATATCCATGTGGTGTGGCCATGTCGCTTATGATATTTCTCGTTGACGAAATTTTGTTTGGGGAGCAACGGCCTGCCGTGTGGGCGCGAATGTGGCGCGCTCGCGGTGGGTATCATCAGAACATGAACGCACGAGAGACAAGCTCAAAATCCGCATCATGATGCAGTGATGGCAATGTCGATCACAATCTCGACCTGCTGCGGCCAAGGCTGCCCGAGAAATTACAGTAAATCCAGGACCAAGTATGGCTTTCGCTGTGTGGCCGAATACTCCTAATTCTGTGTCTCTGCTCTCGTAGAAAGAGTAATTCGTGCAGCTCATGTTCCAGGATGTTCTCACATCAGGGACGAGGAATCAAAACACGGTCACGTTTGCACACATACAACTCGATGGAACCATGACGCGCTGAGTGTGCCTCCGTAACTCCAGCTGTCAATGCCGACCAACGTCACGAGACCTCCCGCGACATCAGCTGGGAGAAACTCTCGTCACGCAAGTCTCAGCTACGTCTCAACGAACACGTCAATCAACCTCGCATTGACGCTCTGTTCGAAGGGCTCATACTCTCTCACAAGATAGGAGATGCCTGATTGGCATTCATCAGCCATAGACGTGTTGTAAGGGATCCCTAGCCAGATTTCGAAGCTTTCCTAGATTTGAGATAAGTATACAGTAGTGAGTGGTAACCGGTAAGGACAACCAAGTTCGGTGGTGGGCCAATATGTGTGACTGATGTGACATTATGATCCCGTCTGATTCCGCAGTCACGTCTACGCTTGACAACTGCCTGTGCGGCATACATTTACACGCTTTCACATTTCCAGCCTGCGGCTGTAATGTCCGACGATTTCCTGCGGCTCGTGTCGCAGGCGAACCCGGCTTCACGACAATACCAACCCGCGAACGGATATCCTCCTTCCGTGTCAACGCCGTATACCGCCAACTCGCCGCAGCTCTTGGATCCTTTTTTGACGACGAGGACGACAATGTCCCGGATTCAGCCTTTGGAAGGCCCGATCATCCAGGACCGATGGACTCTCAAGCCAGCGGTCTGCCCCTGACCCGAAACGCCGTGCTGCCGGCTGGCACGAGTTCAAATGCGGAGGGTGTCCCTCAAGGCTGGAACTTTGACGACAACGACTTTCGACCCGCGGGACAGCAGCCCTTTGAGGGCTCAGGGACCTTCAACGGGGTACAGCCGCCCAAGGTGGAAGGCGCCAAGACCGGTCCGTCAAGGCGAAGGAGGTGGAAATGGCCATGGCAGAGAGAGAAGGTGCTCACGGGCGATCGGGTCATTGCGCTCAATAATCCTGCGGCAAACGAAGAATTCTGCTCGAATTTCGTCTCAACCAGTAAATACAACCTGGCGACGTTTGTGCCCAAATTCCTCACCGGTGCGCACTTGATCACTGCTACGTGACTGTTTCCTGAGTTGACTTCGATCCAGAACAATTCTCCAAATACGCCAATCTTTTCTTCCTTTTCACTGCTTGCATACAGCAGATACCAAATGTATCACCAACACAGCAGTACACGACGATAGTACCCCTCGGAGTCGTGCTTCTGGCATCGGCTTTCAAGGAAGTTCAGGAAGATATGGTGCGTTTCATGAACCAGATGGAACGATACGCAATCAGCTCACTTCCATCTAGAAACGCCATCAATCAGATTCCGAGCTCAATGCCCGTCTAGCTAAAGTACTGACCGCGGATTCCACCTTTTCGGAGAAGAAATGGAAGGATATCTCTGTCGGGGATGTTGTGCGATTGGAAAGCGACGACTTCATTCCTGCAGATTTGATTCTGCTCAGCTCAAGTGAACCTGAGGGATTGTGCTACATCGAGACATCAAATCTTGACGGGTATGTCATTCAGCTGTGCTCGGAACTGTACTCTGACTTGGCTCTATCAGCGAGACAAATCTCAAGATCAAGCAAGCCTCGACTCACACTTCGTCGATGGTCTCTCCATCCCTCGTCACAGCACTTCGTGGCTCGATGCGCACAGAACAGCCCAACAATTCGTTATACACCTTCGAAGGCACATTCGACCTTACCACAGCAAGCGGTGTTCCAAAGCAGGTGCCTCTCGGGCCGGATCAAGTTCTGTTGCGTGGGGCGCAGCTGCGAAATACTCCTTGGGTGTATGGAATGGCCGTTTACACTGGCCACGAGACTAAGCTGATGCGAAACGCTACGTGTGTCATACCCTGTTCCTTAAGTTCTGCTGCTCATTCGATGAAAGTTCTGCGCCGATCAAGCGAACCGCCGTAGAAAGACAAGTCAACGTGCAAATCGTGTTCCTGTTCATCCTGCTCCTTGCTCTGTCCGTTGGCTCTTCGATTGGAGGCAGTATCCGTGCCTGGTTCTTTGCTAGTCAGCAATGGTACTTGATGGAACCGACTTCTGTCGCAGGTCGGGGTCAGTGAGGTTTCGCTCTGTTGTTTGGTCCTTCTACTGACGCACCGTGCTAGCTAAAAGCTTCATCGAAGGTTTGTCTATCATGGAATGAACAGGATCGAGATCTGATTTGGTTGCAGATATCCTGACCTTCATCATCTTGTATAACAACCTGATTCCCATCTCACTCATCGTGACCATGGAGGTTGTGAAGTTCCAGCAAGCACGGCTCATCAATTCCGATCTAGACATGTATTATGCCAAGACCGACACCCCGGCTCTGTGCAGAACGTCGTCGCTCGTCGAAGAGCTTGGGCAGATTGAATATGTGTTCAGCGACAAGACGGGCACCCTGACCTGCAACGAAATGGAGTTTCGGTCTTGCAGTATTGCCGGCATAGCCTATTCAGAAGTAGTCGAAGAGGGCAAACGTGGCGAAGAAGGATCGGAGCACTCCTGGCGAACGTTTTCCGAGATGAAAGCCTTACTTTCTGACAGCCAGAATCCGTTCGTCGATGTTGGATCTTCGAGTGAAGCGGCCGACATCGCAGAAAAGGACGTCCTGAAAGACTTTCTCACTCTGCTTGCTGTTTGCCACACTGTTATCCCGGAAGTCAAAGAAGGCAAGACCATCTTCCAGGCTAGCAGTCCTGACGAAGCGGCATTGGTCGCCGGAGCAGAGCTGCTGGGATACCAGTTCCATGTGCGGGCTGCTCTTCCTTGGGTTTCGTAGTGACGCTGACCACGTGCCCAGACGCGGAAACCCAAATCGGTATTTGTGAATGTGATGGGTCACAATGAGCAATTCGATATCCTCAATGTCTGCGAATTCAACTCGACTCGGAAGCGCATGTCTACCGTCGTCCGCATGCCCGACGGCAAGATTAAAATCTACTGCAAGGGCGCCGATACGGTTATTCTCGAACGGCTCAGCAAGAACCAGCCTTATACGGAGAAAACTCTCGCCCATCTCGAAGTGCGCGATCTCGCATGTCGCATCTCTTGGTATTGACGGTTGCATTCTAGGACTATGCGACAGAGGGATTGCGGACGTTGTGTCTGGCGTATCGGGATGTTTCAGAACAAGAGTATCGTCAATGGGCCGCTATCTACGATCAAGCCGCCGCAACTATCAATGGCCGAGGCGAGGCCCTGGACCAGGCTGCAGAGCTGATCGAGAAGGACCTATTCCTGCTGGGGGCGACAGCCATCGAAGACAAGCTGCAGGATGGTGTTCCTGACACTATACACACTTTGCAGATGGCGGGCATCAAGGTCTGGGTCTTGACTGGGGATCGGCAAGAAACGGCCATCAACATTGGCATGTCCTGCAAATTGATTTCCGAGTCCATGAACCTGGTCAGTCCGAGTTGATTGCACGAGTTTCGCTCTGAATCGTTTCCCAGGTCATAGTCAACGAGGAAAGTTCGGCCGAGACTCAACAATTCCTGGCGAAACGTTGTCGGCCATCAAAAGCCAACGTAGCACCGGGGAATTGGAAGACCTCGCGCTTGTCATAGGTGTGTCACTCGGTGGGTGTGGACACGGGTGCTGATTCGCCTCCAGACGGCAAAAGTCTGGGCTTCGCACTGGAGAAGGAAATATCGAAGATCTTCCTGGAGCTGGCTATCATGTGCAAGGCTGTCATTTGTTGTGCGTAACTACGAATTTGTTCGTTCAGTCCACCGCTCAAAACTTTTGACACAGGTCGTGTTTCTCCGTTGCAGAAGGCGCTTGTTGTCAAATTAGTGAAGAAGAATCAGAAGGCCATCCTGCTTGCAATCGGTGATGGAGCCAACGACGTGAGCATGATCCAGGCAGCGCATGTCGGTGTTGGTATCTCGGGCGTGGAGGTGACGACATATCCCCTTCCGTAATTTTCATTTTCGGTCCTCACCAGGCTTTCGCAGGGACTTCAAGCAGCTCGATCGGCTGATGTTGCCATCTCGCAATTTCGATTTCTCAAGAAACTTCTCCTTGTCCACGGTGCTTGGAGTTACCGGAGGCTGTCCAAGCTCATCCTTTGTATGTTTCCTTCGCGCTCATCGAGGTCTGCTCAACGTTTCTCAGATTCTTTCTACAAGAATATCACGTTGTATATGACACAATTTTGGTTCGCGTTCTTCAACAACTTCTCCGGTCAAATCGCGTATGAATCCTGGACGTTGTCCATGTACAACGTCGTCTTTTCGCTCCTCCCACCGCTGGTCATTGGGATATTTGATCAGTTTGTATCGGCACGGATATTGGACCGTTATCCTCAGCTGTACATCCTGGGACAGAAGAATGTTTTCTTCACGAAGACCGCGTTCTGGATGTGGGTCGGAAATGCGCTGTATCACAGTTTGGTGAGATCGCCGTTGGCTCTGTCATGCAGACCCTGATTTTATTTAGCTTCTCTTTGCGTTCTCTGTCGTCCTTTTTTGGGGAGACTTGAAGCAAGCCAAGGGCTATGATTCTGGCCACTGGTTCTGGGGCACCCTGCTGTACCTCGCTACCCTTCTCACGGTGCTCGGAAAAGCCGCACTCATATCAGAGTGAGCGTCATTTGACGGGCTGCGGATTGTGGCTGTTACTGATATTCTGTAGCATCTGGACCAAGTACACCGTGGCTGGTCAGTACCCGATCACTACTCTCTGATGCGTAGATGCTCATCAGCTCAACAGCCATCCCTGGATCATTCGCTTTTGCGATGGTCTTTCTTCCTCTATACGCTCTGGTCGCACCTGCGATCGGGTTCTCAAAGGAATATTCTGGGCTGGTGCCCAGGCTGTGGACCGACGCCATATTCTATCTGGTTCTCCTGTACATCCCGATCTTGTGTCTTGCTCGAGACTTTGTTTGGAAATAGTGGGTTCTGATGACGGTTGGATTGTTCCAATGCTGATTTCCCTTTCCAGCTGGGCGCGCACTTACTCTCCCGCATCGTATCACATTGCCCAAGAGCTGCAAAAATACAACATTCCTGATTATCGGCCGAGACAGGAGCAGTGCGTTTTCCAAGCCAGCCAACTGCCAGCGTTGACGTGCGATCTCGTTTCAGATTCCAAAAGGCCATCAAGAAAGTGCGCGCTGTTCAACGGATGAGACGAAATCGCGGGTTTGCATTCAGTCAAACCGAAGACGCTGGCAAGCAAGACCAAGCGAAACTCATCCGGTCGGTGATCTTCGTCTGTCAGCGGGCGTTTCTGTTCTGACTGCGGCGCGCAGTGCTTATGACACATCGAAGAGCAACGCTCGGCCCTCTGGCTATTAGATTTGTCGGACAATGTACTTGTAACTTCTATTATTCCCGATATATTATCAGCTTCTAGTGGACGTCTTCTTGATGGGGAGGTGCCGACACCTCCAAAAAAAGTTCTCTCTCCCACCGGGTTATGTCTGTCTTCCTTGCCTGGGTCCAGGTCCAAAATTGTCGTCGATGGGCCCGCGGTCTAGATTGATGACGCTGAACGGTCCAGTGACCCAGAATCCAGGCCGCTTTCACCGTGACGCGATTCCAACCTTGCCAACAATGCCAGGTGGCGATGAGCATGCCATCAATCAATGTCACCTCTGTCACAGATCGATCTCTATTCAGTCAGTCCGTCGTGCGGCCGTTTCCAAGTCACCGCCCCTTCTTCTTGACCGCCGCTGCTCCGTTGCCCTTTCATTCATCTGTTCGTTCATACTACCACAACCTTCTCGAGACTGAGTCTCTTCCTTTCCTTCCTGTCCTTTTTAGACCTCTTGCTTTCTCTCGTTTACCTCACGCGTCGGGAACGCCCCCTACCTCTCCATTGTCATGTCCCTCAAAGCCGAGCTCGAAACCTGGGCTGCGGCCCTGAAAGCATACGATGAAGAGGACTTTGAGAAGGCCCTCGATCTATTCTCTGTGCGCATTCCGGTTATCCCCCTCCATCATGGGTACGACTGACATCCATTAGCGTATAGCAGACTCGTCTAAGATTCTCACCAATATGGGACTCATCTACGCGACTCTTGGGGAGCATGAAGCAGCCGTCGAGCGCTTCATCGAGGCGACCGGATTGGACTCATACTTGGCTGTCGCGTACGTGGCATACGCTCCCCGATGTCCGCCCCTTCGTTCACTTGTGCTCATCCCACTTTGCTCTAGATACTTCCAATGCGGTGTCTCTAACTTCCTTCTTGCCCGATATGAGCTCGCATACAAAGATTTCGAGGAGGCTCTCTTGTATTTGAGAGGAAATCAGGCCATGTGCGTTTATCCATATGCTCGGGAGATGCGACGCTGATCTGTTATGTAGCAATTATGAACAGCTCGGACTCAAGTTCCGTCTCTTTTCTGCGGAAGTTCTGTTCAATCAAGGCCTTTCTTTGATATACATGGGCCGGCTCGATGAAGGACTGAGGGACATGGAGGAGGCCCGACAGGTGAAAGTGACGGACGAACACAACGTTATTGATGATGCCATCGCGGACCGCGGAGAGGGATACACCGTTTTCAGCATTGTCAGTCTTTGATTCTCGTTTTTCCTCGAGTTCTGCTGATCATCAAGTTTCCATGCAGCCTGTGGGCGTGCTCTATCGGCCCTCTGAGAAGAAGCTTGCGAATGCCAAGACGAAGGATTACATGGGGAAAGCAGTACGTTAACAGTCTACCGCCATCAGCATCTCACTGACGTGACTGGCAGAAACTTATTGCTGCCAGTGACTCCCGAGACACGACAACAGGATTCACCGGTGTTGACCGCCTGAATCAGGGGATCACGCCTTCCAACGTGTTCATTGATGGAGATGCCGGACCTCTTGCACGCAGTAACACTCGACTACCCCAGCCTCCTCGTATGTGATGGTTGCGCCGACTCAAAGTTTGATTCTGAATCCCATCTAGGCAACGACGATCCCGGTCCTCTTGTCAGATCGAAAACAGTGCTCAATGTCCCCGGCAACTCTCGTGAAATGACATCGCCAGGTCCTCAAGCCATGGATGCTCCTCGACCATCTCCCGGAGCCGGAGCCAGTCCCGCACGGAGCAACACTATGCTCAACACCGCTCGGGCGTCGCCGAATGCGGCTGCAGGTCCTGTGCGAGGGCTGAGTGTGAGACGCGGAGGATCGCCTCCGGGTGTGAACAAGCCGCTGCCGCCAAGAGACCCTGCGCCCAGCCGACTGACGGAGATCTACGATGACTATCTTGACGCGTATACTGAAGAGGCGCCGCCGTTGCCGACCAATGGCCCGGATCGCGTAGCTAACTGGGCTCGGAACAATTCGAATGGTCCGCCGCCTGTTCAACGCATGGGTTCCCGTAGTGCTCCGGGCAGCAGCTACGCCCCCAGCTCATATGGGGGTGGTTCCGTGCGGAGGCGGGTTACCAGACGGAATACGGCGCGCAGGATACAGAGTGCTTACGAGGAGGAAGAGGAGGGCTATGTCAGCGGGGATGACTTCGACGGGCCATTTGAACTCATTAAGATTCGTGTCAAGGTGCGTGATTCAGCTGCATCTGATAATTCGGCTTCAACTTGTTTTCAGTTGCACTACGACGGTGACGTCCGAGGAATGGCACTCACACCCGAAACACCTTTCGAGGAATTCATGGAGAAAGTGACGCTCAAGTTCTCTAAGAACATCAATGGTCTACAGCTCAAATTCAAGGACGAAGATGGCGGGAAGGTGTCTCTCCGGGATGAATCCGACTACGAGCTTGCCATCGAAACCGCTCGAGAAAGCTCGAAGGGTAAACCCGAGGGCAAATTGGAAATCTGGTGTCAGGATGCTTAATGGCCATCATGCCAGTCGTTTTCTATTTTCCTTTTGCTGTATTTTACATTATCGTATCTTCTTCCCATTTACTATGCTTCACTCACGGGCCGGCTGCTTTGCGATTACAGTGGCACATTGTACGTTGCTGTACATATAGAAATGCAGAAAACGTGACAGGATTCATGACCGCTGCTGGACTCCAAACGAATGGCTGTTATCTGCATACGGGTAGATTGGCCTGCTGTCCATCGCATGTGTCTCCACTGGCGCATAATTGAAGCCCTGCGAACGGAAGGTCTCCTCGCGCAAGAGCCCTTCACGATGCAACTTCTTCTTGTACTCGGAAATGATGTACACGCCATCTGGAGGACAGGTCAATCCGTGGCCACCACGCAACGAATGACGACGCACAAGCCTGAATTAGAAGCGAAACGACCGTCGAGGCGACCAGGATGCCGACAGAGGTCCTGGACGTCACATTACATGCGTCAATGACCCTCTGGTCTGTCGACGCAGCGGTGCACAACTTGGTGAACTCCGATCGGTTCACGAAATACAGAACGAAGAACGCGACGACTGCGACGACCTGGAACCCAAAGAAGAGCATCATGAGGCCCGAGAACACGGCGATGTATGATTCTTTCTTGCGGATTGCACCAACAAAGCTGTATCATTCGATGAGATTTTGCGGCAAGAACAGTGCGCGAGGGAGATTACCCTGTGAGTGCGATGAGAGCAACGATGCCATAAAACACGTCCAACGCTATCACGGCGATCTTCGTCTTCGGTGGGAGTCTGTGTACATCTTTGCCTGTAATAGTTCAATCAGTGTGATTTTCCTGTCAACAAAACGACACAGCCTGACCTTCAGCGTCGTATATCAGGAGGAAGGTCAGCAGCCCGGCGGACGCCGCAGTAGCCAGGAAAGTCAAGAAGGTGATCAAAAAGACACCCAGTCGTAAGGGAAGACAGCACAGGTATTTGGCGGACATAGATGAGATGTGCGATGCGTGGATGAACGCGTCGATGCAGGAGAGGAAGTAAAATGGTGTTCAGTCACCCGATCTTCGTTTAAGTACGACGGCGAGCGCCAAGACACGGTCCGACCGTTTCTCGGTCATGAATCGGGTTTGTCGTCCATGAGCGGAGCGCCCACACTGATGGGAATAGTGACAGTAGGTGGGCTTTGATTGCGTGCCTTGTTTGCCTCGATTGCTCAAACAGGTCGGTTGATGCACCATCACCGCCCAGATATTGGTTACGAGCCACCACAGAATGAAACTGCCTGCGTATCCCACCAGCAGTTGTGATTTTTTTTACTGGATGAAGAATATTGAATGTTGTGCAACTCGGGACCAGATATCAACGATGAATGAAGACTCCACATGATCCAAGACCGCCCAATCTGAGGAGATCTGCTGTAACACAGTCGCCCTAGCAGTGCCTCACAGCCTGCACAGCGCCATCGATTTTGAGAAAAGGATCGGTCGTGAAACGCGATGCGTAGATCGGTTGAGAGGCACTGCCTACGGTGAAAAGATGCGAGATGGAGATGCAATTTGGTAGTAACCTAAGTGCACCTGCGATGATCTGAGTTTCCATCAGCCGACTTAAATCGTGTCTCCTGTCAAGGCTCTTACTCCTTCCTTTCCCATATTCATATTATCGCCATGCAGCAGCAACGACACACATTCACCGCGCTCAACTCGACCTTCGTTGTCGATTCCGAGTATCAGTTCGTCAAAGAGCTGGGTCAGGGTGCCTATGGCTGTGTTGTCGCCGCCAGACACCGCCGCTCAGGGGAAGGCTGCGCTATCAAGAAGATCACCAACATCAACACGAAAGTGCGCGCGAGATCGTCCTCGCCTAGTGCGTCCAACTCACGTCGCGTCCGCTCCATAGCGTATCTTGACTAAGAGATGTCTGCGGGAGATTCGGTGCGTAATGATTCACGTCCATCAAATGCGTTGATTGTCAGACCCATCGTGTTAGGCTTCTACACCATTTCCGTGGTCATAAGAACGTGCGTTCTTTCGTCTGTACGCGTCTCGATACGCAAATCTCACGGGAAAGACCAGATAACATGTCTGTACGATATGGACATCGTCGTCCAGCCCAACGGCAACTTCGATGAGGTTTACCTCTATGTAAGTAGCTCTGACGATGGCCCACGGTTACCGATTCTGAGATCGATTCACAGGAGGAGCTCATGGAGGCCGATCTACACGCCATCGTACGTCGCATCGCATCGCAATGCTACCTAGTCCCAATCTCCTGCATAGATTCGGTCCGGACAACCCTTGACCGATGCGCACTTCCAGTCCTTCCTGTACCAAACCCTCTGCGGTCTCAAATACATCCACTCTGCGAACGTCCTCCACCGCGATCTCAAGCCTGGCAATCTGCTGGTGAACGCGGATTGCGAGCTGAAGATCTGCGACTTTGGCTTGGCGCGTGGGTATACCCCCGGGGGAGGGACGTCCAAGGCGGCTGGAAACCAAGGCTTCATGACGGAGTATGTCGCTACCCGCTGGTATCGCGCACCCGAGATCATGCTCAGTTTCGCCAACTATGTGAGTCTTGGCTTGTGTTTCGACTAGAATGATCTGTGACATCCGTAGACTACGGCCATCGATGTCTGGTCAGTTGGTTGCATTCTGGCGGAGCTTCTCGGGGGCAAGCCCATCTTCAAAGGACGCGAGTGAGTGAGGGTCTTTGCTGTCTATGGAAAGGTTTGATTAGTTTCAGCTATGTTGACCAGCTGAACCAAATCCTCCATTACCTCGGCACTCCATCTGAAGATACTCTGCGTCGTGTTGGTTCTCCTCGGGTGAGCCTAGGCGTCAGGACTTGAATCAACGAAGACCAACAGACAACAGGCACAAGATTACATTCGCTCGCTTCCTATCAAACCGCGCGTTCCGTTTTCGACTTTGTTCCCCCGCGCCAATCCGCTTGCGATCGACCTTTTGTCTCAGATGCTTTGCTTTGACCCCGCGAAACGCATCAGTTGCGAGCAGGCGCTCGCTCACCCGTATCTGCAGGTCTGGCATGACCCTGCCGATGAGCCCATCTGTGAATTTGTGAGCTTTTGGTGGCGCTCTGTGACAGATCGAACTGATTGTTGTCCCAGAAATTCGACTTTGGCTTCGAGGAGGAGGACAGCATTGAGGGAATGAAGAAGCTGATTGTGGATGAAGTCAACTCGTTCCGGACGGAAGTGCGCGTACAAGCGAGGGCTGCTGGACAGGTCCGTCGCCAGGACAGGTCAGTTGTTGTCTTCTACTATCTTTCGAGTATGGCGTGTTGATGTTGTGTCACCAGTCTCCCGATTCCCTCGAGAGATGAGATCCTGAGCTCCCCCGTCAAAGAACATGGGCCATTCCACGGCACTACGTCAAGTTTCACCGCTGCTCCGGACGCTAAGCCTCCGACGCCGACATTTGATGACCCGAGCGAGGAGTTGGAACGTGAGCTTGCGGGGACTCACTTTTCTTGAGTGAAGTGTATTACATCCATAAACGATTAGTGTATAAGTATTGTTTGTCCTTACATCATGGTCTAACAACAAGAAAAGAGTACAATTATGCCTGGGGTTGTTCTTCCCCTGCCAGTTTTTCTTCTGCCTGCTCTGGAGCCAGCTCCTCCAAAACCTGCCCGGGGTTCCGCACGTTGGAGATGAACGCGCGGACAAGATCAAGATCCTTGGCTGTCCCATCCGCGAGCTCCACCCCGCCGCTGACGTCTACTGCCCATGGTCGCACCTGCGCGATTCCCTGAGCGACGTTGGCCGCCGTCAAGCCACCGGCAAGAATGATCGGAAGCGGGTATTTGCCTGCCGGAGAGGCTGCATCGGAGGCAGCTTCAGTCGCAGCACCAGCCGTCTTGTATGACGCTCCGCCGTCCAGGACGATTTCGCCAGCGTCGACGACGCTCTTTGCCAAGACCCAGTCGACGACTTTCCCAGTTCCCCCGCTGACACCGCTGCCGTCGTCCCGCAAGCTGTCGAGGAGAACGAATTGGTGGGCACCTCCGCGGGTGATGCCCTCGACGCCCTTTCCGTTGGCGCCAAACGCCTTGATGACGGGCACGGGGATCTGGCGCGCCCAGTCGACTGGCTCCGAGCCATGGAGCTGCACGAGATCCAGCTGCGCATAGGAGACCGCATGCAGGATCGTGGAAAGTGATGCGTTCTGGAACACCCCGACAACCAATGGCCGTCCACTGCTGGCAGCGAGTCGGGTCGCGTGGGTCGTGAACCAGGGTCCATTGGACATTTCTGCCACGGGTTTTGGGGTCGACGAAGAAAATCGAAGGGACCGGATGGCCTGAGATATGTCCTTGGCGGTCTCCATCTCGATGTACCGCTTCGAGGACGGGACGAACATGAGCCCCAGCATATCCGCGCCAGCCTCAGCCACATCCAGGGCCTCTGCCTTTGTCCGGATGCCGCAGATCTTGACCAGCGGCGACTCGGATTGCCAGGTCTGAGCAACTGGCTCCGGTAGTGTGAGCAACTGTCTGATGAACCCGGCGGTATCTTTGGCCCGCATTAGACTCTCGCCGATGAGGACAGCGCCGACACCCTCCGCAGCATACTTGTCCACGTCCTGCGCTGACGAGATCCCACTGAGAGCGCAGAGAACGACGTCTTTGCCCTTGACCATCTCGCTAAGGCGGCTGGTCGTGCCCATGTCGACATTGAAGTCATGCAGATTGCGATTGTTCACGCCGATGACTTTGGCCGGGAGGGACAGCGCAAGCTCCATCTCCTTTGCGTTGTTGACCTCCACCAGCGGCTCCATGCCGAGTTCTACGCTGTAGGCGTAGAGATCCCGAAGCAAGGCCTCTGGAAGCATGCTGACGATCAGAAGGAGCGTGTCCGCACCGTACAGGCGGGATTCAAGCACCTGGTAACGGCTTAGGATGAAATCCTTGCGCAGAATGGCAGGGCGGTCGGGCAAGTTTGCAACACTCATGCGCGCGTGCAACATATCCTGCAGTGTGCCGAGGAACCACTTGGGCTCAGTCAGCACAGAGATCGCGTGAGCCCCAGCCAGCGCATACGTCAACGCTTGAGATGCGGGTGAGGTCGACAACGAGATCGGACCCTTGGAGGGTGACGCTCGCTTGATTTCAGCCAGCAGAGACGCATGTCCGGCAGCGTGCTGTCGCAGACGTGGAAGGAAGGGGATAAGAGGCGGTGCAACGTTTAGCGAAAGAAGCGTTTTGAGGTCTTCCAGAGTAGAACCTGGAGTCTTCTCTGCCGTCTCAACGTCCGCGATGCGTTGCGCGTAGATTTTCTCGAGGATGGTCGGGATTTTAGCTGCCGCTGCAGGAGTGACGGTGACACCGTTCGGCAACAGATCTGCAGTGAATGGTGAAACGGCCGAGTCGTTGACTCTGTAATCAGGATTCTCCTCCCAAGTCCCGCCCTTCAGATTGAGGAAATTGCGAATCAACTCGTCTCCTCCTTCAGAGAGGATGCTCTCCGGGTGATACTGAACCGCTTCCACCGTGTACTTCCGGTGCCGCACTCCCATGATCACTCCTGAGTCCTCTGTGAGTGCGGTGACGGCGAGGTCAGCGGGAAGAGTCGTTGCAGATGCACTGAGGGAGTGGTATCGAGTAGACTTGATGCCTTGGGGTATGTCCCGGAAGCAACCGCGATTGTCGTGCCGGACGCGACTGACTTTCCCATGCTTGATCTCACCAGCGTAGCTGAGAATAGGAGCTGAATTACTACCAAAGCGAAGAGCAGATGCGCAGACTCACCCAATGGAGCCACCATGCAGGTCCACGAGACACTCCAACCCCATACACACACCCAGCACAGGAACCTTTCCCTGGAAGTGCTCGATGGCGGCTTTCGAGATCCCAGAATCCGTCAACGGGTGGCCGGGCCCGGGAGAGATGACGAGCGACTTGATTTTGAGCTCAGGGATGAGAGACTCGGGTATCGCATTGTTGCGGATGACGGTGACCTCTGCGCCTAGGAGAGAGATTTGCTGGTACAGGTTCCAGGTGAACGAGTCAAAGTTGTCGATCATCAACACATCAAGTTGCCCTGTGAGGTTTTCAGGGAGCGATGGGGCGGCAGACATGACTGGTGCTGTTTCCGGGTTGAAGGAGGATTCCTGACTGCCTCGAAAACCTTTGGGTCCCGGCTTGAGATGCAAGGGCTTAGTTGATACTTAGGGACACTCGGCGTCACTTTTGTGACCGGCAGACGCTGCCGAATCGATCGGGGTCAAGTGTTGAGTCAACTTTCAACTTGGGTGCCAATGTATACAACGCAAGTGTACAGAAATGAAGTGTACATGTATTGAAACTGATCGCGGAGGGACACTTCACGAAACCAGCCGCCGGTCTTTTTCAACCGGAGGAAGGCGAATCCTGCTTTCCGAGAAGATACGAGACAGTGGAGAAGGCGGCCCACGGCACAAACTCTGCGGGGATGATTCCAGAAAAGATCAGCAGCAGCCAGAGACGTGCTTACGAGGCGTCATATGCCCTGTTGCGCATCATTCAGACACAGGAACAGAAAGATGATAAAGGTCACTTGCCTGAGAAGTAGAATTCAACATCTGTAAAGAGTGAGCTCGAACGAAAGACATAGAAGGGCGTGAGAACAGACAGGTCAATCCACGCTCAGTGTGCTGGTTTCCGTATGTGCCCATCTTCGCGACAGTAAACGACTCGTTCTCGATCGGGGTCTGGAAGCCTTGCAGGCCGTTCCAGGTCATGTTTCTGGAGGACGTTTGGCATCGACGGGAGTCAACGTGGCGAAACAGCAAAACATACTGGATGGCGATCCGAGTGCCCTCGGCAATGAGGATGAAGTCCTGGCAGGTGTCTGAGTGACACTTCAACGGCGAAAACTTGGAACCCCACCGCCAATCCATGCACGATGACCGTCCGTTCGGACTTTTCAATGACATTTGGCAGGACGGACAGCGTCGACGGAATACTTCTGTCGCCACCGGGCAGATAAACGCTTCCTTGGGAACAGATCTGCCAGTTGATATGCGGTGCATGGATAGCATTTTGAACCTGGAACAATCATAAGAAACAGCGAGCGATAGATGGGTCTCCTACATCAGTCCTGTAGATCAGTCAGTTTGAGATCGGATTCATCAAAGCGCATACCGATTGAAATAGATGAACTGCTGCGTTGATTGTGGGAAACCAAGCACGCTCCCTGTTCCACGCTGAGCTTCGCCGAATTTCAAGGGGGAGGTGGGCACGAACAGAGGTTAGGCCAAGTGTCTGACACTCGGTACACGTCAAACACTGGATTTAGTCTAGAAGGGCAGGCTGAATAAGCTCGCATATGCGAAGCAGGAGAAACTACAGACAGTCCAATAGCTCGCTGAATTGGCGAGTGTATGCGACATGCGGCGGTCGCAGAAAATGTTCCGTTCGTTCCGACTGGGAAAGGCAGCTGGCCGGCTGGAGGGTACGTTACAAAGTCGTCCAGGTAGTTCGTGTATCCGCATGTGTCTGATATATCTTGGAGATGAGCCCAGAAAGAGCTGTTGAACGGGAAAAGATTTTGGTTAGCCTCAAGTTCCCGTCAGTCATCAGCGTGAAAGACGATCAGTCGCCTCACTCTGGCAAACCGAAGTGCCGGAATCTCCTCTTGAACCACATTGTAAGACAGTGATGGATCAGCAATCCATATTCCTTTGAGGTTGACTTCGAGTCCGGGATGCTCGTAGATCCAATTAGCTATGTATGGGACGTCTGCAGTCCAATCAGCACATGCAACTTGCGAAGAAACGTTGCGCGCACAGAAACCAGCATACTGAGCACATCGTCAGAAGAACCACCGGACTTCACGGTAGGACGCACGCTTTCTCCGGTGAGATAGAAATTGTTCCCCTTGAGTTCAGAGAACACGTTGAGGAATTGTTCCAAAAATCCCATGACTTCAGCTGCCAGCTGGTCGTCGTTTGTGATATCAGGCTGCCCTTGACTGAACCCAGTCTACCCGAGGCAAATTAGTACTGCCTCAGCCGGAGCTGCCTGTGCACGCACTCCTACTGGTTGTTCGACCTGTTCGGATCATATCAGGATTCGGCACTTCCTGGTCATCGTGTGATCGTCGCTCACCCACAACACATTGGTGAGATTCGTCCAAGACCACTTGTTGCGAGTTGGAGCAGACTGACCCCAGGTCCAAGCTGAAGCTCATTAGTGCCTACCTCCGTCGACTTCAGTTCTCAAACACACAGATTGGACCGTTTTCCTGCAAGAATCCTTCCAGACTACTGCATCCCGGGCCCCCGTTCGTCCAGAAGAGCAGATCTTTTACGTTAGAGGCATTATTGGTCGGCCAAAACCTATGTACACAAGCGTTGAAGCATCACGCGCGCAGAACTGATCAATCTTCGTACCAGAAAAACAGCTTGCGCGTCTCGTTACGGTTTCCAGAGATTGGCATGAGGCCAGCGTAGGAGGGTCCCGCGTCGAAGTTGACATCGGGGATGGACTTCCCATCGACGAAGAATTTCGCTGCGGCCGGATTGGCGAACGTCATAACTGGCTCTTGTGCTTGAGCGTTGGGGTCAATAGCTTCTGGAGCGGGTCCAAGGAAATCATGTAGACGCTGTATCTGCTCCCGCTGCATGGCTGCGGCGGCGTCCATAGCTCCAACGCCTCCAACACCAACAGCGAGGGCGATGATCAGATGCAAGATGGGTCTCATTTTTGCGCGAAGACGAGAAAGAAACTCGGGTTGGTTTATATGTATCCACTATGAGCGCACTGGCAGCTGGAAAGAAGGTCTCGATGACATTGGGAATTGACTCACTCATGCTTTCCCATTATCTCATCGCGTCATCGTGGCCCTCAAGTCCCCCGAGATAACGGGCCGCTCTGAGAATGAAGAGCGCGTGGAGAGTCGAAGCACGCACCTCGTGCTAATGCACCCACAAAAAGGGAAACGCTGGGAGGATTTGTACCTAGTTGGGCATGGAGCACAACGCCTCCGGGCTGCACTGATTTTCCTGGACCACTTGACCCCGAAAATTCTCCAAGTAGGACCTTCTCGCATGTATAACTCACACAGTGGGTTCTTGGAAGCTGCTGCAACGCCCGAAATAACGAAGTTTCACAACGAGGCGTGTGTGATCATCAGTCCTGTGGCGTGCCAGTGTATTTAGACCAGAGCCCGAAAGAAATAGAGAAGGAACACGGCATGCGATTCAATGAATAGCGTTATGTAGCAGCATGGCGTAACACAGCGAAAGTGAGAGATGATCATGAAAGGCGCGTCTCCGTAGTTGGGTGCTGTTGGTTGAGCTGTCATAGTCACATGATAGGATCATAGTCGCCAAGACTTTCCCAGGCTTCCTTCGCTCGCTCTGCATCATCAGCGTCGGCCTGGACGGCATCGAGCAGCTCTCGCCCCTCGTTGTTTGCGATCTCCTCGTTTTCGCGCCCTCCTGGATATTCTCGGGGACTTCTCCCACTCTTACGACCTAACGACCTCCCCTTCACGACATTACGACCTTCAGAACGCTGACTATTCATCAATTGTCAATTAGAGGATGAGCGGCCAGACCACGACTACCAGCAGTGCGGCTGTCTGTGCCACGGAGACAGCCAACAAACCGCCCTCGCTTTTCCAGAACGGGAATCTTGTTTTCCAAGGTAAGTGATTGTCACTACACGATGTTTGTATCGAGAGCTCAATTCTGTCGGTTTTAGCTCATCATGTGCGTCGGTCAGAAATCCGATAATTTCCGTAACTGACAGACCTCACCTCAGGTCGGATGGATTGTTGCAGCTCTGTTTACTCTCGCTGCAATGGTCACTTCGTTTTGGCTGGTAAACAAGCACTTGTCCTGGTACACGAATGTTCGCGCCCTTCTACCCGTTGCAGCCATCCAAGCTGACGATTGCTTCTAGAAACGGGAGCAAAGACGTGGGTGAATATCATATCTGCAAAATGCAAGTAAGCAACTTGGTTGCAGATATCGTGCGCATTCTCTTCATGGTACCGATCTACGCTGTGATCAGTCTTGCTTCATACATCTTCTGGGTGTGTCTACTCAAGCTACTATATTATCAGTCCTCTGAGACGTTCTCAGAACAATTCTACCCCTCTCTTGCTGATCCGGGACTGTTACGAGTCTACTGTGCTGACGGCCTTTTTCTATCTCTTGCTCAATTACTTGTCACCGAACATCGAGGATCAGCAAGCTATATTCTTGAAGGTCGGCCTTTCTCGCGCTGCTGATGCGGCGGCCATCGCTCGAGGGGAGGAAGTGAAGAAATGGGTGTTTCCACTGGGCTTCATCAAGGCTAAACCTGCGGTATGCCCTTATCTGCTAGCGTTGAACGACGTTGAATTCGCTTTCTAGGATGGCCTGTACTTTCTTCAGATGATGAAATGGGGTGTTCTGCAGTATTGTGTCATGCGCCCTTTGTAGGTTGCTCAAGACATGGTTTCCGTTATGCTGATTTCCGTAGAACGACACTGGCTGCGGTCCTTCTCAATTATCTTGGATGGTACTGCGAGAGTTCCTGGAGTCCCAAGTGGGGGCATATCTACGTTCGCAGCACTTTTCGCCATTGATTTATCGCTGGCTGATGTTGGGTAGATCTCTGCACTCGTCTCCATCTCTGTTTCCGTCGCCATGTACTGCCTGTTGCAGTTGTACGTCACCATCGCCGTGTATCTCGCGCCACAGCAGCCGTTGCTCAAATTATTCTCGATCAAAGCGGTCGGTGCGTAGGGAAGATTTTGTGCTTTGACATCAACTGATCTGGTCCAGTGTTCCTAACTTTCTGGCAGTCGATCTTCCTCTCGGCTTTAAGCACTTTTGGCGTCGTGAAAAATGTTTGTTTCAATCACCATTTCCTTACCAGCACTCAGTACAAGCCCAGACAACGTACATGACTGCCGCTGACATCAATATCGGAATCGTGAGTCCCTCCTTATTCCGGACTGTTATCTAGTCCTCTCAACACCTCGCAGGGCGCATTGCTAGAGACTTTCGAGATGATGTATGTCGAGGCGCTCGAATCACGGCCAAAACTAATATCGCCGGCAGGGTGTTCGGCTTTTTGCACGTCAAAGCATTTTCATATCGGCCTTATAAGCCGTATCACGACAAGAGATCGAATGCTCCGCTGCCAATCCGCACTGCGCGACTTCCAGCGTTGGCGAACGCTTTTGATTTCCGGGAAACCTTCCGAGAAATCTGGGCCGGCTGGGTCTACATCCTGGATCGAGTTCGGGGCAGAGAACCGGAAACAGACTTTGGTGCTCGTCGAACATTGCATTACGAGAGTGCGTTTGGCCGACCCAGGCAGTCCAACTTGCCAGGAGGCGACGCGTCGGCAGAGGAAAAGGCTTTCATTGCAGAGCCAGCCGCCCCGGGGTTAGGGGACATCTACTCGCGCAGGGAAGACTTCCCGTGGCTGGCGCTTCCGAACTACGAGCGGCGGGAAAAGAGTGAAGGACTGGAAATGGCCATCGACAGAGAACTAGCGCGCAGAGGCTATGATTCCAGTGTGTATCTAGTCCGGAGAACTTGTGCGGTCCTGACCATCCATCCAGATGCTCCCGGGCGCGGCCATATTGCCCCTCCACGCGAAGAGGCTCAGGGTCACAAAGGTCAACGATCCTGGTGGCGTAGCGTGTACAGTCGCGTTTCGCAGTCAGCGCCGGACGAAGACGAGCATCGGCTTACTTCTCAGCCTTCTCGACGCAAGAAAGTCAAGTCCAGCTCACGGGTGGAGACACCAGCCGACCGCAGACCGTTGTTCGATGCCAACTATGACTTCGATGATCCTCCCCCCGAACCGTTCTTGCCGTCCCGGGCTCAACAGACCGCCGACACACTGGGGCCATTGTCAAATTTTACTGCGCATCGCAGTTCTCACCAGCGCGCTTCGCCTGCCCTCGCGCGGTCCGACAGCCTGCTCGGCCGGGTATTCCCTCCAAGCAACGAAACACACGGCACAGAAAGTCTCCCACCCCCGTCATCTTCTTTCCATGGAGCTGTCCCTCAGTCGAGAATGACGCCTCGGGGCCGGGTCGTGGTGACGATACCTCCGATCCTCGGCAATGCTGTGCCGCCAGCCACGGGACCGACGTCCTGGTCGCCTCCGCCGCAGTGGTCTCTGGCTCCCATGCAAGCAATCCAGCCACCTGCCCCATCAAGGCCGTCTTCTGGTGGGCTGCGTCGATCGTCTGCGCAAATCTATTCCGCGGATTCAGCCAGAAGAGGCCGGCGGCAGTCTGCCGATGTGAGCCCTTACGGGTCGCCGTCGCCGACATCCCCGTCCCCGCCACCCTCGTCCTCCGGCTACGCCACCAACATGCCTGGACCATCCCAGTCCCACACACCGCATTCCGGTAAGTACGCTGCCGACAGCCGGTACCCACCGTTACGACCTTCATGATTACTTTTACGAACCATCACGACCCACTTTTTTTATTTGGCATCGATATCCTTATTTCCTATTCTGCGTTTACGCCTTAATCGCATACACATACCACTGTATCAGTTCATGACGACACGACCAGGCCTCCTGCTTGCAGATTCCATCCGAGCTGCTCAAAAGTCCACCCAAAGACACTGTCCTCTTTCTTGTCGTAGGTGACAAGGGATTTGTGCAGGCCCGGCGCCGTGTGCAGCCGACCCACGGCCTCAAAATCTTCGTCAGAAAGCTTGAGCAGCTGGAGACGCCCTCAGTTGCTAATCTGGCTTTCGTAGCATGAACGGCTGACCTTGATGTTTGCCGCCATGCGTTCCTTGTTTGCGCTCTTCGGAATAACCACAGTCCCTCTCTGCACTGCCCAGCTGAGAACGACTTGCGCCGGTGTCGCGTTGTTTTTCTTCGCCAACGCGATGATCTCCGCGTTCTCCACAAAGAACGTGCCTTGGCCTGTTGTCGCCGTCACACGATCAGTGTCGCACAGACATAAACGTGCAACTGCACTCACCCAGCGGCGAATAGGCCGTCAAAAGGATCCGCTTCGACTCACAGTACGCCTTGAGATCGTTCTGCGGGTAGCACGGGTGCAGCTCGACCTGGTTCGTCACCGGGATCACAGTGCAGTGCGGCAGGAGGATCTCCAAGTTCTTGATGGAGAAGTTCGAAACACCGATACTTTTCACCTTGCCTGATGTGATGCTGACTGAGAACAAACCACACGATTCCGAACATGGGCACACGCACCGGACTCCAAGAGCTTCTCCATCTCAATCCAGGTCTCGACGAAGGTGGGCGATTCTTCGGGCGCCAACACTCTGCCTGGACGGGAGCTAAGAAGGACTGGCGCACCGATATACCATTGGACCATACTCACCCCCGGTCAATGCGGCATGCAGATTGGCTGTGTCAAGTTCAACGCTGAACCGATATCCCGCGAGAGACATCGAGACAAACCTTGCGGCCAGTGCATCAGGTACAGATCGATGTAGTCCACATCCAGCGCGTTAAAAGATTCCTCGAAAGCTTCCTTGACACGGGTGTGATCTCTGCGCCGGGTGATCATACGAATGATGAAAGTCCACCGGGCTCGATGGTGCACACGCACGCCAGCTTGGTGGTAACATAGATCTCGCTGCGCGGGATCCCGGAGTCGCGAATGGCTTTGCCGACGAACTGTTCGTTCGCTGTCCGAGCCGATTAACCTGCTGCTCATGCTCGATCGTTGGCCGAAAGTTGCGTACCGTATCCTGCTGCCTATACACGCGATTCAGTCCATCGCTAATCAGAGCGGCCGATCGCATGGCTCACAGTATCGAAGTGGCGGTAGCCGGCCTGCGGGGTATTATAAGCTTTCAGCGGCGTGATCGACAACAGAAGAGATGTCGTACGTTGAGAGCGTTGATGCACATGTCATACACGGCCTGCTCGCCGCCGGGCGCTCCCATCCAGCATCTGCAGTGCACTGTGAACCCTCAAGACTGCGGACCGCCATGCATGGGACCTACCCCATCCCGACGGACGGGATCTGCGTGCCATTGTTCAGGGTGTACGAGGGGATTTGAGCGGCCATTTGAATACGAGGGACGAGAAGGAGTGTGTGTGTGATACAATAAGCACCAGCAATATCCCTTATAAGGACCGATCCCCGCCACCTTTAGGTGAGGGTCAGGGAACCCCTTCCTTCTAACGTCCTGCTCAGCATCACATTTCCGTGATCCATATTGAGTCAGTAATACTTCTCAAGACATCCCCGGAACTCTTAGTAAGGGCCTCAGGACGCCTTGCTTCGAGGTCCTGGAGTAAACTGTGTCTTGACTGTCATTGATGATGTGGAATCATCGACCATTCTGTCATTGATGCTCACGCAGTGCTGACACGTCGGATTCCTTCCGTTTCCAGCCGATATTGAGCTACACGCTTGCGTGTACTGACTAAGTGTTGCCGTCGGTGGGAGCTTACATTGATTTGACTGGCGAAGTGGTCATGGAGCAGCCGGTCAGAGGTGTTACATAAGCGCAAATGAGGCAAATGACGCCGGATAGATCACTTGCTAATAGTAATTGAGGCTCTATTGGACGGAAACGGCTTGAAACTACATCCCATACACAGCTGAGCCATTTCCTAGTTCGCTGAAAAGGAAGGAGACTCCGTGCTTGATTTTGTCATGATAGCGGTGGTAACTGAGGTGTATACAATTCAGGTATTATACAAACTAGTATACAAAACAGCTACGTCTACAGATTGCGATCCAAAGCAGTTCCGAAAAATATGAAACAAGTGAACAGCGCATGTACCTAGTCCGTGGAGTGAGACACAGTGTCGACCAGAGTCAGACCAAGGTTTCCTTTCTGGAGCTTGGCGACGCGACCCTCGATAGGTTCGGACTCGAAATTGTTGATGGCATATTCGGCGTGTACGACCCGACGCGCGTTGACCTTGGCCAGCACCATCGTGGTTTCCGCGACCTCAGAGTGGGAGCGGTCACGTGGTGTAAGTCGTCTGCGGGCAGGGGGCGGAGCTGACGACTCTTTCAAAGCAGCGTGTTCGACATGCAGAGCTTTGTGGATGACATCCGGATCGACGAGCGGTCCAGTGACGTCAAGAAATGCAGGTGAGATTTGAGGCTTGCTGGCAACATGCTCGTGCTGCTCTGGAGTCGTTGGATTGAAGATATTCAGACAGAAATCGAGCGATCTTTGCAGCTCCGTCTCAGAAAGTTGCTTTCCCATGTCACCCGCACCCTGAACAACTTCAATGTGCATCAGATACAGGCCAGCCCGGAGAAAACATCCCTACTAGGGCGTAACTCCCGCAGAGCACGATCAAAGTTGGCTTCGTTGACATCTGACAGCACATCGTCGCTTTGAGCCCGGATTTGTTTGTACGCGCTCAGAACAACGACCTGAAACCTGGTCTGGTCAGAATCTGTCGGAGGGTATCGGAAGGTCGCTTACCGGGTGTAGCTCGTAGAAACACGCTTCGTATGCCAATCAGCAGCGACGATCTCACTGCAGTGACCCCGCATTGAGGCGCAGATGGTCAATGCTGCAGATAATGCCGATGTCATGGCAAGGTGAACACCCGACGAGAAAAAGGGATCGATCTAGTATGGGGGATTATAGAAACCATAGACCGGGTAAAAGTAGCACAAACAAAAGCTCAAGAGAAACATCACGTCAGCCAGATACATCAAACAACTGAAAGACGGAGACTCACCTCCAGCATCCCCGACAATGCGGTAGCCGGCATCCGCGTACGACTTGGCCGTGTATGAATAGTCGCTAGCAGATTGGATGCCTTTCGCTGACATCTTGCCCTTCTTGGTGATCAGGGCCAGAGCTCCAGGTGCCAGGGATAGGCTGAACAGATAGTGACTCAGAGCAACAGACTCTGTGGCATCGGGAACAGCGGATATGGGGAAAGAATGCTTGGGCACGGGGCTCTTGATCCTTTCTGCATAGACCTTTTGATCCATTACAACGCCGACCGAAGTGGATCCATCATGGAGAGGAATGAACCAAGCCCTAGTTGCGACATCATTGAAGCTCATACCCAATTAGAAGGGAAGCCCGCACCAGCCGGTTTCATCTGGAGAGAACATTCATTCGGGATAATGTCTGTGAGTGCAGACAGGAGGGCGTACCAGTTAACGCCTCGAACCAGGGCGCGCCTTCCCTCGGAGAATCCACACCATACATCGCCGTGCCCGTCCAATAGCCCCAGATGGCTATGTTTTTCAACGCCTTATTGAATTGACGCGTCTTGAAATATTTGTTGGATAACAGTCCACCTCGGCCGCTGGCGTCAATTAAATAGTCGAAGGTTGTAGATCCTGTGATTGCGCCGGCGTCCGTAGCACCGGAGAAAAGAGTCTTGGCTGTGGTTGGCGATGCTGGAGGCGAGGGCGGTGGCGGTGGAGGCGCGTGTGACCATGAAACCGAGACGGGACGACCAGAATCGTTCTCGGCGAAGTCGATCGAAGTAACTTTGGTCTGCTCGTAAACTGACGCTCCGCAAGACCGTGCATGATTGAGGAGGAGGTGATCGAATTCGGAGCGAACCTGGTCTCTTTCAGCAGCCATGGGCGTTGAAAAAACCAAAACAGACGCGCCACATTGTAGGCGCTATTTTCGGCTCCGAGTGCTATGAAATCTGTGTCTGTATGTCGCATAAATTGAAAACCGAAAGATGACTAGAGAATACATACAGCCTTCGCCTTTGAATTGATCTACGCGGCTATTGGAATAGAGCCCACGCGACATGAGGTACACTCACTGAATTTGATAGCGGAACCAGGCTGATAACATGTCAGACAACGCGTCGTGGGGAAGCCGCTCGGGTACCTTGTGAATGAAGCCGACATTGGCTAGTTTCTCGTCTGCGTCGATGAAGCGCATGAAGTGGCGCACGGAGGGGATGAGACTTTCGCCAACGTGGTAGCGTGGAAATTTGGATGATTCTAGTAATGTGCAGGAGATGCCCTCTCGTCCCAGAACACTGGCGGCATACGACCCGGCTGGACCACCACCGATTATCAACACCTTGACATTCTACGGGGACGTGTCAAAAAATGATGGTCCGTCAAACACGCGACATACGGGAGGGGGGACGCTGAAGGAAGACATAAAGTTGAGGGGAAAGAGAGAAAGAGGGAGATTGGACTGGACGCCCATTTGGGTCGGAAATCGGACCCGGAATTCCGACGTCCCCGCTTTGAGATGTATAGCTTCCGCATAGATGAGTGCATATAACAACACCCTTGGAGAAATCCAGATCGCTGCCTCCTCCCGTTTTCCAGTGCGTAAGACAGAAAGTGAAGAAAATCCCCGCCGTAAGATGAAAAGCACTAGGCTCAACGAGGCCCAACTTCTAAGCTTCTCGTCGTTTCTTACGTTTCTTACGCTCACGCGAACGACACGCGAGCGAAGGTTTTCTCCGAAGGCGGTGCTTCATCTCATCTGCAAGTCGAAGTCATTTTCGAGCCTTGACTCTTTGAGATGAGTAGATCTCAGTGCAGGGGTGTGCGGACGACGATTGACAACCAAGCGACCGTGAGACAACAGGCCGAATCGTCGTTCAGAGGTTCTCCAAGTGGCACGGGTCAAAAGAGTTGAGGAAGCACCAGCGGGTGATGTAGATATAAGATACCACTTTAGAAACCAAGATGTTCAGGGATGCGAAAATAGGAACAGCCTTCAGATGCCTCAGATCCACATCTTTAGTCCTGTATTGTCAAAGAAGTCCCGTGCCTGAATGCTCCGCGTTTGAATGCGCAGAATCCCACAGCAGTAGAGAGCTAGGAGCAGTCTCTACATTGGGTTCGAACGTGGCATACTCTCGATGATATTGAATACAGTGGAGGACTTGAAAGAACCACAAGATTGGCGAGCTGAAAGTCCAGATCACGCAGTAAGATGCGAATCAGAGAGAGATCATGGGTAGCATAGTTTAGGTCTCATAGGAGCCAAGATGAAATCGATATAGTCACAGTGGAGGTTTAAACTGGGGGAGAGTAGGGGAGAGTACAAATTGGAAGCATCAAAGAGGTCGGTCACTGGTGTAACAGATGACCCTGCCACCTGTCACGTGAAACAGTCGGCGCTACGGATCAGTGCAATGATATCAGATAAGTAAGCAGCGCGCGTGAAATCTGAGTCGTCTTGGTCTCTCTCGCTGCTCAGTCTGCACCGGTAGTCACCAGTTTCAAAAGTGAACATACATATCCGATCACTCTGGACCAGCTTTCAGCTTGTTTCTCTGCAATTAATGTCATCTTCTTCCCAGCGTTGCTCAATATCTCGATTTGACATGACAAGCCAGAGTGATAACTTTCAAACACTTGTCTGGAAGAATGCCTAGCCGACCCCCCAATGTCGATCAAGCAGCAGAAATTTTGATGATAGTTTAAACACTTGCCTGGCGAGCGTCTGGTGGCTTCGCTCTGCCTTCGGGTGTGTTGAAAATGGCGGATTGTGAGGATTTACCGGTCAAATTTATCCAGGTCAAACGAGCATTAAATGAAGGGTGCTCGTCGATCAAATCCTTGCAAATTGTGGATTGCCGCACATGGGTCCGATCTGGTATATTGGACCCCTAGTAATTGGGCTCCTTTTGAGGTCTTCTCGCGTTTGGCTATCTGCCTGCCTTTCGCCCTTCCCCTTCCCTGTCTGTAGTTCACGATACCCTTCCTATATACCATGCCTCCTGTTCCGATTCCATCGTCCGCTGATGTTGCTGCGGAGAAAGAGGCTGCAGCCGCACAAGAAGCTGCAGCTGCTCGCGAAGCAGCCGAGCAGGCCGAGCTCCTACTCGAACAGCGAGCTGACGAAGGTAGATTCTGGTTGAGCAGCATGTTTAGCGATTATTGACATCATCTCTCAGCCCAGTCTGCTGCTCTAGCTGCTGCCGCTGAAGCTGAAGCCGCTGCCGATGACTCGGCTGAGTCCGAAGAACAAAGCAAGGATGCGGCTGCCATTGAAGCCGAGATCATTTCCAAGGCTGCAGCCGTTGCCGCTGCCGAAGAGGCCACCAAGCAGGCCGAAGAGAAGGCCAATGCAGTCAAGGCACTGGCCGCTAAGAAAGAGCACGCCGCCATCGCGAAAGCCAAGGCTGACTACGAGAAGGAGATCGCGCATCTGACCAAGATCGCAGCCCAGAAGCGTGACGACGCCATCAAGAAAGCAGGCGAAGAGCTCACCAAGGTATGTGTGTTTTCAAACTCTCGAAACGTTCTGGATTAATTCGACACTGATCTCAGGCGACCACGACCGCTTCTATCATCCGTCGCAAAGAGGAAGCCAATGCTCAGACCGCACGCGCCAAGGCCGACGAGAAAGCAGCCAAGATTCGTCTTGAAGCTGAGAAGACTGCCTGGAAGGAGCGCCAGGCCGCCGAGAAAGCTGCACACGATGCTTTCAAGAAGGCCGAGAAACTGGCTGGTGATGAGAGGAAGAAGGCTCACAAGGACGCCGAAGTTACTCGCAAGGCCGCAATCAAGGCGATCGCCAAGAAGCGCGAGCAAGCTTTTGCTGATGCAGAAGCCGAGAAAGCGAAAGCCGAGAAGGAGGAGCAAGATAAGCAGAATGTTAGCAATATTGCTTTCCGTAGCCTGAACTCGATGGGTTGACACACAATCGCACAGGAGGCACACAACATCGCTGCAAATGATGACCCCAAGCTTGTCCTCCCTCCAACCACCGTCGAATGGCTTTACGGACTTCTTGGATGGGGCACTGCCGCCGCTGCGATCCAGGTTCCTGCTCAGAATTGACCTTGTCGATAGTTCTACCACGCAGAGCCACGACTTTACGACCACTTTGATGACGAATATATTGACGCCTATGATTCTGACTCCGTAGGATGATAGAGGCTTGACAAGCGCTGGTGCATCAAGTTGTGTGATTGGTAGAGCAAGCAAGGATCGAGATGATCACGTTGAAAGATTTTGTCATCTTCAAGGGGCTATGTTTGAACCTTGGACCAACTTGGTCCGAGAAGGCAAGCTCCTTCCCCTCTCTCACAACAAGTCGCCTCAACAGCTCCCAAGAACTGTCTCTAAACTCTATCCGAGATCTTCACAAACTGCGCTATGTTCATTAACTTCAAAAATGCTCGAAAACTACTCTTGGCGACCATCATCCTTGCCTCGGCCACAACTATCGTTCTCTCTCTTTACCTCAAGCCGTCTCTTACTCATCCGCATTCGGCCTACGTGCTGGTGGCGATTTCGGATCTCATTATCTTTGGTGCTTTCCTGTCAATCTTCCGCAAGTCGCTCTTCCTGAGTGCCCAAACGGTCTCCGCTGAAGCATTGGGCTCTTTTGTGCTTCTGCCTTTCGCGTTGAGTGTGTGCACTCAATCCCAGCTCTAGAATTTCTGTGAAAGGATAACTCGCCCAGTCCTCCTGCTGTACACGATGAGCCTCTCTCTCAAACCTGATCCCGGGGCCTTCAGGATATACGGGGTCTTACAGGTCTTCGTTCTCATCAGCGTGATATTGCGTAGGTTCCACGCATGGGCTTTCCCGAAACCTCGCTAAATTCTCTGTGTAGATGGATTGTATACTACGGGATTGATAGCGACCGCCATGTTGACTGTGTGCTGTTTCGACGTCGATGTTTGGACACGAGACATCGATTCCTCGCCTTCTCCCTTCCCCATGTCTCTGATCTCATCTTTTATCTGTCCGTGCTTCTGCGTTTCAGCAAATTCCGCAGAGGAAGCCGATCTGGCGAAATTCGACGAGCAGCAAAAGCTTGTGTGTCAGCCGGGCACAAGCTGCACTTGCAACGCAGTCAAGCCAAAGTCTCTCGAAGAACGCAATGTTGAGATGGGTGGGATGCCACGTGCGAGTTTGCTTTCATCGCGCTCGCTAGTGCGGGTTCCCAACGAGCTCGAAAGGCGAACATCGATTATCGTAGCTTTTGATGAAGTGTAGACGGGGTAAACATATCGAAACACACGCGTATGGTCACAGTTGTGACTTGTTGAGCCTGAGATCCCCGAAGTGCTCGTGCCACCTACACATCCACAACTGCCTACTCACCCGCGAGGTCGCCATGAGCAGTGCCAACGCCTCTCTGACTGCTGGAAAGCTTCCCCTGCGGATTTTCTACACCGTCAATGGCTCCCCTCAGCGCATGTTGACACGTACCAACGGTGTCGTCCCCGTCGACTTCATATACGCATTAGAAACCGAAGGCACCTCTTCCCGCGCCATTGCCCGGCCCCGCTACGCGTCTACCTCACTCAGAGTGTGTCTGGAGTCGATATGTCGGTCCAGTCCGGAGCTCTTAAGAGAGAGCACGGTGGATTATTCGGTGTACCTATTGGACCCGATGGAAACAGCGCCAGTCGATCTTCCTGGTGGGGCTTCCCCGAAACAGCAAGATTCGGCATCCCCAGTGGCAGTTGGCTTGGGTCTTTTGTCTGTGGCGCTTATGGAGCACGAGGGGATGGCAACAGGGACGGTCAAAGCTGCCGGAGGGCGAGGTCGTGAGTCGCTGGAGATCATTTTTTCCCTGACCCAGGTCCGTGATTTTATACACTAATCCATGCATTTACAAACGAGTCTCAGACTGTATCTCTATCTGCGCCGCTGTCGCTTCCGTGGGCCAACACCTCTGCGCCGTCCAAGGCGTTCCCTCCATCATCAGCGAATCACCCCAAGGCAGCCCCAGTCACCCACTCCGATAAACTACTCAATGACAGCTCATATGTCGGTCCGGAACGGCGACGTCCTGGTCGTCCCGGGCGCCCCAAACAAACTGTAATCGTTGACGAAGACAAGGATCGGAAGAATACCCCCCTAGCGAACAGCGCCTCCGTTTCTGAAGACGTCGAGTCAGTCAGACATGTGCTCGGTGTTGTGTCGAACGATGGTCCCGCCTTGCTCGATCTGATCGCATTTGTTCAAACTCAGCCCAGTCACATCCAACACAAAGCACTGGCCGATATTCTTCGTCTCGTTCACGGGAAAAGCGGAGAGGCCATAGAACCTGCTCCTGAGCTGATTGAGGCCATCAGGCATTTCAAGCAGCAATTCTCCGACTTTGCATCACATCGTCCACAGGAGAACTTGCCCAGTCTGGACCTCGCACGTCGTAAAAGCGCTTCCGATGATGAAATCGTTGTGCTGAATAAAGAAAATGTAAACCCAAAGGTCTTCAGTCGTAAAGGCTCGAAGGAGAAGCAGGCCGACCCGAGCGATTCGCGCGGTCTGCTAGAGCGCACCCTAACTCAGTCCGGCTCCTCCACCCCGGATTTGCCGACCTCGACTTTGGGAAGAAAACGCACTCGGACCGAGTACATGGGCGAACAATCGGAAACCGTGACCGCGTCGATAACGACGTCCTATTATCGTCTGCCCGAACGTTCGTACTCTCAGCCGTTGTTCACCGCCTCCTCGCCAGTAAAGGATCCCTCGCACGCAACCGCAAAAGCGAGTGTCTCGGCATCATCACCTCCCCGACCAGCCCGAAAGAAATATATCGTCCCGGACTGGGCACGGACCAAGACATCTCTTCAACCCCGCTTATCAGCCGCGGCGCAGCTACGGGCGCAGGAAAGAGAGCAGGAGGAAGAGGAGAGAAGAAAGACGAAGGCCGAGGCGAGGAGGAAACAGGCCAAGGATGAGCGAGACAAGAGCAAGACACGTAAGCCCAAAGGCAAAGGCGTACAGAGGTCAGCGTCGCAAGGTGTTCTAGATCCATCAAAATCACAGGGCGCCTCTGTGTCGCGGACGCTCTCCATGCCGGCACCTATAGCAGCCGGGACAGATTTCCTCTTGTTCGGTTCGCTGTCTCGCTCTTCCGCGGCGACGACTGTACCATGCACCCCGCCTCGAAAACGAATGAACACTTTCGTGACGCCAGATCGTCCTGGCTCGTGCCCGAATTCCCTTTTCACGCCAGGTCCAGGGTCCAAGACATGGGGCGATGCACTCGAATTTGATTCGGGTCGACGCTCGGCCTCGCCCACAGGCAACAAGTCTACCCAATCGCCTTCAGCTGACATGCTGGCACACGAGCTTGAAAGCGCGTTTGAGGACTTGGACGTTCCCACATTCCCGTCCAGCGACCAGGCCACCATCATGGAAGCCATGTCTGAAGATGACAGTGACGAAGATGGCGATGGAAATGGCAATGGCAATGTCACCACCGAAAAGCAGATTCCACAGGCCCAGCACTGGGAGGGTCTTCCCCCATCCTCTCCCCCTCCTCCCTCGAGCCCGATCATGATGACCAGCGACGACGTAGCCCTCAGCGCGGATGTCGAGCCCCTCAGCGATCCCGGCACGGCCATGGACGCCTGCGACACCGATCTCTTCGCCGAGTTCATGAATTATGACTTTGCGGACTCTGCAGCCTCGCACCCTGCATCTGACTGGGGGCTTGATTCGCAGGCCCCTTCGCAGGAATTGGATATCAATCAGCTTTGGGAGACTCTGTGTCCTCTCATCCAGGACACGAAGGTGGACCCGGTGGATATGGCTATCGAGGTGCATGCTCTCTTCAATGGATGTTTAGTATGATGTGTTTTTCTTGGCTGGATTTAAATAATTTTGAAGGACTGCGTTCTAGCTAGTTGTAGATGCATCTCTGCCGCAGTAATTGTACCGGAATGTTGTGCGCAGTGGTTCAAGGCAAGTTAGCAAGTTAGCAAGTGTGATGGCCATGACGTAAGCACTATTGCTCGCTTGAGTCAGAATCAGTGCACGCGTATAGACACACCCACGCTATGCTCAGCGAGAAAGCAAAAGGAAAGCAAAGAGCTGTAGACATCCCCTCCTCACCTAATCCCGTCCGCGCTCGAGACCTCGTCGTCCGTTTCACAGATGGCAGTCCGGACGTCACCGTCTCTGTGAACGAGCGCGACACACTGCACGACGTGAAGGACAATGTACGGTCTTTGCGACTTGCGCCTGGCCCGCTCCTCCAGCTCATCTATGCTGTAGATCCGCAAACAGAAACCTCATCTGGCAACTCGACGACTGCGCTTCATCTACTCCGGGGCCATCATTCCAGACCCGACGGTGGTCAACGACTGGCTGGCAGCCCTCGAAACTAAGCTCAGGAAAACCGCCGCTGGACAGGATGCGATCGAGCAGTCGCCTCCGCTTGCGTTAACCTGGATCCATTGTTCCGTGGGACGCGAAATCGAGGCGGGCGAAGAGGAGGCGGCGGACGAGCAGGTGCGCGGCCGTTCGTTTGCCCCGTGCACGGCGATGGAACTCTTATGATCTGGTTTAGAAAGCACAGTTGCAGCCTGCGCGGGGGTTCGACCGCCTGGCGTCCGTTGGGTTCTCTGCCGCGGACATTGCCAATTTCCGGCAGCAGTTCCACTCGCAGTCGGCCTCCTCGAATTACCTGGACACGGACTTTGAGACGGAGGAAGAATGTGCGTTGCGGACATGCGCTCGTCGGCAGAGGACTAAATGCGTGCGGGCCTTCTAGATGACGAACACGCGCGGGCGCTGGAAGAAGAGTGGATCGACTCTTTGGATAATGCAGGATCGGCAACGCTCTCCCAGAACTCCTCGGCGGGCAATCCTGCCTTTCTGCAGGGGATGGTGCTCGGATTCTTCTTCCCCATCCTGCCTTTCTTCTTTTTCCGGAACTCGCAAGCCCCCGTGTTTTGGGCCGACGGATCGGGGGTAGAGCCGACGGGGAACGTCATATTCTCGTGAGCATGGTTCTTCTGCCCAGGCTGCATGCATAGCTTCCTCTGACAGTACTTCCCCAGCAAGTACATGCAGATGGGTCTCATCGTTGGGTTCCTGATTAACCTGCTGTTTGGGACGTGGCGATATCTCTTGGATGCGCAATAAATAGGTAAATTGCCAAATACTGATACATATGAAAATGGTTACACATCAGACGTCCCAGACGACTCTTGCCCCAACCCAAGCGTAGCCATATCCACGCTGCCAGAAGTTGCGGACGGTCCTTCGACCCAGTCGAGGGATTGTTGCGTAGGAAGCGCCAAGCTGCCAGAGCGAGTGAGTCTCGGTGCGAATCCGGTTGCCGAGGCAGACGAACGACGTACCACTGATTGGTGCTTGGTATCAAAGAAGTCCGTGGAGTATCCCGTGAACAGGTTTGTTGGTGCGAGGCCCTCGTGTGTGTCGAAGACGGTCGATGTCCACTCCCAGACTCCGCCGTTGGTGCCTTTGGCTCCGTCGATGCCTGCAGTTGCTCTGTGATGCGTCAGCTGGCGGTCGACAGGGATGTCTGCTGCTGCTCACGGGACTGGGTGCCAGTTTCTGAAGCCGACGTTTCCTCCACCCTCGAATCCGCTGTCGTGTGTGTCCAGGAAGAGCCGCAGCTCGGGCTCTGTCGGTAGGCGACCTCCCTTGGATCGCGCATATGCTTTCAAGTCGTCGTATGTTGTGAGAACCGGCCATTCGCCCGCCACGTCCATTGGCACTAGGCCATACACCGTTCGAACCTGTGTCCGATCAGTCGTCACACTCGCGTAATGACTTTTCTTTTCTTTACCTTGATCTGGCCATCCTCCTCGACCCAACTCTGGGGCAGCTCGGCTTTTCCCGCGGCCCAGAACTCAAAGAACTCGTTGTTGGTGATCGGTCGCCAGGACGCCCTGAAGCTTTCGACACGGACTTGACGCGGCGGGCTCTCGTTGTCCCAGCCGTATTCCCGCTCCTCGGCGTCGAACTTGAGCGCGGCAACGGCGTCGTCGGCTTCGGAATCGTCGTGGCCCATGGTGACCATCGCGGGGCCCACGACCACCGAATCGGCGCAAGGCTTGGGTGTCGCATCCCACTGGAGCTTGAGCAGATCCCAGGCGGGCTCGGTGAACCCGGGCGGCGGGAGCGTCCCTGTTCCCGCGCGCTGGATGAGCATGTACAGCAGCGTCTGGAATCACACGAATCATCAAGGATGGAACCTCTTTGATGCAAAGCACGCTCACCTCGACATGCCAGCCCTCGTGCTCCAGCGTCATGACGAGTGTCCGCGCGATGTTTCGCGTCAGCGTCCGTTTTCCGCTGTCGATGTCGTCGTACAACTGAGCCAGTCGGGCCCGGACGCCGTTGCGGAACCCGATGATGCCGTCCAGCGACGGCCAGTCCTCATCTTTCTCGGGGACGACCGAGTGGTTGTGGCAGTGGTCGGGATCGTCGACGTGGGGGTCGATGCCGCGCTGAATTGGATCTCAGTGTCTGGCTGAATGGGCTGCTCAGATATCGCGCGCTCACCTCGAAGATGTCCCAGAAATACGCCGGTTCGGTTGGCGAGCCCCCGATGGACTTGGACAGCAGCATGTCCAGGAACCTGTGTCCCACCCCACGGGTTAGCAGAGCACACGTGCGCTGTGGGTGGCGCGGAGACTCACGTTGGGATGTGCCCGATGTAGAAAAGACATCTGGTTCTCCCGTCAGCGCGCGGCGGGCGACGGGGAGGGGCGATAGACTCACTTGTGACGCAGGTCGATGGGCTTCTGGAGCAGCATCTCCTGGGGAATCATGCCCAGAGTGACGAGATCCCAGGCCCGCCAGAGGTTCTGCCACTCCCCGAGCGTGGGAATGTTGCCTGTCTCTGGTCTCTTCGCACACGGGCTATACGATGGCGCAGTGGACAGCGGCGGGAACACGACCCTCGGTCGTTCGAGGATGTACACCGAATCGTGGCCGCACTCTGACACGGCAGACAGCACGCAGCGGAGGCCGGCGACCGCAAAGGTGTTCAGACGGCTGGCTTGGAGAGGGTCGGTTGAGATAGCAGCCTGCCAGAGATGGATAAACAAATAGATAGTGGAAACCGATCTGAATGCTGAATGACCTTGGTATGGGAAAAACTAACGCAGCCATCGGCAGAAGCGAATCGGTAGTCTACGCCGTCGACTTGCTTGGCCTGCCACTCGGAAGGGGCCAACCGGACGATGGTCTGGTGGGACAGGTCCGCGGATTTCTGCTCGTTGATGCACAGCGTCAGCAGCGCAGCGTCATCGCCGCAGTGCATATCGAAGACAGCGCCGAGAAGCGCAGGCTTGAGAATATCCGCACGCGCACACACGTGATGCACAAGACGGTCGAGCAGTCTGCTGGGCGACAGCGACGAGGAGGCGGACGAGGAGGTGGTGGTGATGGACTCCGTGTCCGAGTCCGAAGCAGGCGTGCCAGGCTCGTCGTGCGAGAGGCTGAACGGGACGCGAGACAAGAGGGCTGCAGGCAGAGACATGTGGGGGGAGAGGGAAGTCAGGATTGACTGGGGGTGCCAAGGGGGGGAAGGGCCCTTTTATTTATCTGGGTCACGTAACCACTTTCACCAGGAGCGAATCACAATTCGAAACGTGCACAAGCCCCGCCCGATAATCAGTTCTATCAGAATGCGGCAGGCCTGTCACTGCGACGAATTTGAAATACATCTCTCAGGAGCGCTATCTACACACGACTCTGCTGGCGCAGACGTCCTGGGGTGTATCCGTCTAATGCGTCAGGAATCCCACGGATTTTGGGCTGGGAGGACTGTACAGAGTGGTGCAAGGACGAGACAAAAGGTCCGGTGACCACGAGCCTACTTCGGGTATCGGAGATAAGAGTGACAGAGCAGCCGGCCATCTCTCAAAGTCCCCACCCCAGGAAACGCTGAGCAGAAAATGGGGTCACCCAAGAGACTCATGCGCGCGCACATGCCGTGTCAAGAGTGCGAAAGAAGCCGCGGCCCCCTTCCCGACGCGCTTGGCACAAGTGAGCATCGTCCGAGCCTCGGACGCGAGGCAGAATTCAGGTTGAACACACAGTCCCAAAGAGGAAGTCGGTCCAAGCGCGTTCTACGAGCTGTGCAAGTAAGAACCTCGATTCGTGCGCCGGAGGGCGTTGACGCCATGAAGGCGCCATTATGTTGCTCGAGCACGCCATTCGTGATAGCGGAAGTTGTCACGTGGATGTCTCGGAGTAGTGTAATGGACACGTCAACCTGCCGATCGGCTGCCATCAGGCTTCTTCGGGCTATCTTTGAAGCCGGTCCCTGTGCCCAGCCATGCCCAGCCCCTGGAGCGCGAAAGTAGTCGCACTGCACGTGAGCGTATCCTCGGGGACCTAAATCGTCAAAAATGCTCTCTGGAGCTCTCAAGTTCCAAGCTAGGTTTGATAGTATGTTTTATTGAGGTGCATGGAGCCATCTGTCAAGAACGCGCGATCGGACGCTGACTTTCGTCTTATGATGAGGAAAAATTGGTGACGAGATCCCGAGTACATAAAGTGGGGGGCTTGAGACAAACACTATTCTAATCGGGTATTCTATGTCTTATCCACGCTAGAAATCTCTCTCTGGCGGTCAGTGTTGAGTCCGGCTTGAGAGGTCCTTTTTGTCGAGGAGGGGGCCCCACGGTCACGTGCGGCTTGATGCGCACCTCACCTGGCGATCGGTAGACCGTAGTTTGTCCATCTACAACGAGGAACCGTTCGATTGTTCTTTTCAGATTTCCCCATTTGGGATGCACGTGCCTTTGCACTGCCTCACCGCCGTCGCTTGCGGACTGGCTCCGCCGATCATCATATCTCCATTCCTCAGTGCGTTTACAGGCGCACGGACACTCCCGCCTATGTCAGTCCGATTGAGTGCAAATTAAGCCCCAAAATTGGCCTTATCTCAGGGCCAGATTCAGTGCAAATAGGCCCAAGAGCCCAAGTCCCAACCCCAGTTAGAGCAAATTGGGGGCTTTGCCGGTGGAACTTTTGGACCATATATGTATCATCGGTGAGAGGGTCAGATCAGCAAATTTTGACCTATTCTTGGATGAAATGGAGAGCTTTTGAAGCATATCAAGAGTGCTTCAAAATCAGGGCCATCATGGGCAAGAAATGGGTAAAAACACCTGAAAAGGGCTAAAATGATAGCATATCTCAGTCCGACTTAGCACAAATTAAGGGCTCCAAAGGCCAATTTCATAGTGCAAATCAGGCTGGCTCGGCGGACTGACATAACGGGGAGTGTCCGTGGGCCTGCGTTTACTGACTTCAGCAAGCTCTGTTACATCCCTAAATGGGTCACAACGAAACGGATAAGTATTTGTCAAGGCACATTGATGGCACAACAAGGACATTTGTGGGTACCAGAGGCACTATTTCACTTTATCGGCAATATCTCACTTTATCCGTTGCGGAACATCGCCGCCCGATTGATGCCTCCGGCCGCTGACAGCCCGGTTATGCGTCGGTTACCGGTAGCCGAAAAGAACAATCGAACTAGGCCTCATCTACAACTCAGATGAACATTGTTCAACCACGTTCCACCTGTCCGCATCATATGTGTCTCCATGTTCGCGCTCAAATGGGCGTGTGGAATCTGTCAAGAGACGCTACTTCGCTGTCCATCACTGATGAAGATTGCCCTCAACTAACACGGTTCAGCATGATGGTGCACGCTCTCTGGCAACAAGAGAGGATAATCATTGGGTGTCGACATGGCGGCCTGCATTCTTCAGCATGGCGCACGCTTATGCGTCGGGACTACATATCACGTTGATATGGACGCATATGTACCTGAGGACTGCAGCCTTTCTCTCGACACACCCCTGTTCCTCATAACCTCCCTTCAACACTGCAATGTCTATTTCCGAAATCACAAACCTCTCCACCAGGTGCGCAAGGAACACAAGCACCGAGATGCGATGTTGACGGGATAGGCAGAAATGCGAGGGAGAACTCGAGCTGGAGCTTATCGCTCTTCATTGGGATCGCCATCGCCATCCTCGTTGCGCTCGTTCTGCTTGGAGTCAGCTTCATGATGTGGAGAAGACATGTGTACGCAGAACTGCAAGCGCTGCACAATGCGGAAGATGGACGGCATCTCCTGCGGGTGTCCCTCGACGCGGAGCTGCCTGCGATCAAAACAACACCGCCGACACCCTGGAATATTGAGAACTATGACCTGAAAGGAGTCGAAAAAGCGCGTTTGCTCAGTGAACGACCTCGAAGGCACTCTCTTACTCTTGTCAAGTCGACGAAAGAGGCTGCTCCTGCTCCGATATCTCCATCGCCTCAGATCCAAACACTCTTTCTGGCTCGAATGCCTGTCCTCCAGAAACGGCCGACGATAGGGTCGCTGGCAGGCTCTGAAATCGGCCATTCATTCAACGACGCACATTCGTTCGTGACAATACACCCCGAGGAGGTGATGGAGGTGCGCGACGAACTGTCGAAACACTTCGTTCTGGCCCCGAGCGACAAGGAGCCGAGGAGGCTCCTCTCGCATCAACGGTCGGCTTCTTGGAGCGGACGATCTCGAGGTAGGCTCAAATCATCCGCCATCAGTATGTCCACCAGCCGACGTCCCTTGCCAGTGTTCGACGCTTATTTGTAACGAGCATCTTTATCGCATATACAAATCTACATAGCATGCTCCCAGCCAATATCACCAAGACATATCATACCAACCCACTGCCGGCCATCCGAACGGTGTCTCCAACCACGCGCAGAATCGCCATCAAGAGCTGCCGGATCCAGCCTGCGCTTGTATTGGTCACGTGTGCTGCTACGAGCCTCCGGCGGACGGCCTCTGCATTGCCGGCCGCAGGCTCAATACTTTTGGTGCGCCGGCGTCGGACGAGCAGAGGCACGGCAAACAGGAGGAGAAACGTGACGAGTGATGCGAGCGACAGCTTGGCTCGCGGTGTTAAGTACGGCGCTAGTGTCGCGCGGATCAGCTCGTATCCCGAAAGCGGCGGAGTTCGTTCCGTGGGCGCTCCCGGGGTGTACAGTCGCGGCAGCGACGCCGAGTGCTGCGGCGGCGAGGTCGCTCGGACAGCCGCAGGCCGTGCTCGAGGGGTGGCCGTGCTGTCAGATATGGTCGAAGGAGTGCGCCTTGTCAAATTCGATCTCGGTCGCGGCGTTGATGGCAAGACGGTGTGGGCCGATGCAGTCGAGGAGAGCGATGACGACGAGGAGGAATTAGAGGGAGTTGGAGAGTGAGGTCTCGGGGCCGCTTTCGGCGGTGGCAGCCTCGCTGCGATTGCTTGAGCGTAGGAAGTTTCGAGTGTGGCTTGGATGTTCTGCAAACATTAGGCAGGCAGGTCGCCCGTTACGATTCGACGGCTCACCTTTCTCACATCTGGAGCCAACTCGCTCTCGTAATCCAGAAACTCCTTCGCGTACTCCCACTGCTCTAATTTAGGCAGAATATGTAGGCAATACGCCTCCACGGCCTTTTGATACCCGTCATCCGCATCCTTTTCGCTTACGACCGCATATTGTCGAGAGGCAAGCCAATCCTCAATTACAACGCGCCCAGAGTCCGCCGCGTCGACTTTGAGGCTTGAATACGCCAACGTGAGAATCACGCTTGAAGGGATATGAGACGCCTGTGCGGGCACAGCCGGTGGTGTGAATAGCTTCAAGGACCTCTGGTAGGTGGAGTTGATGTAGATGTGCGGCGGCTGGGCCGCGAGTTGCCTCAGGTCGTGGGGGAGATCCGACGCAGAGGGGTCTGGAGGGGATGTGTACACGGTGGTTTCGAAGGTGATGCGGAGTAGATCCCATTTACTCCGCAGGACCGCAAATTCATCTGGATCCTGCAGCTGCTGAGGGGGGTGGAGCAGGACAAAGGCGGATTCGAGCAGGGAGTGGACGAGAGATACTTGTCGCAGCAGGAATGCGCGTGCCGCACGGTGGTAGAGTGTCTGCAGGGTGACTTGGGCAGAGGACGCTGGGGCCTTGAGCTTGAGAGTCGAGGGAGCCTGAGCCGTGGCCGTCATCGTGGCAGTCGGCATTGTGAAGCCTCCGGCCTTACGCAGTCCAAAAAAGTCGACGGATGCGGGACAGAATGGGGAAGGCCAAGCTTGTGGTATTTCACATGGTAATAATTGACATCACGCGTACACTTGTCTTATGCCGCGACGAGCGCGTGTCCACTATGTTTCCCTCAAGTCGTCCCTTGTCAACCTCCCCATCTCGATTTATGGCCCTCTGGTAGAACGCAGCATTGTACGCGTTCAGTGCTTCTGGAATCCGTGTTCAAAATATATTCAATCAGATTTCAATCATGCCAGCGTCCTCAACATCTAGCGGTCCATTTGACTGTAGTGTCGCAAGAGAAACTCCAAGTCTATGTCGGATGGACCGGAATGGCTTCCGCGTCGTCGTTGGCGCAATTCAACACGTCTGATCCGTCTGAGAAGGGATTAGAGACTGTGGAGATTGACCCGCAGTATGCGCTCGGCCTAGGGATCAAGCAGAACGATATTGTGGGCTCGACACGCGTTGAGCGGCTACATGCGACTCAACTACTCTAGGTCGAGATCGGACTTGTGCACGACCTCTCGATGGCCACCTCGGTTGCTACCGAGCCGCTCACCTCCGACGACTGGGAAATCATCGTAAGCATCCCCGCTAGGCCCGACCGATGCGAATCACGCTCAAGCATCGCGCCTAGGAAATCCATGCCTCCCACGTCGAGTCTACTCTTCTTTCGCAAGTGCGGGTAGCCAAAGTGGGCCAGGAAATCGACGTGTGGGTTCTGGGCCGCACGAGAGTGCGTCTCAGAGTGGGTATGTACCGGCAAATGACCTCCATCGGCGCTGCTCATTGTTGCGCTCTAGTATCCATCGTTCCGGAATCTAAAGGCAATGCACTGCTGTTGACCACGAATACCGAGGTATCGATAGCTCCGAAACTGCACTCCAAAAAAGCATCGGCGAACGGCACTCCGGTCCGAGAACCTGCTGCAACAAGCCAAAACGCGAATGAATCCAAGCCCAATGCAGCTGCAGTCGTGGCGCCCCAGATTCTCAGGGTTCTCGCACCTGGGCTGATAAACGCGGCAATTCCCGGTGCTGAGGAATTCGGTCTCGTTTCGCCCGAGTCCTTTGCGATTCTGCATCCAACAGCGACTGACGATGGAACGACCTATTACAAGGCCCTACTCAAGCGGCTCTCTCCTCCGGTCGACCCACTGGCCGCGGAAGAGAATCGTGAACTCGCAGCGGCGCCGGTGGACGTGTTCGTGCGCCCTGACAAGCAGGTGCCCCGTGGACAGATCATCTGCCGCGCTGCGCAAGATTGCGGTCGGGTCTGTCTGTCTCGGCCTCCCGAGACCGATACTATGCAGTCGACCGAAGGGCCCGCAGAGCTGACGCGCGATGCCCCCCCGAAAATATCTCTCGCGGGTGTGGACGATGTTTTCCTGGAATGCTCGCAATTCTGCCGTCGGATGCTTGCCATGCATTGGGGGACCGACGCTGTTCGAGGGACTCCGGGCCTGCTTCTCACGGGCAGCTCGGGTGTCGGTAAAACTTCCATTGTCCAGATGGTCACAGAAGAGCTGCAGAGCGATCCAAGGACGCTGACATGTAAGCCCCTTGCTTTGAGCTGCTAGAACGGCTGATTGATCGTGTCGCCCAAGACACGCTATACGTGGACGTCTCGCGTCATACAGAACGGTCTGTACAGACCATCAAGGCACTCATGAGCTTCTGGCTCAAGAAGGCCATCTGGCATAAACCGTCCATCTTGGTTTTGGACAATCTAGACAAGTTGATTCCCATCGAAACTGAAGTAAGTGAAGGCCCGACGGTCCTTGTATACTGCAAGCTCACGTGGACAGAACTCCTCGTTCCGGACTCGCCACCTCGCCGAGCTATTTGTCGCCGTGTTTAGTGCTTCAGCCCGGTCGATGCCGCTGAACTCTCAGGGCGTGATCCTCCTCGCAACAGCGACTTCGGTGGCAGCACTCCATCCACTTGTCAACGGCGCACACATCTTTGAAGACGTCGTCAATCTGAAGCCACCTAACAAAGCGGCACGCAAAGACGTATGACCGTCTCCGACATTTCCTCAGGATGCAGCTGACGGAGACTGTAGATCTTGGCGCACCTCGTGCAACAGCGGCTGGCATCGGCACCGGATCTCGCAATCGACAGCGTCTCACCACCCAATTACACAGCCATCTCCACACAAACAGAAGGCTATTCTGCTTCGGATTTGCTGGATCTTGTCTCTCGTGCAGTGCATCAAGTGGCCATCCGCTCCGCTCAGGTCAGCGCTCACATTGTCTGGGCTAGATTTCGGCTGATGCAACCGCACAGCAACCACTTTTGACATCGAAAGACTTTGATGCGGCGCAAATCGACTTTACGCCACTGTCTCTCCGCAACTCAAATCTACAAAAGTCGGACGTAACCTGGTCCGACATCGGCGGTCTGAATGAACCCCGGCGGGTGCTGCGCGAGACTCTCGAGTGGCCAACGAAATATGCGGCGATATTCGCCCAGTCGCCTCTGCGTTTGAGATCGGGGTGAGTGCGCTCTCTCGGAACTTCAGTGTCATGGGGGTTGACGCCTCTTTCAGACTGCTGCTGTACGGCTATCCCGGATGCGGGAAGACGCTATTGGCCTCTGCCGTCGCTCGGGAATGTGGCCTCAACTTCATCAGCGTCAAGGGCCCCGAGATCCTCAACAAGTACATCGGCGCCAGCGAACAATCGGTGCGAGAGTTGTTCGAGCGTGCCTCGGCTGCGAAGCCGTGTGTGCTGTTCTTCGACGAGTTTGACTCGATTGCGCCGAAGAGGTTTGGAATCTTCAACTGCGGCCGCGACGTTTCTGACGGCTTTTTTTGTCAGAGGCCACGACAGCACGGGTGTGACAGACCGTGTGGTAAATCAGATGTTGACACAGATGGATGGTGCCGAGGGCTTGGATGGGGTTTACGTGCTTGCAGCCACCAGGTTCGTTCGTTTTCCTTTGCCTGCTTCGAGAAACTCGAATGACAAGCCCCCAGTCGACCTGACCTCATCGACTCCGCTCTGCTGCGTCCTGGGCGACTCGACAAAGCTGTGCTCTGCGACATGCCCAGCCTGGAAGACCGCATCGACGCAAGTACAAACCTGTGCACGACGAGGACTTGAGCTTGACGAGACATTAGATCCTGCGCGCCGTGGCCAGCAAAGTGACACTCTCACCGGCCGTGGACCTCAAAGAGATCGCACTCGAAACCGACGGTTATTCGGGTGCCGACCTGCAGGCTTTACTGTACAACGCCCACCTCGAAGTCGTGCACGCGTCGATTGCCGACACGCCAGCCTCTGACCGCGGTCCAGCTGAAAACGAAGACGAAGAAAGCCGGGTGCTGTTCACTGTGATCGGCGGACCGGGGCCGGAAACCACCACCAAGGCCGAGGATGTGGCTCTCCAGCGCAGGGTCAGTAGTGCAAATCAACGCTGCTTTCTGTGCACCATTCTCACGTTCTGTTCAGCTCCGGCAAATCAAACGCAGTTATGCCAGTAAAGCACAGCCCGAGGAAAAGACAAAAGGCACAAAATCGCAATCTCGCCAGACTTTCGAGATCGAGCCCTCGCATATATCCCGTGCGCTCAAATCGACTCGGCCCTCCGTATCACCCGAAGAAGGAGCGCGCTTGAAGAGAATGTGGGTCCTGTCTACATACTTTTGCTGTGACGTGTGTCTCATTGCTGCAGATACCAATCGTTCGTGTCTGACCGCGGTGGAGACATGCCAGTGCCCCCGGAAAACGATGGAATTGGAAATCGAGTGTCGCTGATGTAGATAAATGATAAGATGGATGCTATGGTACATGGCCGTGTGCGAAAATTACAGTTTCATTAGTCCCTTCATGGCATTGGCAATCGCAAAGCTCGACTTGGCCATCACCTGCCGCGAATCCTTCGTCACTTCAGGCAGCGCCTGGACCTCGCTGAGCCGGTTCGCATGGTCCCCGAGTTCGCGCAGAATGTCGTTGCCCTGCTGAGCAGACGCCGGCGGGAGATTATCGTTGCACACAGCCACAATACTCGACACTATCGTGATGATTTGAGTCAGATTCTCGTTCAGCGTCGGAGATGGCGTGGGGCTCCGGACCCCGGACAGCACACTCTGGATCGCATACACGATTGACTCGCTCTGCGCTTCTAGATATGGCTACGCGATTCGTCAGCAAAACTGTTGTCTCACTTACACAATCATGTTCACATACCTTGAGCTCAGCCCATGCATCTTCCGCTCCATCAGCAACCACCGGGTCGTTATTAGATGGCTGGTCGAATATCGGGGGTGGCGAGTTTGTGGTCTCCGAGCTCGAGTTCTCCGATGGCGGTCGACGTCTCGGGGAAATCGGCGACACAGGACTCCGCTGTGCCACTCGTGGCCCGTTGCGAGTCGAAGTGGGTGATGTGGTGGTCGACGTCGCAGCACTCGGTCTACGCTGATGTGTCTGAGACGGCTTGTTCTCCTCTATCGTCCGCAGAGTCGACACCGGCGTCGCAGGCATAGCCAGTTCCTGCTCTGCACGAGTCGACTTCCGCACAGCGATCATTCGCGCAATTTCCGTAACCGTCGCGGCTACGTGACTGGTGGCGGCGTCCAACAAACTGACAGGCGACATTCCGGAACTCGTCGCATGTGTTTTCGTAGCAGTCACCAGATTGCTGAGCGTGGCCTCCGCTCGATCTCGCAGCGACGCGAGTGTATCATCATCAACATCACGCGATGGGCGCGCTTCAAATGCACGAATGTCGTCGACGATGGCTGACACCGCATTGACCACGGCCTTCATCGGTGCGAGCACCCGAGTAGGCGCATTTGATCGTCCTGCTGTGAGCAAGCTGTCCACAGACGACAAGAATGCAGTGATATGGACGTCCAGCACACCTCCGTCGGCAGAAACAGGCAGTTGGTCTTCCGGGCGGTCCATCTTTGGCGCTTGAATGAACAGTTGCGACGTCGCTGTCAACTAGTCAGCTGAAACATCGTCTACACTGGGCCGAACTCACCTTTGAAACTGCGTAGTTCCGTCTTGGCTTGTTCGTATTTGCGTTTATAGTCTTTCGCTTGCGCCTCGAGATCCCGAATCATAAGAGCATCGGCGTCCTTGGCGGACAGCAGTTCGTCGTTCTGGCTGGACAAGTCTCCCAACTCTGCGAGCAGACCCTGCATATCCTCGCGGAGTTGTTCGACCACCTCAGGGTCGGCACCGCCGCCGCCCGATTGGCCTTGCTCCAACTCCTCACAACGCTCCCGCAGGCTCCGAATCTCTTCTTCGTCCTTCTGAGCCTGTTCTTGTTCACGCTGTCGAGCGCTCTGCAACTCGTCCAATTCCCGCTGCAGCGCGATCATCTCAGCCATCTGCACCTCAGCCTGACGACGGACCCCAGCCAGTTCGTCCTCCACCTGTTGCAGACGGACCTCGGAATCCTGCCATTGCCGATCCCGTTCACTGGCTTCCTGCCTGGCCTGGTCGCGTTCCCGCTGGATGATTGATATCTGGGTCGTCGTCGTAGCAATCTGCAGTTCGTAGTCGCGCCGTAGCGTGTCCATCTCATCGTTATTGCCGCGCCCTCGATCACGCTCCCTATCAGATGTAACACTGCTGCGCCCAAACTTCGCGTTATCGTAGTCTTCTTCACCGCTATCCTCCTTGAGCAATCTGGCACCCAGCCCACTCAAACCGCCCGGTGGGCTCTGGGGACTCAGCGGATAGTCACTCGCTGTGTCTGGGGGTTCCGGGTCGGCGTCTCTACGGTCCCGGTCGTCGTTGAACGTGGTGGAAGCAGCACTTTCACGAGCCTCTCGCCCATAAGGCACCTCAATGTACTCCTCCTCAATCGTGGACGTGTTGGGGATGATGGTTGATGTCGTGCTCTGCTGCTGCTGGGCAGTCATATTACTCGAATCGCTCATGCCGCTGATGCTCGATCCGCCTCGCCCACCGCGATAATCTCGATCCCGTTCGCGTTCACGCTCCCGATCCTCTGAACGCCGTGTGATATCTTGAGAGGGTTTCCTGCGAGAGCTAGCGCTGGGGGTATATGCATTGCTGCTGTCGTCGCCACTCGTGGCGCTTCTTCGCCCTGTCTGATAATCTTCGCTCGGCCTACGTCGATCCTCAGATGGGCGGCGGCTGCTTATGCTGCCGCCGTAACCGCTGTCGCCAGGACGATCGGTTGACGTGCGCCCATTGCCTCGGGAAGATGAGTTATTAGGAAAGTCCGATACGGGCTGGTCGTCGTAGTTTGAGCCTGGAGTGACGCCGCCAGAGGGCTAGAACCGTGTGAACGGTGTAACTATGGATAAGGGAATACAGACGTACATTTTCCTTGAACTCGGGATACCGTCGGCCTAGCTCAAAGTAAACATCACTGGAGAGATCTTCAAAACGAGAGACAGGGAGAGTGGCGAGCTTCTGTCGCGCTTGATTTCGCTTAGGGTGGAACTCCTCCCGCACAGGCAGGAACGGAACTGCCACATGTATCAGAGCCACACACGGCGGCAGCGGGGGAGGGAGGAAGCGCACTCTGTGTCTCGTTCTTCCTCCTGCAAAGCTCGTCGTAAACGTCGGTGGACAACTCGTGGAATTGCTGTATAGTCAAGCGAGTAAGCTTCTGTCGGGCCGACGTGCGCGAATTCGGTGCAGCTGGGACGAGACTTAGTTCTACCGGAAGTCAGCAATGAGGAATCACCCACCCCGTGCAAGATACGCAGCCAGGTATCGGTCGAGCTCGTTGAAGTGCACCTCTGACACCGCACGGTAGTCGATTGGCGGGACAGGAGGAACATTCTTGTCACGATCCCGACGGAAGGACTCTGTGCGATAGTTGGAGATTCCGGAGAAGGAGGTCCCTGTGGGACTAGGCTGGCGAGACCGAGTCCCAACGCGCGACATTGCGGGGGGTGATGGGGAAGGAGTGGAGGGCTCGTGCAAAAAGCGTGGTTGTTATGTAAGCAACAATTCGAGTGCCACTGGATTCGGCGCGTATTGTTTCCCGTTCCATCTTCAGAAATCTGTCCCCAACGTTACTTGCTTGCCTGGTCGAGGCGAGACGACCATCCGACATGATGTGGCCTGCCCATTCAAAAATCTATAGACATGTGCCTTCACGGGCATTGTAGGTAGATCCACAAAACGGTGTCAACCACGTCAACCGTTTGACGCAATTGTCGTCCTTCTTGACCGGCGGTTGTCCCCAGCAACGAACACAAAAATCTCTTCGTCGTGAAAGCGCATGATTTCTGCGCTGCGGGCTTGGATGATCGGCGGTGCGATCACGGTCTGGCGATGATGGATAATCGGCGAGTCTGTCCATCATACTATATCAACCGCTTTCAACTCCGACTTATGGACATTGAACAATTCCGCAAGGCAGGCTATGCCGCCATCGACCGAATTTGCGATTACTACTCTTCCATCGAGACGCGGAATGTGAGCTCAAACGTCGAACCTGGTTATCTTGCGCCGTTGTTGCCCGAAGTCCCGCCTGAACAAGCAAGTCTGATTCGGTGGTCTATTCACCGGAAACTGACGATTCGTCAGGGAGAAGACTTTGGCGTTATCGCGCAGGACTACGATCGACTGATCATGCCCGGTCTCACCCACTGGCAGCACCCATCTTTCTTTGCGTAGTACGGATCGAATTCGATATCTCTCAATGCCTATCTCTGATGATGTCAGTTTTCCCACCGCAGGATCCTTTGAGGGCATTCTCGGCGATCTATATGCTACTGCGGTACCGAATCCGGGATTCAACGTCAGTTACTTTGGAAGGAAGTTCATGTCAGTCCCTCATTGACTGCCTACGCAGTGGTCATGCAGTCCAGCTTCCACCGAGGCAAGTCGATCAGATCCGAAGATCCGAACATAAGGCTCACATCCAGTTCTAGCTGGAAGCCGTCGTTGTCGATTGGGCAGCCAACTTGCTGGGTCTCGACCGCGCGTTCTACAACTCGGGTGGTGTCGGCGGGGGCGCAATCCAGACCACGGCCTCAGACTCGGCTTTGATTGCGATTGTTGCTGCTCGGGAACGTTTTCTGTTGCAGTCCCCGAATGCGCGTCTGGAAGAACTCGTGATCTATGTCACAACTCAGACTCACTCGCTCGGGTTCAAGGCCGGCCGAGTGTTGGGCCTCAAAGTCCGAGCTTTGGAGGTGCTCCCTGAGGACAGGTATGCTCTTCAGGGACAGACATTGCGCAACGCTCTCCAAGAAGATACAGCAGCTGGCCGGCATCCGTTTGTGCTGAGTAATGCAGCGTTGATTTCTGCTTGTTCACATGATTGACGGCAGAGCACAGTCGCGACCGTGGGCTCGACCTCATCCGGGGCTGTGGATAACTTGGCTGAAATCGGAGCTGTTCTGAAAGACCATCCCCAGGTCTTTCTGCATGTTGATGCAGCCTGGGCTGGCATCGCACTGTGCTGCGAAGAATATCGCGAGCCTCTGCAGCTCGAATTCATCAACGCCTTTGCTGATTCATTTTGCACCAACTTCCATAAATGGGGTCTGGTGAACTTTGACGCATCTACACTCTGGGTGCGCAGTCGCAGGACACTGACAGATGCACTCGACATCACCCCGCCTTTCCTTCGCACGGCACACGGCGACGCTGGCACGGTTGTCGATTACCGGAACTGGCATCTTGCCCTCGGGCGACGCTTCCGTTCGCTGAAGCTCTGGTTTGTTCTCCGAGGGTACGGTGTGGAGGGTTTCCAGAAGCATATCCGCCAGGTGAGTTCCTTCGCTGTGATCTGTGGGCTTCTCACATCATGAGTAGGGCATCGCTTCGAATGAGCTCTTTGTCAAATTGGTGGAGAAATCTGAGATTCTCCAGATCGTCACCCCGCCTTCTCTGGCCCTGACTGTCTTCCGACTTGTTCCGCCGGGCTTCGATTCTGCCTCACTGAATGCCCTCAACGAATCTTTCTTTGCTCGCCTCGCAAAGCGCCACGACCTCGCCATCACCCAAACCTCCCTCAACGGGACCTTCTGCGTGCGCATGGCAATCGGTGCAGCACGCACGACCGACGTGCACGTGATCGCAGCATTCGAGGCCATCATGCAAGAGGCGCTGGCCACGATAGAGGCCCGGACAGGATGACAATATATAATTGCAAGATGTACAGTGCGAACATAGGTCATACAACATGGGAGACTTTGAAAACAATGCCTGGACAAGAAAGCAGCGGATGACAGTGGACAGTGTAGTACAGGCGACATCCGACGCGAGAGTCAGGTCTTGCCCTTGAATGTCTGCATCAGAGACTTGAATCCGAAACGCTTAGACTGCGACGGATCCTGCCGGTCCGGCCTGATCTGTTGCGGCGCGAATCCCATCCGTGTGAGCTTGTTTGCACTCGCCAGATTCCTCGCGCGGTCACGGTCTCTCGTTGCCGTGGTCGGCATCATCGGCGCAGTCGACACCCGAGTCAGAGCAGGCCCCAATTCGACATCAGCTGACTCGTACCCATCTAGAGAGCTCACGCGACTGAGACCCGTCGCAGCATCAGGATCTGGCGTCCGGGCTCTCCGCACTCGGTTGTTAGCGTCGACAACCTGCGCGGCGGTCACTGACGTCTGCACAACGATCGGGATGGGCGACAATATCGCCGAAGTCGACCGCGACAGATGGTGCACCACTTTCACAGTCGGGGTCGCTTCATCATCCGCTGTTGCGTTCGACTGCCTCGTTCGGCCGTCGAAGCTGTGCTGGCGCTGGATGCTTTCCCGCTGCGACTGGCTGCTCTGAGAGGAGGATGACGAGGTCGTCCGCGGGAGACGTAAGATCGTCTCATCATCAGACGGCGACGGATCGGTCCTGAATTTGCGCTCGATCTGTAAGCTTTCGCCGTACGCAGCGAGTTTGGCGCTCAGAGGCATTACACCAGCACCGTTCTTGCCCATGGACAGTATATCTTTGAGTTCCTTCTGGACTAGAGCCTCAGCCTGGGCATGCGACGAGATCAAGCTGAGGTTGATATCCAACGGTGTAGGTGTCCGGCGTTCAGTTATCCGCCCTCCCTCCGCAGCAGGGGGCATCAGCGTCTGAGCGGCGGACGGAGGCGGAGTTGTCACTGCCACACTCCCATTCCCACTTCCACTCGTTGTGCTGCTGGCGCTCATAACTTGCAGATCGACCTGGCTGTCCGTTGTGGCCGCGCTGCTGACCGATGCGCCTCGAGAACGTGGCGCTTCGTGGATGGAGAATGGAAAGCTGCGCTCCGCACAAGGCTGGATTTCACCAGGAGAAACGGGAGGCGACATCTGCTGCCCGTACTCGAGGTCCTCTTCTTCATCGTCGCCCATGAAAGTCTTCAAAGCCTCCAGATCAAAGTCGGATACAGCAGCGGGCGCCGAATCGGGGGTTCCATAGTTGCTGGTTTCATTCCGCAACCGGGACAGCGAGCCAGCGCTCGTGCTTCCTCGAAGTCCTAGACTGCTGGGTGGTCCTGGGCTGTGTTTTCGACTGGTGGTCATTTCCGGATCAAACCGGAGCGCCCGTAGACCAGGAGGCACCGGCCCCGAATTACTCCGGTTGTGCGCTCTCAAAATACCAGCTCGGGGTTTGCCATCTGGCGTGATGACAACGTCGTCGTCGAAAACAGATCCACTGCGGTTTCCAGCACTGCTACCTCGGGAACCCGATCGCTCACGTGGTCGCAAGACAGCTAGACGTGAAAGACTGCTGGGAGACCCTGAGATGCCCTCCGACTCAAATGGCGCACTCGCAGCGGACCCAGATCGATCACGACGCTGATGCTGTGCTAGCGCATTGTGCAGATCAACAGCCAACGGCATAGGTGGCCGCGAGGGCGAGCCTGACATGGCTCGAGTTGGGCTGGCTGCGAAGAGGACGGAATCGGTCATTTGTGTCGCGTTATTGGTCGGGGAGGGTAAACCCGAAGGGTTGGAGATGCTGGTCTGGGTGCTCGTTCTCTCCAAAGGGACACCAGAACTGGGGCTTGACCCTTCAGCCTGACCCTTCTTGAACATATTCAGCAACGAATACTTGCTGCCCAGCTTGCGACCGGCACCACCCGTCCAAACGGAGGAGTCTCTGGCTCAGCGCCATTTCCCGCTGATCGTGGTCTGCGCGGAGTTCGGGAAGCCAGCGAAGCTTTGCGGTTCACTGATGGAGGAGCCGGGTACGATATTTGCGGCAAGGATGGTCGACGGGATGAAGGGTCAATCGGACTGACAGGTCCGCTTGTAGGATAGAATGTGTACTCCCCAAATGGCCTTATCGGAGATGGCGGCGTCGCCCTTGCCATGGGAAGATTGTTGCTGGGGGGCTTTAGGACCTCGGACGAGCTCTTGAGCATGCTCAGTGCGGTGTCCATAGATCGCTTCATGTGGATGCGTTTGCGTGTGGATGTTTCAGTGTCGCCTGGGGAGCCGTCGCGGTCACGGCTCGTGAGACGGCACAGCGGTAGAATCGTGGGCTCGCTGAATTCGACGGGCGGCTCTCTCTCCCTCAAGTCCCGATCTTTGTTGAGCACCCACTGTTGAAGAATGTCCGCGCATTCATTCCAGCCATGCTGGCGCGCGAGCATTTCGGCGGTCACCCCATGCTTGTCAGCTCGATCTGCCCGAGCTCCCCGAAGTAAAAGGGTCGTGACAATGTCCGAGTTCCCATTCGCAGCGGCGAAGTGGAGCGGGGTGCTGCCACTCGTTCCAACAATTGGTCCCGCGGCGTCTCGATTTTTGTCGTTGGAATATCGGCGAGGCAGTCTCGGTGCATTCACGTCGGCCCCACGCTCGATGAGGAGTTTGACGATTTGCTCGCTGCCTCCGGCGGCTGCGGCGTGAAGTGGTAGTACACCATCTACAAGAGGATCAGACGGGTTTGTCGAGGACGAGACTGTGAACGCACCAAGAACAGAGTTGATAGGCTGGCCACGAGTCAGTGCATACTCTACTAAGCCCACATTCCCACTGGCAGCAGCTGAATGCAACCCTAGGCTGGGGACTAGTGAACGCAACGTCAATCAGGTGTATGGCGTGATGACACTGGGCGCTCACATTCGGTTGTAACGTTGTAGCGGGCCTCAGCTGGAGGCTGCTTGGGTGTCCATAGAGGGACGGGCATTGGTAGTTGGAGAGATGGGAGAGAGGGAAGACGTCAAATGATGATCACCGGCGGCGCTAGGTTGTTGTTCGCGTCGACAGGCAGACCAGCATCGGATGCCGGGAACAGAGATGACCGAGGAAAGTCCGCTCAGAGCCCGACTTTGCAGACTCACCCTGAGGTGGTGGTGGTGGAGAGCAAACACCGACTGAATAGGGCGCTCGGCAAGTGTGTGGACTGACCCCAATTAGGAAAGCCGATTCTTTTGTTCTTTCCCGTCTTCCCGCACTCCTCACGATCATTCTGGAAATCCTCCCATTCTTGAGCAATGGTTGATTGTCTAGGTGCTCTCTTTGTGTATGGCTTCGAGGATGCTTTTCCTTCTGAGCCTTGGCCCCCTCGTTCTGGATCTGTATCCGTGGAGGAATTCTCCCCTCTTCCCAAAGCTGATGATTCTGTCGATCATATCACATGTCTTTCTCGACAATCCTTCCGCTGCCCGTCGTGCGGTTGGGATTCCCGCAGTGATTAAACGTACATGCGATTGTACAGATACAACATATATGTTTTGTACACCAATGATAAAGATAGCCGCCTTCGAGGATTAGGATTATGTGTAAATCAGATTCGATTTGTTATCATCGTATAGGATCCCATCGAGATTGTGCCCCTCTCCATAGTGCACCAGGTTATCGGAGGAGTACCACTCAAAAGAGGGTCCTACGTTCGGCAGAAATTGAGTGGCCGGATATACAGCAAATTCAGTTGGGAGCACGGGATCATGCGGGCTTTGGTTCGCCACTTCTTGGATCAGAACGCCCAAAGCTTCGCTGCCGTTCCGAGCGGCATTTCCAAGATCCATCGCCGAGTTTCCGGCCTGCTGGAGAACGAGCATTGCCTCGCGGATGAGGGTGTCGGAGTCACCGGGACGGCCGACACAGTACAGGGTGACCGCAGCCTCCGTGAGAGAGAAATACCCGGGGAAGTACCAATTGCTTCCAAGCAGCGCGGTCGACTGCTCGGGCTGACTCGCATTGCATTGGAGCCGGATCAAATCGGAAGAGAGGTTCCGACATAGCTCGCGACTCTGTTTCCGGCTGATGGACTGTCCCCAGATGTCAGAGAAAGTGTCTTCCCCGCGTGTGAGTACGGAAAGATGCAGCTTCGACCGGCACAGGAGATACCATGTCCACAGTGTGTGCTTTTGTGCCAAGAGTGAGCCGAATTCGGAGACAGGGAGATTGTCCAGATAATTCGGGCTGTCTGATCGGAATTCAGCAGGAAGCTGGCTTTCCCACTGTTCGAATTTGCGATCGAGATTGCGCACGTCCACACCAGTCGGAGAGCGGACGCCGAAACACTGTGGGCAGATCCGTTCAGCAAGGCGGATGCAACCATACAGTCTCGTCACAGTACCTTTTCAGCCATCTCACCCGCCAGATGCATCAGCTGAACCAGCAGTCTCTGATAAACATTGAACAGATTACGAGTGCCGTCTGCATTGATGGCTGGAGGGAGCATGACGTCGCTTGCGTCGTTCCGGAGAATTGCGGGCCGGGCGAGGACGGTAGTGCACATCCTGGAGACGATCAGTCTCAGTGCCAGAGGCGTGCGCACATGAAGCCAGACCGACAGACCTTTCCCACGAGAAGAGACCCCACCAAGCTCTGCGGCGTAGCAGTTTCTCGTCATCATTCATGACTTCTTCCAGCGAGTTCTGCCGTCCTGGGTCCCGATGCAGGCCCACCGACTGAGCAGACAAAATCGCGTTTCCGATGAGCTTCCACCCTTCGGACACCCGTCCCCTGGCGATGAGATGGTCGCAAAGCAACGGGGCAGCGAAACAGCTCAGAACGGCCCCCTGCGCTGCCGACGTCCGGCTCATCGTTGGCCGAAGCTGATATGCGCTCTCTGCTGCTCTGGCTGCCGCCACGGCATGTGTAAAGTGCTGCTCCGGACCGTCGGTTTTGCCCGCTTCAAGGCCGGGCCTAGGCGCACTCGCAAGAACCGCAAACAGGAGAGAGAGCCAGTTCGCGTCGATCTTGACCTGCGATGCGTGGTAACGCAAGACGAGATCCATCTCGCAGCAAGTTCGCAAAAACCATTCCTCCGGAACACCAAATCGCCAGTTCACATCCCTGAAGAACATGCGGCATAGCGCCGTCACCTGTTGCGTCGGCGGAATAGCTTGGATCAGGCGGATGAGTGATGTCTGGTTGGCCTCTCCAGGAGGCAATAACTGGAATAACTGGCTGGATTGGGAGGAGGTCACGTGTAGATGGCGCGGGTGCTTTCTCGAACTAATCTGCAGCGATCATGAGTGACGATCTGCCAGAACAAAGCCGATTTTTATGCACCGAGTACAACGCAGAAAGAGAGCTTCCGAGCCCTAGAAACTCGCCGTGATGGGCGGAAGATTGTTGGACAAGGGAAGATACTGTTCGATAAGCGGCATCAGACAGCTTTGGAAATGGATCGGACACTTCGTCAGGTTCTGGTGAAGAGTACGAGGAGTTCCCACTGGAAAGGCCCACGACAGAGTTGCGCGGCGAGCAGTCTGTCGGTAAAGAGAGAGAACGCGAATGAGGGCTGGGAGTGGAGATCGTGTTTTCAACGTCGGACGGATCGCGACGCAATCGCTCCGTGACAACTGTCTGCTCGAGGCTTGCGATGCGAGCCGACAGCTGTTGTATCGTGTCCAGCGCGCCAGTTTCAGGCACGACAGGCGGCCGAGCTGGAGTCGGACGCGCGACGGGCACATTTTCCCAGCGACAGAGATGGGCCACTCCACGGGAAACGCACAGGCCACAAGGATATACCCTGTCACATCGCTGGAGCAGGATGAGCACAGCAAGCAGCGCAAGAGGAGAAAGGCGGACTTGTCTGCGTTTGGTACATTCAACACAGCTCAGACGCAGTCGCCGACGCGTTTTCTTCTCTTTCTTGGGTTCTGGGTAACTCGAAGTCGGCATCGCATTCGAGTGTTGGTCGGGGATCAGGGCTTGTCTCTTAAAGCGGTCGCCGTTTAATCAAAGCCTTTCCTGGAGGTTGTCAGCGAGAATTGGAACACGATATAGTGGCGACTAATGTCACCTAACATTACATAGCTCTGCGGCAACCCACGCAACACCGGACCTGCAGGAATCATTGCTCGTACGGCTCAGCTCGTCTCCCACCCCTGTGACCATACTATGCCTGCTTCCCTGCATCTATCAGAGATTCGAAATAGCCAGTCCGATTTTGTCCTCTGCCCGGATCCGCGCTAGGTGATCGGAGTGCATGGCCATGCTCACTAAACTCTCATCGCCCGGAAACGACAGCCCCTACGCGCGCCCTGATTGGTGGGTGGACTCGGCAGAATGCGACAGTGATGGCGAAAGACGCGGCAGAGATGGCAATCGACAACAATCTTCATGTTTGAATGTCAAGTTGCTTTCTCCCTTGAACCTAGCCGAGGCCCGAGAACACACCGAAACTGTTGGAGCGCTGTTCTTGACACATGTATTCCCTTCCTTTCGGCCTAGTCGGCGCGTAGTCTCGGAGTTGGTGAGATGCAGCATCGGGATTATTCTACTCCCTGAAAGACGAAAAGATGAGCATGCGATCCTTCCTTTCTATGCAGAAAAAACCGCCGATTCTCACATGTTCAGCATCTTTCGATTGATTCCTTCTGGTCAGCGGATGCACATGAACTTCTTCGAACAACACCTCGAGGAAATCTCAGGATATATGGCTCTCGGTCCGAAAGCGTCTTGTTCGGTCACAGATAAATCATACAACCAACCGATGCCGCCCGTTGCCTGTTGCAGCCAACTTGCCCCGTTGCATTCTTGATGATGTGCTCCATTTCTCATGCTGCACATCAAGAGCGACACTCCCGACGGCGGCGCATGTCCATGCGTTAGAGTGAAACGGCCAGTTGTGAAGGCATGTCAACGTCTTCGGGCTGGTGGGAGACTTGCAGACAATGCCCAATTCGAATCGCAATTGCGCTACCGGGCGCCTTCGGTTGAGATCAGGGGATCGGCCACACGCACGGTCACGTGTACTTTCCCCCACATTGCTTCTTTGGGCGCATCTCTTCCTTTGCGTTATTTCTTCGACGGCCAGTTTCTCCCGCATGCACACATGGCCCCGAAATCAGAACCGAAGAAATCAGATATCAAGATCCTCAAGGGTCGGGAAGCAGAGGATCTTGTTCTAGATTATGTGAAGCGGGTGAACAATTCTGCTTTCGCGTTGCGCCTTGCGTGCCGACTGGGTTTGCCGCAGATGAACCGCCCTTATGGTGCCGTGGACGTTGCCGCGAATTTGAAAGGTCTGTCCCCCGTGCCGCACATGTCTTCCGACGACGAAATCCCCCATTCAAGGTGCCGTGCCAAAGGCTGCCGTACAAAAGATCCTGCTAGTGTTAGCCGAAAAAGGGGACCTGGTGCAAAAGACATATGGTATATCCCTTTCGAGCAGTAAATGTGGCAATTGTCAGGGTTAACCTCTTGGTCTAGGCAAAACAAGTTTCTTCGTCGCCAATCAAGCCAACATTGAAGCTGTCCCTCCTGAACGTATTGCTGCTTTTGAGGAAGAATTTAAGACAATCGAGAACAACAATAGAACCCTGGCTGGTGAAGTGAAGACCCTGAATACTGGTGGCGGAGTGCTCCCGTTTCCTGTCTCATTTCTGTGCTCAATCATCGCCTGCTTTAGAACTGGCGAAGCTGAAAATGACACCAACGGACGATCATTTGGACGAACAGATCTCAGAACTGGCAAAAGTTGTGGGTCGTGATTCCGTCGTCGTGACTGGGTCGCCCACTGATTCTTGGCTGGGCCTTTTCCATCATAGATCAAGAGAATAGAGACGCAGCTTCAACCACTTCGGTCTGGGGCTCCTCTTATTTCCGAGGCAGAATTGGAGCAGCTAGATCTCGATTGGGCGAAATGGAGAACTGAATGGATTCGCAGGAAGCAGATTTTCAGAGAGTGGGTGAAGATCTGGGTGGCAGTACCTCTTCTTTGACCCACTGATAGTTTTTGGAGCCTGGCCACCGATGCTTTGGCTGCGCAAGACTCGCAAGCACTGGCTGAAGACTTGGGGATAGAACAGGATACGGCTGAACATGCCGTTGTCGAACGCGGGCCACTGGGCCAAAAGAATCTGAAACGGAAGCGCTAAAAAGATATTGCGCTGGGATCAGATAAATGCTTTGGAGATTGCTGTGCCACATGCTGTAGTAGAAATCGCTTGGACTGGGATAGCCTCGGCGGACGGTCAGCATAAGCGAAAACTGAATCAAGCGAACGCAGTGGGTTGGAGCTGGCACGGTTCAGTTGCACTGGTTCGGCGGGATCTGCCAGGATTCGCCCTCGGAAGTAAAGGCGGCGTGCAGTGTCAACGGAGCTGCCAACGCGGCCCGAATGAGACTGAGCGGGACGAGGGAGCCGATATCAGCTGCTCTGTGTTGAGTCTGCTGCGCAGAAGTTTTTGGAGCTCCTCCGCCAAGTCCGGGCGATGGCAAGCAACCGATGTCTTCGGCGTCCAGGCCTACAGAGAACTTTCGAGGACGACTTCTTCACAAAAGAGTCCGAAGCGGGACATGCCGATCGATTACAATGCTTTCCCAGCCGACAAGGATCTTCATTCTCTACTAATGCGACCAAAATGCAGCTCTGGCCAGTCCATATCCACAATGTCCTTGTCTGTGACATTTTCCAGTCGCACCAACTCTCGTCGGATATATCGCACCACAGTCAGCATCAGCTCGGGATACGCAAGATATTTGTCGCAGTCCTCAGGTGCGAAATCGTGCACCCCGGAATTGTCATCTGTCACTGCTTCTTTTGAGAAGTCGAGCTTTGCGGGATTTACCACGAGTCCCCCGATGAGATTCACTGTGCGTCTGAATGCAGGCGAAGAAGGATCATCTGCAAATGCGATACCGGAAGCACCACGGGCGCCGAGCAGATTGCGCCAGACCGCCCCAGCCATGACCATGTCGCCTTTGATAAGACCAAGATCGAGAGCAAGGGCAAAACCAGTCCACTGCTCCTTGAGTATCTTGAGCTGCTGTGTGACCAGCCGATCCGGGGCACGACTCAGGCGCTCCTTCTTGTCTGTGGTCTTGGGGGCGTTGGGATTCACGTAGAATTTGGATTCGAAGATGTATGGTTTATGGTCATGGCTCGGCTGCATGATGGCGCGAACTCGGTCTTCGGCGTCTTGGAAGAAATGGTCCACGATGCAGTCTTCAAACCGCCTTCCATACGCAGGTGGCAGGGCACGGAAACGAACGGTGAGCATCCAGATGTGCAGCGCAGTCACAGTGAACCATGACTGGAACGTAGGGGGGAGTGCGCATTCTCGAATGAGATTAGTGGGGCTCCAGGACGCAGCGAGAGAAATGGATGTTCACCGTTGTGCCAGAAGTCCTTCTCTTCGTCCGCCTTTATAGAGCAAACCCTCTCGTAAAGGACGAACGTCCTAATCTGAGCTTTGCTTTTCGGTGTTCCATATCCGAGCGCATTGGTGAGTTTTAGGAACAAGTCGCGGTTTTGTGGAGATTCCAATACTTTGCGCGCTAGCCAACCCGGTTTGCGTTCGGGTATGAGTTCATCTACCGCTCTTTTGCCTTTGTCTTCCGAGAATGCGCGAGTCGTGGACGGAAGAAGAGTTACAGTACGTCGTGGGATTGCAGACCGTGCCAGCCCGTGCACAAGAGAGGTTCGTCTCAACATTTTTGGGCAGTGTCACAGTTTCGTGTCGTGTCACGTCGCGAACCTGCCGCGACCGTGACGATGACATAGCGCGCTTTCAAATCATTACCATCATGTTCTCAGCTGCTCGGCGTGGACTGTATCGAGGGGCATCTCTGCATTCTATTCCAGTTACGTCTAGCAGACAGTGGCGCACTTTCTCTGCATCCCGCGCTCGTCTTTCCGCCGAGCCTTCCGGCCAACCCACTGTTCTCTTGTCGTCTCCGTCTCCGCAATATCTCGAGCAGGAAGAACTAGATGTTGAACTATTACCTCCACAGCAAGTGCAGATGATCCTTACCGACCGAGCGGCAGAAGTGTGCACCGGGTTTCTTGCCCCAATTGCTATCTCACGATGATAACAGCAACTCCGCAGCATATCTCAGCGTGAAGCCGACACAAACGCAGCGTTGAGGATTTCTGTCGAATCGGGAGGCTGCCATGGTTATCAGTACAAACTGGAGCTAGCAAAATCCCGAGCTCTGGATGATTAGTGAGGACATGGCTTGTGTTCGTTAACGGTTCCCTGATGTGTCCTCAGCCATCTCAGTCACCCATCGGTCCAACCATCCAACATCCTTGTGGATGCAGTCTCACTACCGCTCATCAATGGCTCTACAATCGACTATGCGACTGAGCTCATAGGAAGTAGCTTCCGGGTGATCGAGAATCCGCATTCCAAGGGTAACGGGTGCGGGTGCGGTGTGAGCTGGGAGCTGAAGACATAGTGGTTACGAAGAGAACACTGGCGCAAGACAAAGTGTGTGTATCGAAGGGTAGGTATGGACAATATATGTCCGTTTCAGCTAGAGACGTCCATGCTAGTCGAAATATCGGATAGGAATAGAAACATGAATTTTGTACAAGGAAAGATGCGCATCCTTCAACTCACCCCCTACGTAACAACACAGCAGCCACTGCTCTCCTCCTTCTCTGGTACACCTTTGCCGCTGCTTTTCCGTCTGTGATGACGGTTGTCGGTGGCAACACCTCCCGGAACTCCGTCGCGCATGAGCATACTCGCACGCGTCGCCGTCTCAAACACTTCGTCCACACCCTCGATCCTGAGTGCCGAGCATTCTTTGTACGCACGAGCGCCGATGGCTTGGGCGACGCGCTCCCCTTGCTCACGGGACACCCATTGAGTCGAGTTTTCTTGTGGTGAAGCAGGGCGCAAGTCGGCTTTGCATCCCACGAGGATCACCGGAATCGTCGATCCACAAATGGCGCGCACTTCTTCAATCCACTGGTCAAGCGTGAGCAGCCGGAATGACTAGATACACCGCCACGCAACCTTCGTCTGTACGTTCTCCAGAGAATCCGGTGTGTCCAATGCGAAAGCGATGAGAATGACGTGGGACTTGGAATAGGACATTGGGCGTAAACGCTGCAGAGCGCAGTGGCGAATTAGTCGACTGCGTAATGATTGGACAGAAAGCTCGCCTCGTATTCTTCCTGACCTCTGCCAAGGGTTCAACCCATGTGAACGCAGGGACAGATATGAAATGTGGCGTACGCTGTATCCCACAATGCTAGTTGAACGGGCTTGTCATCGAGTCGGATTTCGGCTACATAGTTGTCGAACACAGCTTGGTGGAAATTGAGTGATGACGGAGCTTATCGCCTCTTAACACCTTACTGGGTTGCTACATTGGAGCCGCATGTCAGTGAAGCGAGAGAAGGATGAAAGTTAAGATACTCACATAGTCTCTAGGAAACTCCCCAAGCGCAAATGAGCACAGCAAGGATGTCTTGCCGCAGGCACCTGCAATGAGGGATGAGCGAGTGCACAATGCGCAAGATAGAAAAGCATGCCATCTCCGACGATGACGAGCTTTCTCCGGATCTGCGAGTATTGAGATGACAGTCTGCGGTGAATAGGAACGCAAACGACGGGGAGTCGAGAGCCAGCGACGGACAGGGTTCACGGATGCCATATGTATGAATTAGGGCCTCGAGAGCTGAAGGGAGCGCGAAAGCAAAGCAAGGGAAGGGCCCGAGAAAGGGTAGAGTAGATAGAGTGAAGGAAAAGAAAGAAGGACGCGGCGGTCCAGTTTGTTGTCCGAATCGCCGTCACAGCCTCTCTCGCTAAGTAAGGTGTCTGACGTCAATGGAAAAAATCGCATGGCCACGGTCGCGGACGCTGGATGCGCTCCAAATTCGACGACCACTATACAAGAGCATAGCAGCGCGTCCGAAGATGTGTTCCCACAGTTCACTCAAGATTTGCTGTCCATACCCGTCGATTTTGCGATATGTGAAGCGCAGCACATCACTATAAATATGCCATCTGTCTGAAACCCGTCGCTTCCTCCCATCCACCGACTGTCACATTTATAAATGGAGAAAATGACACGCGGATTTGTACTTTTGGAGTCTCCAGAATAGCACAGCACAAGACAGTCGGTACCGCGAATGAAATATGTGGTGAATGTACGAGCTAGTCCCTCCTTTTCCGACGAGAATCTGCTTCATAATCTCGTCGACGGTCATCTCTATCATTGCGCCTGTCTCCGTCATAATCTCGCCGCGTCGAGTCTCTGCGCCCATCGGCACGTCTGCCATCTCGATACTTGTCATCGCTTCTGCGATCATCGTAATTCCTTCGGCGACTGGGAGACCTTGAACTGCGTCGAGAGACATCCCGACTGGAAGACCCTTCTCGTGAATCAGTCTCTCTTCTGACGACTGGGACATATCGTTTCTCCGGGCGCTTGCTGGCCTTCTTGCCGGATCCGTCATCGAAAACCTCTTGCTCCTTGGCTCCAATGCCCAACAAGGCTGGCCTCGCTTCAGGAAGATAGGGCTGCACCATGCCTTTCCCTGGCTTCCTCGAGGCTGCGGTTCCCTCTTTCCAGCCCATGCCTCTTAACAGCGCGAGCCCGAACTGCTCGACCGGAACCCGGTTATAGTCGTCTAATGTCGCAACGTCCGGCAGCTCGTCAATGTCCCGCTTCAAAGCGTCTTCTTCCGAAATAGAAGGAGGGATGACGCCTATGGAGTAGTTGCCTTGCTGCTCCCCCGATGCTTCGGCCAAGATAGCGCGGAGTGCCAACTGTTCTTCCGTCTGAGGCTCCTCTTGAACATCAACCATATCCACCTCGCCTTCTGCAGACATCGCGACATCCTCTGACGATTCTTCTACGACCTTCTTCGATCTGACTTGGAGACCAGAGAGCACTGGCCCAGAATTGATGCTATCTCGTGTCCCGAGTCCACCAACGCTGCCGTCTTGTCCTGTAGCAGCCTTGCCCGATTCAGGAACAAACTGATTGGCACCGCGTCTCTTCTTCGCAAGTTCCCTCCAGTCCTTGTTTTTTTGGGCGGGAATGATCAATGGGCCTTGTGGTGTCTTTTTCGGCGGACGCAACCTGAAGTATTGAAGGTTATCGGGGAAGACTAACGTGAGTTGAGAAACCGAGTACAGCAAAGGAGCAAACACACCGCTGAGCACCCATTGCATCAAAGCTTGTCACCAGTTCGTCCTGTTCTTCGTCGTCGTCACTTGAATCATCGTCATATCGGGTGGCGGGAGAAGACGTGTGACTGCGACTGAGGGGGCTCCCGGGGGTGGAATCTTGAGCCAAATGCCTCGGCAAAGCGGGAATTTTGAATCCTGAGTCCGAATCTGGACCGGAAGATGCGCCACGCGATACAGGGGATGGTCTGCGAACAGTGAACGAGACTTTGGACATGGAGGATTGACAAGGAGTTGAGTTTGTTTGGGATCACAATATCCAGCACAGCATTCAAGAATGACAGCTCAATACTTATGTAATCCAGATCGTATCTAATCTTACAGGACAGGGGTGGTCAAAGTAAACGGAGTGCTGGAGCGCGATTGGGGCGTCTCTGAGCCCACACGACTAGCTGTCGGATAAGGGACAGGAATGGGCATCTCGTCATTCTCGTGACTCAGACTTGAGCGTGCGAAGCTTTCCTTCTGAAAGTCTTGGAGAGGGAATGGAGAAGGATTAGTGAGCGCCAAGCCAACTCTGGTATCGACCGAGTCGTCAAAGAGCCTGCTCCCAGCTGTGGGGTTCCAGGCACCAGCGGAAGACTCGGCCGTAGACTAAACTCGACGTGAGCAAGATACGGGCCGATGTTGCTTCAATCAACTTACTGGCGACTGAACGCTGATATGCACAGGACCGGAGGACATGGAACTGCGATTTGCACGATAATGCTCTCACTATGCATTGCGGGAGTGCGGTGCTGCCCCGATTGGGCCGACCCAGCCTAGAGTAGATGTGTCAGCAAGACCCGACTGTGTGGTAAAACCTCTAACGCACCACTGAGAGTGGCCGCCGCGGCCCCGGGGACAAAGCCCTCGCAAACGCAGACGGGGAAATTGTTGGCTCAACAACCACTCCAGATTGCCTCAGTGACGTTGCCTCGGCGATGGGATCGACCTCATGGGCCGGGGGTATGTGGATGACTCCCGCAGGATCCGAGACAGGAATGACCCCGATCGGCATGCGATTCACTTCTCGTGGGGGTGAGGCATCGAGTTGTGGATCGGTATCGGCCGAATGTCATGGAACGGAACGTAAACAGGCGCTGGACTCGCTCCCTCCTCGATTCCCGTTGGTGCGGATGCCGGAGGAGTGACAAATTCGGCGATGGGCGATAGGACTGGGATGGGCTGCTGAACGGCTGACGGTGCATAAACTGAAGTAGATCTTTCAGAAAGCGTCAATATGGATTCAACTGGAGATTTGGCCGTTCAAAAGCCGGCTCTGGCTCCGCCATCACATCTGAAGGACCCGATGCGGAGGCTTCAGCAGGAATGTTTCCTTCAGACTCAGCAGTGTAGCCTCTTTGTCCAGCCTCAAAGCCTTGCTGGGCTCCCTGGCGGCGGCCTTCCTCCAGAGCTTTATACATCTTCTGTTGTTCGTGCAGCTGACGTGCGAGTGTTCGTGATTTGACTCCCGCCACCTCAGCATTGTATCTGTCCTTTTCAACAAGCTCGAAGACTGTCTGTGCTCGGTGTATCTCGTTTTGCGCTTTTTCCAATTGAAACCTGTACAGACTAAGGCCGAATCAGTCCCAGGCTGATGTGCATGAGATTCTCGCACGCCAATGACTCATTCAGCCGTGACGTTTCACGTACGGCAGAGACTCTGAGCGGATCGTCAGAAAAAGCGGCTGGCTCAAATAATGACCGACCGCTCTTCGTTGACTGATCGAAGGCGGGTTAGTACCGTCGCAACTTTGTTCTCGGCTTCGTTTGTCGAAGTCATCTGTTCGCGTAGCCGTTCTTTCATGAGGGTGAGTTCGCGCTTTGTTTCCTGGTGCGCTCGACGTTCTTGATGTAGAAGGTCGACCAGCACTTGAAACGATGCCCTGGAGTCATCTCTTGATCGATGTGAATGCCTCCGAGATGATTCAGCTTCAGCACCAGAGTTATAACCTGAGCCACCCCGCGCCTCGATGTCCTCGCTCACGAGCATAGGCAGATCCGAGCGGTGGTCATTATCCATGGCAAGCAACCACGTTGAAGATGCGCGCCGAGGGCTGTACTATCAACACGTGCCCGCGACAGCTAATATGCTTAGAGCCATGATGCTATCAACATAGCTTTAATCTGGTCGATTGAATAGGATTAAATTACATGTTCATGTAGCATTGCTTGCAATTATGCGCCCTTGGCTTTTGAAATCTCCTTCTCTGCCCTCTTTTGTGCATCCTCAGCCTTCTCCTTGGCGGTTTCGGCTTTATCGCGACCCCATCCTACCCAACTGGACCAGGACTGCGAAGCTTGCGCAGCTTTGTCGTCGGCAGTGTTGCGGGCGTCCTTGTACAAATTCTCGGTAGAGGTGCGCGCGCTGTCCAGTTCTCCGCGAAGGGAGTTTTTGGCGGAATCATACATGCTTTGGGCGTCGTCTGCGACCTTGTGCACACGAGCATCCGCATCGGCCATCACACGATCGCGAGTATTCTTCACCTCTTGCACCTTGTCAGAAGCGGCAGCTCGGGCGGCAGCCAATCCGTCTTTGCTCGAGTTGACGGCCTGATCTCGCATGTCCTGTGCATGGCCAACTGCAGCCTTTTCCTCCGCCTTGGCCTTGGCCTTCAACTCGTCGACGCGTTCGGGGTTGGCAGAGTAGTAATAGACGCCTGCTGCGGCTAGTGCTGCCCCAAGGACGTACAGCGGAGTCCTGTTTTTGGGGCTCTCCTGCAGTTGTGGGGGTGGCGGTGCCGAGGAATAAGAGCGACCCTGATGATAATCAGCCAGTGCATGGCTGTAGATTGGCTGTGTCTCACAGGAAGCTGACGCTGACGGCTGAGGGTACGAGCACTGGTTGCGGCTACACGGAGAGAGACATGATGGTAAGATGGCGGATTAAGTCCGCATGGCATCCGTTAAATAACAGCCCATGGGCCAGGACTGGGGGAGTGACGTCGTCGGATACGTAGTGTGGGAATGACGCGCTAGGTCCCGTGATCATGCCAAAGCCGTGGAGATCCTTGTTAACGTTGAGCCAGACGAGACCTACACGCAGTTCTGTTGTTGAAACGCGTTTCTGCCATGGTCCTCGAGATTGTGCGCACGCTCTGAGTGCAACCGTCACTCCAGATCATCAGGAAAGGACACGCAGTTCTCGTCAAGATGTCTGCTCTGCTTCGAGCTTGATAGATGTCATCACATCGGACTGCACTGCCTTCCAGACCGCGAAGTATAACTGAGTTTTGAAGGAGGCTGACAGAAAGCGGCGAGGGACAAACCTCGGCTGCTTGCCCAAACACTGACAGAAATCAAACAGCAACAAACCCATTTGTCTCGGGTATTGATTCTCACTATCTTCGTCGAGACAACCTCAATACCCGCCCTTCGGCCGCACATCGCCCCAAACACTACATCTCGCCTTCAGCGAACATTACATTCGACGTCGGGCTAGCTCCGGACGCCTGCTTTCACCCCTTCCCGCGCAGGAACTATGACTGCCACGGACGCTGACCCGTTCGCACAACTACTTGCTCCCCCACCCAACGAATCGCCTCAGGATCGAGACGCCCGTGTACAACGCGAACGAGAGGCCAAAAAACGCTCAGATCTCATTGACCAAGAATTGACCCGAGAACGCGCCGCCGAAAAGAAATCGAAGCCGGTGAAGATACTACTGCTGGGTCAGAGCGAGTCCGGTGCGTCGGATCCTCCTCCTCCTTATTGCCGATCACCTACACAGAGCTCGCTATCCAGGAAAATCGACTACTTTGAAGAGTATGCCTCGTCTCGTTGATCATTCCGTCCACTCAGTCCTCCATAGATTTCCAACTCATCAATTCTCCGAAAGTATGTGCCCGCGCTTCGTTCATCCTCGCCCTTGATGAACTCCATCGTCCAGGCATTCAAGTCCGAGCGTGCCTCATGGAGGGCTGTCGTGCATCTCAACGTCGTCCGCTCCATGCGGCTGATCATCAGCGCTCTCAACGAAGCTGAAGCATCCAACTCATCCACCTTCTCACGCGCCGCCGACGATCCAGTGTACCCAGATCTGACACCCGAACTCCGCAAGTTGAAGATGCGTCTCCTTCCGCTACAACAAGTCGAGGAAGCCCTCCTCGGCAAGCTCTCTCCCTCTAGCAAGATCAAGAACGAGAATGGGGAGGAAGACCCCGCTCCTTTGCCAGAGGTTTCTGTGCATTCGGCTACTCAATGGAAAGGTGCATTCACTCGCCTCATGAACAATGTTCGAGGCAGTGTGGATGGACCTGAGGCCAATGAGCCCATGGACTCCAGAGAAGCACGGCAACTCCTACATGCTTGCGCTGAGGATATGGTCGAACTTTGGCAAGACCCCACTGTAAAGGATGTTTTGAGAGCTCATCGACTGCGACTGGAGGATATGGCCGGTTTGTAAGTGCACCACATGTATTGATCTTCGCGTCTCATACGTTGCAGCTTCCTCGACTCGATCGAGAGAGTGACCGCGATGAATTACGAGCCGTCCGATGGTACGTGATTACTTCATCTGCCTGTTCAGATACTAAAAGAACGCAGATGATATACTCAAAGCCCGCTTGAAAACGCTAGGTCTCAATTTGTGAAAAAGTGCTGACGCGTATGCTCAATCACACGCGCAGGCGTATCCGAGCATCACTTCAATTTCAAGTCTTGTCCGTCTTTTTCGCAGTTGAAGATCTACGTCTAATTTTCCTAGCTTCAACGGGTAACATGGTTCCTCATGACTGGGTGATATACGACGTCGGAGGTGCCAGGTCATTGGTAAGTCGATTATCCGGTTGCATTCAGCGTGGTCGGTGACTCTTTTGCAGCGAGGTACGTTTGTCTCGTCGTCTTGTCAACTTGTGCATCGCTCACATCGACCCACACAGCCGCTTGGTAGGAATTCTGATTCACCACCGTCTTCTACTGATGGACAATAGGGTGCCTTATTTTGACGATATGGATGGTGGGTACGAGAAGCATGCTTTTTGACACCGCTGAGCGTTGCGCAGCCATCATCTTTCTATCGCCGATATCCTGCTTTGACCAGGTAAATTACCGGCCACACTGCATGTGACGATCATGAACACCGATGTTTCGCAGGTCTTAGCCGAAGATGAGTCCGTCAATCGGCTGGTATTGAAGACTGCTCTCCAGATGATCGACTGGTGTTCATTGTGCTTTAGGAGGACTCCATATTACTCTGGAAAACTATCGTCTCTAGCCCTTTGCTGAAAGATACCAGTCTCATCCTGTTCTTGAACAAGTGTGACATGCTCAAGGTCCGTTCGAGTCCTTTTTTTTCTGCGTGGATTCTCACTCTGTCACTAGGCCAAGCTTGCCTCCGGTCAGAAATTCGCCGAATATGTTATATCCTATGGGGATCGTCCCAATGATTTTGAAAGTACTTCCCAATGTGCGATCGATTTTTCTTTGGTTGTGCTTGATGCATGTGCTAACCGCGCTGCAAGACATGAGGAAGAAATTCAGTGGGGCTCCCTGCCTTACTGCGCCCGTGTCGTGCATTAATCCCGTTCTCATAGGCATGATCGCAAAGCAGCACTCGCCCCAACCCAGAAGCTTTTATACATACCTGACCTCCGTCACGGTTTGTGTGTCCCTTGTCTCACCGGCTATGGCTGATCATACAATTCAGGACGCGCGGTCGACATCTGATATCTTGGGTAGTGTTCGTGACATGCTCGTCCGCCAGAATCTCGAGAAGAGTCGTCTTGTTTGATGGTATGTTTTCTTGTTCTGTCGAAACCTGATTCTTATTGATGTGGCCAGCTTTGGATCTTGGAACTATCTTTATCAGTCATGGAATCATCTTCATTTTCATCTTGTCAATCATCTGGAATCCTCTTTATCTTGTGGGTTTGTCGTAGAGTTGAGTCTTGATGGTCTGCTGTCTCGGTAGGTTAGCAGAGCATCTGTATTATGCATCTTGATTACGTCATCGACGCGACTTCGCACAAAGGCGTCATTGAACTTCTCATTTCACTTCTCCTGCCGAATGGCACAGACTAGTGACTCTGAAATGCTCGTGGAGGACTGCACCAATGAAAAGGCGCGTCCATTCTCATGTGTATTGGAACACGGACGTCTCGAAAACTGCACCGACTGTTTCCCTCAAGATCACCTGGAGCTTCCCAGCGAAGAACACGATCGCGAGGGAGACAAGGAAAGCGAGAGAAACAATTCAGATGAAGAGAGGTAAGCAATTATTCTATTTGGCATTCATTTTCCGATTACCTCTCGCGTTCTCGAGCATCAGTCCACCGGACGCGAAAGAGTGCATTGAATCCCTCGTTCTATCCTTTCTACATCAACTTGCTTTTCCTTTCGACCGAGATCAGGAAGATGAAGATGATGAAAGAACATCGGACTCGCAATCAGATGAGCCCAGACAGAAGAAACAGCGGAAGAACAAATGCAAAGCGAAGCCGATTGAGTTGCAGGTCTCGGACAGAAAAGCAGGAGGGTGTGTCAATGCACATTGAACTAGGCAGGAAGCAGAAACATATAGAAGCTCTATGCGCACTATGCGATACCCAGCAAAACGGGCCACGGGGAGCGCAAGATCTTTCGGTGGGTACATGCGCTCTGATGTCCTCATTAGCATCGAAGTCGCGCTTTAGCACAGCTTTTTCGCGTCCTGGATGTGATGCACGAGTCCGTGTTGGATGGGGCGACAGCGACGAAACGGTAAGCCGACTCCGGATGCAATGCGACCGGTCCAAACAAGTCCAGGGACATCTACTATCGAGACGTTCAGCTTTTCCAAAAACAGCGCAATGTGGATAATGTATGCAACCTTCCACGCTGTCGGTCATGGTGTTGATGGTGCATAGCTTGTAGACGACCTCGCGGCGACTTTTGAGCTTGAGAGAGCTGACTTGAATGTAGTGAGTGCCGAACCGTTTCAGGTGCCGTGTCGCCTGACTAAGTCTCAATCAGCGCGCGACTGCAAAGGGTCTCTGCTGCGGATCTGGGTTCAGTCTACGTCTGATGTCGGGGACGATAGTCCAAGCCACGGATACGGAGGTCGGAATGTGAGCTATTGGCAGACGAATTCAATTGAAGGAGGATATCCGCAGGGCATTCTGATTCCACCGGGAGAAGACATCGCTAGAATTGAAGTCGGAGAGGATATTGGCTGGGTATTGGCCGTTGAGAAAGATGTGCGTGTGTGCCACAGCTTGCCTATGATTTTGCCGACGGAAACAGGCGGTCTTCCAAACCCTATCGAAAGCACGTATCACAGCGCACCCGAATCTCCCTCGTGGCATTCTGCTCACGGGAAAAGGGTATCCTGATCTGGCGACGCGCTCACTGTTGGCCGCGCTCTCAGCTTCCCTACCTGCTAAAGTATGCATCTTGGGGTTGGCAGATGGAGATCCGCACGGCGTGGACATCCTGGCTGTTTATCGGTTTGGAAGCCAGAGGATGAATCACGAGCGTGAGAGTCTTCGAGCTTCAAGGCTGAAGAGTATCGGAGTCTGGGCAGGCGAGATAATAGACAAGTGCGTTGATTCTACCTGGCGAACTTCGGATGGTGTTTTGACCTTTAGCAGATACGGGGTCGAACGAGATGCGCTCCTTCCCATTACAGTCCATGACCAGAAGAAAGTTTGTGCATCAGACGTCTCCGATGATGCGTCCTTTGAAACTCCGCGCAGGCCCTTACGATGCTCCAGAGGACTGAACTCCCTAATCGATGGAAGAGAGAACTATCGTTGATGCTGCAAACTCGGAAAAAAGCGGAGATTGAAGTGCTAGAAGGGCGTTTGCTGGACTATGTGGTTGGAAAGATCAAACAAAAAGTGGAAAGTAGAGATTAGAATCGAAATGACCGTTAGAGATCAGGGCCTTGTATGCAGATGTTGTTAGCACCGTCATGAACGTTCGCCCGCCTCCTGCGCGGCCTCACATTGCGATTCACCCTTCGACCTATTCCAACTCCTCATCACGTAACGAATGGGACGATGCATGGGACAGCGGCTCGGATAGTGACGAGGACGCCAAGTACCGAGCGTCGACATCGAACTTGCACCGAATGTCTAATACATCATCAACATCCTTCAACCCCCGCTCGTCGACGTCTTCGTTGAGACAGGGTGCCGTTGCGGTGCCAATCAAACATAAGGAAGCTTCCGCATCGACCTTGGCGTTCTCCTACACACATGTCTCAGCTCCCAATCCAAGCTCATATCCACCCAAAAATGGCTGGACGATAGTAAAGACGAAGGGATGCGATGAGGGGGGTGGCAGCAGCCTAGACGCTGGTGATGATATATCTAGGAGTGGGCAAGGAGAAGCTGACAACGATGCCGATGTCGAAGGGGACATGATCTTGGGGGAGATGGATCCAGACGCGATGGAGGCGATGGCTGTCATACCACCCAAGCCGCGTGCGGACCAAGGTGTCGTGCGACAAGACGTGCTCGACATCGTCAATGATCCTCTCGTCGCTGTTCGATTGCGCCCAAGGCGGAAAGATCCATCCCCCACTCGACCAAGTTCGCCTAATTCACCTCAAAGCCGAGAACGCTCTGAAAAGCTGATGCGTGAACGTTCGATACGCACCAGTCGACGACACAAATTCGTCGAATGTCTTTCTGCTCAGGACGTCAGCATCGGTATGGATCCAGTGTCTGCAGAAGACTGAATGCTAAAAGTACCATGTGTAGCGGAGCTGCGAAAGTTGTCCTGGGCTGGAATACCAGCCGACTTCCGACCTATGGCCTGGCAACTCTTGCTGGGCTATCTCCCTCTCCCCACCCCGCTACGCGCAGTTACTTTGGCCCGGAAGCGTTCAGAATATCAATCTCTTGTCGAAGTCGCGTTCGCGCGCAATCGAGAAGGTCTAGACCAGCAAATATGGCATCAAATTGAGATCGACGTCCCGCGCACACGTCCTGGGGTGCGTTTATGGATGCATGCTGCCACGCAACGTCTCCTGGAACGGGTGCTATACGTTTGGGCGATCCGACATCCTGCCAGCGGTTATGTGCAGGGGATCAATGATCTCGTTACACCGTTTGTGCAGGTGTTTCTTTCCGCATATGTTGATTCAGATCCGGAACTGTTTGACCCAGCAATCCTCCCCCAGAGCGCATTGGAAGCTGTGGAGGCGGATGCATTTTGGTGTCTCAGCAGGCTTCTGGACGGCATCCAAGACAACTACATCAGTGCCCAGCCCGGCATCCAACGTAGTGTTCGACGCATGTCAGAGCTTGTCGCTCGAATTGATGCGCCCCTCTCGACGCACTTGGCAACGGAAGGAGTGGAATTCATGCAATTTGCCTTCCGGTGGATGAATTGTCTTCTAATGCGCGAGATCAGCGTGCGGAACACGGTTAGGATGTGGGACACTTACTTGGTCAGTCCGGTGCTTTGACACGCGGCTATGGTCTAATGGTGGACTAGGCAGAAGGACCGGATGCTTTCTCGCAGTTCCACCTCTATGTCTGCTCGGCCTTCCTTGTCAAGTGGAGTGAGAAACTGCGCCAGATGGACTTCCAGGGCATCATCATGTTCTTGCAGTCGCTGCCGACCCAAACCTGGGGAGACCATGAGATCGAGATGCTTTTGAGTGAGGCGTTTGTGCTCAACTCAATCTGGGCCAATGCGCAGAGTCATTTTGGTGCTCCCGGCTTGTAACTCGTGTATCGTACAATCTCAATGTGAAAAAGTTGATATCTATGTTCTAAACGCTAATGCGAGTGTTTTCAAATTATTGACTACAAGGTGGTAAACGTACAACATACAGTAGTACATACGAGCTACAGTGAAACAAGCAAAATTATTCCCAATTAAAATCCCTAGAATTGTCGCGTCTTCGGGCCAGTGCCAGCACCGGCTGCGTCCAATCGCCTCAGCAATTGTTGGGCGAGTAGAGCTTCCTCGACGTCAATCGCCGGTCGTAGCCGTCTGCCGGTGGCGAGCTGCTGAACAACGCTCGGTCCGATTTGGAAGGCTGCAGCGGACGTCGCCCAGAGAACTTGGGTGGGACGCGGACACGTGTTCTTGTTCTGGGCAGCGCAATCGGCGGCGTCAACGGGAGAGATCCCCAGGCACTCAGCCGTGTGGGACGATGTCCCTCCTCAGAGCTGGGAACGTGGCTGATTCGGATCGACGAAGGTGGGGTCGCAAAAGGGTCTTTTAGATTCTGACAGTCCTCTGTTCCGGGACTGATTGAGCGAAAGAGTTGGGCGCTTGGTATGGGCTTCCGCTGGGGCCGTGGCGACGAAAAAGAGGATGAACGGGATCCCGACTTGGCCTGATGACCACGCGGTGGGGTTGGTATGAACGCAGTTGCTTCTGATGCCGTTGTGAGCATCGTCGAGGTGTGAATGGACGATTCCGTAGATCTCGAAGAGTGGTGCACGAGTAGGAAAAACTCTATCGCACGTTGAGTTATGAGTATAACATGGTAACGGCACGACACTTACGGAAGAATGCGGCGATAGTGCAGATTGTCCATAACACCAAAAATGCATTGCCCACAATCCTGAAAATCAAAGATTCTGGCATCGAGTGTACAGCGGCTGCGATTTCCAAGCACAGATGGAGCACGGCTGATACATGTCCGAACGCGACACAAACCGAAATGCTACGAGGAGCAGGCGATGAAAGAGCCAAAGTCTCGACTTCAAGGGGAATGTCAGCGAATATTCGAGGTTTCTCCGACGACGATCGCGGATATGAAGATGGTGATGACAGGACAATCTGTGGTGCCAAACATGCTCCAGAAATGTTGAGACCGGATAGGTGCCCCAGCACCAGGATGGGAACGGCGAGAATGATCGCGACGAGATACAAAACGGGAGCGATTAGAAGTGGGACGGGCTTGAACGAGCCGACGATCGAGGTCAAGGTAGCTTCAACGTGATCATCAGCACCCGCGGTGGATTGCACTGGGACCACCCACCAGACATTAAAAGTATGGCAAAAATAATACAATAGGGACAAAAAAACCGGATGGGCCGAACGGAGATTTGTGACCACAGAAAATAAGTACAGAATCGCGCCCATCACTGTACGGCCGTTAGACCAGAAACCAGAGAGAGAAAGAACGTACACTCGAGATAAAGAGTGGCAGACACGAACGCATACAGTACGGAAACAGGTAGAGAGGGCGTTCGATCGCGAAAGAAGGAGATGGAGCCTGCCAAGATGGCGAGGAGCGCCAGAGAGAATACGACTAGGAACGCAAGTGCGACGCGTCGTTTCTGTCGGCTGGTGTAGACATGGATAGAGGAGGAGGCGCGACGCCTGTTGTGCGCAAGGGAACGTGATATTGCGAAGAAGAAGAGGACAACGGCTGCAAGGGGAACAGCGAAGAAAAGAGAGGGTGATATTGCTTGAAGGTGGGAAATATAAGTGCTGGCGACGGGGAACGACATGGACGGCCAGCAAAGAATGGAGGCGGGGGAAAAGACACGTTTCGTAGGCTGCGACTGGGTTTTAAGATCGCGAATGGCGGGTGGCCCAAAAGGGAAGGTCTAATAAATTAGTTCCGGGACGGAGATGGAACGGTCGTGCGAGCCTTCTGCGCTGCTTCTTCGCTAGGTCCCATCACTCCGAGGACATATTTGGACCTGCACTTCCTGTCTTGTTTTCCCACTGGTGTCACTCAGACGACCTCTTGCTCAGAGACCCTCGATGATCGGAGCAAGCCGAGCATTACAGGACGACGCGACACGCAGAGGTCTATACAGTGGCTGCATAATTCCACCCGTTTTGGAATTATCGAGATGAAACACGACATCGTCCTCCATCGAGAACGGAGTCAGGCCGGGGAAGATTTGCGCTGACGGGGTCGAGACCATGGAAGCACGAGGACAGAATTGGCGTCACTGTCAGTTCAGAGGGCAGCCGGCATCCGAACGTAACCATCTCAACGAGCGGCATCCCAACGAGCAAGACGTCTTGTAGGCTACTAGGGCCGGAATGTTGTGTTCTAGCAAGAAAGCCGGCTTTCGCTTCAGTGGAGCTGCCCTGGTCCACCCACTCCAGCTTGAGACCGCAGAGTGTATGATAAGCAGCAATCAGCCGTCGTCGTCGTCGTTGTCTGTCCACCGCCACTGTAAATTGTGCTCGTCGGCAGCGCATTATGGTCAAGAGGAACAAGTGGCGACGACATCAGACATGGCAAATGCTGGTCTAGCTGATAAGAATTGACTCAGATCTTATCTTATCTGCTCCCGACATTGACAGTCTCCGACTCCAGCCATCACATTATCAGAAGGAACATACAATCGTGTGTGATGTAAATGTACATTGTCCGGAGAGAGAGAAACATAGAGCGGATGATCATCCCTTCAATAACAGAAGCCATCCTCAATGACGTGTCCACACCGAGCGCACTTGACTCGCCGATCGAGCAGGCACAGACCGACCCCCAGAGGGAACCAAAATACGGCGGCCAGGATACCTGCCGGAAACGTCAATGTATGCGCCAGAGGTAATACCTGGACAGTCCGCACCAAGGAAACCGTAGTTAGTCATCGGAACGTGCTCTCCTGCCTGTAGACATATCATTTCAGGGTGATCGGGAGGGAGCTATTGTAATAAATGCATGATCAGTCATCAGATTTTGCTAGTAGCCTGTGCGCTCACCAGAGAAGCGACGTGTTCGCCCGTTCGAGAGTTGTGGTAATGGAAGACCACAGGATTTGCAGAAGAGGAAGGTCCTGCGTGAGGGACATAGATGGGGCTTGCATCCATGACCGGAGCACGTTTGACGTCCTTCACTTGAGCTACGCCGGATCTCAGTAATTCTTCATCATGCAATTCTGTAGTGAGGCGTACAAGAAGGAGCGGCATCCTCGTAAGCAGGCGGCTTGTCGTTAGTTTCGCTGGACTGTTGTGAAAGGTCAGATACTGGAGAGATCAGGGTCAGAGGGACTCGCCATAGTGGGTGGAGTGAGAGACTGGGTGAGCCGTCTTGACGATCCAAATTTGTACTTGACGCCGAGACTGCGGCTGCGCAATGCGGTGCTGCGGGGATTTGACAGGTGATTATCGTTGTTTGGTGCTTTCCTCTTTTATCGAAAAAATCTTCTCCTTCTCTTCGACAAAATGGACGTCGACAACGCTGGCCCATCCAACACGAATCATGTCGCGCCTAACCCTATGGATATGACATCCAAGGACTAGTTGCGTGATCTGGATGTGAACAGACCACAAATCACTCAACCGGCGTGTTTTTCTAGCTATGCCGACTCATACGCCCATTTTGGTTCGCACGAACGCGTTTTATCAGCGGATTCGGTGTTAACTCACACGTAGGCATCCACGAGGAGATGTTGAAAGACTCTGTCCGCACGGGATCGTACCGTTCTGCGATCGTGAACAATGCCCATCTCTTCAAGGGAAAGACCGTCTTAGATGTCGGCTGTGGAACTGGTATCCTGAGCATGTTTGCTGCCAAGGCTGGCGCGAAGCATGTCGTTGGTGTGCGTGATTGGATCGGTCTGGCCTTTCCAAGCTTAACATCGTTGAATTTCATACAGATCGATATGTCCAACATTCTTGATCAAGCCCAAAAAATAATTGAAGCCAATGGCTTCAAAGACAGTCCGTCGTCCTGCTCAGTCTTTTAACCGAGCTCATATTCAAATTTCCAGCGATCACTCTCGTCAAGGGGAAACTGGAAGATGTCGAGCTGCCGATCCAAGAATTTGATATTATCATCTCGGAGTGGATGGGATATTTCCTTTTATATGAGTCCATGCTCGACACCGTTCTTTTGGCGCGCGACAAGTACCTCAAGAAGGACGGATTGATATTCCCGGACACTGCTACACTCTACATGGCAGCTATAGAGGATCAGGATTATAAGGAGGAAAAGATCAATTGTGCGCATGGTCTCCTAGCGGCTCAATTGTCCTGTCCTGATGATCCAAAGTCTGGGACAACGTTTACGGCTTCGACTACTCCTGTATCAAAGACATCGCTCTGCGGGAGCCTCTGGTTGACACTGTTGATCTCAAAGCTGTCGTGACGGATCCTTGCTTGATCAAGGTATGCGTCATGCGTCCCTTGCTTTCTATACACTGACTATCGTACAGCACATCAACATCCTTACTGCTACCAAGGAAGATCTAACATTCCAAGCACCATTCAAACTCACAGCAACCCGAGACGATTGTATGAAGCGAGCCGACGATTCTATCATAAGCTCACTCATCTCTTAGACGTTCATGCCTTCCTTGCTTGGTTCGACATCTGCTTTGAATGCACACACAAAAAGGTCAAGTTCTCTACTGGACCACATGCCCAATACACACATTGGAAGCAAACAGTCTTTTACACGCCCAACACGATTACGCTTTCTACGGGCGACACGGTCGAGGGCGAGCTGATCTGCGCCCCTAATGCCAGGAATAACCGAGATCTCGATATCTCGATCTCGTACAAGACGAGCACAGACGAGGAGGAGGTGAAGATCAACTACAAAATGTACGTGGTGATCGTTTTACTTTTCTCTTGCTTGGATCTCTGCGTGGCTCTCCTCTCGAACTCAAGGTAGGGATCGCTTACTGACCGGTTTCCAGGTCTTGAGCTGATCCCCTCCTTTTCTTTTTTCTGTCCACATCTTTTTTGGTTGTCCTAATCACCTTGCCTCTGGCAGGTACTAAACCGCGGCGTTCCTCAACTCGCCCCCTCCCGAGGGATCTCTGGGATGTGCATGCACTGGCTATCTGTGTCAGTCAGGCTGCTCATTATTGAATATACATGTAGCGTATCTTTGCTCAATCTATATACTGTACAATCTCAGCCCCACTTGGTCGATCGCGCACACTCAATCGCGCAAAGCGAACACTCCAGCAAAACACACGAGCATCGAGCAGAAAACTATCATGCGCATCTCCTCGCCAGCCGCAGATCGCTCGAATAGGATGCGCACGACGTTCCGATTAGCAGCCGTGGACGGTCGCAAGTCCTGAGCAGACACCTTGGACTGGTGCACGAGACCGCGCCACGGCCAGACCGTTGTACGTCGCTCGTGGATGCCCAAGGTTTCAGGCAATCCGAATTGATCGCGTTCGATGGAAAAGGTGGCGTTGGCTTCGACCAGTCTGGGGATTAAAAAGAGCAGCCACGAACGCCGCGGAAGTGCATGCGGATAGCCCGAGTGCACAAACGAGAGCGAGAGATGGTGTAATCGAGGATTAGACCGCACGATTCGGGATCCTGCTGCAGAAATGGACATGTCACCAGTCGGCACAAGAGTCAGTTTCAAGGTTTGCAGCCTGCGGAAAGCTGGCAGGGATTTGGCAAACGAGTCCTGAAACTTCAATCAGACACAGCAGTAGACAACCGAACTGGAGGTAGGCACCAATTGAAAGGACGAGGTCCGAATGCAACTGAGCTTAAGGTCCCGCAAGTTCGGACATGAGGACATCAGCGCCCGCAGTATGCTGCTGCTGTCATACGGCGAGTGTAGCAAGAATGTCACATTCAGCTGGGTGAGAGCAGGCAACTGCTGCAACACGCTGGACAGCGTCATGGTCATAACATCACGTGACCAGAGTGGCTCCCGAAAAGTCAGGGACATTAGATGCGGGTATGTCGACACAAGCGTCTGAAGCTGCGGGAAAGTCCCAGTGAAAGATGACAACTTGAGAATATCGGGTTCAAGGGCTGTCAGATGACGATGATCGACGTTGTGACGAGAAAGACCGAGACTATGGAGTCCATCATGAGCCTCGAGAAAGGCGATAAACGCGCCTTTTCCGGTTGTCGGAGGCGTTGTCCAGTCCACAGCCACATCCCCGAGACGAAGTTTATGGAGATGCGGCCACCGACCTTCTGTCAAACAACGAACATCAACCGGGAAAGGTGAATGGCCCTCGATCACCAGTTCCTCCAGATTAGGGCATCGCTGGAATAACATGTCCCACAGTCTTTTACTGGGTCTCCGCTCTTCTTCATCTTTATGAGAAACATACGAGATGGACAGCCAAAGAAGCACCTTCTAGTAGGGACACGATATCCCTCTCGTAGAACCCCGGTGTTAGATTCACAGAGAAGCCCAGAAGATCGACGAAGTCGTATAACTGCGGGCCAGCCGGTCAACATCTTCCGCTACACCGCAAGATATGGACTCGCATGACTATTCGAAGGGAAGAATGCGCCAATGGTTGAACTGACGTATCGCAGCCTGGGGCAGCTGGTTCCGAACTTGTCAGCGAGCGAGCTATACGCGAATAATGAACGAGGTACACACCACATGCGGAGAGCAAGCCACATCTCCTCATGGCACTCATCCCCACACCACGAGAACTTCTTCAGCGCATCCAGGTTTGAGGCTATCTCTGCGACAGCTGCTGAAGCCGCTCTGCTATCTGAAATTAACTGTTCTCTGGTGCCCTTCGGTCGAGAAGGCCGGACAATCAATTCCCGAACGTGTCTGGCAATGGTCCGCTGTCGCTTGAGCATATTTAACGTAGCCGTGCATTGCTCCGTTGACCCGAGGAAGACACATTGATATAGAACGGGCGCGAGCTCGTAGTAGAATGATTTGCACTGTCCTACTCCAGTTCCCATTACCGGAAGATGGGGACGAGATCACGCACAACAAAGCACAGACTGAGTAGATCCGACCGGTTTGCGAGTAAGGCAGCAACGTCAAGGAGGACGTCTGCAGGTACCCGCGAGAGGCTGAGGCCAACCATGATCACTGTGGGGGAAGAGGGAGAACGCATTTGATCGGCTTGTCGCCGCTAGTTACCGATCTGGAGTTGTTTCCGACCATCACGATGCATGGTCATGTTTCTTATGGTGACCTTCCCGGTTCCATGATAGCAAACCTCGCCGGAAAACACCCATTCACACAACAGGAACGTCAGTGCACGGCGAATTGCAAATCTTCGATCTCCAGCTGACTTCGCTCCTCCAAACAGCTCGATGTCATCTTCCCCGCTGATGACACACTTGCCGCCGCCCTTTCCGTTCTTGAAGCGACCTTCATGGAAGGCTCGATGGAGCTGTCAAGCCTTGCCGAGAAAATCGAAAGCTTCGTGGTCGTGAATGATCAGTGGTCCAGTGAATTTTCCGCTCTTAGTGTGGATCCACACACCGACGATACCTGGTGCATTGATACCCGAGGGCTGCTAACTTTGTATCTGTCGGATGAGAGTTATCAGCAGCTCGGCCTCACCGGAAAGAAGGTTCCGTTCAAGAACCATTTGGAACATGGTGCATACAATCTCGCTTGGCTATTGTGTTCTTGATCATGACATGTCCCAGTCGTATCACTTCCTCTGCAACCTGGTGCGACATCGGAACAGACCCGTCGGAAACGGGACGGTATGCTTAGAGCCTGGGATGATCGCCGCAAACGTGAAGGTCTCGAACCGTGGTCCGTGTTGTTGAATTCCGCGCCGAGTACGTATCTTTACTTATTCAACGTACGGGATTCTAGATTCACATGATGGAAATCCACAGCACAAATTTCCGGTGCTCCCACCCTCACTCAAAAGATAGCCAGGTGCAATATCACCACGACACGCAACATCAGGGCGCCGCAGGTATCCCTTCGCGCTCGCCCAAAAGATCCAGAACCGGGCGAGGACTGGGATGAAGAGATGCACATGCTCCTGGAGTGGATAGGGATGGCCGGCTTGGGGGCTCAACGACTAGCCGCCAACGATCAGGTGGACCCGTTCGTTTCGCTCTACGAAGTTCCAGCTCCATCGCAAGTTGCCGATCTCACGCGCCTGCGGTGGACGGGATTCCTCAGCCCTACATTTGTGCGGTCCCTTCTGGAAGTCGTCGAGACTTCCGTCAAGTACGACATCTCGATTTCACATGATTGTGCTCATCGCTCATGCCACGCGCAGGCCCGATTTTGTTTGCGTGACAGCCAACATGTTCACGAGAACTCCCGTGTCCTATCTGTCCCCAGACAAGCCCAGTCCAATGAGAGTGCCCGATCAGGATGGGGAGGACACTTGGGTGTTGATCTTTGCTGGGACAAAATGGTGCCTTGCAGAGAGCATTGGACGACAGGACACGAGATGGGGATGACCGTAACCACCATAAAAAGCATAGATTGTAGTGGCATATGCGATACAGTCCTCGATATATACATGATACAACGCGTGAAATGAACGTGCAGGTAATGGGCGTGCAAAAGACTTGTACATATGGGGACGCTGTAATTCCAAGGCAGATATATGCATCCGGAAGAAATGATGTGTCGTCGCACAACTCAAACCCTGACAGGAAGGCGCGCCAGCGATTGGCGAGCATCAGGGTTCGTGAACGGCCCGGCGGCAGCATGCGTCATGCGCAGCGTCGGGGATCCAGCGGTGACAGGAGGATGCGCGACCAGGCCGGAGCCCCACATATAAACGCGGGGTGTGCTGTTCACCGGTGGAGACGGGGTCATGAGCTCAGATGAGCTCGTGTACGTCAGGGGCAGAGGCGTGCTCGGGGATTCGGGATAGACGACGCTGTGCGTCGCAGTCTCGACTGCGATACTCAACGGAGAGAGCATAGGTTCTTCCTGATCCCAGGGCACTTCGGTGACACCTACGAGCGCTCGAGTGACGGGGACCGGCGAGTGGTTGGAAATGAGCACAGGGCGCGGGGTATCATCCATTACATGGATGTTCACCATTTCACCGTTGTCAGTTGACGCCAGCGGTGGGTCTACTAATGAATACCCCGGCATGTTGGAAGCAGGCTCGGTGGGAACAGGGCGTGTCCACAAGCCAGACATCCGCATGGGATCCGTGAGGAGCGATGTAAGACGAGGGCTGCTTGGAGCACTTTCCGCGTCCGATATAGGCGAAAACTCGGGCGAGCTTGGTGTCACCTCGAACGTGGTGACAGGGCGTTCCTCAAGATCGACTTCGCCCTGGTCGAGGAAAGCCTCGTACTGGGCGCGTTCGAAGAATTCGTCTGCGTCGGGGTCGAAACGATTGTCGAAACTCCATTTGCGAGGGTGGTCGTCACAGGAAAGGTCGGGGGTGCTCTCCTTGACGAGAACTGAGGTGCGGTACCGGGTCTTGGAGAACAATTCGCGTCCCATTTTTTGGAGAGATTAAAGCAATTCAATGAAGGATTGCAAGTGATGGAGAAAGATTAACAGACACAAGTCCTTTTGGTGGATGGGGGACAGAAGAGAAACGTAATGAAGTGGTGTGACATAAGTGACGGAACGTGACGGAACGCGTTTCTGGCCGCTCAAACTTTCTTGCATATTGCATAGAGGGGCAAGAGGAGATCTGACATATCAGCTGTTTTTGGACTTGCGGTCGGATTACTCACTCTGCAAGTTGCGTTGCAGATACAGTGGGAAGTCGTGTGGGATACAATCAGATAAGATCACAACCTGCGGAAGTAGCAAATGGTGGGGATAAAGTGGCCGCGAAGCAAAACTGCAAACCTCCAAGGTCGGGAAGATTTGGGACGCATTTCGCTCATGAGGAGCACAATGCATGCACACCTCACAGAAACAGGAAGCACGTTTCGGAAGAGTACATAGATACAGCCGCAGCGTGTTATGCATATGCGCAGCCGGCACAAGGTAGTACTGTATGGCGTGGGAAGAATGTCCAAATTAGGGGAGTCAGACAAGCGCAAACAGAAGACTACGACGTAAAGACTTCTCTCACCAACGGCTCCCCTTCCTCCGCGTGTTATCATGTCGTCCACGTCCTCTGCAGCGACGGATGGCTCACGCTCTTCATCTCCACCTCACACACCTGAGGCAGACCCCATTTACCCGATAGCGATCCGCCCTGACCTCGACCTGAACTCCTGGTTCCACCAATCCGACACTGACTCTCTCCTTTCTCCACAATCTTCGTGGCCGGACGGACTATCTACACTGCCCTTACACAAATCCGAAGGAGTGGATAGCATGCTGCATCTTGACGATCTGTTGGAGCAGAACGCGTATGATGAGTGCGTTTCTCTAGCTCCCAGTTTCTCACTATCATCTCACATTTCTGAAGCTCACCACCTCCTTCGTTCGACTCACCCGAGATTCCTGACCTGACGAAGCCGGCCAACCTACAGCCTATGGCAGATTACACCTCAGCATCCTTTCATTCATCTTTCAGTCATGGCGGCGAGAGAGCCTCGAAGCCAATCCCCCCTCCAGCCTCGGTTCAGCGCAAAATCGATCCATCCAGCTGCTCTAAGGTCGTCTTTCCGCCCAAAGACTCGTGTTACAAGTGGGTATCCCTCGCTGCCCCTGAGCAAATTTGCTGACCTCTGAGGCAGCCTGGCACTCATGTTCCCCAGTCTGCCTGAGGGCGGGGCGAAGTCGCGTGTCGAAACGCAGATTCGTGTCACCGTTGACCTGGCAGACTTTAGCTCTTCAGCTGATCCCTCGAAGTATAATCGAGTTGGCTCTTGGAAATGGCTTCAGCTGCCTCGAGGAACGGCGACGAAGCGAAGGACCAGGAAACAGGGCAAAATCGGTGCGCTCAAGTATAGCCCTGTTCCTCACACTCTGACGATGTTTTGGATTAGATCCAGACCCGATGGACGTTCTGCACTTGACAGCCGCCGTTACTTGTTCTACGTCTCCTAATAACCGCGTGTACAGCTGCAGCAGTTGCCAATCTCGCGAGGTCCGTTTTGGTGATTGCCTTGATGACTCATGCTTATATCGTCTCCCAGGCCAAGCGAGTCGCTAAGAAGCTTGCAGCCAGGGTCCGACCTGCGCGTTCTGACTCCGAGTCGGGCGGTGAGGAAACTGGCAAAGCGAAAAGCAAGAATCATGAAGATACGACCAGCATCATCCAGTTCAATTGTGCTGAGACCCAGGACTTCTCGGCTGGCACGGTTGTTCTTCCCCTCCGGATAACGTGCTATTGCCGTCATCACAGAGAGAAGGTCGGATTTAGTGTGAATCTCTCTGTCATGGACCACGCTGGGCGGATTGTTGGTTCCGGTGTATCGAAACCCATCATGATCACGGATGATCATAAAACACCTGGCACCAAGAACCCGGCACTGATACCTGCGTCCGAGTTTGACTGGGCGCGCGAGCAAGGACAAGCGGCGCCCGAAGCTCGCGCTCCCTCGAAGAGGAAGAGCGAAAAAACAAGCTCAAAGATCAAGAAGCGTGGGAAACCCTACGAGAAGCCCAGCCGAAGTTCCAGCGTCGTGGACCACGCTTCCCCCGAGAGCTCATATGTCGACACCAGAGCGTCGACCCCCAACTTGACGACGCAAACGGTGGCCTCCTCGCATGACTCGGATTCGTCGGTGGACACTCCAGCGACGCCACCCGACTATCCTATGCTCGGGATCGAAGCTCCAGATACTCAGTCCTGTTTGCCACTACCTGACGACTCCGCGCTGTCTGCTGCCCTGATGCCGTTCCTTTTCCTGGATGCCCTGGAGCCGACGCAGCCGCTTTCTCTCCCGCTTCCGATGATCCACCGCTTGATCCCCAACGCTGGGCCTACACATGGAGGCACCGAGGTGACCATCCTCGGTGCTAATTTCCACGAGTCTTTGCAGCTGGACTGCGTGTTCGGTGACGTCATTGCGCCTTCCACACAGCGATGGAGCGACAACACACTTGTGTGTATCCTGCCTCCGCGTGCGACTCCAGGTGTTGTTTCCGTCTATTTTAACAATCTTCCGAAACCTGCCGAGATGCAAAACTCGGCTTCATCCCTGTTCACCTATTCGGATGAGTCTGATCGGGCACTGTAAGTCTTCTGGCCGCCGATAGTTATCTCTCGCTGACACATGCTCAGAATGGAGCTTGCTTTGCAAGTTGTCGGATTGAAGATGACAGGAAAGATCGAGGATGCTAAGAATGTCGCCATGCGCATCGTCGGAAATGTCGGCGAGGGCTCAAGCATGCAGACCGAGACCTCGTCTGGTGGGGGAATGATGCATGTCGCATCTCCCTTTGTTCTGGGGTCCCGCAATCAGGGAGAAGACTTGGAAACGCGTGTCATGCAGCTGCTCTCTCTGACGAACACCCCCGTCTCCAGCGGCGTCTCTCTCGAATCAGCCGTTTCCCTGATCGCACCGAGTGGACAAGGTCTCTTGCATCTTGCTGCTTTGTTGCGGTTTGGCAAACTTGTGGACTGGCTTGTGCAAGCTGGTGCCGACATCGATTCACGCGATCGCGCAGGGTTCACTCCGCTTCACTTCGCGGCACTATCCGGTTCAGATGTCTGTGTGCGGGTGCTGCTGCATGCCGGAGCTGACCGCGAAATCGTGAATGCGATGGGCAAGACCGCAGAGGAAGTTGCCGCTCGCCCGGACATGTTCGATTCAGTTTCGAATCTCGCACAGGCCGAAGCTCATCTGTTGGTTGATGATGAAGCGCATTGGGGTGATGCCGAAGAAGAGTCGGATGACGAGGGGCCTAGACACGTCCCCCGACGACGGACCTCGCGTCGGCTGATGAAGCCCGGTGTCTCTGGCAAAAAGACACCGCGATCGGTGATCACACCTCGAACGTCGTCGTCATCGTTGTCCAGCAAACGCACAGCAGCTGACGACAAGCATGCTGCAAATCTGTTCGAGATGATCCAGCGGACCCTCGCCCAGTTGCCTGCGCCGCAGCTGCGCAACTTGCCTGGCCTTGCCCAGCTGCCGGAAATGCCAGCTTGGGGCGCATTGCCCCATCTGACGCCGGTGTTCCCTGTGCTAGTGCCTTGGCCAGCGTTCCTGGGTGCTGCCGACGAAGAAGTTAAGGGTCTCTCCGCCCGCGCCGTGCAGGAGATCCGGGCATGGGAAAAGTGGATTGCACTAGCCCTTACCCGCCAACAGGCTGAGGAGGCGCCGCCACCGATGTACACTCCTCGCGAACCTGAAACAGTCGAAAAGGTGGAAGAGGAGATCTCTACTCCCCGACAACCCACATATCCGCCCGTCACCGAGCAGGAGGTCGACTCGTTCGCGTATGTGCCAACAGAGACACCGAAGAAACGTGCGTGCCATCTTTCTGTGTCGCGGACCGTCTTTGAAACTGACTGGGCCGTTCAGACGACAGAATGTTGCTGTTCTTCTGGCTTCCGATCTTGATGAGTGCGTGCTCCTCTCTTCTTTCCTTGTCCTCCTCTCTGATCCATCTGCGCAGTTTCTATACTATGGGCGATGCATAGTGGCCTGCGGATTGCGTTCCAAACTATCAAGGGCGCTGTCCCGCTAGGTGGCCTTGGACTTCGGGCGTAAAGGCTCTGGAATTTTTTTGTATATACCTATGTAAATCTACTTCTACTACTGTACGGAATATTCATGCACAATGGTAAATAAAATTCGGAGTGACCCTCCTTGATACTCATTACTACGTATGCACTTGAGCCATAAAATCGCCTGGGACTCTATCAGCTCCCACCTCGTCTACATTCACGAGAACAAATCCATCACACCTCACCGCACAGACCTGTTCTTTCGCGACAAATCCTCTCAGGCCAAGTCTCTCGATTACTTTGCCCGCACACTCGCTGGCGCCATCCGCGAATTCTCCGCCACCGAACGCGTCAAGTTCCCTACTCGAGGAGAGTTGCAAGCAGCAGCAGCAGCAGCGCCCCTCCCCGATCCTGTCTTCAGTAATGAGATACTGGAGCGATACCAGCCCGATCTCGTGCCGTACTCCTCACTCACGCCCCAAACACAGTCCCTCGAGTACTGGATAGCGTGCGCCGAGCCGCAGGGATCGTACGGCACGAGCAACGGCAGCTTCGCCGACGTCGTCAAGGTCCTCCTCGCAGAGAACGAGCTGGGCAGGTGCCTCATGCTCGCCAATCACCCGCGCATCCCGCTCGGAGACCTCCACAGCCTGTCGTGGGGACACAGCTTCGGGTGGAACCACACGCGCGACTGGGCGCTCCGCTCGTACATCTTCCTCAACGTCGTGCTGGCGCGCCCCGAGCTGATGCTCGCGGACGCGAAGTACAAGCGCCTGAAGAGCTACGAGCGCATGGTCTGCTTCGCCGGCTTCTCGGGTGACTTTGACGCGCAAACATATCTGCATCGGATGTTCTGGTTCGGCTCGCTGGACGCGTATGTGCCGGAGAACTTGATCGACCCGTTCGTCGATGCACAGCGACTGCACGAGCATTTGAAGACGTGCTTCCGGGTGCTGTATCAGTACGATGTGCTGGCACGTGAATGCGGGAAGGACGACAACTGGGAGA